GAACAAATATTGTTAATTAAGTTTCCTTTAACCGTTATACTATTGTTATAGTAACGTTAACAGTTTAGTAGGAAATATATTCAAAATATAGACTAGATGCCTAGGGCTCTCTACTATATAGCTTTCTACTAATAGATATAGCGATCTAAGTCAAAGTCTAACGTTTCGGAACCGTTTAGGTAATAGTAACACTATAATTTACTATTTCTATAGCTTCTAGTCTTCTAGATAGAAAGTACTTTGCTTATACTTCTAATATACTAATAGTATACCTAGATATATTACTACTTAGTTAGTTAGTAGTACAATACCGTTAGGAAACTGTTATAATAATAGTTACCTTATTAAGTAGGTCTTACTTCTTAAAGGGAAATACTAATATTAGTAAAACGGTATTAAAACAGTAGAACAATAGTTTCTAAATATTAAGTAATCAGATATTGCTCTATTAATTACTAGATCTTAGTAATAATATATATATAAGTCTAAGATAGTAGTAGTATATAAGAGTACTTTCTAGTTAATATAAAGAGTATATAGAGATATGTATTTAGATCGTCTAGTACAAACTCCTAGAATATAAGTAAACAAAATATATAAATATATATACTAGAACTAGTACTAGGGTACAAAAAGTCTATAATAGTATAGTAATAGTATAGTAACAGTATAGTAACAGTATAGTAACAGTATATTATAACGGTATTGTAACGGTATAGTAATAGTATCTAGTATTTACTATTGTCGAGATAGTAAATAGTAGAGAACTATAATACAGAGTTAGTAAGTATAGAGTAAATAATAGTTTTTAGATAGCTCGATAGAAGTAGATACAAAGGAAGAAGAAAAAACATAACCTGCACTCGTAATTTAAACTATGCACTCGTTCCGTCTTGGGATGCGTTTTGAATGCTTAGTCAGGAGTGCGTGGAACCTCAGAACGAGTGCGAGTCAGCGCCGCACGCGGTAGGGAGCGTTCCTGTGCGCGCGCGCTCTGTGGTGACGCGATCTCGTTCTGAGCTGCTGCGAGCGCGAAAATAGTTATCTGGAGACGCTACGAGTGCAGGTTATTAGAAACGAGTGCATCTCGTTAGAAACGAGTGCAGGTCAATCTAGGAGAAACGAGTGCAGGTCATTTGGAACGAGTGCATCTCGTTGGAAACGAGTGCAGGTCATTTGGAACGAGTGCATCTCATTTGGAACGAGTGCATCTCATCTGGAACGAGTGCATCTCGTTAGAAACGAGTGCATCTCGTTAGAAACGAGTGCATCTCGTTAGAAACGAGTGCATCTCATTAGAAACGAGTGCATCTCATTAGAAACGCGTGCATCTCGTTAGAAACGAGTGCACACCAAGACTAAGGCGCGCACGTCATTACAAAAGAGCACATCTATCGTGAACAGCCCTGCGTTCGAAGATTGTACACCTGAGGCTGCGAATGGCGGAAGAATGTGATCGTGAAGGCGGGACTTGGGACGACGTTTCTGATGCTCATGCGAGCTCACTTTATCTCTAATAAGTCCATTGGGGCAATAGCTGCCCAAGATCTGTGCTGTCTATAACCACAGATGCAAGCAATTCTCTGCGCTTGCAATCGGTACGCCCACAATCCCATATAAATGGCTTGAACCGGTTCGTTCCAGCAAGATTAAAAGGTCCGCGGGAAATATATCCTTGCACACAGTCTGCTCAGAAGCGCTCCTAGAGTTTCGAGGGCTTGTCGTACCCAGGCTTGATCATAACAGCCGCCTTATCGTGTTTACCCACACTGATGATGGCGCCGGTATCCGCCCTCCTCATGATACCTCTGTGAAAAGAGAGTGTCTTCCCAGTCGACATGACTTCCACTTCACAAAGCACTTCGGTGCCCTCTGGAGCCGGTCGCAAATAAGTGACATCAAGAGTCCTGCTGACTCCCCCGTTGATCCAGAAGCCGCTCGCACCAATGCCTTGCATTGCAAAACTGGTCAACATGTCGTAGAATAATGCTTGCGCTCCGCCGTGAAGATTGCCAGAGAGATTGCAGTAGAATTTTTCGACTTTGAACTTGAAGACTGCTGAGCAGGTGGAATCGCTGAGCTTGGTGAATGAGATGAGTTTGACATCTTCTTCTCCAAATTGGCTGAAGAGACGTTGATCGTGAGGCGCTTTGATCGCGAGCATCGACTTGATTCTGTCTTCGGGACTAGCCTTCTCGAAGTCTGGCTTTGTGATCACAGCTCGGTACTTTTCCAGGAAGGACTCTCCTGGCGGTATCATGGCTGATGCGGTTGATGTCTCTGTGCTGCTTCTTGGTTGTGATACCGCCTATATTGTTGTACATGTAATATTACCTATTTACTGGTACCTCCTAGTTTGCAGCACATCTGCACATGCTAGGTATACTAGGTGGTATTGCTGAGAACGTGTTGCCGGCGTGCCTCGGCACGGGTTGGAGCGGGATGCCGAAGCTCCCGTCCCCGAAAACTCAGATTGTCTTCATTTGCTTTGTTCATCTTCCTGAATCCTTACGTTCTGGAGGATCAACATCGCGTGGAAACCCCGCGACATATATGTGCTCCTAGCACTCGGACCGTGGTAAGCAGATCTGCAGACACATTTGAAGCAGTTCGGCCGCCAATAGTCGCAACATGTATGCACCCCACGCCAACAATTGCCCCTCCGCGCACGACACCACCGCCGATGGCGGGCACCAGTCGTCAGTGTACCACTTTCTTAGCGGGAGGTACTTCCTATGTGGGTCGGTGAGGATGAGCAAGCGGCTCGCCCAAATGGCACGCACCTCTCAGAACCTGTCTCGACCTGGACTCCCTCCTCTGAGGTCTATAGACATCTTTTCTTACCTCTTTTTTCACAATACTTCAGCGCTCTCGCTCACAGACGGACACTCTGTCGTGTAATTATACCTTCTTGTCTCTTCTCGTTACAAGCACATTACTTTCAATTTCTCCCGAATTTGCTGGTCTCAAATGTCATGAGCAGCTTACCGATCAGCAGAGATGAGGATGATAAGGTCGGCCACATATCTGTAGACGTTCGAGAAGACGCGCCCACTGGCGTAGAGATCACGTCCAAACACGATGGCCAATCGACATCTGTCTATGAGCGCACTGGCTTCCTTTCGGCACCGATATCAGGACCTCCACGATCTTTTTCCCCAGATGTGCTATCCCTCCTTTCCGTCGATGAACTCGAGCAAATCCGGCCTAGCAGAAGGTCGAGCAGAGTGAGCCAGCTCGACATAGCCCTCACAAAGCCGCAAGGTCTGCGAGCAAGACTTCATAGTTCCTGGGTTCGCAATAAAGGCCTCTTCCTCATGCTATTGGCTCAATTCTTTGGCGTGCTGATGAACGTTTCCACGCGCATTCTGGAGATCGAGGGCAACAGCGGCAAGGGCTTTCACCCTTTCCAGATCCTGTTCGTACGCATGGGAATCACATTTGTCTTGGCTTCTGCGTATATGTACTGGCAAAAGACACCCCATTTCCCCTTTGGCGCACCAGAAGTTCGCTCACTGTTGGTCGCTCGAGGGTTTTGCGGCTTCTTCGGGGTCTTTGGCATGTATTACAGCCTGATTTATTTGCCACTGGCCGACGCGACAGTGATCACTTTTCTTGGACCCGGCTTAACTTGCTGGGTGTGCTCGAAATTGCTCAAAGAACCATTTACCAGGGCTGAGATGATTGGGACTTTCGTGTCGTTGATAGGTGTGCTGTTCATCGCTCGTCCTACATCTCTTCTCCATGCCTTCGGTCCTTCTGCGCACATGTCGGCGCCAGAATCTCCTGGAGCAAATGCTGGTCCAAATCCGTCTGATGCCAGTGATTATGGCAGTATCACTCCTGCGCAACGTCTAGAGGGTGTCGCTGTGGCATTGCTGGGTGTTTGTGGGGGCGTAGGTGCCTTCACCACTATACGCTGGATTGGCAAGAGAGCGCACGCTCTTCTCACAGTCAACTATTTCGCGGCGTGGTGCACGTTCGTGAGTCTGGTCATGCAATTCGCTTTCCCTTCGATTGGTTTCTTGCTGCCCACAAATTTGAAAGATTGGGGACTCCTGATATTCCTTGGAACGTCCGGTTTCATCATGGTACGTAAAAATAAAAGAAGAAAAGTCCCAAGAGGCATCATCGGAAGACTGTACTGATGACCATACTATTCAGCAATTCTTACTGGCAACTGCTCTGTCGTATGAAAAGTCCTCGCGCGTGACAAATATGAGCTATACCCAACTCCTTTTCGCCCTTGGCTTCGAGAAAGTCGTATTTGGGCACACCCCTGGCAAATTATCCATCATAGGCTCGAGCCTGATCCTTGGGTCGGCGATTGTGGTGGCGTATCAGAAGAGTACTTTCGAGAGCAAAGAGCATCCAGAAGAGAGTGGTGCGCAAGGCGACGAAGAAGCACAAAGGGGCCTAATCGCCAACGTCGAGACTGGCGAAGATCACGAACGGTTGCCTTTGCAAGATATGCAATTGACGACTTTACGCTGATGAGGAGCCAGTACCTAGTACACGACTAAGGCAGCATTATGATAAGCAGAAACATTTTGATATGGCAGATATAAAACGAAGCACGACAAAGATGTTTGTGCCTGGTGGTAGAGATTGCCTTGTTGCCTGAATTCGTGCCTTGCTCGTGTAACTCTCTCACGTCACGTGAATGATGAGACGCGAACACCCCCTCGTCCTTTCATCCGAGGGCCATGAAGTAGTTCTTGGTTTTGCATGACTAGAGGCACCGTAAGCAAATGAGAGCTAGCGAGAACCCGAGACAGTATAGCCATCATGTCGCCTCTTCCACCATCCAAATACACAAACAGTCGTACATTAATTGTAGACGAGGCAGTCCGATCAGTTGCACAACATTCGCCACCTTGACCACCAACACGCCACAATGCCAACAAAGTCGTCTTTTCCCGATGTTACGATACCAGACGTCGACATATGGGGACTGATGTTTGATCGAAAAGATCGCGACTTTGCAGATGACAAAGGTACGTATTGTAACAACAGAAAAGCCATTCCCAATACTGATATATTCCATTCTCCTCCAGTCATCTACCGTTCAGCCACCAACCCCGCAAGAAAATACACCTACGCAGAGGTAAAATCCGCCGCGACCCAATTCGGAGAAGGTCTTTGCAATCTCTGGGACTGGCAACGTGGTGAAGTCCTCAACATCTACGCTCCCAACGACATTGACATCGGACCCATCATCTTCGGCGTCTTCTTCGCCGGAGGGATCGTATCGCCTGCCAATCCCGGATATTCCGCAGATGAACTGGGCTTTCAATTGAAGAATTCGGAAAGCAAGGCGATAGTTACCACCAAAGCGTTTCTTGCTGCAGCGACCGAAGCCGCTCAAGTGGCGGGAATTGCGCAAGATCGAATTATTCTTCTGGGAGAGGAAAAGGATCAGACGTATCGGTTTAAACATTGGACGAGTATCAGGAAGACTTCTGGTGCGCAGCGATATCGACGGCGGAAAGCGAAGGATCCGCGGAAAGATTTGGCGTTTTTGGTGTATTCGAGCGGAACTACAGGTAAGTCAAATAATTCAAAGCAGCTCGACAGACAGAAAGCCCCCCCTCCCCTCCCTTCTTTTCCAATATATAGGTATGCTAATACCCGACTCCTGCAAAAATCCCACCAGGCCTACCCAAAGGCGTAATGCTCTCCCACAGCAACATCGTATCCAACCTGACCCAAATCCAAAATTCCATCGGCCCATCCTACCAAAGCAGCCAAGACAAAATCCTCGGAGTGCTCCCCTTCTTCCACATCTACGGCCTCACAGGCCTCGTACACCAACCGCTCCACCGCGGCATCGAACTCATCGTCATGCCAGCCTTCGATCTCCAACTCTTCTTGACCACAATTCAAACCCACAAAATCACCTTCATCTACGTCGCGCCACCCATCATCGTGCGCCTCGCACGCGACAAAATCGTCTCCCAGTACAATTTGCGCAGCATCAAAATGATGACATCGGGAGCCGCACCTTTGACGAAAGAATTAGTGGAAGCCGTGTACAAGAAATTTGGTATTCGAATTAATCAAGCCTATGGCCTTTCCGAAACGAGTCCGATGACGCATACTCAACCGTGGAAAGAATGGAATACTTCCATGGGATCTGTAGGCAAAATGTTCCCGAATATGCTCGCGCGATATGTCAGTGCCGAGGGTAACAAAGAATTGGGACCGGGAGAAGTTGGAGAACTGTGGTTAGCCGGGCCGAATATTTTTCAAGGATATTGGAAAAATGAGGCGGCGACGAGAGAGGCTGTGGAGGTAATTGATGGACATCGATGGTTCAAGACGGGAGATGTGGGATTTCAAGACTCAGCACATAATTTTTATATTACAGATCGCGTGAAAGAGTTGATCAAGTACAAAGGATTTCAAGTGGCTCCTGCAGAGTTGGAAGGGAAATTAATGGATCATCCTTTGGTGAATGATGTTGCTGTCATTGGAGTGGAAGATCCAGAGCAACATACGGAAGTTCCTCGAGCATATATTGTTCATGCGAAGTTGGGCAAGGAAGCTGGTGATGTCAAGACGGGAGTGCCGAAGGGTGATGATGCTCGAAAGGATGCGCAGGAGATTATTGATTGGACTGCGGGAAAAGTCGCTAATCATAAGAGACTGAGGGGAGGTATTCGCTTTGTGGATGAAATTCCCAAGTCTGCTTCTGGAAAGATTTTGCGAAGAGTGTTGAAGGAAAGGGTTAAAGCGGACGCGGCTGCCTCGCGATCGAAACTATAGGTAACTTATCAACAGTACCAGGTACTTCAGCAGTAAACAATAAGTCAGGTCTTGAAAAGCGGTGGGGTGGGTGGCGGGCTTCTTGAATTCGTCCGAAGACTGGTGCTCTGTGAGCTGGTGCCTATGTAATAGGCTGGTGAGGTGAGTCGGACGTTTTTTTCCGTGCTACCAATCTGTTAAGGTGTAGACAAGATGATGATTCTTTGACTAACTCAAGATGGAAGCTAATATACATGTCCCTTCCGCCGGGCGAGTCACGTGCTGTCCACGTATTGCTTTCGTAACAAGTATCCGGCTGCTTTCGTATTTATGCTATACAGCTCGCTTTTGAGTGGTTTCAACGCCCTTAGCATAGACAACGCACGAAAGGGAGAAGGTGAGAGTATGTCTATGACCTACCGGTAGTACCTTACTGTAGCAATAATCGATGACAGTACCGGACTGCTTTCGTATTGATGCCCTGTGGCCCACTTCCAAGCGATTTCAACGCCGTCAGCATAGACAACGCACGCGAGGGAGAAGATGAGAGTGTGTGTATAACCTATCAACACGAAGGAACCCCGCGTTGGTACAGCCTTCGATACCGAGGTCGTGCAGGTTCTCATGGGGGCGCAGTTTCCACGCCGCCTCCTGTTATGAGGTTCACAAAGTAGATGATTCTGTGAACTAAATGGGGGTAGAAGCTGATATACATGGTCCCCGCACGTGACCGGGTGGGTCGGTCACGTGCCCTCTTGGAGGGTTCTCGCAACAGCGCCGCTGTCGTTACCTAGGAGGTAGTTTCAAGAAGCTGTTCGAACCCTCAGGAGCATAGTAGCAGCATTGGCAGCGGAACTACCTGTCATCCGGGTGGATAGGGACCGACCAATATGCGTGCTTTATGTCGAACTGAAACAACAACTTGTGCGAAGGATTGGAGAGGAAGTCGTGAACGGCTTCCTGGTTGCGCATCCACGATATCGCGGGCAATTCTCTGCAGCAGGACTTTGCCGATGCTGTCGTCCAGCTCCTGCCACGGTGCGAGACTCGTTGAGCGCCACTTCATTGCGCTATGCCGATACGCCTGGCATACTCGCGTAAAGTACTCCATGCGCTGTTCGGCTGTTCCAGTGCAACAGTACCTGGACTTTAGCAATAAACAATACCGATATCGGGCTTGCGTATTCATCCCCTGGGGCTCACATTCGAGCGGCTTCAACGCCGTCGGCGTGGACAACGCACGCGAATGAGAAGGTAAGAGAGTGTGTTTGTTCATCGTCATATTGTCTCATTACACTGCCTTACGGCAGCAGTCCGAACCTTCGGAGCTCGGCCAGGATGCGTAGTATCGCCTCCTTCCCTGCGATCGAGGGGAGGACCGGCGACAACAGGGTTTCCCATGTCGGCGCGGTCTGCATCTCTTCCTCTTCCTCATCCTCTTCCTCTTCGTCGAAGCAAGAGCTGTCCAGCATGGGATCGCGCATCGGCGCCAATCCCAGATGCTCCCCATCCTCCTCGTACCTGTGCTCGTGCCTCACCAGGCTGCAGCACTCCCCAATGACGAAGGGCACTTTCACCTTGCCATTCTGTCAATTGTTAGTCTGGAGTCCCCGTTGCTGAGCCTCCTTTCGCCAGCAGGCAATCCACTACCGTGCTGCCACAGCATCCACAGCTCGCACAGAAGCACAATGGTGCACAAATAGCTGCCGCCTTCCCGGCCCCAGCCCCGGCCACACCATCTCGACCTCGCATTTGCCTCTCCTGGATCTTTCTGTCCTGGAGCAGAGCATGTTGTTTCCATATCTCAGCTCGGTATGCCGGTGCACCATCCTCAGGATAGTCGCCATGGTTCTTGGAATTGCGATGGAGGAGTTGCAACCGGGTGGCCTCTTGATATCCATGGTCCTGCTCACGAACCTCGTCCCCCCTCTCCACTCGATGGGCTTAATGCATGCTGCTGGAGCAAGATATCTTGCCAGCCAAAGAACCCCATATCTATATATCGATACCTCTCCCTCTGCCAGGTTCATTCCGCATTTGCCTCCCTTCAAGCCCATCGTCGTGGTGTATTCTATATGGATTGGAAAGACTCGCCACTCTTACTACTATCTTGCAAGACATATTCACGGGCCTGCCGTATCACGATCAAAAGGGGGAGGGAAGAAACTCACCTATGGCAAAGAGTATTTGCCCTCCTCAAAGAGGGCCGCATCCCAGTACTCGGCCTTCACCTCGTTCCCTGCGAACAAGGTTCCGCCCATCCCCTAAAGCCATGTATTAGTGTGAAATTTTACCATCTGGAGCTCCGACGACTTACCTTCATGCATCGTACGGCAGAGAGCGGCGAGGTGAACTTTACGAACACCTCGCCGTTTCCTCCGTCCTTCTTCTGCCAGATGTACAATCTCTCCACCTGTCCGTACTCTTGTCCCATGTCATCACCAATCTCCTGCAACAGGTTGTTCTCCGCAATTTCGTGCTCGACGTCCAAATTCTCGAGCATACCCGACAGCTTGACAACCTCAGACATGCCGTCAAGCTCTCCTCCACTTGTAACCCCTTCACCAGGGTTAGGTTTGGCTTTCTTACCGCCGACAATCTTGCCCATGTTAGCGGGCGCGACGTAGCCGCCACCTTGCGCATCGGGCTTCCTTTTTCGCTTCTGCGCCTGCATCTTCAGCGCAGTGGTAATACCTTCACCGCTCGCACCTAGGCCCTGGCCCTTCTCCCAGCCAAGCTTCTTCATGTGACGTTCAGCAAAGCTTTCCTGCCCTGGACGGGCAGTACGTTGCTCGGCGGGTGCTTGCTGTTCTTGTGGACCAGGCTGTGTAGTATCCTTCTGCTGCCTGGCAAGATACTCTGGGTTGCACACGGGTGCAGCACTGATGGTAGTGGTTCCTGAGACCGGCGGTGGGGCAGAAGAGCCATACTTCTTCACCAGAGCCGCATGTCTTGGGTGATTTGGGTTGAAGGTTGGACCGCTGCTCATAGCAGGCGGGAAGTCCTCCAATAATGCACGACGCGGCACTGGGACTGGCATTGAGTGAGCCGGTGGCGGTGACGGCGAAGGTGCTGCGGCAGGTGACGGGACCAAGGTTGAAGTTGGCTGGGCTGGTGAGGATGACAGCAACGAAGCACGTTGTTGACCTATTCTCGCTTTGAGTGCGGCAATCTGTGCAGCTACTTTGGCCTTCTTCTCGGCGTCTGCTGCTGACAAGCCCGATGTCGCAGCAACAGGAGTGACAGAAGCTGGCGTAAGATTTGATGGGACAACAGAGGCAGGCACAAATGTCGGTGGAGCTGGACGTGGCGGCGGTATGTCATGCGCAGTTCGCATCGACGTGGGTTCACTTTTCTGGCCACTCATTGCCATACGTCGAGCGTACGCCTGGTCTGCTGTCTCATTCATGTCGATGTCGGCTGCGGGTGGGGGCGGCGCATAAGAGGCCTGAGGCCCAGCAGAGTCGGACACATTGTCGAGGGCGCGGCTCGGTGACAAGGAATCTGCTGCGGGTGCGTGATGGGAGGTCAAGGATGCTGGCGGTGCGATGCCCACGTTACGAGATTTGTACTTATTGCCTGTTATAGGACCTGTTACCATATGTCAGTTTCAATTTTGCTGTGATGGAGGAGTGAGTCATACGCTGAGTCGAAGGATCTTCTCCCGGAGGCGGATCCATGCCCAAGCCCTTCTTGCTCAATTCGGTATTTCTGGCCTTCTGGATATCAAGCTGCATAGCTGCGAAACTATCATACTTGACCTCAGAGCGGTTCAATCCAGAAAGTGGTACCGGGGTTGTCGGATCGTATATGTCCTCGTACGTTATGATCTTCTCTTCCATCTTGTTTTTCTTGCTTCTCTTCTTCGACTTGGCCACCTCACGCTTCTGGTTGCGCTGATCGTAAATGAAGTCCATCTCGTCATCGTTACCTATCCAGTCATCGTAGCTGCGCTGCTGCTTCGGAATTGGCTGGGACTGCGCATTGGGGGCATCTGAGGAGGGTTCTGACGGTCCCGCTGGTGCGTTGGAAGTGCTGGACGAGAACTTGTGCATGGCTGAAAAGCCAGGCTTTCTTGTCGTCTTCGCCTGTGGCTTTTTGTTTCCTCCAATGTTGGAGGGCTTGAACATAAGTGATGCTTAACAAGGTATGTAAGTAAATCTGACATATGAGAAGAACAAGAAACGCCACTGGCACTCTACCGTCTTTTGCTTTCTTCGCATTGGCAGCAGCTTGCTTCGCTGCATCTCTGGCCTGCATCTGGGCGAGGATGTCTTCACTGAGTAGATCTTCGTACAGAGTCAAGCGACCCTTACTTGGCGGTGGTGCCGACATCTTTCCGACCAATTGTGTTTGACGCGCGGGCCAAAGTGTGGTGAGGAATGGTGATGTCGTGAAGAGGGAGAAGACTGAAGTGAGGTTTGTCGCGTCAAGAAGTTCGGGCGCATGTAGCACGAGAGCTGCGGGAGCTAATTTCACCCGCACTTTAGCGCCAACTTTATGTGAACCCGGGCAGATCTCGGCATCTTAGTCAGCAACACCTCGAATTTCGACATGGAACCAACGGCACCCAGACGGAGTAATATACATGTATGCATAATAATGTATTATGTACCAAGATTCCCGCTTTGTAGCACTGAATTGGGAGTCTTTTTGGGATTCCAGGCATCTCTATTGAACTTTGCACCCGGACATATGATCTTGGCCGTCACCGCAAAGAGAGCTCCTTACCAGACAGACATCCTGTGACAAGTCATTCCCAAAGCAAGCCCGATGAGTGGGCGCGCATTCTCACAGGCGACAGACAGAACCGACTCTTGCTGGTCACTCGACGCTATGATAAGAGTAGTCCGTGGTACTGAGCATTTCCGCACAGGCCGCCCATCATGTATTCGACCATCTGTTGTCCCAACCACGGTACGAGGCACTTCTAACCTTCCCGCAGAACCCGCATTCCCGCACCTTCTACTCGTACCTACCTGACCCAGGTATATATGCCTCTCTCCTCTTCCTCACCAGCCGGAAGGTCCATCAAGTCTCAACCTCCAACTTCGCCAAAGACACCCGTCTTTGAGCGTCTCCGAACTCGACGGCGCGTGCGACGCAACCGCCCCGTGTCTGGTTGTGCGCATGCGCCTTCGAACGCCATCGGTCCATAACGAACGGCTGTCGACCGGGAAGGTCGTGATGTGTCGTCTCGAGTTTGTGCCGCGGAAGAGGATCCGGAAAAGTCTGCATCGTCAAAAATCAGATGCCGATCCTGATGGAAGAATCCAGGGATCTTGCCGCCAAGACTCTTGAGAAGTTCAGATGCCACAGCAACTGCAGCATTCCGGACGGCTTTGTGTTGTCCGGCTGTGTTGCTCGCTTGTGTTCCTGGTGCATGGCTTGCGGCCGGGGAGGCCGTGATGTGTCGTGCACCTGTTGAACGCAGAGGTCCGTAGTACCACGTCAGCCACGGGGGACTGATAGGGGGTAACACTGCACCATCATAAAAGGCCGTTATATCATTGTACCTAAGGGTACTCAAAAACAGGTCTGTGGACTATGCCATTTAATCATCGCTTTTGCACCTACCTTCGAAGGACTGGCGTGGTCTCGACCCACGTGCGTGCCTGGTCTCTGGCGGGCGGCAGTCTCCCTGGTCGTGGATTGCGGCCGGAGAGGCCGTGATGTGTCGTGCACCTGTTGAACGCAGAGGTCCGTTGTACCACGTCAGCCACGGGGGACTGATAGGGGGTAACACTGCACCATCATAAAAGGCGGCCATATCATTGTACCTAAGGGTACTCAAAAGCAGGTCTGTGAAACCGTATGCCATTTAATCATCGCTTTTGCACCTACCTTCGAAGGACTGGCGTGGTCTCGACCCACGTGCGTGCCTGGTCTCTGGCGGGCGGCAGTTTCCCTGGTCGTGGATTCGTGGACGGCTTTCGATTGAGATTATCGTGATGTGTCGTGCCCTATCGAAGAACGCAGAGGTCCGTTGTACCACGTCAGCCACGGGGGACTGGTAGGGGGTAACACTGCACCATCATAAAAGGCTGCCATATCATTGTACCCAAGGGTACTCAAAAACAGGTCTGTGAGACTGTATGCCGTTTAATCATCGCTTTTGCACCTACCTTCGAAGGACTGGCGTGGTCTCGACTGTCGTGCGCACACGGGACTGAAGGACAGCGGCTTTCTGGCCTTGGACGGCTTTCGATTGAGACAATCGTAATGTGTCGTGCCCTATCGAAGAACGCAGAGGTCCGTAGTACCACGTCAGCCACGGGGGACTGGTAGGGGGTAACACTGCACCATCATAAAAGGCTTCCTTATTATCGTACCCAAGGGTACTCAAAAACAGGTCTGTGAACCATGCCATTTAATCATCGCTTTTGCACCTACCTTCGAAGGACCGATCGAACTTTACACAGCGTCTTATGCTGGAAGTGGAGCCGTTGACTTCTGGCTGGTGATGAGAACCAAGTGCGGGATCTGTGAGCATCAGGAAACTGAGGTTCTCTTGATCTGTCTGCCAAACATACCTCTGAAGCCAGGAGGCAAGCCGGAGCTTCGCTGATCTTGGTGGTTGAAGTCATAAATTCCACGTAATGGAGCGCGGCACCACTGTGGTATACGAGCAGGACAGCTGCAGTGGAGCGATGTGTGAGTGAATGTGAAGAGACTTTGTGATACGGAGCAAAGAGGAGCAGATGAGCCATCCGGGAACTGAAGCAGAGCAGATGGAAGGATACATATACCTCCTTAGCCAAGGACGTCGAGGAAGAGCTTGGCGCCTTGTTTAAATGGTTTGCGGCAGTGTCGTCCTTCAGCTACAGGTAAGAACAAGGCATGAGAGGAAGTCGCTAATTGAATATCGAAGCCCGTGCTGTATCAAGTGGAAGACAGTATGTCTAACTAATCAACCCAGACGTCGGAGTAGTACGACGAGTTCGCAGTCGTTACCCAAAGCAAGCTCAAAGAACATTATAGACCCTACATCGATCAAGGAGACAACAGAAGTACAGCAGCATACACACAACTCGCCGTACAAGCGGTCAAACCGACAGGGCTATCATCTACGTGCTAGCAGATAGCACCTGCGAACTTCCCAAACGGAAGTTGGAAATAAAGGTGCAGAACCATCCCGCAAAGCAAGGTAAGTGCAATCATTACGAGGTTTGTTGGTCAAGACTGCTGCGCTCTCAGGGTTGAGCTCTTGCTGGCTCGACTACTGCAATCGAACGTTCTGCCCATTGCAATGATACATGTACCTACCTTACATAGACAGCGACATATGCTCTGGAAACTGCTCAATTTTTCCGCGTGTCATTGTATACTCATAAGCCTGTGCCGTTGTGAAGGAGCTCTCAGTAGAGATGAGCGAAATGGCCAAAGGACATCTTGCATACGATGGAGTAGTCAGATATTCACTGTAGACTTTTAGATGCGCCGACTGTAATCGATATCGGCAGACCAAAATGGACAGGAGGGAAACTGTGTACGAAGGTTTCGATTGAAAACTGTAGCTATCTATCAAAGCTTAAGCATATGATTTTCATGCTCAATTCGATAACATAGCGTGCAACGAGACCGAGTATGAGTAAGGCTACCGATACGAGAGATATGTAGGGTAGTGTCCAGTCCTTGTATAGTAAGACACTACATATTCCTCTCTTACGCGGAGCTCAGTCTGGAGTCTGACTGCTTTATAGGTGCAATATTAGTAGGCAGGTCGGCGAGGCTGCGCACGCTATACTGCAAATTTGGCGACGTTACGAGCAATGGATCTGGGAGGAAATGGGTGCAAGTGAAGTCGGACCACAGTCGTTGTTGTCTTGGCATTGCTTAGTAAAGAGCGCTAGTTTACGGACCCCTGCATCCGAGGAAATCCATGATTCTTGAGTGGTGAGAATGATGATAACATTGCTGCTTTCATGTGTACTGTGGTACCAGAGGAAAATGCTATGGTGCAACCAGCCCAGCATAGAAAAACCTGGCAGTCGACGACTTGCAATTGCTGCTGGCAAGGTTCGGTTGCTTTTGGTAACCTGGTAGGTTTTGGTGAGGACCAAGGCACTCCACAAAAGAAATATGACATCCCTTCTAGATCTTCGGTACTCAGTCCTAGTCTCTCTGTACAAGTTGCTTCCCACTCAGCTTTTGACCTTCTATCGTTATACTGATATCTATATCCCGCGCATCGGTCGAATCTGTCTGCCAGCTTGACCCCACGCATCGAGAAGCTGAAGGACGCGGCACGAGATGGGCCAATCCAGCGACAACGCCATCATGTACGAGGTCAGAGAGACGGAGTTCAAAGGGCAAGGCGTCTTTGCAACCCAGAACATCTCACCGGGAACGGTGATCGTCCAAGAAAGCCGTCTGATGGAGGTAGCGAAGACGGGCGACGAATATACGCAGCACGACCTCGAAGACGCTTTTGCCGTCCTCCTCGAATCCGAGCGCCAATCCGTCCTCGCCCTCTCCGCATCCTCACGACCTGCCGACGAGCCTCTCCTGACACAGATCATGAAGTCGAATGCGTTTGGTGATGGCACGTCCACTTGGCTGCATCCCACCATCTGCAGAATCAACCACAGCTGCATTCCCAATGCCACTTCCCACCACGACGAATGCTGTCTAGGAGACGTGGCACAAATTATCGCCGAAAGAGAGATTTGCGCGGGAGAAGAGATATGCATCAGCTATAACAGTCAAATGCACGAACTGTGCACCGCAAAAGAACGCTCGGTCCTCCTACGCAACCAGTACGGCTTTAACTGCTACTGTCCCGCTTGTTCTCCACTCGCAACAAAAGATGTCACTACGAAACAACAACAGCATATCAGTGATACCCGTCGCCGCCTCATCGCGGAATTACTTCACCGTCTGACCGGCTTACACTTCCCACCCCACGCCCGCCAAATCATGCAGTCGATCTCCACGACCGGAGACGATATCATGTCCATTCCCAAAGAAGATCTAGCAGCCGAACAAGGCTCTCCCTCTCCCCTCTCCGACTCCCAACGATACGTCTACTTCCTCCTTCTCGCGCACCTCCGACGGGCCGAAGGACTCGAATCTCAAGAAATTTCCAACAGCTACTGGCTCGCCGCCGAAGCTCTTCTCCGTCAACTCATGACACTCCCCGATGTGGTAATCCTCGACTGGGCCGCTCAAATCAAACATCTCATGGAATTGGCCATCGAGGTGTTAGATCGTGTCCGAGATCCTTTCGATCATGACCCTCAGAGATTACGAAACGAATGGGGTAATATGCAAAAGAAAATGCGATTGAAAGCGAGCTTGACTTTCGTAAGTATACATCTATCGAGAGAGGGAGATCTCATAACGACTCACAGAACAAGTACCTACCTAGGTATATAGTAGTCACATGTACGGATTAAGATTTGCTAACCCTCCCTCCCTCCACATAGTTGGACAGCGAAGCCTCTTCCATCGTCCCCGGTTCCGCGGACGATATACCCTTTGCACTACGAATTTTCCCGGATACAAAACGCATTGAAGTCCTCTCCGAAATGGAATGCAATGCCATTGTGCGACAAAACTATGCACCTGTATCGCAAGAAGACCCCATTCCCAAAAAGGCAAAGAAACCACGGAGCGACAACGCATACGTCAATTTCTACGAAGATGTCAAGTCGGCGTGCTGGAACAGTAGTAAAACGACTAAATTCGGTGCTGCTATGACTTGTCTGGCTCCGGTGCTAGCTGCGTACTGGTATGCTGTTGCATGATCGATGGATACCTACCTGAGTGGTAACGATAGCGAGAGTCCGTGCACGACGCTTGCTAGGTACTTTACTACCTATTCAGACTGAGTAAACCTTCCACATACTTCCGAGGATCGAAACCAATCCCTCCAGCAAGGGCAGAAGGACCCCAGCCGGCTCCCACGCCGCCCGTGTTCGCGTCAGAAGTCGATGTCGGACGAAGAGTAAGCGCACTCCACATACTACTCGCAGCGCGACTACTCGTCGAAGACGATTTGGCCTGTCCGGAGGTAGTCGAACTGTCAGAAGCTTTACGGACCAAGAAAGCGATGCGATCCATCGAGACCTGTGGTTTCTGCGTAAAGATGGACGCATGTCTGGTCGAAGGGGGGAGAACCGTGTCATCAGAGTCTTCCTTGGTCAGTGAAGGGGCAATGAAAGCACGTGGCTGATCGTCCGACGAGGGGACGCTTTCAGCATCATCAGCGGCCTTCTGATGTCGTTGCTGTTGCTGTTGCTGCTCTTCATCAATACAAGGGAGTGAAGATGCGGATTCCAACCCGGCTCCTTCACGCTGTGGTGATGAGGGAGGCAGCCTCATCCAGACAACCCACCAGCCACGACTCGTCTTGCTAGTACGCTCGTACTCGCAAGGACTGCGCTTGACGCTGGAAAGTGTGTTAAGAATCTGGCTATGCACATTCAGTGCGTCGATTCTCGTCCACGCCTGCGTTCCAGCCTCTTTCCTGGACAAGATGCCTTCAGCAAGAGGCGTGCCCGGCTCGGCAATGTTGGGTATGCTGGTATGCACAGTGAGCAGCGCCGGGTCATAGAGTAGATCATATATGGGCGACTGCTGCGGAGATTTGCTATTGCTCGATTGGCCACTTGTGATACTAGCAGTCTCTGAAGATGCAGCTTGCGCATCGTCGATGCGTTGTGCAACCTTTGAGTAGCTGGTCGAGGAGAGCAAAGGTTTATGTATGGGCAGCAGGTTGCGATGCAAATCCTTGTAGAATCTCGCCACTGCCAGGGACGGTGTGCGATGTTCGAAGAGAAAGCAGTACATGAACGGACGATGGGCGTAGACCAGCACGCGATGGCGCCTCGGGCCATCAGAGCCCTCGGAATCGGTGGCTTGTGAAGACGTTGACATTTTTCGTTGCAGTGGATCATACTCTTCTTCATCTACTTCCTCGCTTTGTTGAGGTGTCCGCTGCACATGTACTGTACGCAGTATATTCCGGAGACCACCAGATTCTTCAGCATCTGTATCATCGACAGGAGCAGTCTCGTCATCTGGCACACTGTCCAGATCACCCTGGAGGCCGACAATGAAATGTCCCTGTTGTTCGAGGCGTTTCTGCATAGCAATTCTGGTTTGTAGAGTGTGTCCTACGGGCATGGGCTCCGTTTGTGCCATGTCGTCTTCTTCGGCTTCCCTGATGTCATCTTGCTTCGGTAGTCTGGCTGCTGCGTGTCGCTGTTCGGTGACCGTCTTCGAGCTCGATGTTGATGTTCTCCGTGGGCCCTCCGGCCGCTTCTGTTGGCCAGACTTGACCAATGTGCTTATGCCAAAGGTGAGGTACTTCATGTACTGATCAGGCACTCCCAGTGTCGTGCCTGAGTCATCATTCGTGGACGTCTCTGTACCATCAGGTCGTATCTGAGCCTTTCGAGTAGCTTGATTGAGAGAGGTTTCGGCTGCACTAACGATAGGAGGCGGGATCCCAGGAAGTCCAGTCGCATGAGAGGCATCGTCTTCATCAAATGGGTTTTCTATCCCTTCATTTGTAGCTGGGGGGTTAGGAGTCACAGGAGGTGTGCCGAAGTCCTTCGCTGCCGTACTATCAGGAACAGCTGGGACTTTTGGCCGAGGGTCTGATCTGTCTACGAATTCGGGACCTGCGGGCACATTTACCTGTCGTCTCTTCCGACGTCTGCGCTCACGCAATGGATTATCTCGGACACCATAGGCATATTCGCCATAAGTGTAAATCTGCCGCATCCACAACGACACGTTCCGCAGAGATGGGGTCGTGATGGCTCCCGTGCCACCAAAGATGATACCGTCTGATGCCATTGGATAGTTGCCGCCTCCTACCCAGGGCAAAGCTTCTGCATCGCTCGTAGTAGCGGTCTCCTTTGAAGGCGCCGGTTCGCCGAAACGAGCTGCGACTATATCCACCAGTCCTTCGGTTCGCCGAACCAGATCTTCGAGCACGTCTCGCTCCCCACTGCCCCATTCTTCTTCACCTACACCCATACCGAGCTCGCCTCCGCTGGAGAGCTTGACGCCGCTAAAGATGTCAGTGGCAGGACTGCCATGAAGCAGGACATCCCAGGTGCGAGAGAATCTGGCCCAGAATCTGTCCAATATGCCGCAGAATTTGACTCTGTGCAAGCGCACAAACAACTCCGTGAGTGAAGAACCATGATGAAGAGAGAAGATGTGATGGGCCTGAATGAGCTGCTGAATCAGTAGTGCCGGTGGACTGACCTCGCGAGCAGAGTACTCGATTGCCTCTTTCGGCTCAGTCTTGTCTACTCCTTTCGCCATAGGATCCGACTTGGGTTGCGGTAGTCCGGGCAGTCGCGTGAGGTCAATGGACTAAACCCATGAGCTGCGTGTCTCGTGCATAAGGTGGGACTGACCTACCGCGAGTATCCACCATCCCGGTTCGAGCTCATGCAGGACAATACGCGACTTTTCAGTGTCTATGGAGTCGACAGCTTGGCCATCGGAAAAACTCCTAGCTTGTCCTCAGTCACTCCAGCTTTATCGAGCGAGGGACGCGTCGACCTACCGCGCGAAATCTATCATTCCCTGTGCCAACCCAATCTGCCTCAGCTTCTCGTTCTCTTCTTCGCGTAGAGCGCCGCCATCGCCGGCGTCACTGCGAGCCTTTTTCCGTACAGCGAGTCGTGCTTCGTGGGCCTTGCGAGAGTAGTAGAAGACGGCTTGTTCCTTGAATGTTTCATCTGTTAGACCCAGCGAGGGATTATAGATGGCGAGGAAGGAGAGTCGCGCCGGAACGACTTGAGTCTGCCATTGCGGCGAGCTCATGTCCTCGAAGCGAATTGGGGGCGGCGTCGGTGGTGTTGATATACATGTAAGGTAGGTAGTTATAGCAGACAGGGCATGAGCAGGGATCCAGATCGGTCAAGCTTCGATCTGCCGTTGTGACGCACATACGCCGGAAGGGGCCTATAATCGGCATGCGGCTCTGCGGTTCTTCCCGAGAGGCTTCCGATCATCGAAGCACACCTCCGATACCACTCTCCAGGACATTGACCACAAGACTTCCTAACATCACCACGATCGCCACCAGCAACTCAACCATAGTACGATCCCCGCAGATATATCCCGAGCCCGCTAACAACATCTCAAGATGCTGTCTCAATCTCGCATCGTCGCGCGCCGCGCCCCAACAGCCGCTCTTCGCCGCAACTTCTCAACCACACGCCCTCAGTTCGCTTCGCCATACCACTACCCAGAGGGTCCACGAAGCAACATTCCCTTCAACCCGTTGACCAGATTCTTTGCTTTCCGATACTGGGCTTTCATGGGTGAGCCTATGCGCGTTGTAAGAGGATGGGTATGGGAGAACGGAGTGCTAACATAGTCGATAGCGACTGGATTTGGACTACCATTCGGCGTTGCTGGTAAGTGCAGCAAGCAGTTGGGGGCCTCTTCTGCGAGAAGGGCGAGAACCGGCGCTGACGAAGGACACAGTCTGGCAAACATACAAGAACCAATAGACGGACTAGGATGGGACGGAGGATATGGGCTGCGGAGGATGGTCAATCATCGACGTGTGGCTTCAGAAGACCGACATAGAAACCATGGCATTGTACAGATACTTCTCACGCCATTTCATATGTCAATCATCGATGAACTGAAATATACCTATGACCTCTTTCAATACTTGACTGATTCGACTGATGTGATTGGCCGGGCATTCCCGCTGTTCTACCTCTGCCTCAGACTCTCTTCAACTTTTATATCGCCGCCATCTTTGTGCAAATACCTAGTACTTGTAACTATTCGCACGCCATGCTTATGGTTCATGTGACTTGGATAGTGCCCTTCTCTTTCAGTCTCTCCCCACCAGAGTACAAGTCACAATGCGGAACCTTCGCAACATCTCGCACAGAACTTTGAAATTCCTTTCCCCAGGCTCGGACTCAGACTCATCAACCTCGCCTCTGACAGCCACAGCCTGGGATGGTAGCAACATAATCTGCGCTTTCGGGCCTACGGAATCAGACCCCTCAATAGCGCTCAAACGCTTTGCCAACAGCGCTTTTGCGCCCGAAGATGGCATTCTCGTCGCCTCATGGGACGCACCACCTCCAAATCCAGATTTACCATTCGACAGAATTCTAGCTCTCCACTGCCACCCCGACTCGGGCTCCATATCCTTGGTCCTCGAAGGTGGTGATATTATCGTCGTATCTGAAGAAGGCTCGATTGAGATAGTGGGCTCAGTGGATGCTGGAATTTCAGCAGCGAAATGGTCGCCAGATGAAGAACTCCTCATCATCGCTACGAAAGTTGATACATTACTTTTCATGACGCGAGAGTTCGAGGGTACTGCTTCTATTGATTTGAGACCGGAGGACCTGCAAGTAAGCAGTCATGTTGATGTTGGGTGGGGCAAGAAGGCGACGCAGTTCCTGGGCCCTGGGGCTCGAGCGAAGGGTTTGAAGGATCCGACTGTTCCGGACAAAGTTGATGAGGGTACTCTTTCGGAATTTGACGATCTCAAGGGGATGAAAGTGTCGATCAGTTGGAGGGGTGACGGGGAGTTCGTGGCTGTCAATAGCGTGCTTGAGGCACAGACCGGAGAAGGCGTGCGGAAGAGGAGAGTGATCAGAGTCTATTCGAGAGAGGGAGTGCTAGACTCTGTTTCTGAACCGGTCGATGGGCTTGAAGGTGCTTTGGCGTGGAAGCCTAGTGGCCAACTCATCGCAGGGATTCAAAGAAGAGAGGACCAGGAAGGCAGAATCGAGGTGGTCTTCTTCGAACGCAATGGATTGCGCCATGGCGAATTCCCTCTTCGCCTGACTCCGGAAGAATGCAAGACTATTGGCAGTGAGATCGATCTGGATTGGAACTCTGATTCAAGTGTTCTGGCCGTCAGCATGAAAGATCGTGTTCAGCTATGGACAATGGGCAACTATCACTACTATCTCAAGCAAGAGGTTTTGCGAAATGGGCTTGGAAAGAAGAGTGTGGTGACCAACTGGCATTCGGAGAAGCCCTTACAACTGGCGTGCCACTCCGAAGAAGGCATGAGACTTTTGAGCTACTCCTTTGAAGTTTCACGGGGAAGTGTCAAGCCGCCTTTTGACCACGGAGTCGTGGCGGTCATTGATGGGAGAAATCTCAAAATCACGCCCCTTCGAACAGCAAATGTTCCTCCACCTATGGCGTTTGACGAGGTCGAGCTGCCGGACAACGCTATCGACGTGGCTGTTGACACTACTGGAATGAGAATAGCGGTCTTGCACTCTGACAGAATCTCGGTCTTGAGGTGCAACTATGGGATCAAGCCAGCCAAGAAGGCGGTAATTCTGGAGACTCTGCATCTGGACACGCCGCCTGGTACTGCCGGACGACAGCTGTGCTTCAACGACGACGACGGGATCGTGATTTTAAGCTCGACGCCAAATGATCAAGGCACAAGGATTAGCACGATATCTGATTTTGGCACTTCTGATATGCGTATCGAAACAGATGTGGCATCTCTGTTTAGACCTACCAACCATGATCGTATACTGTTCGAGGATAGCAAAGGCGCAATCCATGATCTCAAGACGAAGGAGTTGGTCGGAACACTGCCAACCGCTTGCCCACAAGTTGAGGTTTGGCAAGGCGATGATGGCAATTTACTCTTCGGACTCACGCCTAGCGGTATGCTTCACATTCAAAGCGGCCGGCAGAAGTCAAAGATCGGCAGCTGCACTTCTTTCTCGATAACGCACACGCATCTGGTATACACAACGAGCAATCACCTTCTGAAATTTGTTCACCTGCACACAAACGGAGACCTGGAGATTCCGCTTGATGAGCCGGAGAAGGACGAAAGATGCAGAAATATCGAACGGGGAGCTAAGCTTGTCACCATCATGCCAAGCGCGTACTCTCTAGTACTACAAATGCCGAGAGGAAACTTGGAGACCACCTATCCAAGAGCGTTAGTTCTTGCTGGCATACGACACGAAATTGGGGATCGGCAGTACAAGAAAGCGTTTCTAATCTGTCGAACACAAAGAGTGGATATGAACATCTTGCACGATTATGCACCCCAACAGTTCCTGGGCGACGTCGATCTGTTCGTCAAGCAGGTGAAGAAGGTGGAGTATATCGACCTGTTCTTAAGCTCACTCTCCGAAGAAGACGTGAGTCAGACGATTTACAGAGAAACCCTCAAGGCGCAAGACTCTGCTTCTGGTGTGAATGGGATGGCTGAGCATGCCAGCGCACACGCAACATCCAAAGTCAACAAGATCTGCGATGCGTTCTTGAAAGTTCTGGGCAGCCAGGAGTCGACTTATCTTCAATCCATCATTACAGCGCACGTCTGCAAGAACCCTCCAGACAATCCTGCTGGTCTCGCACTGGTCTCTTCGCTCCGTAAACAAGGCAAGCAAGAGCAGCTTGAACAGGCTGTGGATCACATATGCTTCCTCGCCGACGCGAACAGGCTGTACGATACGGCGCTCGGGACATACGACCTCGATGTCACCCTCCTTGTTGCACAACAGTCGCAGAAAGATCCTCGAGAATATCTGCCATATCTACAATCGCTACAGGATCAGGAACCACTGCGCCAACGCTTTGCAATTGATAACGATCTCAAGCGATTCTCAAAAGCACTCGGACATTTGCACGCTCTCGAGGCTTTTGATGAGGTCAAGACGTATGCTACAAAGCATGACTTGTACAGCCAAGCCATCGAGCTGTATCGATACGACAACGCCAAACTCACAGAATTGATGCGCATTTATGCCGACTATCTCATCTCTCGCAACAGATACAAAGAAGCTGGCATCGCATACGAATACATCGGAGACTCCATGTCCGCCTTCGAGGCGTACCGCAGCGTGGGAGCTCTCTGGCGCGAGTGTCTGTCCTGCACTGCCGATATGTCGGAAGAAAAAGTCTTCGCCACAGCGCGTGACCTCGCAGAAGGCTGCGAAGAGTCCAAGGATTATACCTCCGCTGCCACCATCCATCTGGAGTACCTCCAAGACCTCCCCGAGTGCATTCGACTCCTCTGCAAAGCCTACACTTTTTCCGAAGCAATCCGCCTCATCGCCAAACACCACCAACCCTCCCTCCTCAAATCCGTCCTGGACCCAGGCATAATCGAAGCCTCCGCAACCACGACCGAACTCCTCGCCGAAATGTCCACCCAACTACACCATCAAATCCCTCGGCTCCGCGAACTCCGTCTCAAAAAACTCCAAGATCCCCTATCCTTTCTCGACGCCGGCGAAACCCACCCCGACATTCCCGACGACATTTCTCTCGCGCCCACCGACGCCAGCACCAGCGCCGGAACGTTCATGACGCGCTATACCAACAAGAGCAATCTCCTCGGCAGCGTCGCGACGGACGCGACGAGAAAAACGAGCAAAAATCGGAAAAAAGAAGAACGGAAACGGGCTCGAGGGAAAAAGGGGACGGTGTATGAAGAAGAATATCTGGTGAATTCTATTGAACGCCTGATTGAAAGATTGAATTTGTCGGGTGAAGAAGTTGGTAAATTAGTTGAAGGTCTGATGAGGAGAAGTATGAGAGAACGTGCTCTTGCGGTGGAAAAGGGGTTTGTGGAGGTTGAGGAGATGGCTCGGGCGTGTTTGGTGGAGGTTTTTGGCGATGAGGCGCAGCAGATATCATCTTCTGGTGGTGCCGGTGGTGATGAACATCATCATCATCAACCGGGACAGGATGGAATGGGACCGGAAATGCATCGGCCCTGGGGTGGAGAAGGAGTGTTGTTTGAAGCGTTGACTGCGAAGAGGAAAGAGGCGCCTGTTGTGAGGCGGTTTGAGAGATTGGGGCTTTTGGGGAAGTAAAGTAAATATTAGATCTTATCAAAGGGGTGGGTGCTCTCTCTCTCTCTCTCTCTTTCAAATCACACATCGCGAACATAATAACGAAGATATCAAACCCACCTCACTTGGGTGGAAAAAAAGGATGAGGAGATGCCTGCCTAGGAAGAAGCCCACCAAGAAGCCCACCAAGAAGCCTAGGTCAGGTACCAAGAAGCCTACCAAGAAGCCGCCTAAGAAAGAAGAAGAAAATAGCCATCCCACGAAGGAGTCTCACCAATGGTAGACATTATCGTTTATTCTGTGATTACTATACATTTACCGCCTTTGCGCCTTTCTATCTACAGAAACGCTTTACCTCCTACCCCTCACCTTCTTGAAAACGGAAACTTGGGGACGTGAAGTGGCTGCATGTATCACATTGCATCGTTCGAGGAGCAGGCTGGCTGCTGGGGATGAGGATATGGCGGATTTGGTCAAGGAGGTAAATAAAGGAGAGGGGTATGCTGAATAATAAAACTGTCTTTTGAATACTACCAGTACCTACACAGTCGCCCCGCTGGGGTGCTACAGTTGATGGGAATTGGGTTTATCAGAACTCTGATTTTCTTCCTCTTCAAGGCCTGTCTGCATTACTTCGTTCTGATGCCTCGGTCTAGCCTGTATCATGAAGCGGTTTTCCAAGTACATCAGTCCTCTCTGTTGTCTGACGAGTTAGGCACATCGCTATAACTAGTTTTTCCTTTGTTTTTCTTTTTGGAGTTTACGGCTTGTTACAGAGATACCAGATTTGGGAATGGAAAACTGTGATAGCGGAAAGGCTGGCTTGCGATTCGATTGAAGGGCGTCGAGAAATGGACATGAAGCGTGAAAAAAAAAAAAGATGGTGCACTTTCATTCGACTTCCATTTCGCCAGCAGATAGCAATTTTCGACCAGAGAGTCGTAATTTCACTTGTCATCAACGATATATCATTCTGCAACAAACTCCCACAACTTCTCCAACTTATCATCCAGAATCTCAGCCGCAGTTTTTAATTCTCCACTTGAGCCCTCGGCGCCTGCAATCAGCGTACTCGGCTTAACTGTTTTAAACCATCAGCTCATTCCCTCACAACATACAACTAAGGTAAGGTAGTAAGACAGATTCATTCACCTTGTACAACATCCGTCTTCCCATCCTCCCTCTCAATAATAAGTACCTCAACAGGAACAAACAGAGCAGCGCCAACATCATGCCGTATCATCGTAATAGCGATCTGAGGATTTCCAAAAATGATCCTAACGACTTTTCTGCCTCTGTTGACGCCGTACAGAGACATCCAATCGCCGTGATTGAACTGTTGAAATTGCATAAACCCATGCGGTCCCAGAGCTGCATTTGTGACTGACTCGAAGGCTTCTTTGGAAGATAAATCGTCGAGAATGCTTAAGCCCCCTGCGCCGACGCTGGGCTTTTTGATGCTGGAGTGGAGGCGTTCGAGGACTTTGTCGAAGGGTTTGGCGTAGGTGCGAGTGATTCGCGTGGTTTGGTAAGTCGTCTCTGTTCTCGTACCTGACATGGCTTTTTTTCTGTAAAGTGATGTTTGATTTTTCAGGTGTAATATACCGGGCGAGATCTTCACCTACCTAAGGTATATTTGTATTTTGCCGACAAGTTCCAGATTAGTGATCGCTGTTGCAGTGTTGCCGCAGTTTTTTGATGGTAAGCCATAATTGCCGTCATTCCTATCGGCGATCGAATTACCACCTGAATCATTCGTTGCCGCGGCTCCAAAAGATCAGAGATCAGGTAGGTATTGATAAACAAAGGCCCTTAACTTCATCGTTTCTCTACACAATTCGAGGTTTTTTCCAGCTCTAACAAAAAAGTTTCAGCAACTCTCTTTCAAGAACAAGTAAAAGGCAGCATTGACCATGTCTACACCAATCGCAATTGTCGCTGGAGTCGGTCCGTACGTTTGCTCTCATCGAAAATGAATAAAAGTTGTATACGTCAGAATTGACTTGCGTATCCAGCGGCACTGGAGCAGAGGTAGCTCGTAGGTTTTCCGGCTCATACCCCGTCGTCCTGCTCGCACGAGACTCCCAAACCCTCGACGGCATCGCCGAGGAGATTAATAAAAGCGGCGGGCGTGCCGTTGGCATCATTGCAAACGTCTCGGATCCGTCGAGTATGAAGAATGCATTCAGCAAGATTGAGCAGGAATTCAAAGGCGCTCCAATCGCCGCTGCAGTGTTCAATGCTAGTTCACGGCCCTTGAGGGCGCCGATTATAGAGGTCAAGCTAGAGGACTTTAAAGAAGCTCATAGTGTCTCAGGGTAAGTCAGTCAGTCAAAGAACCCCCTTTCTCTTCCCTCGAAAAGTACAAGTGAAAGCCTACCTACCTTAACATGATGTGTGACACGTAGAAAAGGAGCATTTTTTGTTCGCCCAGAAAGTCCTTCCAAGACTTGTCAAACACGCCGAGGATAAATCCGCCAAATTACCCCCCGACTCTGATTTTCACTGGAGCTACGGCGTCTATCAAGGCCAATGCTCAGATGAGTGTCTTTGCGAGCCGCCAAGTTCGCAATGCGAGCTCTGTCCATGTCGATTGCGAGGGAGTATGGGCCGAAAGGAGTGCATACTGCGCATGTGATTGTGGATGGTGTGATTGATACAGACTTCACTAAGAAATGGACCAAGGATATGTCTACGGAGGCGACGATTGCTCCAGGTGATATCGCGGAGAGCTATTGGAGTTTGCATACGCAGAGTAAGAGGTGCTTTACTAACGAGATTGACATTCGGCCGATGTTGGAGAAGTGGTAGAAAGTACCTCCTAGAAAGAAAGGGAGCGAGAAGATTGTCGGAAAAATTTCCATCTCATTTTTTTCTTCACTGTTGCGGCACAGCCGTTGCCCTGACAACCACCCTATAACGCACTAGCATTTCGGACACATTGAAAGTGTCCAGCAGCCAAGTCAACAACACTTCTTCCTTCATCTACCCCTTAAAAATGAATCCCAAGCCCTGCACCATCTGCTCCCTAGCTCCACCCAACCCCCCTCAAGCCCTCCCAATCTCAGCGCCATTTACTCCAGACAACAACAAAGACCTTTCCACCTGCTTCATAGAATTCGCCAACAAAATCTATCAAATCTATTGGAAAGAGCCCTCCACACAATACCCAGACCTTACCAATTTTCCCTCTCTACAAGAGGGCACAACATACGAACCCGTACCCCTCAGCCCTCCAATAGCCGAACTTTTCGCTACTTCGACGTTGATCAATTACGGTGTAGACGGATGTATTCGATGCACCCATAGTGATACCGAGCTCCTGCCGATCGTCAAAATTGCGCTGCCTCGTCAAATCTCGCGAGCTCGTGTGCAGTACGAAATTGCCATGCTGAAAGAGATGAAGCGTTGTGAAATTCCTGTGCCGGAATTCGATCCTGTGCCATTGGTGGATTTGGAGGGGGGGATATTTGGCTATCGTATGGAAAAACTCTTTTCGCTGGATTTTAAGGCTTTGGGGGCTGTTAAAGAAGAGTTGAGGGAGATTGTGGATCGTTTGCATGAGTGTGGTTTTTCGCATGGGGATTTGAATCCGAGTAATGTTATGAGAGATGGGAGGGGGAGACTTGTTTTGATTGATCCGAGTTTTTCGGGGAAGATTGGGGAAGTTGTTCCGAGTCATGTACCCTCGTGGCAATATGAGGGTAGTGTGTTTTCTACTGCTACCGATGAAACATATTTGAAGCAATTTTTTGGCTGAGCTGAAAAAACAAAAATGCAATATTGCTGCAGCTGGCTTGCTTTTGTAGGGGAGCTACTTTTACTTCCCCCCAAAAAACTATCAAACTTCATTAGAAGGATATCCTACCTCCTCCAACGACGCAAACTCCTCTTTAATAGTCCTCACACTCGCAAACCTCATCAACATGCCCATCGTGCCCGACTTATCATTCGTTCCACTATCTCTCATTCCCCCAAACGGCTGCTGCCCGACGACCGAACCCGTACATTTCGTATTCACGTAAAAGTTGCCTGCAGCGTGCTTGAGCGCATTTTGTACTTTACGCGAAATCATCGGATCGTGAGCGAAAACAGATCCGGTGAGAGCGTAGCGAGAAGTGGAATTGATGAGATGAAGAGTTTCGTCGAGTTTTTCGTCGGGGTAGACGTAGATGCAGAAGATGGGGCCGAAGAGTTCGGTGGACATGAGGGGGTGAGTAGGATTTGTAGTTTGGTAGATTGTGGGATGGATGTAGAAGCCTGAGGAATTGTCTACGATGCCGCCTGCGAGAAGGTGGAGTTCGGGGTCGGATTTGGCGTCATGAATGACAGAGGAGAGTTTGTTGAAGGAACGTTCGTGGATGACGGCGTTGACGAAGGCGCTGTAGTCTTCTGGGGGACCGACGCGGAGTTGGGAAGTGTGGTGTTGAATGTGGGATTTGAATTCGGGCCAGATGGATTCAGCGACGTAGACGCGGGAGCAGGCAGAGCATTTTTGTCCTTGGTATTCGAATGCTGCGCGGAGGGTGTTGAGGGCTGCGCTTTTGACGTCGGCGGATTCGGTTACGAGGTGGAAGTTTTTGCCGCCGGTTTCGCCTACTACTCGAGGGTAGGAGTTGAAGCGGCCTTCTGCTGTTGCTTTGCCCACTTTACCTTGCAGCTCTTTGAACACGGCTGTCGATCCAATAAAGGCAAGCCCGGCGAACTCGGGTCTCTTCAGTACGGTGTCGGTGATGAGTTCGGGGTTTCCGGGCAAGAATTGGATGACATCCTTGGGTAGACCGGCTTCCAGCAAGATTTGATAGAGCACCCAACTGGCATGCAGAGCCGAATCAGAAGGTTTCCAAATCACCACATTGCCCAGCAGTGCAGGCGGCCCTACGAGAGTTGCAGCCAGTGCCGTGAAGTTGAAAGGACTGATGGCATAGACAAAACCTTCCAATGGCCGAAACTCATTCCGATTCCACGTCCCATCCAAATTCACAGGTGGTTGCTGTTCAAACAACTTCTCCGCCTCCTTGACATATTGCCTCAAAAAGTCGATCGTCTCGGTCGATGCGTCCACTTCCGCTTGCCTGATGTTCTTTCCCATCCCGAGCATCGTCGCAGCCAAAATCTCCGAGCGATATTTCCCACTGATCAGCTCTGCGGCACGCAGAAAGACTGCCGCTCGATCTTCAAAGGGAAGAGCCTCCCACGCAGGCTTGGCTGCCAGCGCGGCATCGATGGCGGCGTTGGTATCTTGCTCGGACGCCGAAGCATATTCGGCCACTTTTTCCGCATGTCGACACGGGTTGAGCTGTATGCTCTCAGTTGTGGAGTTGATCTGAGGAGATTTCTGAGGTGAGTACAATGCCATTTTTTTGTCATCTTGAGTTTCAGCCTTTCACTTACGACTTTACCGGAGACGGTAATGGGAATCTTTTGAGGCAGCTTCTGCTTCATCTGCTGCAGTGTACGCGTGAGATCTTCTCGCTCGGGCGAGCCTTTGGCGAATGATTTCTTTGGATGTCATTGTCAGTATGCGTTATGAAGTCTTACACACAGAGAGAGAGAGCCAATACGTACGACGGGCTCATTCTTGAATACGGGCAAGGTATAGCGCGAGATGCCAGCACGCTGCTGTGTCGATAATTGTATGAGCGGGCCTTTCCAGCTGCGAGCTGCTCGAGTGCTCTTCATCTTGAATCTTGACAAGATGCCAATGTCTGTGGTGGGTGTGATGAGTATGTTGATGAAGATGGTGGTGCAGAAAGACGGGTCAGAATTTATTGTCAACGTGATATCAAATGCTGGCAGCTACGGGTATCCATACCTTCAGGTGATACCGGTGGAAGGTAAGGTGATGACTAGTGGGGGTCTCGGTGTTGGATACCGACCCAAGTACACCTTTCGGAAGCCAAGTCCGCAGCATTCCAAGGGCAAGGGGGACTCATCATCCGCCCGGCATTCTGCCCGCCTATCTCTTCCACTCTGCCATTGACAATTGATAGAGAGATTGATACTGCCGCCGTCGGCCAACAATCATCACTGCATGGATTCATACAGAGTAAGCATGTTCGAATGGTGATGCTCTCAGACTACGACTGTATATCGAAAAGTGTGTACAACTTCGGAAGATACTCCGTAAAGAGGCACAAATAACATTACGCAGTCATGTCATCTCGTATACTGATAGATATATATATTTATCTTGTTCATAACTTCATCAAATAAATCATGCTACAGTCCACGGAATCGTAACCACAACTCTCGCTTCGACTCCACAAACCCATCTCTCAGCCGATCCGCCGAGCCTTGATTCTCCGCAGCCCTTCGCATGAGAAAATGTAAACACTCCCGCACCGAGCCCCAATTGACACATTTCATAATGCGAGGAGCCGCTTGCCTCTGCAGTTCTGCCGCTTCGCCCGAAAGCTCCTGTGCCGCCTTCTTCGCGTCTTCGACCTGTTGCAATAACATACCGCTGATGTGGTCGGCCATACCGTACAGCTGGCCGAATTCTAATGTGTCGGGCTTGTGGCCTTGCAGGACGAGAGTTTGGTGGAGTTGGGCTGCGCGGAAAATGGATTCGGCATTGTGTCCGGCGAGGAATGTGCGGACTTTGGGGAAGTGGTTGGGTTTGATGTCGTCGAATGATCGAGAGAGGAGGGAGTGTACGATGCCATTGTACGATGCATCCGTGTCGGCTTTCGTGTCGTGAATGCGAGAGCGGATGTCGTTCTGGATGTACGCGCCTCGGACGAGCTTGACGCCGAGTGCCCAGCCCTCTTGTTGGGCGAGCTGGAGATGATTTCGGAGAATGGCTCGCGTTGCTTTGAGGTATGCTTGGTAGGTGTTGAGCACTAATACTTCGCCATTCACATTGTACTGTCGCATCAGATCGACACTCCAGCGATCGATTGTGGTTTGGAAGACTTGTTGTTCGGCATCGAGGAAGATTCGAGTGCCTTGTGCTTGAGCGGCACGAAGAATGGTGTGAAGTGCATCTCTGAACTGCGGCGGAGGATCCTGGCCCTGTCGGAGCGCTTCCGCAATGCTGCTGCCAGCGCCCGTGTACCTTTCATACTTTGTCAACGAGAGAGTCATAGCGGAATGGGAATGGGAATGCATGTAGGTACTCACTTCAAGGCATAGTAATCATCCCGACCGACAAAGGACAGCCCTTTGAGGTTGCCATCGAGCCATGTTTGTATCTGCTCAGCAGAAGTAGCCACTTTCAAATCGGTCTCGGCCCGACCATGTGCAACAATCTCTCGAGCCCATTGCAGGATAACGCCAGCATAGCCTGCCTGCCTCAGTCGGTCGAGCACGGGCACAATCTCCTGTTTCTCGTTACCTCCACAGAATTGATTGTACACCACAGCTCGAAGAATGCTGCCCAAGGCAATGTTTCTGTCGGGATCAAGAAACGGACTTCGAGAATGAGCGATACGTCCTAGAATGTTCATTCCCAGGCTGGAGAGAGCTGGACTGGCGAAAAGCTTGCCTAGGAAGAATGTCCGGAGCAGAGCGGGCAATGGCAGACTCTTGAGAGGTCGTGGTGTCAATGTCGTCGTTGATGTGTTTTGAAGCGGTACCTCCACCGTGCTCCGACCCGTGACATCTCCATTACTGCTTTGTAGTGTGGTGTTCCTGTTACGGCCCTGCGTCGAAAGGGCACGCTCGAAGCACACTCGCACGGAGCGATGCGGAGTGGTGGGACTGCGGCCACTATAACACAGTCTTGGCTTCAGGCTCATGGTCAGTGGAATGGAAGTGAAGTGTGTGAAGAAGGTAGTGTGGGGGTATTATTGGTGCAGAAGGGGGGAGAGTATCTCTAAGGTAGCCCTGAGGATGTGTACTTGGGTCGGTGGTCTACAAGTCCCGTAGACGTGCACGGCAAGCGACGGCGCAGGGCTCTTTTGCCATTTTGGGAGACAGGGTCAGGCATAATGGAAGGTGGGAGGTACAGCCTACACGAGCTGGCTACACGCTCACAGTCCCGTCGGAGTTTGTGAGCTATCCAGGCCAGGAAATGCAGTAAGATAGGCCTCTCGGAGGTCCATCCGGCGTAGATTGTTGGTTTCCATGAAGCTCCAATTTGCCGTGTCACTCACTCACGGTCAAGAGCACTACCTCCTACATGTCTGGTGAATGTCGTTGCGGCAATGATATCATGAATGAATGTTACGGAGGATGGAGAGAGCTGAGGCGAGAGAGGTGAAGTGTTTGTAAAGGAAGGCTTGGCTAATTCTAGCGAGCCGTCTATTGTCTGTGCGTTCTTCTTCTCTTCTTGTTCTTCTTCTTCGGCTTCGGCTTCATCTCTTCTCTCCCTCCCTCATCCGATCCGTAAAGACTTCAGTCACGAGCAGTGATGCCCTGATGTGCTATCCGTGCCAGAGCCGTCATTGACCGAGATCTGGTGCCCATAAGAAGTCCAAGTGAAGCCATATCTGGTTAAGTTATACCTTAATGTATTCCATAGTCTCTCGGTGTCTACTGAGCCAGTTATCACCCGATACGTCAATGTACGATCTTATCATTGATGTCTTGGAATAGAAGAAAGCTTGACTATGCCGCACGCTCGCTTACACTCGGCCTCGAATCACGCACTGCCCTGTCCTGCCCACTTTCTACTGCTGATTGCTGATGATTCGACACGACATCGGCCACCGACACCAGCAAAGGAAACCCCGCCCCCACACACGGAATATCCATACTCGTGTTGCAAAGACTACCGCCAAGGCGACCAGGAACCGTAGAACGACGATTCTCACCATACATACCATCATCAGGCACGCCTCAACGGTCAATTGACAAAAATAATACTTCTCACCATGGACGACGACGATATTGTCGAGCCACCGGAAAAGAGACTGCGAGTTCCACGTAGGACTCCGCGAGCGTAAGTCTGGTCTTGTCGTACTGCAACACCGGATTTCTCGGACTGAGACACCGAGCGGGTACAGATGCAAGCAGTGCAGATCAGCCAAGATCAAGTGTTCGGGCACGGCGCCGTGTGCTCGCTGCGCTCGCCGAAGAGAGCATTGCGTGTTCCCATCCGATGAACCTCACGTCTCCGTTCCACAAACCTATCTGGAACATCTGGAACGTCGTGTGGCACAGCAGTCGAAATCTCGGCAGAGATCATCACCATCAGACTTCACCAATGCTTCCATCAGACCAGCGGAAGAGGCCCCCCAAGATGCTTCACGTGGCTTACTTGTCCTGGGTGCGTGGGACTCCTATCCGTCTTGCTTGCACACACATATCAGACATGGACAGACTCCAGACTGACAACCATCTCTAGCCGAAGCCTCGTCGACAGCCTCAGCCATTCGGCCTGTCGATGCTGCCAATCACTCAGACTCGGGAATCGTAACAGAAGAAGTCACTGACCATCTAGCATTCCACAACCCTTTGGTCAGCAAAAGTCTGCCATATGTGCGCGATGTCTGTGGCCGACCTCGTAAGCAATGAGACCTGCTTTCGAAGACGTATCGAGAGCTGACAGTGTACTATGCCAGGCTATCTTGGTCCTACGTCCACCTGGGCTTTTTGTCGACGTGCACTGTTCGTGCTGGGCCCTCACTCGCCTGGTGCCTTTGATAACTCTGCCGGCCTAAATAACGATGGCACAGCCTTTCGATTACGATGGGTCACGAAACCATCCGTCGAGCCGAGTGACTTGAACAACTTGCCTGCTGCCGACTATGCGCGCTACCTCTACGACTCTGTCAAGTTTCGACTGGGAGAGCTTTTCGGCATCGTGGATGAGGCGAACTTCATGTCTCATTTCGAGCTCTTCCATCGCCATCAGTGGCAGGTTGCGTCTACACAGCGGCTGTGGTTCGTCGAGTATCTCCTCATCCTGGCGTATGGGAAGGCTCTGCTGAGCCATCCCGACCGGTCTGCGGTGCCAGGGAGTGAGTTTGCAGCGCGTGCCATGGCTCTGCTACCGGATGCTGCGCAATTGCATGAAGATGGCCCGCTCGCCATTGAGGTGTTAGCCTTGGTCGCGTTGTACTTTCAGTCCATCGATATGCGTGTGACTGCCTACCAATATGTAAGTAAGCCCTTCTCATGCAACACTTGCGAAGAACACGACACTGACCACTGGCAGATCGGCCAAGCGTTGAGACTATGCTATGTCGAAGGCATTCATCTGCACATTCCCGACGACGTCATAAGCTCCGAATTCTCTCTGCGATGTAAAAAGGTCTTTTGGGTCACCTATGTGCTGGATAGAGAGCTGTCATCGTTAATGGGCGCAATCATGCCCGTCGCGGAGGAGAACATCACGGCCTTCATCGCACCAGATCGACAAACTTCGATCTTGGACAAAGCTTTGATGCTCCGAGTACGAATCTCTCGTCTGATTGCGACCACATGCACGAGTAAGGATACCTATTTGTTGTAAGTTCTTGATGATTACAGCACTCGCTGACACAGCCTCCTAGCCTTGTACAGCGTTGACGAACGCTTCGGGACATTCTTCGTGAAAAACACGACATGGATTCTGCATCGACTCGCCGAAGTGTCACACGAGATTGAGAATGTCATGAACGGGCTCAATCAGCCTTCCAAGTGTGAAATGCCCCATATGATCACGCGAATCATGCTCTCCTACCACCACGTAAGGTTATACACAACAAATGAGTAACAAGATCTGAGCAACACTTCCTAACACCTCCTCCACAGTGCATCGTCCTCGCCATCCGTCCCCTCGTCATGTGGCTCCTCATATCCAGTCTCCCTCCCGCCGCCTCCGCCCCGCAACAACTCGCAGCCCCCATCTCCGCCCTCCTCCACACCGCCGTCAACTCCGCCACCACGATGATCACCACCCTCAAAAATCTCACCGAACAAGGTCTCCTCGAGACCTTTTTGCCCTTCCAACTCGAATACGCCTTCTCCTCAGGCATGCTCCTGTCCATTCTCGGCTCCATTCTCCCCTCCTACATCTCCGACGACAACAACTGGAATCACACATTACATTTCATTCTCGATGAAATGACCAAAAAATCCAACGTGGTGGCTCCGTTGAGAAAATTCGAATTGCAGACTTTACATCGCTTGTTGGATCCTGTACGTACTCAGGAACCGCTGATTCTGCCGGGATTGCATGAGTCGGGATATTTCTCGGGTCAGAATGTTGCTGTTCCTCCTCCTCCTCCTAATAATAATAATAATACTTCTCCTACTGATCCCGAACATCATCACATCGCCGCTACTGCTGCTGCACCAACAACAACAACAACAACGACATCAACACTACCCAACAACAACAGTAATCCCCCACCAACGGAAACAAATCACAATAATAATCACAATAATCCCAATCTCTACATCTCATCATCATCCACAACAAGTACCTGGGATTCCACTTCCCTCTACGACCTAGTGGGAATCGGACCTTCTGCCCAGCCGGAATTAATGTTAGAGTTGGCTGCGCAGCTCGCAGAGGAAGATTTTGATCCTTCGCAGTTTTTGTTGGGGCCGGTTGAATAAAAGGGGCGAAGTAGGGTGGGTAGCTGGGATATGAGGAGGATATGAAGTATGATGATATATTAAGATATATTAATGTTATGTTTCTAGATGTACATGGGGGGAAAAAAGCTAGCTGCTGCTGCTGCTGCTGCTGATTAATTCTCGATAATCGCATTTTTATCTAATATTATATATGACCACTTTACCTTAACCTCACCTCATCTCATTTCTCCAACTCTATATATCAGACTTCTTGAACTGATTTCGAATTTTCCCGAGATCTCAGATTTTTTTTTCTCCCTACAGGGAGGGTGCGGAAGGAATAGCATCGCATAGTATGGTGGTATAGCATACTGTTAGCATACATAGCATACCGTTAGCAGACATCTAACCAACGCACAAATTCTTTTGGGGGTTGGGTTGGGTTGGTCTAACGACTTCATTGCTTTCTTTCTGGGAAGAGAATGGTGCTGGGCAAAAGATGTGGGCTTCGTCAAACGCACAAGGCGTTGAAGAGGAGGGCAAGAAAGGGCGACATGTTTGGGCGGAGTTTCAAGGCGTCGTCCTTGTTGTATATGCACTGCCAAAAGAGGCTTTGTCCTGCAAGGTTGGGAGAACTTCCCAGGTCAGGAGGAGGAGGAGGAGGAGGAGGAGGATGTGAAGAACAAGAGACTCATCATTTCATCTGAGCTAGCTGCGACTGCGCAGACCATTCTGTATGCTTTCGAGTTGTGTCCATGCCGTATGAATGCGGAGGAGACTGCCGCCGCTATTCCCAAGGGCAAAAGAAATTGCGAAAACGTATTCACACGCCCGTCTTCCGTCTTGCACACGTCTCAATCATTTCCATAAAAGCAACCTCTTCGTTGGAAACGCCCATAGAACACTTCATAGCACCTCGCGACTGGTGATTCCGTTCCGGACACCCGTGCCACCTCTGCTACTTGAGCTCCATCGTTACTCATTGAGCTTCATCTGCAGTGCGCCACTTGCGCAGCTCTCCGCAGAGTCAGTCTTGCACAACTGATTTCGATAGCACGCCTCATCCAATGCACTCTGGGAGCCCAAGGACTTGCAAGGATTCTAGCCTTCGCGCGTCGTGATTCTCTCCAGTCCCAGCCCGGGCCCACTCTCGTTCATCTTGTGCTCGTCCAGATGGTCAGCAGGGTTGACGTCCTTTTGCGTCCGATGACCAACGCCGTTGATCTCCTCCTGGGCAGGATGTTCGTTCCTCTCGTCTGCTTCGTTTCGCAGCTCATATGCCAGATCGAAGCACTCTGCGAGCAAAGCGGACACGGAGCCCTGGCCTTCAGGGATATCGTTACCAATCATGAACTTGCCATCCTTCTTCATGTTGTCGATGCTGTTCAGTTTCATGCTATACGGATACAGCTCGCGCGGAGAGTCGACGCCACCAGCCTTCTGGACCTCGATGAGGCAGCGCTTGAGAGTCTGTAGCTGGTTGTATATTGGCAGAAGGGCTTCTGAGACAGGCTCTGAAGTGATGATGTACTGGTAGATGAAAGCGTAGGACTTCCGCAGGAGGTAAAGCAATGATCGTTGCGCGTGAAGGTCAGCCGCGTTTCCATTGCCGTCAACGAAGTTGCCGTTAATCCTGCTCTCATCGATTCGGTCCAGCTGTCGTTGATAATCATAGAGATCAGTCTCACGCAGGGACCAGGCCTGGGTAAGCATCATGTGCTCGAGCGCATTCTTGATCTTGAGCAACTTGTCGAAAGTTTCCTTGAAGTTGGGATCGATGCTGCCTCTCTTTTCTTGAATGATCTCAACCCACAACAGGCACCGAGCAAGCAGGCTCTTGACGGTAGTCTCAGAGTCCTTGACGCCGGTTGGGCATTCCTGGATCAGTCGCAATCTCTCGGCATACACCTCCTGCGCTGTTTTGCCCTCATGCGGGTCGCGCTCAGCATGAAGCTGGTGTTGAATTTCCATCAATTGATTCTCAAAGTCCTTGACCTCCTTCTCCGGGAACTGACCTGTCTTAGCTTATACTCCCACAACGAACGCATTGTGACCAGGACTCACTCTCGACCTCGAGTTACACGCACTCAAGCTCCGCAAGATGCTCACCAACTTCTCATACGTTGCCATCATTTCCCCCTCCAACTGCGACAACGGCACCTTCAATTCTTCCAAAGTCTTCTTACACACCTCAATCCTCGCAGACAAAAGCGTTAGGATATGCTCCGAGTGTCCATGCTCCTCCCTGCCCTTCTTAATCGTCTGCTCCCACTTATTCAAATGCTCATCTATACTTTTCAAGTCGTACGCTAGATAAAAGCCGGCCTCCCTGAGGTGGTTCAACAGACGATCCACGGTACTTACGCAAGAATAGATGGCTGGAGCCTCGCGATTGCGACCTATGGTCAGGAAGAAGAGCGATATGAGGCGGAAACAGTCATCCAAGACGGTGTCCACTCGGTTCAGATCTCGGCGCTTGTCCTGGTCCTGGCGTATGCGATTGAGCAGCTCAACTTGTTCGATGAGCTGGTCGTAGTATTTCTGGACATCGACCGACTTGACGTATGTCGAGCGGTCGCTCTTCATCAGCGACAAATGGTCGCGAATGATGAGCACGCGATCGAGGATGGGCTGTTCTTTGGGGTCCAGCGGAATGCGCTGGTACGGTGAGTCGGTCATGGCGGGCGCTGTCTGTCGGACAGGGTCTGTGGTGATAATGTTGCTGTCACCGGCGTGGGAGAAGTGAAGAGGGAGGGTGGTAGTCGCGGTGGTGGCGGTGAGGGTGGTGATAGTGGCGAGATGTTGTGCTTCATAGTACAACGTAAGCAACGCAAACCCGACGCCGAATGGTCGAGATGAGGGCAAGCGTCAGTGGAACTATCGGACGTCTGTCTGCAAGCGAGTGCGGGGAGATTGAAAGCCTGAGGCACTCAGTGCCAAGCGTCTACCGCGACCATGGCGGCCGGGGGTCACAGGTACAGGTGCCTCCTACTTTGTCTCTTGGATGGCAGTACTTTGTCTCTTGGAAATTTCTTTGGAGTAGATTAGTACCGAAACTGACTCCCGAATACATGTACAGCGCAGCAATCGTATCGGTCATGTGCTGGATCAAACACGTGGCTTGTCAGCCTCTGCCGCGACCTCATCCGCCTGGACTGACAACATCGCCGTGTGCTGGTCACGAGCGTTGGTCCGTAGCAGTGTAAGGTTGGACTGGCGCTGCAGTGACTGCACTTCCCACTGTATGCGCACTGCCTGCCTACCTGCCACTCCTCCTCCTTCTCCTCCTTCTCCTCTTCATCCTCCTCCCACCCTCCGTCCTTCCCCTATAACTCCTCGCCTCTCTGCAACAATCTCAGAACTGAACCCTCTCCTTCCCTCCTCTCACCGATCCTTGTGGTGCATGTAATTATCGTAGTGATGAAGGAATATGCTCGAAATCATGCGCACAATATTCATAGTTTCCCTTGACCTGCGTGGATGAAATACTGACCGTACTCGAAGTCATGTGCGATGTAGTGCTAACTCAGCGACACAAATCGCTCCGCTCGCAGATATGATCGACTGAAGTCTCGAGGCTGCAGATGCAGTGGCTAAGGCTAAACCAAACGTATTCGGCCTGTTTGGCGATGGCGATGCGGCTATAGCTGCTACAGATGACGCGCTTGTTAGTTTTGAAGTTGAGCAAGATACATACTAGAGAGGGAAGACATCCAACGCTGGGTCACGTTACAGCAGTCAGTCTCAGATTGGCTGCGAGAAGCGGCTCATCCCGTCGATGTGGGGAATGTCCATCAGAGCGCCAAGATTCGCGCACCAGAAAACTCTCACTCACTCGCACACTCTTCGCTTCGTCACCCACCAGCAGAAGACCTTCGCAGAACCAACTGTTGTAGGCAGCACCCGAAATCTTTCACAATGTCTACCTCTGAGCTCGCTGTTTCATACGCCGCCCTCATCCTCGCCGATGAGGGTCTGGAGATTACCGTACGTCCACATCCCAATCATGCGACATTTCTCAAATGCGCTGGCGCAGCCTCCTCCCGAAAGAAAGGCACCAACTAACTCCTTCTCACCCAACAGGCCGACAAGCTCCAATCTCTCATCTCCGCCGCCAAAGTTCCTGACGTCGAGCCCATCTGGACCACCCTCTTCGCCAAGGCCCTCGAGGGTAAGGATGTCAAGGACCTCCTGACCAACGTTGGATCCGGTGGTGGTGCCGCCCCAGCTGCTGCTGGTGGTGCCGCTCCTGCCGCAGGTGGTGACGCTGCTGCTGCCGATGCTCCAGCTGAGAAGGCCAAGGAGGAGGGTAAGTTTTTTCGTCCTGCAAATTTTCCGAGGTTTTTCTGGAGTTGATATACTGATTGCGATTTGTTACAGAGAAGGAGGAGTCCGACGACGACATGGGCTTCGGTCTCTTCGACTAAGCGGGTCGCTTCAGTCTCGCCGACGAAGATTCGGGAATGCAATCAATCTCGTTCAGCGAAAGGCACGCGAGTTGGTCTGGCGAGTGCAGGGCAGGGGACTTGGACAACAGCAGTGCCTTTACTGGTATCTGTTGCTCAGACATGCAAGGATGCCAAGCGATGGGATATATTGTGCGGAGGAAATGTTCACTCCAGTGCACGTCGTGTGCGTGTCACGTGGATATGAGTACCTATACAATTATGCGCAAGCCCAATCCTGCTGCAAGCCAGCACCCGTGCTTCTGCCTATTTTCTTTGAATGCTTTCAAGTTCGTCTTGTCGTTTTCTATATGACGATCGTTGGTCAACTTCAGTCCATTGAGACCCTTCTGGTCCAGTTGACGGAAGCAATCTGCACTACATGTATTCTACGGCGGACAAGCATAGGTAGGGATGCAATTTTGGAAACTTGATCCTAGATGCATTTCGATTGTCACGGTCAGCACGGAGAGAACATGAGAGGCTGGCAACGACTTTTCTCTATATCAATATTTTACATCCGAGTCGCTCTGTTTGGTCATTTCTTTTCCCGAATGCCTCATTACGCCATACGATGCCGTAGTCGGTACACTTCAATGCTTGGGGTATCGTAATCTTTCATGACTCATGAACTCGTCTATCTTACATGCCGTTGCTTCTTGCCTTCAAATAGCAGTTCGAACAACGCTCGAGGCCCTGTTCGACAACCTCTTGCCCGCATTCGTCGCACATGGTCCTCACTTATGGCTCATTGCTGCCAGGTAATAAGTGGGTAGCGGCGCAGCAGGGGCCATTCTCCTTCCTTGCGTAGCTGGCGGGATGTTCGTGGGCATCGGAGGCACTGGCGGGAAGCCATACTCTGGAGTGCTGATTGCCGTGGTAGGTGTTGGTGGTACAGTAGCCTGCGCTGCAGGGCCTAAAGCGGCGCCAAGTGGAGTGACTGGCACGTGTGGATTGATAGAAGATGCCGTCTGCTGCGCCAGCGCAGTATTCAGTGGTGGTGGAAAGCCGATACCCGCGGACGGCGGTGGTCGATTCGATGGAGGGGACACAGTCCGCGCGACATGTCTGACTTCTCTACAGGCAGCGTGGACGGGCTTGAGGTAATGCTTGATGTTCCCAATGTCCAGACCTTCACGCGCAATAGTCATAATCTCCTCGGCGAAGTCCGCCCAGTCCTGACAAAAGTTAACCCACTGAGGGAAGACGTCAAGGGCAACGGTCGGCTGCTTCGTATGACTCACCTTGGTGAACTGTTCCGCCATCTGTTTAAACTCCAGTTGGTAACGCGCAGGATCGCCGACATGCATCACTTTCAAGCGCGAAAGCAGCTTGTTGTTGGTAGCAATCGCAAAGTCGCACTTGTGAATAGCATTGCCATAAAGACTGGCCATGCGAAGATTGCCAGCACGATCTTCGACTGACTTTCGTGAGTGGAGGTCAGCACGAACTGGTGGGAGTGTTGTAGAAGCGACATCGCAGCAGGCTTTGAGTCTGAGGTACAATCGGTCTGCCGTGTCCTCTGCATCACTTTCGGTCACGCTGCGCATGGTGTTGCTGCGCGATTGGCGGCGACTGTGCGCCATCGAGGACAACTCTGAGAATGATTGGTTCCAGCGAGGAGTGACCGGGCCTCCAAAAGAGTTGACAGTATGACTTCGGCTTGAAGAAGTGTGAAGAGGCACCGGGGGCGCCATTCCGCGTAGGTTCGTAACACTACTCGAACTTGGGAGAATGGTTGCGCCTCGGCGGCGAGTTCCGACGGGTGCCTTTGGTTGGGTTGGTGTAACGGTGCGGCTACTGTATGCTTGAGATGCTCGCAGCGTGTCTCGTGGGTTGGCCGCGACAGTCTTGAAGCCCAATAGTTGGCAGACGTTGCGTGCTTCCACCATCGTGCTGTACACCGAAGTGATGACTTGTCGTACATGAAAGGCATCGACACGCTTCACGCATTGCTGGCGATTACGATTGAGCTCCTTGGCGACGAAGACGTAAGACCGCAGTGCAAGAATGGCGGTGCGCACAATGGCCATCATCATGGGGCCGTCGACTTCCATGTTATCCTCCATGACGTTGTTTGCCTTGTGTATCAGTCGGTCCAGCTCTTCCACCTTCACGTTGGCGGTTGCCAGTTGGACTTCAAGCGTGGAGCGACGTGGAGTGCCAGTGCCGAGTTGTTGGGCAATATCGGCCAGCGGTCGGTGGAGGTAGAAGAGAATGAAAAGAACTCGCTTCACGGCCTTGATGGAGTTCATAGTTGGCACCGTAGAATTCCGGCTCTCGGGAAGGCTTGACAGCTTGCGCGAAAGGACGGCCCTATTGACAGGGCCATCGGTCGGGCTGACTGCGCCAGACGAGCTCTCACCGCCACTAACGTTGAGGAAACCCGAATTGACGCTGGGAGCACGAGAATGGGGCGGAGTCAGTGCAGACGCGTGATTGGAACGAGCCATACGGTTTGACATCTCGTCGAGGGAGTTGAGATTCGTGTGCTTGTGCGGCACATATCCTTGGCGACGGTTCCGAATGTTTGCAGGAGTGGCCAAGGACTCACTCCTGGTCCGGCTAGCATCCAGGCCAGTGGTGAGAAGGGGCGAGACACCCGGTCGCTTAATGATAGTGGGATTCATGCTTGATGAGGGGCCCCGCGCATGTGATCGCATGGGTATTGGCGGAGGAGCACTCGGGGGAGAGTCCGATTTGGCCAGACCTTCGACATTTTCGATTCCACTCACGCTGGGCCGAACAGGAAAGCGACCGCCAGTCACGACTCTTCGTGGAGGACGGGGCGTCTCCGCGTTGCTTCTGAATGTCAACGAGGCTCTGCGTGAAGGTGGTTGGGAGGGTGAGCGATACCTCAAGTCCTCCGAGTCCGTCAGCAGTCGCTCTCGCAGAGCAGCAGCCTTCATAAATCGTTTGACTTGCTGGCACATGTCTTTGTCCTTTTCCGACTCGACCACATTGCTGTCCATATTTGGCTTGAAGACATCCGGCGGTGGAAATTCAATAGGATTCTCGTCAAACTTAAGCTTCACCAAATTCATCTCGCCCAGCGCCAGAGGCAGTCTCTTGATGTTATTGCGGGCAACCGCCAGGAACTTGAGATTCGTCATCTTCTTGATGTCCTCCGGGATCGCGTCGATGGCATTCTTGCTGATGTCCAGGATCTCCAGCTTGGGCAGTGAAAGCACCTGTGTCACGTCAGCCTTCCCGCCGCTCCGCCCCCATAGCCTGTCCATCGTACCGCGTCGGGGAACGTCTTCAGTTTGTTCCATCGGAGGTTCAGATACCGCAGTCTGTCGCACTGCGCGATCGCGGTGGGCAGCTGGATGTTGCGGTTGTGCGAAAGCGCCAGTCTAGTCCCTGTCAGCCTGCATTGTCCGGGTGTTTTTTGGGGGTTACCCTCTTGTTCTGCGGACGCACCTCTCGACGCGATCTTTGATCAGCAGTACCACCTCAGCCGGGAGTACGCTGATGTTCCTGTGACTCAAATCCAACGTGGATCCCGTCTGCTGATCCGTGGGCAGCTCACTGGCACTCAATGCCGCCGCCTTGGCCTCGCGCTCTTGTTCATCGTCGAGCTCCTTTGTCACAAACTCCACCAACTGTGCGCTCGTCATTGGTGCTCGAGCGGCACTGGTCTCCGAGTCGGCCATTGTGACATGGTCGATGAGAGGGGCCAAAGGAAGGTATCGCGGCTGGCTCGGTCGATGGTCGAAGCGTGAGGAAGAGGAGGAGTTGTCGAAGCCGCCGTGAGCTTTGGACAAGGCCATGGCGCCGATCATGCAGGAACCGTCGGCTGTTCTTGCCGCCGACGGCAGGCAACGACAGGGCTTAGGTGAAGGGATTCGGGACGGCGTACGGACGCGAATTAGTATGATGACTACCTCCTGATACCGCGTCAACGACCGACACGTCGTCTCTCGGGGGCACTCTCGCGTTGGTGGCAGCAAAGGACATTCATTGTTGGATGTCAGTGTAGCTCGGTGCCTAAGAACGCTAGTTTGACTGCCAGCAGACAACGCGGTTACACGATTGTTATTATTGACTTGTTATTGACTGCTTATCCACGTGCGCGCGAGTCGTTACAACTGGTACGCCTGGTGCAGAGCGGCCCGTCCAGGAGGCAAACCTAGAAATAGTTCTAGACAAGTTTCACACCAAGCATGCCCGCCGCCTTAAGTTCAGCACAGGTGATGCCGTGATGGCTTCATGATTGCACGGCGCCTATGCAGCAGCGCCCAAGCTGCGCGGGCACGGGTAGCAGCACCACCAACACCATTACCACCACCACCACCAACATCACAACTACTCCAACCAGTGACCTGGCGGCGATGGCAGTCCGGCCCCTCACTGGACACGCTCCAACGACCAGTACAGTCATACCTTTCCACATCGCATGACCCGTACTTGAACCTATCCATTGAGCACCACTTGCTCCAGAAAAGCCCACCGGAGTCGGCCGTCCTGTTCCTGTATGTCAACCGGCCTAGCATTATCATCGGCCGGAACCAGAACCCATGGTTGGAGGTCAACCTTGCCCTTCTCAACGTGTCACGAGACCAGGCGGAGACCGAACCTCCAGGTCTAGGTGCAGTAGATCTTGTACGGCGACGAAGCGGCGGTGGTACCGTCTTTCACGATGAAGGCAACATCAACTGGACTGTGATATGTCCAGCCGCCGACTTCACTCGCGATAAACATGCGGAAATGGTGGTGCGAGCGCTTAGGAGCTGTGGCGTGGAGAGAGCCAGGGTCAACGCCCGCCACGACGTTGTCCTGGACCAAGGCAAACGTGGGACTCCCACGGATCCAAACGACACCCATAGCACACCGTATGAGGCCACAGATTTTGATACACCACGGTCTTTGAAGGTATCAGGGTCGGCATACAAGCTGACCAGGAATCGAGCTTTGCATCACGGAACGTGTCTGTTGAACAGCCCGAATCTACATGTGATCCCTGACTATCTTCACTCGCCAGCGAAGCCATACATCACGGCGAGAGGCGTGGAGAGTGTGAGTTCACCGGTGGGCAATATTTTGTTGCGCAACGAAGACTTTATCAAGTCTGTGCAAGAGCACTTCTGCCAGCAGTACAGCCACAGTCCGGAAGTGGTTGAAGTCGGAAGTGAGTGGCTGGAGGATGCTACGGTGCTCCAAGGTCATAATGAGCTGAAATCTCAGGAATGGACCTACCTACAGACACCACAATGGTCCATCGACAGCAAGGATGAAGCTATTCCCGACGCCAAGCTGCACATGTCAGTGAGACACGGTGCGATTGAGACTGCATCACTTGAAACGCGGGGCCAGGTCCAGGACATCAGCGAGAAGCTTGTCGGTCTCAAAGTGCACGAAACTTCAGACTGGGAACAAAGGATGAAACCCGCACTGCACGATACTGGTTTGGATGTTCCCCAGCAGGCAATGCTCGGGCGATGGCTCAACAAGATGTTGCCCCAGTCAGGTTAAATCACGCGTATTGTAGGAAAAGGTCGGAACATGTCAACAAGGCATCGAAACCATATGTCAAAGGAGGTAGGATACGATGTTCCAGGTAGTGCACACAATGAATATTCAATTGATAAAGAAGAACACCTCTTCAACACCAGCGCTTTGCACCAGTGAGAGGTATAAGTAAGGTACATAGTGAATAAAACATCGCATTACATTGTATGCCAAGCTTAATCACTTCATATTCAACAACCTCATCCCAAACAGCTGTCATACATGATCTCACCATACATCAACGAAACACCAACATCGGGATACCTTACCTTACCTTATCTTGTCTCATGCACCTCACCTCACCTTACCCCATGTACCTCATGTACCTCATGCACTTCATGTACCTAAGTATATATAATACCTACACAATATACGCTATACATCCCGAACAGCCCAACACTAGCTCAACGTTGCATTCCCAAGAATAGCACACACACACACACACACACATACAGTTCATGCATGCATGTATGCAGCCTTTTGTAAAAAAAAAGATACGGAACGGCCCCCAACTCAGGAATCTATGTAAGGTAGGTAAATTTGGTGAATTCGTTGCAAGTTGGAGGAACGACTGTGGTATGTGTTCCTAAGGTAGATAATCTATAGCTTGATTTGGTTATCTGGAAGCGATATCAGTGAGTTGGCAACCCATACGTTGGACCGACTTGCCTTTGGTTTGCGCGACTAAGGTACTTTCAGCGGGGAGAACAGGGCTGAGTCTTGTACTATAGATGAATCGGGCCAAGACTGGTAGTTCTGCGAGTTACTGACAGGCCTTTACTAGCACAACGTGATGATCGAGCATGCAATGATGATACCTCTAGTGGATGGTATGGTGCGAGGCTTTGAAATGTATAGACAGATGTAGGCACTGTTGATACGTGAAAATGTGCTAGGAATAGCGTCTTGTGAACATCCCCCATGAGTATCAGGCGGTGTGCAGACTGGCAGGGCCACGGTATAGTCATCCAGTCTTTTTCGTAATGTAGGAGTATTGTCCACGCGAGTCTGAGCAGGGTCCATCTGCTCGTTGGCCATCTGCTCGAGAGGCTATACTGGCACCGGAAAATAAGCACACCGGAGCAAGACTGTCCTGGAATGTCCACGTTGCGTGCAGGGTGAAAGCAACCCCGGTGAACCACGATCGATTCACCCGAGCGTAGCCATATACGGGAATGATACCCGAAAGATACGATCGATACTGGCAGTAGACTCGGTCGTGTATCTGATGTATAGTAACAGCAGGGAGCGTTTCGGCGATAGGCCTGATGGGGCGCAAGTACGGTCAAAGGTACATCAAATACGAGCTAATAGAGCATGGATACAATGCTCATGGTGAGGGCGACGCTGCAGAACGCTGCGCTCGCCGTAGACCCAAGGTTATATCCCAGAGCGCCTCTCGCATTGTATCAAATGGCAGTCATCGGGATATCGAGGATATATATGGACTCCTCTCGATGACTTGCCATTCTCGCGATCATCTCGGGGTAATGCTCCGCGAACCCAGCTCTTTCTGACCACCAGCCACCCTCTCAGTCGGTCGCGGAGCGATGCTGGGATAAACTGCACAACTGTGTCCAAAATTTTTGTCTGCCAAAAGCGAAACTGCTGAACCACGGGCACCGAAGTGCGTCAAATTTCAGCAGAATTATAAAAGGCGATAGTTCGTTCTGAGCCACACAGGAATATACATTCACCCAATGTTTGTGATGGTGATATAAGGGTCTATCGCATGAGATGTTAGTTATTGTGGTATAATGAGAGCGAGAGATGGGACTGTGATGATGGGGGTAAGGGAGGTACTCACATAGGGGCTCTTATCAACTTGAAGAAGAAAAGGAAGAAGAGTGTGGGCAAGCAGAAATTGGAGAAGGATACTATTCTCCACGGGATGGGCCGTCTTGGCTCTCACAGAGCTCAGCTGCTTCTGGAGACTGGCGGCCCCGAAGAATCAAGATCGAGGTTGCCCCGGATCTTGCCCGATCTCAACATCACTCACCGGGGGGCAAGACGCCCTTCGTAACCTCTGCCGCCTGCATTGGCTTGCATACCTTACCATACCTCTAGTAGGTACCCTTAGCCAAAATTGCCTATGCCTGATCAAGTCTGGCAATATATTCACTCTGAGTACCCCTATCCCGTTTCCCCTCCAACACCTTAGTTTCTCCTCCAATACACAATTCTCTTCCAGTTGCCCCGAAATTCCCCAAAATGTCAAACATACCGCCCAAAGTCATTTCTCATCTTATCCAAGAAGCAAACCAAGATCCCCAACTCCCCCGTGAAAATCCCACAGAAGCCTTTTGGCAACTTCCCCCATCGCCACTTTCCACTCACCAATCCCCAGCACTCCCTGCTCAAACTACCTATGCCATCATCGGCTCAGGCGTAACCGGCTGCAGCGTAGCGAAAACCCTCCTGGAAAACCTCCCATCAGACTCTCAAGCCACCGTCACAGTCCTCGAAGCGCGGTCCCTTTCAAGCGGAGCAACAGGGAGAAATGGCGGACATTTGGTTTCGCCCCTGCCTGAGGAGTTTACGAGTTTCGAGAAATATCTGGGTAAAGAAGAGACTACCAAGGTGGCGAGGTTTGCAAATCGAACGCTCGAATCCATGTATGCTTTGGCGGAGGAGGACGAGGAGTTGAGTAGAGTTTCTGAGGCGAGGAGGGTCAAATCTGTGTGCGCGATATACGACCAGGAGTTATTCGAGGAGACGAAAAAATCTGTGCTACGGTATGAGGAGTGTTTGCCGGAGCAGAAAGGTGATAATGAGTTTTTTGGGCCGGATGAGGCGAGGGATGTAAGTCTTCTTTTTTTTTCTCTTTCCTTTCCTCTTTTCCCCATATATTCGGCTACAAGTGTAATATTTACATGCGGCTCACGTTCATAGCAAACGGAATGCTAACCCAATATCAACTCCCTCAGAAGTGGAACATGAAAGATGCTGTGGGCGTAATAACCAACAGCGCCGGCGCCTTCTGGCCCTACAGACTCATCACAGGCCTCTTCTCGCGCCTCTTATCCAGATACCCAACACGCTTCTTCCTCGAAACCCAAACTCCAGTCACCAGCATCTCTCCGACTGCCTCGTCCAACCCAGAATACCCCTACACCCTCCACACCCCTCGCGGTCCCCTCCTCGCCACCAACATCATCCACTGCACAAACGGCTACACCTCGCACCTCCTCCCCTCCCTCCGCGGCAAAATCTGGCCTTTGCGAGGTACCATGTCCGTCCAAACCCCTGCTCCCTCTTTTCCCAAAGATATCAACAACCCCAACAAAACCACCTCTTTCCTCAAATCCTGGAGCACCCTCACCAAATCCCACTACGACGCCTCCACAGGCCAGTTCGAATACGGTTTGTATTACGTGACGCAAAACGCCCACTCGGGAGATTTGTTCGTCGGAGGGGAAAGGCAATTGTTGGAAAACGAATTGTTGACGTCGGATGATACGCAGACGAGTGCGATTTCGGAGGCGACTTTGCGGAGTGTGTTGGGGAGAATTTATGAAAAGGGTGGTGGTGGTGGGGAACAGGAACAAGAACAAGAACAGGTGGTGGTGAAGAGTCTCTGGAGTGGCATCATGGGCTTCACGCCGGATCATGTTCCGTGGGTAGGGAAATTACCGGAGTCTGTGGCGTCGCATCATGGGCATTATTTGAGTGCTGCTCCTACTAGTCCTACTACTATTACCACTAATGGTAGTGCTAATGGTAGTGCTAATGGTAGTGCTAATGGTAGTGCTAATGGTAGTGCTCCTGGTGCTCCTGGTGAAAAGGGAGGAGAATACATCGCAGCAGGATTCAACGGATACGGTATGCCGCTCTGTTGGGGTTGTGGAGAGGCCGTGGCGAAAATGTTATTAGGCCAACAAGATGAAATTTCAGAATGGTTTCCTGGGAGTTTTATGATTACGGAGCAGAGATTGGCGAGTCCGTGGACGAGTACTGAGGCGGGAATTTATAACATGTTGGTTCAGGAACCGCCTTTGTCTGTGCGTGAGAGGCTTGCAAGCTGCCGTGAAGAGTTGAGTTGAGTTGGGGATGGGAGGAGGAGGAGGAGGAGGAGGAGGAGGAGGAGAGAGAGTGGAGCGGGGTTTTTTCGGGCATAAGGTAGATGATAGATAGATAGGGGGTAGAGGGAACGAAAAATCCTAGAGGACAGCGTGAAAGGTAGATTTAAGAGGTGTCCTTGTCGTGAATCACCTACATTAGGTATAGATAACATGATTAGAGCTCTTTCTCCTCTAGACTGGAGATTACATTCTTGCTCGATGGGCTTGAGTCACGTTTCTGCAAAACTGCAAATCATAGAGCTGGCACGTTACCTTTTTTCCGAGTTACCTACCTTACTCTTCTTGTACTCTTAGCCCATGGGTAGGTTGGCCTGTACTGGCTACCTTTAGGTTTTCAGCCAGATCGATATAGGATGAGGTCTGCGTATGGTTTGCATGAAGCTGCACGTGTTCTGCTTCAATGTTTCTATAAGAAAAAAAAAATGTTTCCGGGGTATGTAGGTAGGCAAGACGAGAAAACGACAGAAACCCTGTATGTTCGTGACCGCATAGGTACCTAGGTTTTACTTCACGAATTGAAGACCTCCCGTGCTTTCCATATGCTTTAGATGCACTCTACGTGTGGTATGCTCGCTCGAATCTTGACGACAACACTTGTCTACGAAGTTGTCGGGCTTCTCGTCACTCCCCGGGCGGGGGTATCAGTACAAGTCGTGCCTTATATTGCTAGGTTCGCCTGACGAGGAAAAGGGCAACGAATACAGCGATGCCAAATGCAATTTCGGACGGAATACCGGTTGCTCAGAATGGGTGGAATCTGTCGCCAAGGCATATAGCGGATTTGAAATGCTGGTAGCTTGCTTGAGAGAGATCCTGTTTTCAGGCACATTGGTTGATGAGAGGATAATGGCAATGGAGGGTGCGCGTAATGAGTGCTTTTCATAAGGCCGCTGTCGAGATGCGGACCACCTCATCGCAGGATGAGGCCATGTCTCGTGTCCGCTCTGTGGAGCAGCCGTTCGCATCGTTGCACTTGAGTCCATGCCAATTTGTCGAGCCCACCGCAAGGCGTTTGGCGCGAGAATCGTTCCTGGCAGATATCACGCAGCTGTCTGCGACAAGCCAACAATCGCACATCGGTGTCATTGCCATTTTGCCTTCTTCCTCCGTGCCCACTCACGGTCCGCGGCAGCTCTCGAGACGTGGCTGTATGGGATTGAGAGAAAGGCTCGCGTGTGGCAGTCATCGCAGCCCATCCACCCTCCCCTATCCCCGTCACCCACCATCCCGACTCTTAAGTGAATATGCTCAAAACCCAAAAGTCCTCGCAATCCTCATCTTCACACCCTCCCAGCTGTTCACCTTGGGCCTCACATCCAGGAAGAAACTCAACGGCACACCCATGCCCTCAGCATCCCTCCCCTTGTAGAAATCGATCACGTATTCCACCTTCTTCCCACATCTCTCCACCACCCAATCATGGCGATCAAAGGGTGCGGAATAGCCCATCACCCACATATTCCAATACGCCTTGGGCGTCTTCTTCTTACTATCCCCAGCAAAAGAGAGCAGTTTCGGTCCTCCACACCTTTCCGCACCCCAGCCTTTTTCCCATTCTAGTATCTGGGTCCAGGCGCGCTCGTTGACGGCGTTGTGGATGGGTACGATGGACGACATGTCTTGTGGATTGGCGACATGGCCTTTGCGTTTCATGGCATCGAAGAATTGCGATTGGGAGGGGTAGATCCAGTTTCCCGAGGAGGAGTCGTGACCAGTTTCGACTTCATTGTTGCGAGGAGGGGTTGGTAAGGCGGCTTTCTCGGCGGAGTTGAGGGTGGAAGGGTCGCTCACGACGGCGCGGGGAATGGAGGAGATCTCGCGGTCGGTGGGGAGAGGGCGGAGTTTGCGAGCATTCGGAGGAGCTTCAGATGACTGCCAGGTGAAGGTGTCGAGGGAGAAGCGGGTTGGTGGTGGTGGTGGTGGTGTCGTAGATGTTGATGGTGTTGATGTAGGCGTTGGCTTGTTCTTGTTCGCCTTTGCTGCTTGAAGCCATGCTTCTCGTGTTCGATGGTCTACCGGGCATTTTTCCTCGGCATCTCCCCCATCGGACCGCATTGTGTTGTATAGTGATTCGCTGATAGTGGTCGGGGAGAAGGAGGAGGATGTTTGATGATTATAGGTACATGTATAAGGTAAATACCTTAGGTACAAAAAGTCCCGGATCATCGTCATCACCGAGCAAGGATATCATGTCCGTACGCTAAGATTGTTTCCCTGCAGGAAAGCTAAGACTAGCAATTGTAGTCTAGGACCCCCACAACAGTCGAGGTCGAACCATTTCCATAATCCAGACAATAAAATCGAAAGGCACTGCTTTTGTTTTTTGTTTCCCCCTCAAGCTCCCTCTCTAAACCCCACTCGATACCACATATACACATTACGATCGATATCATGGCGGCAGATATGGGCAGCGAGGTGTACCGGGCGTCGACATTTGCACCAGTCAACATTGCTGTTATCAAGTATGTCTAACAACAATAATAGCACGAAACAAACAAACGCATACTGACTCGGACTCGCTCCCTTTTCACAGATATTGGGGAAAACGGGATACCAAGCTCAACCTCCCTACCAATGGCTCCATCTCCGTTACGCTGTCCCAGGACGATCTCCGCACACACACCACCGCCGCCTGCAGCCCCGCCCTGACCGAGGACAGCCTCACGCTGAACAATGCCGTCCAGGACATTTCCGGTGCGCGAATGCAAGCATGTTTGCGCGAGCTGCGATCACTGCGAAAAGCGGTCGAGGACGCCGACTCGGCGCTGCCTAAGCTGTCGGAGCTGAAGCTGAAGATTGTCAGTGAGAACAACTTCCCTACTGCTGCGGGCCTGGCCTCCTCTGCTGCTGGATTCGCTGCCCTCGTTCGGGCCATTGCCAACCTGTATCAGCTGCCCACTACGCCCACCGATCTCTCCCGCATCGCCCGACAAGGCTCGGGCTCGGCATGTCGCAGCTTGATGGGCGGATACGTTGCCTGGCAGAAAGGAGAGGAGGCAGATGGCAGCGACAGCTTCGCGTATGAAGTCTCCCCGGCCTCCCATTGGCCTGACATGCGAGCTATCATCCTCGTAGCAAGCGCCGAGAAGAAGGATGTCAGTTCGACGGCCGGCATGCAGCAGACTGTTGCCAGCTCGGCTCTGTTCCAGCATCGAGCAGACGAGGTGGTACCCAAGAGAATGAAGGCTATGGAAAAGGCCATTCACAACAGGGACTTTGAGGGCTTCGCCAAGTTGACCACAAAGGACTCGAACAACTTCCATGCCACCTGCCTCGACACCGATCCACCCATCTTCTACATGAACGACACGAGCCGAGCTGCTGTACGTGTATGTGAGTACATCAATGCCAGTCATCCAGAAGGGAAGCAGTACTGTGCGTATACGTTCGACGCCGGCCCAAACGCCGTGGTTTACTACCTCGCCGAACACGAGGCTGTTGTGGCTGGTACATTTAAGAGCATTGTCGGGGACAAGACGGGGTGGGAAGGCGCAAGGGGGCAGAAAATTGAGGCCACGGGAGCTTCTCTTCCTGATGGTGCCGAAGTGGCCGCTGAGAAGCTCAAGAGCGGAACATCGAGGGTCATCTTGACCAGTGTGGGAGATGGGCCTCGCAAGACTGATCAGCATCTGGTATAATGTTCGACGCCCGTGCTTGGAAGATATCCCGGCCATTCTATGTGGATGGTCAAATCGCACGAATCCTCGCTTTCCGCGCGATTTGGAGAACGAAAGGCGCAGCGCAGCCACTTCTCAATTCATTCCCCTCCCTGTCCGATCGTCTCATATCGGTTCTGATCTGGTTGAAATGTGACAATCTGATCCCACCTCACTCGGCAAAGTTGGCTGATATCACTCCACACCACTTCGTAGGCAAACCACTCTGATCTCGTGAAAAATCAAAAAGGTTTTCAAATCTCAGGCGGATCAATCGCGAAGCAATATGTGAGTGAATGGATATGGAAACAACCCCCCCAACCTTCAGAAGTTTCGGGAAGTGTCACCCATATCCTTTGAGTATCGTCGAGAAGGATCAGGAGAGAGCTTGTATGAAACTGATTGTCCTAAAGACCGACAACGCTGCAAACGTACATCTAGCAAGCACGCAAGCAAACCAGCAGGTCGTGTAGTACTTAGCTGTCATTAATAGGCCTCAATCCCAGCTGAAATTCCGACCAAAACAGGAGCACAGTCTTCATCACATTCACCACCTCAACAATACCAGTCTACGATTACCTTATATCTTTATATCCCAAACCTCACAGCTCTACGCACTATACGCATTCCCCAAAACACATATCGGGCACCGAGCCCAACCAACCTTCGCCACTGTAGCGCAGCCGCACACGAGTGTCCGCCCGGCCTCGCTCTTACCAGATTCCTTCAAATCACGACTAGGACGTGGCCCCGCGCATTTTCGATATACTTACAACCTACACCGCATATATGAGAAAAAAGAAGAGATTCCCAAGAAGTATAAATATCAAAGACAAAGAAACCTTAAGAATTTGCTTTTTTGTTTTGCTCCAGAATTTGACTTTTTCCTCTCTCGCTCGAATTCTCTCTTCGCGCCCAACAGGACCTTCTAGCGCTCCAGAAGCGCACTATTTTTTCCCCTCTTGCTCGAATACTCTCTCAGCCCCAAACAGGACCTCGACATGGACACAAACAAAAGTCGACTCTTCAGGTCAAAAGGTACGGGGTTCTACGACAAGGTGGCAGCACGTAGCTATCTATAGTGAGCCACAAGACAGACGTCTTCGACATGTACGAGCGAGAGGAAGTCCTTGGATACATACCTAGGTACATGTAAGATACCTTACCTCAGGTAGCAAAAACCACTTGCGCAACCTCAGCACCAACAGAGATCACATACCCCAACGACCTGTATTGTTTTTTTTTCTTTTGCTTGGCCGCTAAGGCCGGTGGGAAGATATAAGAAGGTTGTCTATCGAGCAAAACAAAATCTACACGCCTTGATCTTCGCTCGGGTTTTATATGGGATGTACATGTGAGGATATCAATTCACTTCTTACAGGCCGTGCGTAAGATATGTGGCGAAATGGGGTTTTCTCATATATATATATATGCCAAAATCGTCTAGCAAGAGGGAAGGCAACGACCTCGACAAGGTGTGAGGGGGTAGGGAGCAAGAGGAAGACTACGACGCGAAAGTTCGAGTGGTTGTGTGGGTGGACGAAATTGCCTGCCTAAGGTACATACCTTTCTCAGCCTACCTCCTACGATTGTGGTGAAACTTCACGCGCTCGCTCGCTTGCTTCGCTTTGCACTTGGAAGGAAGAGAATGCCGACTTCAATCCGCGAGAAAAGTAATCCGGTACAATGGGATTCGGTATCACCTCAGAGAAAATTTTAACGTTTCGCCTGGTTGTCTCGACATATCTACCGTAACTTTCCCTCGTCATTAAGGTAAGGTAGTGCACATGAAAGAAGAAAGAAGGAAAGAAGAAATGACAAGAAGAATTTTTTTCTTCTTTCTTCTGACTCTACGGAAGGAGGAGGAAAAGTGGCAAAGTTGATAAACCCGCACTTAACACTTCCGTGGGTGAGGCGAACGCTTCGCTGAGAGATGAGTATTATCGTTGATCGCACTGGTTACTTCGGAGAAACCAGCGAATTGTGTTCTAGGATTTATCTGATGGGTTAGAAGCTTTGGAAAGATGGGCCAAGAACTGTACATGGTCAGGTCGAGAAACTTTCCGGAGTAGAGATGGATGGATTGGATTGAAGAGAAGAGAAGAGAATAACGACTGCCGCGCGCGGTTTTTTCGTATAGTATTGAACGGGAGAATATGTTGAAGGGATTCGTTTTGGGGGATACCTTGGTGGAGTTCTGGAGGTGGTGAGTTTTTGGCTCGTCTTTGCGGTGGATTATTTGAGGCAGAGGGGGCTTTTTTTCTTTCTTTTTTTTTAACTTACTGTTGTGATTTTTATATAGGTGCACATACATGGGATGGTATCTGCATGTATGTAGTTGAGTGGAGAGAACAAGCCTAGCAAAGGGTTCCTGCAATGCAGCCTCCAATGTTGCTGCAACACCGTCGAGAGACTTGTCCTACAGTAATTAACTGCTTCATTGCATGGACAATATTCATCTGACAACACAGAACCCGTTCTGCATACATGTACCCACGAGATACTGCAGTCGGGAAGAATGTCCGAGGCTTACCACTTACCGAGTGCCCTCCTCGTCTGTGAGAGATGGCAGCTGAGACTAAAGGCAGCCTTCTAGCCTACAGCCTACAGGTAAGTACCCAGAAATGGTTTGTGACGATGTGCTTCAGAGCAGACGGTGGACCGATGGTCGTGGCAGGTGAAACGGCTGCTGAGACGTACATTCACGTTCTGGATCAGATTCTTCTACAGGGAATGCTAGCTGTGCTGGATCTCGACGCCCGGAGCCCTAAGTAGGTGGGTGGAAGGCTTGCAATATGTCTTTGGTCGTTATTGGTGTCGTTCGTCGCAGATGGAATGCAAGCGAGGGCGAAAAAACCGCTGCTGTTGATGTCACTATGTGTTCGGTTGGTGAAACAGTCTTGAAAACACTTTTCCCTTGTTGTTGTCGTCGATGGCGTTTTCTTGTCTGATTGCATGTCTGTTTGGTAACTTGCCTTGGAATACAGGACTGTGTTGTATGGTCGTGGGCTCTCTCGAATTCCTATCGAGTTGTGCTACTCTCCAATAGAAGATACCTCTGCTCCGACGGTATGCGCCTACAGCGTGGCCCAATGGAGGAGGTGTATACAGTGCTTGGAAGATCCATTGTCGCGAGACTGTGGATGACGAGTACGGGGTAGATTTAGACGAGGGTCAATAGCGATTCAGCGATTCAGCGATGAAACTCAGCTCGACACCTGGTCCCCGGTCGACACAACGAGGCCGCTGCTGACCTTCGCCACGCACCGCCACAGTTGGTATACCGTGCGAGCTCTCGAACCTCTCCTGAAGGCTAAGCCAGCTACATTCATCATGATCCATCCCTCTCGGAAGCGCCAGGCGTGGAGCCACAAGACCTCTGATGACAAACGGCCTCCGAGATGGGGGGCGCTTGTCTTTTGCCGACAGCCACTTCGAGGCAAGGCCAAGGCACACCCAAGATTACGATTACCCATTGGATGATCGACGCAAGACGCTGTCGCTCGCTTGCTGCATAGCCGCGTTTGGATCGTTTCTGGCAAACTCGCTCACATCGGCCCCCTCCCCCAAGTCTGGACAGTGTCGCTAGGAGGTATTGTCATAATAATCATAATAAGAGCCGGAGAATCAGGACTCCACTAGAGCCTACCGCCGTTCTCGGTCAGCTTGCCCTCCAGAATAGCATGAAACATCTGGCTAGCCTGGCCTGGAGAATTAGACGTAGTTCGACATGTGGGAGCACGACACGTGCATGCATGAGGCGGGCGGGCAGTAGAAGACAACGAGAATGAGAGTGCAACTTTGCAACGAGAGGGCAATGCAAGGCAAGGCAAGGCATGGCAGTCTGCACACGTGTCCTGCAGAGTCAATACTATCGGGCAGACGGGAGCATGAAGAGAGTTGTGTGGTACTGTAATACCAACAGTACAGTCAACAGGAGCAGCAACGTGGATGGTAACACAGCTCACCGCATTGGCACGCCGTCGCCGATCGCCGCATGGACGTAAATTATAGGACACACTACAGCGGAGGACGCACGCTATGGGGGAGATGAGAAGGGCTTCTGGGAGCCATCGCTGACAGTACACAGAAAGCATCACCATCACGATTATCATGTTTCCTCCTACCATGCCATGCCTACTGACCTCCTCCTCCTACCTCTACCCTCTAGGAGGTATGGATGAGAGTGAGTGACACATCCCACTGGAGGCTGATGATAGGTTGCAGATGCCGGTTGCCAATAATGAACGCGATCGACGAGTGCTTGACGCTCACTGTCGGACAAGGACGAATACCAGGCCGTTGCTCGGCAGATAATACAAACACCACCGTGCGGTTCCTGCAGCTGGCGGATGCTCTTGACCACACGCAGCCTAGAGCCACAGATGGACGGAGGCTCGTTGGCTGGGATCTGTCAGGTACGAACCAATCATAGCCCCTATACTCAATGGTGGCACAGATTAGCTTTGTGACCACTGACGGAGGTAAAATTGCGGCTGAACACCTCCGACCGAGTCAGTGGCCACCGACAAGGGGTTGCTCGGCGTGGCGTCTCGATTGCTGCATAGCACAGCACGCTAGCACTACGACTGAGTGGGACGTCCATATACCTACCCACCTGCGCCGCTCCTTGGACTCTTCTTCGTTCGGTCGTCCTTCTCACCTACGAACAATCTCTCTGTTTCGCGACAACACGCTCACTTGTCTTTCGGGACACTCACGCTCTTTAGCACCCACTACCGGCTCCATTCACTCGCTTCGGCAGAGTTGATCTCTCGCCTTACCTCACCTTCGTCGCAAACACTTTCCCCAGAGATCGATTCACTTCATCCGATTCGCAACATCATGTTCACCAAGGCCACTCTCTTCGCTGCCCTTGTGGCTGGCGCATCTGCCGCTGCTCCTCCATCGTATGGAGCTCCCCCATCGTATGGAGAGCCACCGGTGTACGACACTCCTGTAGAGTCGACCAGCAGCAGCTACCCAGCTACCAGCTCAAGCTCTACAACCGTCTACTCGCCGGAGCAGCCAACGACCTACCCAGCTTCGAGCTCTTCGACTGCCATGTCTTCTGCGAGCTCCTCCTCCTCGTCCTCTTCCTCTTCCATGCCTTTGGCATACCCAAGCTCCTCCTCCTCCTCTTCGATGCCAATGGCATACCCGAGCTCCTCTTCCTCTTCTTCGATGCCCATGGCATACCCGAGCTCCTCCTCCTCCTCGGTCCCCGTCGCTTACCCAAGCAACTCCACTTCTGCTGTCTCCTCATCGTCCACGGAGTACTCTCCTATCCAGCCTACGACTTCCAGCAGCAGCAGCATGTACCCTCCAACATACCCTGTCCCTTCGGGTAACATGACCAGCAGCACCAGCGCGTACCGTAAGTAACAATCCGCCGTCGATTTTTTTCTGTCATGTCAAGACAGCTCCTGCCTCTCCTGGCGAAAGGCTCCAGACAGGGCGCTCAAGATGTGTCCGCAAATTCAGAACCTTACTGACTCATCACTTTTAGCATACATGCCAACTGGTTACGTTCCGACCAGCCAGTCTGTGAAGAGCGATGTTCCGTCTTCCTACAGCCAGCCTTCGGCTCCAGTGTACTCTGCTCCAGTCTCCTCTTCCATGAGCTCTCCAGTCTCCCCTGAGATGCCATCGGAGACCCACTCTGTGCCATATGGAACTGGTGTCTACACCACTTCCGCGCCAGTTCCATCTGGCTACACGACCTCCGAGGTCATCTACAGCAAGACTCTGACTTACACGCTCGGCCACGGCTCATCCACCACCGTTGTGACGACTACCGTCAAGTCTACGTCCACTGTGTTCCTCACCAAGACCGTCTTCCAGACCAAGTCCAAGCCAACTGCCAGCGGTTCCATTCCTGCCTACCCTGCTCAGAGCAGCGCTTCTACCCCTAACTCTCCTGTTCAGAGCAGCCTTTCTGTCCCTGCCTACCCTGTGCAGAGCAGCGAGTCCCAGCCCTACTCCACCATGAAGCGCACCTCCACCTTGACCAACATGATCACTGTCTACCCAAGCAAGACTCAGGGCTCTCCTGTTGGTCCATCTGGCACTGCTCCAGCTTCCGACTGTGTTCCTCAAACTGTCACAGTGACCCAGAAGGAGACTGTCTACGTCACCGTTCCTTCGGCATCGAGCTACTCGAGCGAGGCACCACCGCAGGCCCCTAGCTACAAGACCGAGGGCCCCAAGCAGTCTTCCTCTGCTGTCTATTACCCAACCCAGAGCACCTACCCAGTCTCTTCGGGCATGGCATCGAGCACCGGATTCGCTACTTCTTACACCAAGCCAAGTGCCCCGGTCTACCAGCCATCGACCACCAGCTCGGCTCCTTACAGCCCAGAGATGCCAACTTCGTCCTCTAGCAGCAGTGTACCAACATACCCGGCTTCGTACGCTTCTTCCAGCAGCTCGACCGAGCAGTCGCCAGTCTACCCATCGACCAGCAGCAGCAGCAGCGTCCCAGTCCCAACCTACCCATCGACCAGCAGCAGCAGCGTCCCAGTCCCAACCTACCCATCGACCAGCAGCAGCAGCGTCCCAGTCCCAACCTACCCATCGACTAGCAGCAGCGCTCCAGCACCAACCTACCCATCGACTAGCAGCAGCGCTCCAGCACCAACGTACCCAGCCCCATCCAGCTCCTCCAGCACGACTGTGAACTCCCCAGTCCTCCCCACCACCAGCAGCACCGCTGTCTACGAATACAAGCCTACCACCAGCAGCAGCGCTGTCTACGAATACAAGCCCACCACCACCGCCGAGCAGCCAGCAACTTACTACGTCACTCCCGTCCCCAGCAAGCCAGCTGCGGCCTACGAGGCTCCTAAGTAAAAAAAGGGGGTTTCTTTTACTAGAATTTCCCCCCTGTTAGACTCAAAGCCAAGAAAGAAGAAAGAGAAATAAAGTCGCAGCAGATTTTTCACGATTTTGATGACGAAGTTGAGCTGAGCTGAGCTGAACTGAGCTGAGATGTTTCTATCCCTACCTGTTGAGAGTGAGTTGGAGTAGAGAGAGCTGGAGAGAGAGAGTGTGTGTATATGTGTTGGAATTTGTTATATATTCTCTTCTTGCTTTTTTTTCCTCTTTTCTTTTTTGCCAGTTCGATTTCTTTGTGGTGGTTGAGAGAGAGAGATGGAAAAGAGAGATGAAACACTGTTCGAGTTGATTTGGGAAAGAAGTTGATGTGTGTGTGTGTGTGGGCTTGTATAGGGAGTGGCAAGAAGATGAAGGATGAAGATGAACAAAGGATGAACAAAGGATGAAAAAGATGAAAAGATGAAAGAAAGAAAGAATACATACCTACGACAGGAAATAGGAAAAATATTATATTCTTTTTCTCTACATATATATATATGAGGTGTTGGATGGTATGATGTGTGTGTGTGTGTGTGTGTGTGTGTTGTGTTGTGTTGTGTGAGAGAGAGAGAGAAGTATACGTGTAGAGAAGGTCTGGGTAAATTTTTTTTTTTCGCTAGAAACTACCTACTTTCTATAATACTTCATCCCAGTTTTGCGAAATGGAGAGCAGTAATGGTCTGAAAAGAGAGAGGGTTTAAGTAGGTAGGTATGATTCGACGAGGTCTTTGATCTATACCTTATTGATAGAGCCCTGCTTGGAGCATACATATCTTGTCTTGCTTGATACGCCCACGCTTGATCGGGACTGACCTTGAATAAGATATCTACCTACCTATTCTTGATAAGTTGACGCACTGGGCATATTGGTATTGGTATGGAATGTATATTCCAGGTTTGCAGCAGCTTGGATTAGGGTCAATAGAGCCAGCCAGCCTTAAGGCCCGCTTCAGAAAACCTTACTACATGTATGCTAGGTATATTATGTTTATTGCTCAGGTCGTAATGATGATGCTCATACGCAATGATCCATAGCTGCATAGTAATTAATACACACGAAAAGTCATTGTTGAAGTAATGGCATCAGGCGCGCTAGAAAAGCTGTCAAACCTTTAGATGCCGGTCCTGTATACTGCTCTCTTGTTCCCGTCCTTGTGTCTGTATACCAGTTGCTTGTTTACAATAGCCGGCACTAGATCATCTGGAAGGCCGAGGAAGTCTTCTAACGAGCGAAACACTTGGATAGGAGTGCCGTCATCAGCTAAGAGCGGGGGCCCACGGTTCTTCTTCGTCGGCGAGACATCTCTCGAGGTCGTCGATAATCGTTCCTCGAACAAGCCAGTCCAGCCGAGTACAGAATAGCCTGCGGGTTTGCCAATGATATCCTTCCGCCGTGGACGCTTAGAGATTTCGGCAATCTTGGCTTGCCGTTTGACCTCACTGCTAGGATCGTACTGCGGCCTGTTTGTGAACAGAGATCTCGAGGTGGAGTTTCGTGTCCGATGATCTTCCCGAATCATATGCAACAATGCCTTTTCTTCTTCTTCATCAAGGTATGGTGGTGAAGCCTCTTTCTGCAGATCGGCTGCAGGGAATAGTCGTATGCCAGGCACTGAAACAGTCGGCTGAGAATCTCTGGGGGTTTTTGAGCCTTCACGTCGCGAAAGCTGCGGTGCGAATCTTCCCATCCCGGCATCAAGCTTGCGCATGGCGTCGGTGGTCCAGTCCTCATTGTGCATGCCATCATCAGAATCAGCGCCTTGATCTCGGTGTTGTTGGATGAACTCGTCGTTATCAACGTCCATCACATCGTCGACAGGGTCCATCGTGGTCTTCGTTGTTTTCGCTTTAGGCATCCTCATATTGCCTGTCGGTAACGTCTTCTGAGCAACGATATTTTCCTCCGGGGCCTTGCCGAGAAGAGGTTGCCCATAGCTCTGCCGCTTTGCTAAAGGCAACATCGGTCGCTGCAGCACCTCATCCCATCGCTCTAGCTCCTCTGCCAAACCTGGCAGAAGTTCATAGACGACTCTCTTAGCTCTACTACTAGAGTCTACAGTGATGGAAGTAACGAGACTCTTCCCAGTCTTGCCCACAGCATTTTGAGATAGAACAGCCCTGAGGTTGTGAGCCCACTTGCCTTCACCTAGTGCGTAGTTGGGTATATTCCGAGTTATCCATTGTAAAATCCACTGTGCCGTGGCTCGGTTGGCATTAGCGGCGCAAAGTGCCATGCCGATAAGACGATAGTATGTACCGTCAGGACGGCTGAATGAGTCGCCAAGGTCGTTTCGGTCGATGTCATCGACCTTCTGGCTTTTACACTCCTCTTGTCTCTTCTTAATTGCAGCAGCAGGACTTGCGTCGCCAACTTCAGACGACGTGAAACCCTCGGCAACCTCTTGCAAAGGTAACGCGCATTCAGCGTCGATCTCGCTGGTCTCCGGAGGCTCCGGAGGCTCTGTAGGCTCCGTGGATTCCGCAGGCTCTGTTGGCTCGGTATGCTCTGTAGGCTCTGTAGGCTGCATATGAAGATGCATCTTCGAAGGCTCGCTCGCAGAAGCCGTTTGTCTGTCATGTACCTGGCTGAGTCCAGTTTCTTGAATTTGTCCAGACAGGTCAAATATCTCAGAAGCGTCAGTTACTTTATTCGCTTCTGTAGACCCCGTGGCTACAGTAGAGGAAGCGCGTGCGTATATCTCATTTTCGCTGCTAGCGAGGGCTTTGTGCGATGGACTGCCTTGTCTGTGCTTGGTAGCAGCTTCTGGGACGATGACCCTGCGGACAGTCTCCACAGCTGACAATGGCGATACTCTCATATCTTCGGCTATCTCTGCCTGCTCGGGTATCGGCGTTCCCTTCGCAGACTTTTCTTTGCATGCTGTACAGTCCGACTTGCCAGAAGGGTTGAAAGGCACACTCTTCCCACAGCTGCACTTCATTGAGCTCTTGTGCCGTCGTGCCCTTGCATACCCACTAGGCTTTGGAGCTTTTGACTGAGGCAGGCTGTTGCTTGGCGAACCTGTTTTCATCGACCTCTTATGAGTCACCAAGGATGCCTCGTCTTCAAGGACCTGCCGCTGATTAGGTGCTTCCCAGCTCAAGCCTGTTGAATATGCAGAAGCCTCGGCCATTCCTGACGATGTATCGACATCAATTGCTTCGGACTGTGCAAAAATAGGTCCCCTAGCAGGCTCCTGGCTTTCTTCAGTGCTGGCCAAACCTCGATCAGGAGACTGCTCGACAGCGACATAGTTGTATTCATTGCCGGGTGCAGGCGGATCCTTTCGTGGTTCCTGTCGTTTGACCCTTGTGATCTCGAGCTTCTTGGGGCCGTTGACTTTGTTCGTGGCTGGATCGACGGCTGCGAAACTCTTCTCAACCAAATCTTGTGCCTCGTCGAGGCTGTCGTGATCAGAAGCTCGAGTGACGCATTTACTAGAAGTAGTAGGAATACCATTGGATTCTAGTAGGGACAGAGGTGCAGACTCCGTTTGTCTCTGCGCGGCAGAAACGGCGGTCGTGTGCCCGACATCCGGTGCTATTCCATTCGGAATATTGTTCTCCTTGTCCACATCTGAGACCAATCTTCGTGCTCTTTTGATTAGAGGGCAGCGAATACTGTCGTGGCCATCGTTGTCGGCCGTCTGCTCGTCTAACTCAGCATTTCGTTTGAGTTTGTTCGTATTGGTATCCGCCGCTTCGGCTCGTTCTTGTATTGGGAATTGATCACGATCGGGCACAGCAGCTTCGTCTGTATGTTCATTGCGATGTAGTGACTGTGTTTCCGATGATTGTTGCTGAGACCCATGCCGAGTTATTCCCAGGTTTGTACTCTGTTGTACCGGTGCTTTGCGTCCATTCTGGCCAATGGGTGTGGTTATAGGTGCGACTGCATCACGAAGCTCGCTATTTGCAGGAGTTGATTTCCTGTTGTCCCGAGTTCGGTGAAGGTCGTTATTGATGGGCGCCTCTACACGCACAGTGCCTAGCAGCGGTCCCCGAGCCTCGGCAGCACTGGAGGACACCTCGTGGTCAATGGCTTTGTGTATTTGCGGCTTGCCTTTCCACACGCAATTCGCACATTGCCAGTGCCTGCGAAAAGAGTCTAATGTCGATCCCTGTGGTCGACAGTGATTATGGTAGTGGCGAGCGCAAGTCTTGCACAACGACAAGGCCCCACCCAGTCCTTTGCAGACGTAGCACTGGACGCTCTTCGATCGACTTGAGGAAGTTGTCCCACTATGCACAGATGAGGTACTAATATGAGGTTGGCGAGAAGGTGATATATCGAATGTGGTGGTATCATCCGCCGGCGGGGACGCAGAGGCCCCAGCTTGTGCTACAACGCTAGGGAATTGTCGTGAATTGCTGTTGTTTTTGTCGGATACATGGATAGCAGCTTTTGGCGCCTGTGGATCCAGACTCGAATTCAAGGGGCGCGACGTGAGCAGTGGTTCCTGCGTATCGTGAACCACTGCTGCCGGCCCCGTTTTATTCAGTTTCTTCGCCGCACCAAGGATCGATGTGCCTGGAGAGGATAACCGTGATCGCTCTACCGCAGATGGCGCACTTAGCTGCCTGAGGTCTGTCACTTTCCTTTTGTCGTAGAAGACCTCTGGCCTCAAGTGATATTGACTGAACATCACAGCAGATCTTGTGCGCTCGGCACATACCGCGAGCCTCCTTCGTCCATAATCAGTGTCCGGGAAAGTGATGTAAAATCCTGCTGCATCCATGTGAACGGCTTGAATTCCATATTTGAGGAAGAAGCGCCTAACATGCTTGATCAAAGACGGCTTCGCGGGCAGATTCACGGCAGAGATGAAGATGTGAGGTTCCGGCCTGTTCGAGGAAGTATGTCTTGAGCCAGAAGGCCCACTGGGAACTCCTGTGATGCTGCCAACCCCAGATCCAGGATGGTTCAGCGCAGCAGCCGCTGCCCCTAAGCCATCTGCACGCCCCGCGGGCTCTGTGGGCATTTCATTCTTGTTCCCAATGGCTGAAGAACATTGCAACTGTTTGCTCGCGGCGCCCAAAACCTTCACTTCGTCAGGCATCGATGTCGGCCCCCTAAAGGAGCTGGAACTCGCCGGGGCGAAGAGATCATCGCTCGAGGCCCTGCCATCATCTGGGCGCGACTGTGCATCTGCACGTTCAAAAGTGTATCGCATAAGTGAGGGCGACTGGGTACTGTAGGCATTTCGATGTGACGGATGGCTTTTGACAGCACTTGCAGCTTGAGCAACCTCGCCCGAACAGTGATCGAGGATTTTCTGTTCTTCGCGAGCTGAGTGCTTTGCCTTGTGTGCTGCTATTAGATTATCGGGCTCTTCGCCAGCCTGCATGCTGCTGTTAGCTCCCGAGTCATCGTAGCAAAGCAGGGCTGGAATCAATTGGTGCATCAAGTGCTCAGATCTTTTCAGTTTTAATTGTAGATACTCGTCAATGTCGGGTTTCCGAGGTTGAGAAGTCATGTAGACCCAGAACCATACGTGAGACCGCTTCCGACCTTTTACCAGGTTTCTCATCATTGCACATATCAGGAGCGCAGAAGTCGTTGACTTACCGGAACCGTTCTCCTGCCATTGTGCCGCTGCTCGTTGCCGCGGCTGTAATCCTCGTCCAGAACTGCGGCGCCATTGATGTACATATCGTGTCGCGGGCCTCCTTGAAGGGGACTGGAGTGTTCAATCAACCTCCAACGTGACTTGACTGTGATTGCTTCATCACCGTGCCGCGTCTGGTATCAGCCAAGACCATTGGTAATCGTGTCGGTGGTCAGGGCGCGTTGCAATGTCTTCTTCACTGCATGTTTTCCGAGGTGTATCAGAATTTAGAAGAATGAAAGTCAGGGCAGGCACAAGGAAGGTTAAGTTCGCGGGAAGGAGCGCTCTCGGGATCAGGCCCGGGCCCTCAACCTTCCCTTAATTTCTTGGCGACCCTACTGTGTGGGTGGGGTGGCTTCACTGGCTCGAGGACAAGTGCCTCCACAGGCGACTACTGACTGCCACGCCCACCCGCTCTCTACGCAGAAGCTCTTGCGATGAACTTCCTCAAGTCGTTAACCAGTACATCTGGATTCTCTGGATACACCTTTGGCGACCGCGTGGACATCGACCAGTCCATTTGGACTCTACAGAACGGCACCAAACGAGTACGCGCTACGCAGAGAGGGGTGGAAATAACGAGGGAAGCGGTCACGGACAGTCGCTGACTGTGAGCAGGAAGATGGCTCGAAGTGCAGCATCTTCACCTTCGACATCAACGCGAATCGATCACGATTGCCCCTCGCTCGAAACGCCCTGCGCAAGTTCAAGACGATCAGACATCCCGGCGTCGTCAGAGTGCTGGACACACTCGAGGTGGGTGTAACAAGAACGAGTGTGGCTAGGCCAGGCCAGGCCAGGCGTATATATGGCGGCTGACTGGACAACAAGGTAGACAGACTCAGTGATTTACATTGCCACTGAGCGCATATCGCCGCTGAACTGGTCCACAAGGCGGAAAGCACTCGGCGAGGAGAGCATCAAATGGGGCCTGCACAGTGTCGCAAAAACGCTCAAATTTATCAACGATGAAGCCGCGTCAGTGCACGGCAATGTTCGTGCGAGTTCCATCTTTACCAGCGAGAGTGGAGAGTGGAAGCTCGCGGGACTTGAGCTCCTAAGCTCCATGAAGGAAGACGATGCAATCATTTTCACTCAGGGGAGCTTGGTACCTGACATCGGCCGATACTCTCCTCCCGAAGTCGTAAAGAATGGCTGGGATTCTGTGCGATCCAATCCTTTGCACGCGGTCGACTCGTACAATTACGGCATTTTGGTCACGGAAGTGTTTAGTGGAGGCTTTTCAGGCACTGACCAAGTTGGCTCGATCAAGAACATCCCAACGAACATGCAGAACAGCTACAAACGCCTGACGCATGCCGCACCGAAGATGCGATTGAGTATTGCCCATTTCTTGGACCAGGGGACGCGAAGTGGTGGTTTCTTCGACACCCCCCTGATACAGCTCACTGACGGGATAGACAACATGGGTCTGAAGAGCGCCTCAGAGAAGGACACTTTGTTCAGGTACGCTTCATATATGTAGTTGCTGCCTCATTACTGACTGCTGTGTTCGTAGCGAGCTTGAGCAGCTTGTTGGCACAAACGAATTTCCCGAAGATTTCTTCTTGGTCAAAGTATTGCCTGAACTGCTCAAGTCCGTCGAGTTCGGGGGCGGCGGGCCACGACCTTTTGCACTGGCTATGCGAATAGCTCCCAAACTTGCCGAAGACGAGTACACTCTTCAAATCACGCCCATCATCATTCGACTGTTCGCGAGCTCCGACCGAGCGCTTCGGGTGTGTCTGCTGGACAACCTCCCAAACATGATCGATCACCTCAGTCAGAAGGTTGTGAGCGACAAAATCTTTCCCCAGATGGTCACCGGTTTCGGCGACCTTGCGCCGGTGGTGCGAGAGCAGACGGTCAAGGCAGTCCTTGTGGTGGTTCCAAAGCTCTCAGACCGCATCATCAACGGCGAACTTCTACGGCATCTCGCCAAAACTGCCAACGATGAGCAACCCGGCATTCGCACCAACACCACCATATGTCTAGGCAAGATCGCTAGAAACCTAGCAGCAAGCTCACGAGCGAAGGTACTCACAGCCGCATTCTCGCGTGCCCTCCGCGATCCGTTCGTACATGGCCGTAACGCTGCACTCATGGCGCTGGCTGCAACAGCGGACATTTTTAGTGAGGAAGACTGCGCCACGAAGATGCTGCCAGCGATCTGTCCTTCTTTGGTGGACAAGGAGAAGATGATACGTGATCAGGCCAACAAAACCCTTAACATTTATCTTGATCGAGTGCGAAAGCATCAAACCACCATGCCAGACACAGTGCTGCCACCACCTGAAATAAGTTCTGCTGGACCTACCAGAATGAGCACCCCACAGCCAGGACAACAAGCTGGCAGTGGTTGGGCGGGGTGGGCGATCTCGTCGTTCACAAACAAAATCAGCGCTGTCGCAGGGGAAATACAACCTAATGGCACCGGTGCAGCACCCACTGCAGCCGAAGTGGCCCCTCCGACCTCGAATGGTGTACCGCGTCCAGCCTACAACTCAACTCTATCGGCTCCTGTTGTGCCCAAGGTGTCCTCAGGCCTGCGGACATCAGCTCCAGTCACACCAGCCGATGAAGAAGACTTTGGCAACTCCGGCTGGGAAGAGATGAACGACAACGAAGCGCCCGTCGAAGATGATCCTTGGGCTGAATCTACGGCTCCCAAGTCAATGACTTCGTACGATGATGGGGGCGAGCCTGACTTCGAAGGCTGGCTGAATGCACAAGCACAAGCCAAGAAGACCAGCAAAGCTCCATTACCCAAAGGACTAACCAAGAAGACTGCACCAGCGGCGAAGTCCAGCCCTGTTGGTAGACCAACAATATCAGCGACATCGAGATCTAGTGCAGCAACGAACAAACCTGTCATTGCGAAACCCAAGCCCAAGCCCGTCCAGGAGGAGAGTGATGATTGGGGCGATGCATGGGAGTAGTAGTAGTAGCAGTAGCACAAATGTGAGAACCCCAGGAGAAAGAAATTCAGCGACGACCCTGATGACTTTTTCTTTGGGTAGAATGAACCTCACAGCTGCCAAGCTCGTCTTTTGGCAAATACCTGACCTAGGTTCAATCGGCCCCTCTCCCACAAGTCTACGCGATCTTCAACGCTGTTGCCCTCTTGCCCTACTGCCTAGGTACCTGTAGTCATACATGTAGCCAGGTCATCCCCTCCCCTCCCACTCCCTAGGTAGTCCAAATCTGCAAGGCATGGCAAAATATATCAGTCTACCTAGGTACCCACCTACCTTACATACCTACTGCACTGTACTGTACTGTACATACCCTAGGTACCTGACCTGACCTGACCTGACCTGACCTGACCTGACCTGACCCTACACACCCTTGGTCCTCCCCCCGTCTCGAGAAAAGAAGAAAAAAAAGTCTAAATCCATACACACCGACTTCTACGATGGGGGGTTTGTCTTATCCACAAACTGAGTTTTTTTGTTTTCTTTTTTTCTTTGGAAAAGAGGGTAATTGGAAGCGTTGACTAGGGATGGGGATGGGGATGGGGATGGGGATGGGGGGGAGATGGGTGAACTGTGTACTGACTGTACTGGACTGTACTGTACTGGACTCGGTGTTACTGTAGGTATGTATGTATGTATGTACCTATGTAAGAGGTGAGAGTTCTTTTCCTTGAGGAAGGGAGGGGAGGGTTCGTTTGTTGTTTGTATATTTTTTTCTTTTTTCTTTTTTCTTTTTTTTTTCTTTTTTGCCATCCCCCCTCCTCTTTTGATCTATTTCGTTGTTGGAAGTTTTGGGCTGGGTAGATGTTACATGTTGCATGTAGGTACCTCCTAGGTAAGGGGAACTTTTGCGTACAGCGACTGACATAACTGACTCGAAAGCAGCAGCAGCGCGAGAGGAAGAAAAGGGGAAAAAGTAAAATTGCCGTTTGCGCCGGAGTGGTGGTGATGAGTGATGGGTGATATAATGGGTATACAGTGCGATGCAGTGCGATGCAGTACGACGCAAGGCAAGTGCCATGCAGTGCAGTGCAGTCAGTACAGTTGCAATTACACTTTTTTTTATAGTTTTTCTGTCGATCAGGTCAGGCCGTAGGTTTTTTGGGGGGGTGCTAGCTAGGCTAGCTACTACCTACTACAAACGTCAAATAGGAAGTTGGTAGCAAACAGCAGCAAGTACCTTACCATAGGAGGTACCTTCAACCATACCTAGGTACATCTGTAACGTATGATGAAGATCCCGTACTCGTACCTTATCTGACCTGACCTCCTACCTTACCCTCCTAGGGCTCCTACCTCTCTGCTGGTTACATGCCTAGGTACCTAGTAGGTAGGTAAGTGTAAGGTAGATGAACCTAGGTAGATGAGGAAGGAAAAAAAAGGAAAAATACAACATACGTGTCGCGGTACGGTGCGGTGCGGTACGTTGCGGTATGGTGTGGTGTGGTGTGGTGTAGTGGGCGGCTGGCTTACTGAGATTATATCACATCAGCATTTAGCATTAGCATGAGTATTAATCGGCACTTCGGTTGGACTTGTCGATTGATATGGTGACCTAGGGAGGTAGGTATAATGATGATAGGGGGCCGCTTTTTGTGCTGTTGCTGTTGCTGTTGCTTTTTGTGTAACAATGGAGCAAGTTGAGTGTACTTTCTACTTAGTGTAGGTAGTGTCATGTCCATAGAATAGAATAGAATTATGATTCCGGGTAATCAACTACCTCCATGTACCTAAAAAGAAAAACCGTTCCTCGGGATGCTATCCGTTCCGTTGCGAAGCCTTCTCTTCTCCTTCTTTTTTTCTCTCTTCTTCGGCATCTTCTTCATCTTCTTCCCTTTCTATGACATTCATCAAGATTCCATCGTATGTACTACCTTCCCTTGAACTGAGCTAGGGGGCCGGGAGAGGGTAGATGAACACGAGAGCATATGAGCGAGAGATGGAGAGGGAGAGATCAGGCGACCGGTATCATTCTCGCTTTCCGATGTTCCCTTTTAATAGTGTGTGACTAATAAGGGTATCGCGAGAACGGGAGGTCGGTAGGCTTTTTCTTCATTCCCCTTTCTTTGGTTCACATTCATATATTATGTTTTGTGACTAGCTGACTAGCTAGCAGGGTTCTAGGGGGTGTGTCTGCAGGTTTTTTTCTCTATCCTTCCTTTCGGGTGGTTCTAGGCTTCCTCTTTTGCTTTCTGTCTCTCTCGCTCAGGTCTCTCTCTCCGTCTTTATCCACGGGCCGTGGTTCGGTATGGGCCCTAGGAGACTAGAGGCATCATCAGATGTGGTCAGGTGTGCTCATTGACATGTATCTATACGATCTTCCTCACCTCATGCTTGCGATCTCGACATCGGGAGAGCTATTTGCGTCTCTACAGTTCTTCCTAGGACGTAGGTAACCCACTAGACAGGACACACTAGTCGACGGGCTTCGCGCCGTGGAAGGATGAAGAGAATCCGTTATTTGTTTTTTCCCCCGTAGAGAAGCCGATTGTGCGACGTTCTCGGTCTGCGAGTCGGATTTTTCTTTTTTGGCTTCTAGAACTATCACAGTCACATTCCATTCCCCATTCCGCGCGGGCGAGGGTCCGTCTCAATACGAGCGCATCTGCATATGCATGTCGCATGTCGTATGTCGCATGTCGCATGTGCAGTCGGTCCTTCCCGTCCGCTAGAACTAAGAGAGCGGACACAGATTCACCGAAGTTCCATACGATAGGTACATACACCTCCCGTGTACTAGAATACGACCGACGATACATGTAGGTACCTTATCCACCCAATTTTCCGGTCACACAGCGTAGAGACAATACGTTCGGGGTGGAGATCAGTAAGGTAGTGCTGGTGTGATAGATGTACCTGTTTACTGCTTCACATGGATGCCAAGCAGAACAGTTTGCTCTCCCAGCTGGGCCTGCTGGCGGTGAATGTGATCGCGACCACGCGGTCCACTTTGGCGGCACTTGAACTGGTCTCGCTCTCACACTTCCACGGTGAATGCTCTAAACATGCTCTAAATTGCTTGACAGATCGGAGACCGGTATTGAGACCCGTTGACGATGGCGCAACGACCGGATCGGTAGGCAATCCGTCCGTTCCGGGTCAGATGAGAGAGGGCCGACCGATAATCTGGCCGAAGTCGAAACCTGTGCCAATGTGTTTAGGCTCGTCGAGAGTTACACCGTTGAGAACGCGCGATCCACCGTCTCGTCATCAGTTCTCAGCAGATGATGGTGAAAAAAAAAAAGAAAAAAACTGTGCGCGTCGAGGTCGGAAATATGCTTCCTAGCGAGAGCTTAGACGAAGCAAGGCGCCGGTACGAGATACTACCTCCTAGGTGGTCTGTCGCGAAAGGTTGTTGGTTGGACATAGGAGGCTCAAGAGCCGGAGAACCGCTCCCAATGCCCATCTGAGACAGCTACCGAGATGTCGCAGTAGATTGGTCCGAAAGAAGCACCAGCAGCATTTCTCCCTACATGTACAGGTACCTTACCTCCTACCTACGACGAGCTCAAACGGTGGATAGCAGGTTCCTCCCTTAGGTAAGCGAGACGTCGCAACGAAACACTCGTTCGGGAAGGCTTCGAGAAGAGTCGTAGAAGAAAGGGGATCTGGTAGAATGCAGTGGAGTGACCAACTAGTAGAGAGCCCCGACTGCGGCCACACCCTGCAACGTGCCGGCCTGGGTTGTTTCAGCAGTCCTGCATCCTTCACCAGTGGTCCAGTGGACACTACTGGGCACTGGGCACTGGGCACTGTGCACATGTATGTACGCTGCCGCGGAACGCGCACTGAACTCTCGCTGAGCGACGCGCGCGCCTCACCGCAACTCGACACGCTTTGCCGTTTTTTTTCTTGTCGTTGTCCACGTTGTGTTACACGGCTGCGGCTCCTGGTTATGGGTGTGGCCGCCTGGTAACTACAGAGACGTACGTCAAGCTCGAGCCGTGCATGCCACGACCCATGCAGACCATCTGGCATCTGCTGCTCTGCTGACGCTGGCGCCCGCCGCCCGTCGTGTCGTGTGGCCCGTTGTCTGGCGTGAGAAGACGCGCGATAGGTGTGGCTCTGGAGCAGTGGAGCATCGCCCGATCGGCTGCATTGGCCTCTCCGTGTCTGCACGTGTGTCTGCTGCTGCTGCGCACAACCGACAAAGGACAGGGCACGGTGACGCTCGCAAAAAGGCAACGAGGCATCGCACCAGCAGAAGTAAACAGAACAAGCGGGATACCAGCCCGCACGGTAACGGTCTCATGAAATCATGGAACGTGAGCAACTGGGACAGAATGCGATATCGATGCGATAAGATGTGAGACGACGACGACGAGGACGACGACGACGATGATGATGACGATGATGATGCACTTCCTTCGAGAAGAAATCATGGAAGCCCTATGCTCCACCCAGCCGCGATGCGGTGATGGCGAATCATAGGGCAGCCAAGTGAGGACTGATCCTCGTTAGCGCGGCTTGGTGCCCTGGTCGGATACAGTTTATTCGCTTGGAATCATCTGGCAGCCTTCTAGCGCACTTTGCGCGACGAGTAGTACCTTTTGTACGAGTGAGACTGTGAGACACCTGTGACCTCTTCCCGGCCTGTCGTGTGCACTCCCGGACCACCTACCTTGCTGCCACTCAGCGTGCTCTATAGGCCAGACTCCATATTCATTGTTCATTCATTGATTGCCTTGATTGCCGTGATTGATTAATTGATTGACTGACTGACTGATGAATTCGTTGATTGATTGATTCATTCATCATCCCCGTCGTTCGTTCGTTCATTCGGCCACCACTCGATCAGACCGACCGTGCCCTGGTGTCCGTGCGCGTGCCTGTGTCCGTGCCTGCAACATCACAGGCTGCAGAGCGACAGAGAGTCTGAGAGGGATCCTGGGAGAGAGAGAGGCAGAAAAGGAGAGAGGGAAAGGGAGAGACACACACACACATACAAACAGATAGATTCTACCATACCTCCTGTTGCGCTGTGAAAAGCGAAATGGCAGATCCCTGACTAATCTCTCTCTCTCTCTCTCTCTCTCTCTCTCTTGCACCATCGACCCCCTCCCCTCCCTCCTCCCCACCCCTCCCCCCTCCCCGACCCTCTGAGCTCTCCTCCCCGACCCTCCAGTCGTCCCTCGCTCTCCTTACGACTAGGACAGGGCGCCCTGCCCGTTGACAGGGCTGTTTGGGCTTGCGCTTTGCTTTGGGTAGGCTGCCGGTCCTATCTCGCGAAGCCGCTAGGCCATCAGCGCTCCTGGCCTGGGAACACTACTCACATTCCACGCACAACAACCCGACGACATACATATCGAATACCCCGACTGTACGGACCGCAGAGACACGTCGTCGTCGTCGACCCGCTGCCGTCTGCAGGACTCCAACACATCGCTCCATCCCCCCCAACTGATCCCGCACTCCTCCTAACCACCCTTCGCCGCTACCTGGCAGCCGGCGTCGTGGTGCGCAGTCGCAGTGAAACGAAGTCGCGCCAACCGCTCCGAACGAGCCCTCTGGCGTGCTTGACTGTCTTACTGCTGTCTGGGCTACTGGATACATACGCTGCTGCTGCTGGAATCCGCGTGCTACGCAACGACACGACACGGCACGATACGACACGACACGACACGACGAGACACGACACGACACCCAACACCTTTCCACACCCCCCACCCGCCGACAGGACGACAGGACGCACCGACGGTCAGAATTGCACGTTCACGGGGACTGTATCACTCATACGCCAGACCCGTGGCAGTGTCGTGGAGCGCTGGAGGCGTACTGCCTACTGTGTACTACGCAAAAAGTCGGGTGGCCGCGACGGCTCCGCTGTCTGTGACAAGCAGTTGGTCGCTCGTCCGCGAAGAGGATACCTAGACACCACCACTCTGGCACGCTGCACACGACCGTGAGACTGTTGCAGTCTCACCAATCCAAACTGGCGTCAATATCGGAACCTTTGAGGCAAGTCTGTCAGACTTTTGGGAGAAAGAAGAGTATGCTCGTACGGAAACCTTCCTCAAACTTCACCTCTTCCTCCACCTCTACCTCGTCCACATCCACCACGTCGAGCAAGTACTCTACCAGCTCGTCATTCTCCACTGTGGACTGCGACGCGGACGCTCTGGACACCATGTCCTCTAGCGATCCTGACGCTCCGCTGAGGCCACTATCTGTCGCGATACCGGGAGGGAGTGTCCACGGCCCCTACTGTCCGCGGAGGCCCAACCTGCGCGAGATACTGGCCAACACATCACCGTCTCCATGGACACTGGCGGCGTTCATGGCATATCTGTCGAACAATCACTGCTTGGAAACATTGGAATTCACCATGGACGCAGGGCGGTACAAGAAACATTATGCGAAGATGATGTCCCGAGCGCAGAGCGACGGCTTACCGCCTGCGAAAGATCGCGAATATGTGCGGGCGCTGTGGCAGCGTTTGGTGGAGGCTTACATCCAGCCCAACGGCTCGCGCGAGGTGAACTTGCCCTCCGACGTGCGAGATCCCATCATCAACCTCAAGCCCAAAGACATGCCACCCACACCAGGGTCTCTCGATCCCGCGGTCGCCAAGATCTACGAACTGATGGAGGAATCCGTCCTCGTGCCATTCCTCAACAGCGTATACCCCCAATCAGCACATCCCACTGTCAATTCGTGCCCGTATAATACCTCGGACGAGAGCATGTCGATGATGTCCAGAACGTACGAGGACCGATCGATGTACCCCCGGCGATCACGACATGGGCGTCGAGACTCACCACCTCAGGCGCATACCCAGTCTGCCGTCGAACCACACGCCCCCTCGTACTACTCGCACGGAGGACGCTACCGGCAACCTGCGCCGGCTCCGTTGACGTCGCCACACAAGTCCCGTTTCTCCATGAAGCTTCTACCGACCACATCTCAGCCTTCCACAAGCATGTCGAGCTCTGCGGTCACAGAATCGGGTTCAGATGCCAATCTTTCCGGGGCCGGGACCGCCAGCGGTGCGGGCATGACGGACGATAGCGGCAGTCCTGGCAGCCCGCCCCACGACAGTCCGAGAACTCCGCCAGATAGTCCGCCCACGAGCGATGCACACAGTCCCAAGCAGCGAGACTCGGGCATGTGGAAGAAACTCGGGCGACTCAGTGGGATGAAGGTCGGCAAGAAAAAGAGTCTTGGCGGACTCAGTTCGCAAGACGAATGACCCTCATGCGCCGTGATGAAGGGTCCTGGGGACTCGCTTAGAACATTGAAGCACGATGAACCCATTATTACAGCTTTTGAATCATGGTGTCCGAATTTGCGAAAAGAGGAAAGAGACGTTTTTATTTTACGCCTTCGCAGAAACATCGCTGGGCGATATTGAACATGGTAGTATGGCGATCCAACGACTTCTTACTACCACCACACACACGAGTACCTGGAAATTGTAGCGTTCACGTTTTGATGTCGAGCCAGGACCAATGATGGACCCGGCACAACCAACAACTAGAAGATGTGTTTTTTTTCGCGGCGTTTGGTGGGCAGGGTCTGGGACACGATAAAGCAGCACATCTGGGTCAATGGATCAGCAGAGGCGACGTTTTTTGATGATGAGAATGAAGAAGCAAACAAGGAAGGGATACCTGACGAGGAACATGTTCCGATGGGGGAAAAGCAGCAAATCCTCATCCTTCTTTTTTGGTTCTTCGATCAGTGTGTACATATAACTCGCATAGTGGATGATGTACTTGGTCATGCGGAGAGAGGAAGAAGGAGAGAGAGGGGGGAGAGGGAGAGGGTACGTATATCAGCGTGCCAGATTTGAAAGAGGTCCTCGGCACTCGGGTTACCTGTCTGGAGAAAGCGAGATAGGGAAACAAACGGAAACAAATCAAAGTTGTTGAGAGCCTCTCTGCAGGCTTGCTTTGCCTGCAACTGCTCAAATCTGCGCAAACATTCTCTTTTTCTTTTTCTCTTCACTTTGCCAATTTGATAATGATGATCATAATAGTGACGATACGTGGTCCATGTTTTTCCCTCCATTTTGTTTTGTTTCTCTTCTTACCCAACACATGTTTGGTTTGGTTTGTTTATTTACACATTCGTTGCATAAGGTAGGTTAGGTAAGGTACCTACACACATATATATCAGTAAGGTCTATATCCTCTTCCCCTTCTCTGCTTTGCTTTGCTTTTATATCGTACGAGATAGAGCCTAGGTAATTCCCCGTCCGCCCGTCCGTCCGCCCGTCCGTCCTATCTATCCATTTATCTTGATATTTCTTGTATAAACAAGGGAAAAGCCAAGTAAAAAGCCAAGAAAGAAGGTAAGCAGGCGACTTTTAACCTAGGAGGTAGGAGGTAGGAGGTATAGGCTGTATTTTTTGTATTTTCTTGTATTTTCTTGTTTTTGTTTTTCTTTTCTTTTTCGTTTTTTTTTTCTACGTCCGTATTTTGAATCCCGAGAATAGGTAGGCATTCATTCATTCATCCTTTTTCTTTTTCTTTTTCTTTTTCTTTTTCTTTTTCTTTTTCTTTTTCTTTTTCTTTTTCTTTTTCTTTTTCATTTTCATTTTCATTTTCATTTTCATTTTCATTTTCATTTTCATTTTCATTTTTCATTTTCCTTTTTTTTTTCATTTTCCTTTTTTTTTTCTTTCTTTCATCTCTCCATCTCTCCATCCTTCCCTTTTCCATTTTTTTGCTAGGGAGCTAGATCGCCGATCTTCAAAACTCTAAACAAAAATGTCAAATAGCCTTTCTTTAGGGGTAGCCTACCTCCCAGGTACCTCCTACCTGTAGGTTTCTTCTTTTTCGCATGGAACGACCGCTCATGTTCGGGAGAACAGCGGATGCTTCACGTGAAGTGTAATACCTAACAAGAAAAAAATCGTCTCTTGATACTTTTCCAGGCTTTGGATATCCCCGAAAGGTTTAAACTGGGGGGGGGAGTGTGGATTGATAGGGAGGGTGGGGGGGTTTGGTTAAGTTTTTTTTCTTTGGGGAAGGGAGTAGGGAGAGCAAGCGAGAAAGAAAGAGTACTTACTGTACCTACTTACTGGGTAGGGGGGTTTGTAGGTAGGGAGGGAGGGAAGAAGGGAAGTGGTAGGCCTGGCGCATTCTTCTTTTCTTCTTCGAAATGCACCAGAAAAAAGTGTGGACTTTTTAATGCAGTGATGAGGCGCGTCGTAGGTAATAGCCTGAGGATGACGAGGGGGGTGTTGTTGTCATCATCATCATCATTATCGTCATCATCATCAGTCCATACATGTACCCCCAACAACGGCTGTAGGCTGTAGCTTTTGCGTGTGTGAAGAGATGTTCTTCGGCTGAATTGTTGTCCTGTTGGAGGTAGGTAAGTAGAAGTTAGAAGGTAAAAGCCTGTTTGGGGCATCGCAGGGACTGGATCTGCCCGGGCGCATAAGATTTTTTGCCGTTACAGCCCTATGCCTACTAGAAGAGCCACGTGCAAGGCTCCTTCAGAGACCCGAGTCGGTGGTAACGGCGAATGAGGGGTCCCCAGACGATTTCTTGGTGCAATGCTGGTAGGGCATGCAGCTTCGAGGAGCAACAGCCAGAAACGTACACACAGTGACACAGTAATGGGACGGTTTGTATTTGCAATCTTGTGGACGGGTGAGATGGTACCAGACAGGTTTCTTTTGACGGGGGAAAGTTTCCCAACTGAATTGTCACACACAAGGGATATCAATCGGAGTCCCGAGTCCAGTCACAATCTTGTTGGTCTTGCATTGAATCGCTAAGGCGAGCAATCAGAAGTCTAGAAGGCTCTAGGATCTGGTCAGCAGAAAAGGTGATATCGTCAGGTATCCTACACGAATGGGTATGTAGTCATGAAGCGAACAAGTATGTAGTGCATTGAGTTCACAGCTGCAGCCAAGTGAACCAAAAACCAAAAAAAAGGCATTCCTTGTGCTGTCTGTTCTTCTGCACAGCTTCGGCCGTATCGACAACTTTCATCACAGCACGATCTGTGTATCCCGGTGGGGTGAAATGGTCGAAATGAGTCGTGGGTTGAGAGATCGTGTTGCATCCATCGCCATGGGCCGCGCGACGAAGGTGATATTTATCATGTCTTGTATGTGTTCTTAGGTTAAATACATGTTACTAGGGGGGAAAGTCTGGGCCGGCTCGTAGGAGAGGTAGGACCTGCCTGATCGACTGGAGATTCCAAACACGTCATGTCATACCTATCGCAGTCACATCATCAGTCCCGTATGCCTACAGGACATGTGTATGGTATGGTACGGTATGGTACCTGTATGCTCATGTCTCTCGTTCTCCTGGTCGACCTCACCCTACGAATAAGCACTAACATCAGCAGGAGTTTCACCGCCTTGTTCGTTGCATCATCCTACACTCTCTCAACGCTATTGCAACAATACCCGTAGCAATCAATCATCTTTGTGCTATTTCTCTGATTTCACGGCAGAGTCGCGATGGACTCAGATGGAGACTTGGGCGCGCACATCGCACGAATCCTTGATGAAGACAGCAACCCCGATGCCCTGCCGAGCTTGTTTTTGCGAATTTGACGGCAGTTGTTGGTCCTGGAGACTCAGAGACATTATCCCAGCCGTTCCATGGTTGAGAACAAAAAGGAAGGGCGCTCGTCCACGTCGCCCGATGCGTGCGCGCCGGAGTAATATTCATCACTGTGCATGGCTGTATGCATGTAGGTCAGACTGGTCAGTGAACAAGCATGACTTCCAGCGGCTATTGCGGGTATTCAGAAGGAATGAGAGTATGCATCTTTCGCCCTGCAAGTGTTATTATAACCTCATCAGACGCCATGCCAGCGGTTCAGGATTTGGGTGGAACGAGTATTTACCACTCTGGGGGCTCATGATCAGAGCGAGTCCAGGTAGTAAGACCGGTGGACCACATAACCTTGAGGTAGCATGAGTATGATGAACCTGGATGGTAATAAGAACACATGCAGGAGAGCCCACAGGATTATTGCATACACAGCTGGCAGGATCGAGCAAGCAGAAGTGCACTTGGAAATGTATAGCTCGACACGTGATGATTGATTTGTCGAACTATGTAAGTGAAGGGAAAGGAATATGTAAGGTAGAGGCATGTGTGTGTATGAGCATGATTAATCATCACCAGCCTTGGCACCAAAATTACGGCGACCGTGAGAGCACCAAAAGATCCCTTTCACACAGGCCATGAGAACGCCAAAAAAGTATTATTCGGAAAGGCCAAATGTGCAAAAGAAATGGGACTTTGAAGGAGTCTCTCCATCTGGGAATCGAACCCAGGTCTCCCGCGCTTGGAGGCTTGGAAGCCTTGACAAGCGGAAATCATGACCACTAGACCAATGAAGATGGTGATTGAACAGATGAACAGCTTGGCTGCCCATTGGTGACTGACCATATTTTTTACATAATATGTTTGCCACTTCCAGGCTCCTGTCATCAACCTCGCCATGGCACCGGTGCTTACCTCCTACCTCGTACAACTAAAACCTTTGTCCTATTGACGCCCTGCTCAGGCAGACGATGCAACGTGCAGCGAGCTCTCGAAGAAATCGAACCTATCTCCGACACTCTTTAACTTCTTTCGTTATACCTTCAGTCTGTTTCCTACTGTGATGATTGTGATCTCGATGGCTATGCTCAAAGAGCAACGATTACATATGAAACTATTTGCCTTTCATCTTCTTCGAATTTTGGTATCCAAAGCCGAGTCGGAGAATGTGCCAGAGCCATCTCAAGTCTTTGGGATTCAACAGTCGAGTAAAAGAAGTGGAAGAAAACAAGAAAAAGTCGATCCGAGTTCGTGTTCTGGAAGTAGTAGACTTGATAGTAATTCTGTTTCTCAATACCGTATACTCAGATCGACCTAGATGAGTCTGGACTCTACAGCGTGTAACGGAAACTCGGACCACCACCTTCGAGTTCCTTCTCCCCACGGTCGGCCTTCTTATTCTGGATCCAGAAATGAATTTGCAAGGCCAAGGTAATGATAATGGTCAGCAAACACGCAGTGATGCAAGCCCACAGACCAGGAACATATCCCGGTTGATCCTGTTCGCGAAAGACGAGGGAGCCAGCAATACCGCCTGTATTCAGAAAAAAAAAAGAATGTGTTAGTGTTCGTTCGATGATAAGCCAAACCCATATTTTTCTTTTGGGGTGGAGGAGGGGGGATTGGATTTCCTTACCAATTCCACCAAATCCGACAAGACTGGCACTGCAGAATGCACGCTTCCACTGTCCTCGAATATTATTCGCCTGGAAGGACATGACCATGACAACATTCGCCTGCACGGGTGCACAGAAGAGAAACACGCCAAAATATCGCACTCCGCTCGTCGTCGTCCAGCCCATGAGGGAGAGTCCGATGATGGCCATGACGGCATTGAACAGGATCTGAGGCCCGCGAACACGGTACTTGTCGCCGAGCCAGCTCTCCACGTACATGACCACGGCAGCGAAGGCATATGGAGGTGCGACGAGGCATTGACTTTGGGCGATGGTGAAGCCCATTCCGAGGAGGAGGATGATAGGGAGGAAGAAGGCGATTGCGTACGCCTGTTTGATTGTGCGCAAAAAGGTCAGTCATTTTGCAAAAAGAGCGTGGAGAGGCTTATGGCGGCGTCCGCAATTGCTTACCATCGTCGTCGTACAGAAAAAGATCATTGCAAATCCCCACACTTTGATATCTTTCGCGGGAGTCAAAAAGCGCTTGAGACTGAAGGCTTCAATTTGAGTATCACCGCGATCGCGATCGACCGTGGCCATGATGTATCGCACTTCGCGCTCCGAGAGAAAGTTCCAGGATCGCCAGGCGTTCTGGTCGGGAAAAGGGACGAGAAAGATGAAGCCGATGATTCCAATCACGACGGTGAGAATTCCTTCGATGATGAAGATCCTGGAGAATATATTAGAGCATACCTCGACTGAGAGGAGGTATCCCGATGGAAGCCCTTCGAGGAGGAGGAGGAGGATGAGGAGGATGAGGAGAAGGAGGGGAGCTTACCATCTCCATCCACGATACCCAGCTATTCCATCCATTTGCATCAAACCGTAAGCCTGCACTCGCTAATTCAGCATCCTGAGCAACGCAGCAGTACTTCGATTCCTTTCATATTCTTCTTCTTCTTCTCAAAACTTACCAAAATCCCCGAAACAGCACTCGCCAATGATCCAATCATATAAAAGACCGCATACCGCTTTCCCACATCATATCGTACAAACCAGGTCGAGAGCAGATATACCGCACCGGGAAAGTATCCTGCTTCGAAGACTCCGAGTATGACGCGTAAACCGGCGAGTTCTTGCCCTGGAAGAGAAGAAGAAGAAGACGAAGAGTCAGCAACAAAAAACCACACCGGATAATGGGTTGGTGTGCTGCAAGGCACACACACACACGCCACTTACATTCATGAATCAATCCCATCCCAATCATCACCAACCCCCACGCCGAACAAATACTCGACAAGAAAATTCTCGGTCCAATTTTGCGAGTCAAGGGAGTCGCCACGGGTTGGAAAATGGTGTATGTGATGAAGAACACCAAGGTGACGATGGACTATGGTAGTTTTCACATCATCAGTAATTCTTTTCTTTTCTTTTCTTTTCTTTTCTTTTTGTTTTTTTTTTTGTTTTTTCATTTATCCTTTTTATTTTCCATTTTTTCTCCCTCCAATCATCAGAGTACTCCAAACACAACAACAACCCCCTCTCTTTGTCTGAATCATTTTTGTTTGATAAACCTTAAAGGAAAAAAAAACTCACATATCGATTATTCCCCACCATATACAACTCGTCCCTCATCCCCGCAATCGCCGCATTCGAGAGATTCGTGCGATCCATCAAACTGACGCAATACATCGCCCCGAGGACCAATACCAATCTGCGATCGATTTTATGTTTGATTTTGCGGCCTTCTTCCGGCGTGAACCAGTAAAAGGGATCATCTTCATCGGATGATGTAGGTGGTGTGCCTGGCGATTCGAGTTTTTCCAGTTGTGTTTCCGTCGCGTCGTAAGGGTCTGTTTTGGCGTCCATGTTGTTCGCTGTTGGTATTGTTGTTGTTGTTGTTCCCATGGGTGGAGGGGGACAAGAAGAGACGAAGGTTTGTCGAGAGGATTGACAAAGATTGTGGGAGTTGGGACTTTTTGAGAAAGGGATGAGATAATATGTGGCATACAAGCGACCTTTGAATCACCTTTTTTTTCTGGCTGACATGAGTTCAGACCAAGTGCATGTCAGCAACACGGGTGAATGAACAGGGTGGCAATGCCGCGCTTCTTGGCCAGGAAGCGAATTCGCTTGGTACGCGGGGTTGGGGGTGGACTATGGAGACGCGCCAATGCGATTTGCGATCATAAGATGCAATATTACCGCGCCGCTTGCAGTCACAGCTTAGCCATGTCACTTGCCTCTCTACGGTGGTGTGATTGGTATCTATGAGTTCGTGCTGGCGTTTCGGATAATTAAATACCTGTAGGCTTCCTCCAACATTCGTCGTGACGGCGTAGGTTGGACGGCGTCAAAATGAATGTGAAATCTTGTGGTAGCCATGCTTGTGACGTTATTCCCAAAAACGCTGCTGGTGTTGGGGGTCTGCCGACATTGCAGCATGCCGTGTCACAGTGTCGTCGCAGGTAGATTCTGGAGAAGACGGTGGAGGGGACATGGCGCCCAGGCTTAGTATCAGCCTCACAGGCAGCCGCATGCGGAAAGCAACACTTTGCAGAGGTATATCTCCGTTCTGCGCCTCAAACGGCTTCAGCATGTCATGTCCAATACCATGGATAAAGTGCACGCGGATGTTAGTAAGCGGAAAGAGGCGCGCCTCTACCTATACTTCTAGAAGAAAAGCGCTAGTTGAACCGTGCGGGGTATGTACTTGCAGAATACATTAGCAAGTATGTATTGGCAAGGGCCGGGCTGACCTACTTCTAGAACTAGATCAGCGTCCCTTGGGCCATCATTGTGGTACTTTTGGAGGACGGAAGCCGCAGTCCCCACCAGGTTCGCTCTAGTCAAGCCTTGGAACACCCTAATAGCCGGCAGACTGGAGTTGGCCACGTGGATAGGGTGCACAAGCTGGAATTGATCGTCTTGCCTCGGCCAGCTCTGCTTCTATGAGCATCGGGCTGACAGCATGCCGTCCGTGTCGCAGCCCAGACTGCCCAAGGCCATCTCAAGAAAGTCCTCCTGCGAGGACTCAGGAGTCCTTTGCGTGAACACGACACCCCGCTCATGAGACCCATGAGACTCAAAGAGATCTTCGTCGTCACAATCGCCATCACGATTGTCCAGGCCAGCCTCGTCACAGTCGCCCACTTCTCGTCCACGGAAGTCAGAAGGCTTCGAAGAACCCGCCTCATGCAGCATATCCACATGGCCACTTTTCCTGCTCGCGAGAGGTTGCAAACGTGACGCGGCATCACTGTCAAACAGCCCAGCTTGCGTTGATCGCCAAAGATGAACCGCTACGTGTTCTTGGGTCGCTGAACTGATAACACCTGGGTGAGAAGATGCGCCAATTCGGCGAGAAAGCTCCAGAAGCTTGCTTCGTAGTGCAGCATTTCTGGCGTGGACACCGCAGGTCTGTGTCAAAGCGTGGCTCACGGTAGGTAATAAGATTGTGCGTGACGACAACGACTCCCAGTGGCTCGGCGAGAACACGGCAGGGCAGATGCTCGACAATTGTGTGAGGGATTCGTGACCCACGAGTTCGACATCCTTCAAAGAACGCTTTCGAGGCGTAGCGATAGCATATCTGATTCCAGCATCGCAAAGTGCGAAAATGTCTTCGTGGTGATGGTTCTGCGGATAACAATCGGTCAAACTCGTGTTGTAATATCGCTTCAGTGTCGGCGGGCAATTTTCTTCGCCGCCGTCGGTAAGCTCGCCATGAGAAGCCAGCATTGGACGTTGCGGTGGTGGAGATGTAGTTCTTCCAGGAGTAATTCTGGTGCGTCGGATTCTGGGACAAGTCCATGGCTCGAATATGGGAGACAGGGCGGGGCCGGCGGTAGAGAGCTCCAGCATGTCGTCGTCGTCAGAACCATTCACCAAACTCCAGGAAGTTGGTGTTCTTCTTCGTTTGCGATCGCTTGTGTCCGAGAAGCGCATATGTAGCGAGACATGATGGAGTCGTGCGGTTTGAATTCCTGGAGGCGGCTGAATATCATGGTACGGAACGTCTTGGGCAATTCTGTGCACACTGCGAACTGGGGCAGGGGACTCTCCTGCAGCGTGGTCTAAGCAGATCTGAAGCCTCATACAGGAATCAGAGCTGCCAGCAGAGACCACTTTCGCCTTCGGTTCAAGCTGTAACTGCCTCCAGAACTGTTCGCTGTCAATGAGTCGTCAAGATGCACACAGCGTGGGTACATACTGAGGCATCAAACAAGGTCTGAGCGAGAGCATCAGCAAGATCGTGTCTGCAGATTAGTAAGTCGCTGCACAGATGCAGGTCAATCGTCAAGTGAAATCCAGCGGCGGGTGTCATCCACGTGCGTCGAGAGCTGCATCCTTCACGTGAATCTACCACGTTTAGTGATCTCAGCGCCTCCTCCGATGCAGTAAGTTGCACACTGCTGGTAAGTTGGAGGTGTCGGTCTGAAGTTGTTGAAACCAGATCGATCTGTCCGAGATCCAGATGGTGCAGAGCCATGTGAGCTGCATGTCGTCGTTGCAGCTGAACGTGCCTATACCAAGGCCACGTTGAGGACGATGAGTCTAATGGCGGGTGAGACGTCCTATGTTGAAAGGATGTGAAGTGAAGTTGGCTGGAAGCGAAAGAAGAGGAAGTTGTTGGTGTGAAGTGTGCCAAGACTGACTTCCGGGGAAACAGTCGGCCCGCTCTCAGCCGCGCTCCCGAGTTCGAACTAGGAGGTAGGTACCTGAGGCACCAGTACCCAGTAGAATACCTCATGTAGTGAAGTAGAACTATTCACCTCACCTCACCACATTTGGGGACGCGTGCCATATCACGATCATGGCATCTAAGAGCTCAGCCATACGGCATGTTCTACGGGCGAAGCAGCTCTCCCGGACGCCCTGGTGCCAGCACGGCCAGTCTCGCGCATTTGCCGCCTGTAGACCACTTCGCACCGATGGTGTCTTTCGCGCTCTGACGGGGGAACGGGTGCAGAAGCCATGGATTGAAGCCTTTCGGGAGCAGCAGTCCGGCCAGCATGCACAGGAAAAACAGCCTGCTACCCCGAAGGATCGCGACCTGAGCCCCAAAAAGATGTCGGACTCGTATCACAGTGTTGTAGGTAATGAGCCAGCGAGCTATGCTTTCCAGCACATGTGCTGATAGTGAAAGGTTTTACCGCTGGCTCAAGAACCATGGTGTAAGTCGATCACAAGTCATTGGTCTTGCCTGCCCTCTCATCCAATGCTCCACATACTTTGATTGGTGTCGTTCTACCCATGGGATACAGTAGATACTCAGCTAATGTTTGTGCCATGTTAGTACTCGACACGTACATGAACGCCAGTGGTCATCTTCGCATAGGTACGATCCTGATGGATCTCGATGCACTGGCCGGTGTCGTTGCGTACAAGCACACGGGAGACCATGTGACGACTGTGACTGCAGCTTTCGACCGGATCACGATTGAGCATCCCCTGACCGAAGTCTGCGATCTCGAGTATAGTGGGCAGGTTCGTAGCTTGCAGTTCTCGTCGCATGCAACATGGAATCTTGCTGATCCTCTTGCTGCTTTAGGTCACGTATGCTTCCGGCCGCAGTTCCATGGAGATTACTCTGCAGGTCGCCAAAGCTCCATCCGCAGGCCAGAAACCCCGGCCAGAAGACATCATGATGACATGTCAGTGCACCATGGTGAGCTTAGATCCTGCCACCAAGAAACCTGTCAACATCGCTCCCGTGAGAACCGATACACCTGAGGAGAAACGGGTATTTGCAGAGGGCGAAAAGAACGGACAGCGACGCAAAGAACTCGCGAAGCGTTCTCTCCTCAAGCAAACTCCCAACGACGAAGAGAGTGATCTCATTCATGCCATCTGGCAACGACAACTCCAATACCATGATCCTGCAGATCATGCACGGAAGCCAGCCAATGCGCATTTTATGGATTCTACCCAATTGCGAACTGCGAGTATCATGCAGCCACAATACCGTAAGCAGATGATGCCGAGGGTTCGACGATTGATCCATACTAAGCTTCCGTATACAGGCAATCGACATCACTTCATGATCTTTGGTGGCTTCCTGCTGAAACAGACATTCGAGATTGCTTTCTGCTGTGCTGCCAGTTTCGCACACACGAGACCGACATTCGTATCTCTCGATCCTTCCACCTTTCAGAACCCCGTCCCGGTCGGAAGCGTGCTATACTTGACTGCTACGATAGTGTATACCGATCCACCACTGATATCCGGACAAGCAGAGCAGCAGCCCACCACAGAAGGCCGCCCCGCGAACGCTCAAACGCGTGTCCAAGTGCGAGTAGACTCCAAAGTCCGCGACGTCGAACACGGCGTCGCAAAACCCACCGGTAAGACATGCATACCTTATAATTGGCAGACTGGACGGAGAACATGGCACTAATCATGATTCATTTTCACTTGAACCCGCTTAGGACAATTCAACTATACCTTCCTTGTCGACAAAGACATCAAAGTTCTCCCGAGATCCTATACCGAACATATGATGTACATTGACGCCCGTCGACGAGCTATGAGCGTGCGGGAGAAGGTTCAACAGGGCGATGCAGATTCTGGGAGTTCGGAACGAATTACTGAGTAATTGAAAAATGTCCCACGAGAAAGAAACAAAGAGTGGACCCCATATATAAAGGGCACGAAGGGAGCAACAACTAAATGTGTCTGAATAAATTTTCGAATATTTCAAAATCGTGTACGATCCATTCGTATCAATGCATATAGATATGCCCTCAATGCCTCTGTGAATACACAAAGGCGGTAGTATATGGAATCTCACTGTTACCAGACCCCAATATTGCTGGCCAAACCGCATACTGTACTAGAGCAGAACTACCCACCTGACTATACCTTAGGCTCTCGGTTTCGGATCGCGGGCAGCAGACTCAAGTTCCAACAACCTGTCCTGTCTACACATATTTCTCGTTATCGCCTCATATCCTTCACTAAAACATATCACACTATATCATGTACGAGTAAAGTGCACTTCCACCTAGGTACAACTGCGCTACCTTATATACTTGATTTAATATTACACCAACCTGCTGTACGAAAAGTAATGTTCTAGCCCTTGTTATACAGACCGCTGCATCAACGGCCCGAAAAGAGGGTCTTCTCGGTCGCCTATTCCCATTCCGCCGCCCGCCAACCGCTGCAGAGTTGAAAATAAATCTTTCTGGGAGTGAAATTTAGATTTCTTTTTTGTCACCAACACTGACGCAACAACAACCACAGCAAAAACAAAAATAACCTCAGCCATAACGACAACAACGACAACATGGCTGTGAATACTACTCGCAGCTCATGGCGGTCTTCAAGAACCTTACTCGTCTTTACAGCTACACTAGGGCTTTTTTCTGGTATGTAAATGTCAATCAAAAAAAGAAACAAACATGCATCATGACTTTTGAAGAAAACATGGAGATTTACTAACCATGTTGAGTCAAAAAACAACAGAGAATTTCCTCTATGGTATGTACCTTTTCCACATCATCATTGTCATCACACTAGACCAGTGGACACGCTCCTTTTTTCCCCCTCTTGGAATTATGAAAAAGAGAAAAAAAGGAAAACTCCTCTAAAAAAGAATTTCCCCCCGGATTTAATCAGGTTTCGTCGTCCCCATCCTTCCCTACATGATCGAACAACGCCTATCTCTAAATCCCGCATACACCCAACGCTTCACAACCGAACTCCTCTTCATCCTAGGTCTCATCTCCGTCCCCTCAGCGCCCATAATCGGGCACTTCGCCGACAAAACGCACAGTCGAAAAATCCCCCTCCTGATCGCTCTCTTCGGCTGCCTCGCCGGAACTCTCCTGGTAGCAACAACACTCTCCATCTGGGCGGTGTACGCCGGAAGAATTCTCCAAGGAATTTCCGGAACGGGAGCGTGGATTGTCGGGTTTGCCATGTTGACGGATGCGGCGGGAGCGAAACATATGGGGAAAACTTTGGGGTTGGCGGGGAGTTTTATTACCGCGGGGGTGATTATGGGTCCGGCGGTTTCGGGCGTGTTGTTGCAGTGGTTGGGGTATTGGGCTGCGTGGGCTGTGCCGTTGGGATTGCTGGGAGTGGATTTTCTGGCGAGGTTGGCGATGGTGGAGGAGGTGAGGACGAGTGCGACGCTGGAGGGGCGGGGTTCTTCTTCTGGGACGGGGGCGGTGGATGGGGATCGGGAGGAGGAGGAGGATGAAAGTGCGCCTCTTTTGGTCGGGGATGTGGGTCCAGATGAGGAAGTGAAGAAGAGGCAGCGTCGCGGCTTTTATCGTATTGTATTGAGCAACGGGACGGCATGGGCAGCAATGTTGAATGTCGTGGCTTTTGCAATGATTCTCTCCGGTTTTGACGCCACGCTACCTCTACACTTACGAGATGCCTTTGGCTGGGGTCCTGCGCCCATTGGGTGAGTACGCTCGCTCAATCAACCATTCGAGTGTTTTCTTTCTTAGTCTCTCTCCTGACAAAAGAGGAAAAGAAAAAGAAAAAGGAAGAAAAGAAGAAAGGAAAATCAAAGAAAGAAAAAGAAAAATCCCACTAACATACAAACCCCCCCAGATCCATATTCCTCGGCCTCCAAATCCCCTCCATGTGTCTCGCGCCCTTCATCGGCTGGCTGCGAGATCGCATCGGACTCCGTTGGCCCACGACCATCGGCTGGGTTCTCACCGCACCTCTCCTCTGGTTTTCAGGCGTGCCGGGAGATTCAGATTTCCTCGGAATTGGAGCGGATCGTCGAGGGCAAGGCGTGTTCGTCGCCACCATTATTGCCATTGGAATCTGTAGCTCGTTGGTTCGTGGGGCGGGCACGTTTCAGTTGACTTGTGAGTTATTGTTGATTGATTTCGATCTCTCTTTTCTTTTCTTTTATTCTTTTCTTTTTTTTCATTTCGCAGATTCACAGATTCAAGAGGAGACAAAACAAAGCCTACTCACTAACTAACTTTTTTCGTTTTTGCACAACGTAGCTACCCTTCATCAACTCCGCGCACAAGATCCCGACATCTTTGGACCGGGAGGCGGTGCTTCGAGAATGTTTTCGTTGACGGAGATTTCGTTCAATGCGGGTCTGATGCTGGGTCCGCTAGTGTGCGGCTCGATTTCCGATGCTTTTGGCTTTTACTATACGGCCTGCGTCTTAGGTATGTATGACATGTCTGACTACTACGCGACCGACCTCCTTGCTCTTTTTTTTTTATATAAATCGTGATTGCTGACGGAAGACACAGCTGGTGCTTCTGCACTTGTGGCGATTACCTCGTTTGTCTTTTTTACTCATCAGTCGCTTGTGCGCGAGCTGGATACCACCGCTACATGAGATAGATTACTGATACCACTGATTACCTGTCACAATGCACAAGCAGGGCTTTTGACTGCGCGGTGGATGTCTTTTGCAATCTTCTGATTACCAGGGGACCTGAAAGGTGAGTGTAAAGTATGATATCGAGTAATTGGCTCCGAAGTCCATAACTTGGTGCAGAGACACATGGCGGTAGTACTCACAACACGAGTACTCGATCGATTATGTGCGTCGCGCGCAGCACTTACAGAGGTTGCACAATTCCATTCCAAACACGGCGAGGTGAGCAGGTGATTTGAGGATGTGGGGAGGGGGAATGATGTGGGTGAGAGGTGCGGCGGATGTCTTTGAAAGCGTTGGCGCTCGGGGCCAAGCTTTGTGTTTGTAGGTGTGGGGGTTGAGTATTATGGGTGAGCATGGAGTGCGGCATGTGATGAAAGGTTTGTTGGCGGATTTGGATATTCTGATGAATGTGGCCAGTTGTCAGAGTATCGATGGATCGGATTAATCGGGATTGGTTGGAAAGTCATCCCAAGGGCCCGCGGGTCGTTGATACTGAAAAAGAGCAAGTTGTAAGCAGCAGTTGTGAAAAGTAATACATATACCTAAGGTACTCTACGAATCACAAGTGAGACACTCTATTCTTTTACAGGTCGAAACACCATTTTTGCCAGATAGAAAGCTCTCTATAAATCCCAACCTGCCCCAACGCCAACGCCAACGCCACTCCTCAGAAAAGCAAGAAAACACCCAGAAATCAGCACTCAATATCGACTCGAGAGCTCGCGACAGTCTCCAGAGCAGCAGAATCGAGATCCCACCCCAACTCTACCAAACGATCGTAGTGAGTCGTCCAGAGCGCGTTGACCTGGTCTCGGACTTTTCCAAACACCTCGGGGAGGCGAGAGAGCTCGTCGGGATTCATGTCCGCAACGGGTGTAGGAGCGACGCCGAGGCATTCGGCAAATTCGAGAGCCTGCCACCACGCCAGAGTGAGAGCTTTGGAATCGGCTGCCTTTTTCAAAACGATGAAGACGCTTGCCTTGCCCGGTCGGGAAGATGGGTCGCACCAGACGATGCATTGTGCATCGGAATAGAGTTCCAGGATGCGGTTGAGATGTTGCTGGTCGTCCACGCGTATAGACTTGGTGGTCTTGTGCTGCTGTCCGACGGCGGCCAAAAGTCTCGACATGGGCGCACCCACTGAGCAGTGGCCGATGGCTCGCCCTTCTCTGCTTCGGAGAATGCCATCGCGCTCGAAGATGAGCTCCTGGTCAGCGACTTCGATGGGTGTGGGAAGATGGCCTTTGCGCAGATGATGATATAGGAGCGTGGCACGTTGCCGGTTCAGAGTCTGCATCTTGACGGCTCGTACAGCACGTCTGTTGGTCTCGAGATGGATGGAAAGCAACAAAATTAGTGCCGTCCATGTGGCAACAGGCGTCTTGACCCAGGTGATGACCCAGCTACCGAACAGCATGCCTGCCAGGGAGATGACAGTTTCCTGACTCGAATCCTTTGCATTGAGCTCACCCAGATTGCCTTGCTTGGCAAAATGTGCACTCAGACTGGCCTTTGCGCTTCCCGCTGCGACTCCACACAAGGAACGAAGAATACTGCTGAAACTCAAGATAACCACACGCGTCGGCTTGGGGAAAATGGGCGACAGACAGTCGAGGACGAAGCCGGTGTCATTGAGAATGTCTGCCAGCAAGCGGTACATTTTGCACTCGGGTTCCAAGGACATGCCAAAGCGGTGCGCGAACATGATGGTGGTAATTCGACCGACTGAGTCTTGGAGGATGGACAACAGGAGCGCAGTGGTTGCATTGGCAGTTGCATCTCCGACGCCCACGCCTTCGAGGACCGCACGAGACGAGAGCATGGCAGCAATACTGCTGGAAAAGGCCTGCAAGGAGTCCTGGAAAACAGACGAGAAAAGTCAGCCTGCGAAGCGATGGGGATGGATTGACGCACACATCGAGGGACTCACATAGATTTGATACCTACATACCTTGGAGATCAGCAGATGGCATCGACACACAGACACACTATGTATGTCGACTCACTCCAAGTAGTCATCTGTGACACTCTGCGGGAATCCAACGGGGAGAAACACGTCTACAGTCTTGTGCCATAGGGAGGCAATCGAAATGGAATCCTCCGATCGCTACACCACCACCACCGTAAATCGTTCGTCCGTCAGTCAGTCTGTATACATCCACATCTGCCATATGTTGTTGCATGCCACCCACAATCACATCGATTCTGCTGCTCTCTTCCGTGCTGCCCCCCTCGCTCTGGATATATGTGGCCACCAGATTATCCGCGTCATCGTATTCCCGGATCCGGAGTGACTTGGCCGTCGCCATATTCAACTCGTGCTCGAACTCGCACTCGCAGCGCCTGGTGATGTCGGCGTGGAAAGAAGATTGTTATTATTTGATTATTATTATGATTATTCATGCCAGATGGTCTCAGAATGTCATGCCCCTGAATTCCTGAATTCTGTTTCGTGCAAGGTGCAAGGTTGTACCGTATCCTTCAAAGATGACTAAGCTTCGCGATCGCATTTCGGGAGCTCGGGAGCGGAGATGACGATAGTGTACTCTCTCCACTTTACACTAACTACTTTACTTTACCTTACCACGTTAACATATGAACTAATTCACTTTACCCACTCATTCACTCAACCTCTGCTAGCGGGCTCTCAGCTTCACACTCACCCCGTTCCAGTATGGCCATATCCGCCATGGAACTCATCCCAGGCATCCTCCCCCCCTCTCGGGAGAATTGGGAACTCATCGTCTACTACTGGCAATTCTTCCCACTAGTTCGTCTACCCCCCCCCCATCCATTCATCCAAAAAAAAACTCCTACTGTTCTCACTAACTCCTCCCCCTCTCAACAGCTCACAGCAGTCCAATGGCTCATAGACTTCTACCCTCAAGGCAAAACCTCCATCGACTCACGCTTCAACCTTCCCGGAAAATGGGCCTGGTTCATCATGGAAATTCCCGGATTTCTCATCGTGCTCTACTGCGCATTTACCCTTCCCGTCAAACTCGGTCTCTCCTCCCCCTCCTCCTCTCCATCAGCAGCAGAAGGAGGAGAACAAGGTCTCCCCTACGCAAACTGGACAATGATAACCCTCTACACAATCCACTACATCTACCGCGCAATTCTCTCCCCCTTACTCCTCAATCCATCCATGTCTCCCATCCACCCCATCGTATTTTTTTCCGCTTTCGCCTGGCAAGTCCTCAACGGCCTTTCCCTCGGCGGTTGGTTAGCAGGCTATGGCCCCACAACCGTATACGACTGGGCAGGAAGATTATATACCATGGAAATTGGTCTTGTCATTTTCGGTTGGGCGTTTTTGGGAAATATTTTTCATGATGATGATTTACGTGAGATTAGACGTGCTGCGGGAAGAAGACAGAGGGAACAAGCAGCAGCTGCGCAGGCGGAGGCGAAGCAGTCTCCATCTCAACCTCCTCAAACAGAGGTAAAACCCCAAGAAGGAACAACAACAACAACAACAACAACAACAGAAAAACTCTACATGCTCCCCAAAAACGGCCTTTTCCACTTCATTCTGTACCCGCACTATCTCTGCGAATGGATCGAATGGTTTGGATTCTACATGATTGGCGGTTGGGACTGTATTCCCGCTCGGACTTTTTTACTTAATGAAATTTCTACCATGTTGCCGAGGGCGTTGGCCGGCAGGAGATGGTATGTGGAGAAATTTGGAAAGGAGAGGGTTGGGAGGAGGAAGGCGATTATACCGGGGATTTTGTGAGGAAGAAATAAAAAAGAGAAGGGGGGAGGGGGACATATGATGATGAGGGTTTAAGAGGTGATGATGGTTGATGGGGGAAACCTGAGGAGTGGAGATGGAGAGGGAGGGGGGATTAATCATACCTGATCTTTCGAGAAACAAAGAAAAACGAGAGACTCGACTCGACGAGCACAAGAAGAAACGAAACGGGTTCAAAACTACTCTACCTTACCTTACCTCACCTTATTGTTACAAAGAAGTATGATTCTTTTCGCAAAAAATCTTTGTACTGCGAGGAAAAAAGAACCCAAGCAGCCTTTTTGTTTCACTAGTTACTAGTTACTAGTTACTAGTTACTAGTTACTACTACTAACTGCTAGTACCACCTACTACTACCGACCGGTATTCAACTACCTTATTCACTTGCTGGTTCTGGTTCTGCGAGACCTAGGTATACTACTGCTTTCTTCCTTCCTTCTTTCCTTCCTTCCTTCCTTCCTTCCTTCCTCCCTTCCTTCTTTCTTTCTTTGCTGATAATAACCAGACCAAGCGAAAAAAGAAAAAGAAAAAAATAGTTATAATCATAGGTACCACACTGTTGTTGTTAATCATATGCAAAACCCCCCTTCCCCCAACAAGAGAACCGCCAAAAGGGCTTCCTTTTTTCCGTTGTGTTCTCTCCAATTTCTGCTTTGGGCCTCCATCCATCCATCCATACAAATATGCAAAAGAAAACACCAAAACCAAAACACTAACAAGAAGATGTGGAGATAACAGACGCAAGGCAAGCAAGGCGAATGAATTCTCATGCCATATAAAAATCAAAATCTCCCTGTTCAAACACCACGCCTCCTCCTCCTCCTCCTCCTTCTCCTCCTATGGTGTTGGAGGTCGAAGTATTTGTTCCAGAGGTAGAAGGATCATGGTCGGAAGAAGCCAATTGCTCTAATAAGCTCAAAAAGGGTTCGTTGTCGTGTGAGAGTGAGAGGGCTTCTTCTTCTTCTTCTTCTTCTTCTTCTTCTTCTTCTCCCTCTCCTTGTTCTTGGGGAGGATGGTGGTGGTGAGGATGATGATATTGGTGATGTGAAGAAGAAGAGGGAGAGTCGGGGGCAGGAGCAGTAGCTGCATTGAGACCACCACCAGTGAAGTTATTATTTCCTGGGGGAGTGGTTTGATGATGTTGATGATGTTGATGAAAGGAGGATTCAAACGCTGCTGCTGCTGCTGTGGGAGTTTTGCCGTGGGATGTTGTACTCGGTGGAGAGAAGGCAAAAGTAGATGGCGTAAAAGTGTCGTCTCCTTGGTAGAGCATGAGAGGATGATTCTGCTGCTGCTGCGACTCGTCTGCTCCTCCTCCTCCTCCTTGAGAGTCACTACTGTGTTGTTGTTCATCGATAATGGCCATTTCGGAAGAAGTGTGCGATTGATGATTCAGTTCGAGAGAATCTGCGACAAATTCCATTCGGGGAGTGCCGTGGGCAAGGGTCGGTGCTGTGGCGCGTCGTCGGGTGGGTTTGCGCACTGCTGCCCCGGGAAGGCGAGCTCGCGAGAAAGGTTGAGGGGGCACGGTGGTGGTAGCTTGGTGGTATGTGCTTGTCGTCGTCGTCGTCGTTCGCCACGCGTGGTCGATATCGTGGATGGATGCGAGTCCCTCGTGGATTTCATCGAGGATGATGTCGGAGAAGCTGACGTGGGCACCATCGATATAGCAGCCGGGATATCGATCGAAGAAATCTTCCATTTGGAAGGCGGGAGAGAAGCGCATGGGATTGCTGGACAGTTGCTTGACGAGTTGTGCATGGCTGGCGTATACTGCTTGCAACGTGTCTCGCTGATGCTGCACGCCGGCCCAGATCGATCGGAGCTCATACAGCATTGCCATTTCTCGATGCAGGAATTCCGCGCTCTGGGAGAAGGTGTCTCCTCCTCCTCGATAGGACAAGTAGTGGGCACCGTGTACGTGTATCGTGCCGGCCGTACAGACTGCATAGCCGACAAAGGAGGGCCAGTCCAGAAGTGCTGTATTCCTTCCGATCTCGACCAACTCTGCAATGGCATTGGCGTGCAATCCGCACAGATTCGTAGCCTCGATTTGCCAGGACTGATGCTGACCCGTTCCCGACAGTTCGGCCAGATCAATGGGCAAGAAGGGGCGGTAGATCAGGCAGTGGATCAGGTGATAGATGAGCTTGCTCAGCACCAGCGTCGAGGAGTCATGCGATCCGAATAAGGTGTCAATCGATGTGAAGATGTCCTGTGTCGCGGCTGCCCAGTGGTCCAAACTCGATCGTATCTTCGACAAGGTGGAGTGTGTATGCCACGGGAAATGCGAATCTCCCTTGACACCGCCCGCAGCCAGATATCGATTGGTGATGCCCAGGACGTGCACAATCTCAATGAGCATGGCCCCGCTGCCCTGAGCAGCATTGGATACAGCCGAGAACTGGCCATTACTGGGAAAGAAATTGCCATCGACCAAGACTTGAGATCCGGGAGGCTGCCACGCCGGCAGTCGCAAGTAAATGGACTCGTCGGCGATGAGAGACGGTCTCTTGCTCCCACTGATTTCAAAGCGGTCCATGAGATAGCACGTCCAGAACAATTTCCGGCGGCCTTCTCGTTCCGAGGGGGCGATTCGCAGTTCCGCGGGCAGTTCTCGATGGAGATTGAGGGCCAAGGCAATGCTCACGGAATGCGTGAGAGACATGTAACTTCTCTTCCCTCTGCCATTCTGGAAGTTGGCAATGGCGAGCAGCAGTAACGCCTGAAGGTTGTCAATGTTGGGCTCGTCCACATCGATCTGCGACCTCGCTCGCACAACACATTCCTGACTGGCTCTCATGGCACCCGCCTGCCCACCGCACAAGTGGGGCAAATAGCGAATCGCCACCGCGTGAATGGCGTCGATGAGAAAGACGGGTAATCGACCATCACGGAGCCTCTGGCGCGTAGCTGTCTCATCCAGAATATAGTAGGGTTTATCGTGCAGCCGGGCAAAGTAGGTGTCGAGCAAGGCACTGGTGAAGGCCATGGCCTCTCGTCGTGCGGGTGGCGCCGACGTGATCGGTCTCGGAATGGATCGCGGTGGCGGATGCATGATGGGCTCTGCAAAATCAAAGTCGAGCATGGGCGATGCAGGATGAGGATGAGGATGAGGAGGATGAGGAGCAGGAGGCTTCTCGACCTCCTCACTGCTCTTCTGTGAGCCGTGCTTGTCGCTCTCAGAGCTCGTGGGCGATGCTCCGGGGGAGGCTGACTTTTTCTCGTCCTTTAGTCGCTTCTCCAGACCATTGACACGTTTGAGCAACGCCTCCAGAACATCCGTCTTGGGTCCTCGTTTCTTCGGAATGGCGTCTGGAAGAAGAGCACATGTCAGTCGTCGAGTCTCGATGGTGCAGATGAGCTGGCGTACCGTACCGTAGATGCACGAACAGCTAAAGACCTGACACGCTTCACAGCTGGGCTTCGTCCGGTTGCACTTGATCTGGATCCTGCCCGTCAGCATCATCGTTTCTACCTCATTCGAGAGTGCACTCGACGTGTGGCAACAGAGGAGGAGGAGGAGGAGGAGGAGGAGAAGGAGGAGGCCAGGCAAGGCAAAGCACACACTTTTCGCTTGCGACAGCTTTTGCAATTCATCGCCTCCTTCTGGTCCGCACTGCTCTTCCTGACCGGCAGGCGCTCAATGGGCCTCGGGACCGTGGCCATGTCGTTGGTCGTGTGTTGTGCTATGGCCATTGTAGTCATGTCATCGACGACCAGTCCCATCCAGATCCCGCAGAAGCATCACTCAGGTCGGCTGAGTGAGGTAGGTGAACACAGGCGTCTCTGGCCAAAGCCGAGGAGCTTGGAGGATCGGGGAATTAATCTCAGAAAAGAAAGATGCACACAGACACACACACACACGCACCCCAGGCAGAGTGAGGTAGGGTAGGGTAGGTAGGGCAAGTTAATGGAACAAATAGGTGTGGAGCCGACTCAGCCGAAGCACGCTACCGCCATCGGATCTACCACTGTGACCACCCCTCGCCGGCTCGTTAGTCGTTAAGGTGTCTAGGTAGGAGGTAGTGTGGTAGTGTAGCTATATTGAGTGTGAGACCCCTAGAAAGTAAAGACACCTCACGTCCCCAAGTTACATCTCGAGATGGTTAGAAAGGGAAGGGGATTAGCAGAAGAAGCAGAGAGATCACGGGCACGGGGGCGGGGCGGGGGCAGATCTGCTGCGTGTGCCGTGTATGAACCCTGGAAGAAGAAGAAGAAGAAGAGGAAGAAGAAGCAGTACAACAGAGATGTACAGTAGTACTCCTGGGTCGTATACGCATCTGCGCCTGCGGGTGATCTATTTAGCCCCCCCTCCCCTTCCCCCTCCCCTCTCCCCCCTCCATCCCTGAAAGTGCTTTATTTTGCTTACTTGCTGGCTTGCTTACTTTGCTGCTGCTGCTGCCTTTCTCAGGTAGGCAACATAGCCGCAGAGCCCTACTGTGAGTCTTGGTGCACGTCTGTAAGCCCTAGTGTACGCGAAGTGGTCTTGATTTTTTCTTTTTTTGAATACTGCTCAGCACGTAGTAGTAGTAGTTCACTAGTATGGTGATGATGATGATAATAATAACCATCATAACGAGAGAGAGCGAGCGTGATGGATCTACCCTAGTCACATTATTGTTGTTGTTGTTGTCAACACATCTTCCTCTCTCACCAGTCGCCTGTATGAAAAAAAGAAAAAACCAAAAAAAAAAGAGCCATCTGTCAATCTGCCCAGCCGCCCAGCCCAACCCAATCCCAGGGCGACAACAATAATTGGTCGCACAAACAATAAACTTCTTTCTGGAAGCGCGCACAGCAAAGAAATCCCCAAAAATGAGGGGAAAAAACGAGAGTGAATGTAACAGGTACTTTCTCCCAGGTACCTCTCTCTTTCACTTTACCCCGGAGCGAATGTGTGTGAATATGCATTTAACCAGGGGCGGGGAATAGATTGACATCCATCATCCATGAGCCAGCCCCCAACCCCAGCACTAGCCAAAAAAACAACGTGCCAACGTGGTCAGTCAGGTCCACGGGTACAGTCAGGTAGGGTCATTCCCTAGCTCATGTGCCCAAAAAAAGCTCCAGGGTTTTCTTTTCTTCTCCAATCTCCATTATTATTCATTCCCGTGTGGACTACACGTTTCAAACACATGGCAGCAGTACAACCAGACCAAATCCACTTTTGCACTTTACACTCACTTAAGGTACTCCGCTTTTTTCGGTATTTCGGGAATTTGCGGGTCCCGTCCCGTGTAAAACACCATGTATACTGTACTGTACAGTATGTATGTAGTACAAAAAAAACGCATCCTACCAGAGACCAGACAAATGATCGCTTCCACGTTTCGCTTCGTTTCGTTTCTCGTTTACATAAATGATGAATTAATGACATGTCTAGACATCATACAAGAGTAACATGACATGAAAAAATGAAAATCAAACCAAACAATACTCCGAGACGCGAGTCTGGTCTGGTCTGGGCCCAACTTCGTCAAGCAAGCGAGCGAACCGAACCGAAGAGAAGCGAACGAAGGGCTGCGAAGGGCTGCGAAGCGAAGATGGAAAATTTTAGTTTAGCGAAGCCCCCAGACTAGAGAGAGTTGGATCATGGATAAATAAGGTAGGTAGGTAAGGTAAGGTAAGGTAGGTGGAGAGGTTGCGGGGGGGATGATCATGGGTTATGGGATGGAGATGGGGGTGTCATTCAGACATTCAACACATTCAAGACATTCATTCATTCATAGACTTGTACAATCGTTACTAACTAACTAACTACAGTAGTAAGTAGTAGGTAACTTACCTACCTAGTTTCTCAATACCTGAGAGGCTGAGATAGTTTCTTTTTTTTTGTTTCGCTATCTATAAGCAAGCTTTTGCCGACCTTTTGCTTCGAATGAATCTAGTCTATCTCTATCTATGTCTATCTCTATGTCTATCTCTGAGACTCCTACTACCTCCTACTAGGTAAGGTAGGTATAAATACATATCGTATCTATCGATTTCTATCGTATTTTCCCTACAGTACTACAAGTACACATGTATAGGCTTAACTTTTCCGGGTGTCTAGAATGTCATTGCCCATTGCCCATTGCCCATTGCCCATTGCCCATTGCCCATTGCCCATTGTCGTTGTCGTTGCCATTGCCCGAGACAAAAAGGTAGAAGGCTACCTTAGGGTCAATGAATGACTACCTACCTACCCACCTACCATCCACTTCGAGGAAAAAGAACAGCCTAGGACCGTACGGCGTATAAGATACATGTACAATCACCACACTACAGTACAGTACAGTACATCTACATGTACCTACCCAATATACATATCAATACGGCAAACCCAGTAGAAACCGCCGCCCCCCCAGGGAACGGATGAGGAGTGGAGGGTCATGTGCAACTGTGCAGACATGCACTGTACAGGAACAGACAGGCCAGACATGCCCGACATGCACTGTGCAGGGACAGACAGGCCAGGCCAGTTGTGGAGAAAGACTTTTACTTTTTATTTTTTCCTGGAGACGAGACAAGACCCTTGTTCCATGGACGGTTAGGTTCTCTCGTGTTTGTCGCTACCGCCTAGGAGGGCTGTAGTACTAGGTAGGAGGGGACGTGTGTGTGCCTGTTGGGTGGGTGGGTGACACGAGAAGTTTTTAATTTTTTGGGGGGGTCTTTTTTGATGGTGGTGGGTGATGATGATGATGAAAGTGCCGAGTTGCCGAGACTTGTAAGTGTAAGTGTGTGTGTGTGAAGAGAGACGAGAAAGAGAGAGAGAGAGAGAGAGGGCAGGGCTTGGGTGCCCTAATCAACCTCAGGTAAGGTACGAATGGATTGCGGTTGTGTTACGATATGTACTTTAGGTATATAAGGTAGGTACTTCCCATTCGTTTGAGTCGTTTCAAATCAATTCAATCAATTCAATTCAATCATTACCACTCTTTCACCAAACAAACAAACAAACCCTTCCACTCCCTTCTCAAACGCCACTGTAAACGAACCACTACATACACGTACCTCAGGTAAGGAAACAATACCGTACCATCACCTTAAGGCACCTTACCTTACTGTAGCTTCACATATACAACCCCCTACCAGCAGCCAATCTCACAAAATCACACGAAACATTCTCACCCACAAGACCGCGAAACGCCTCTCCAATCGTCCACGCAATACAGTCGGCGTACGTAAAAGTTTTCCAACCGAGAGTTTCTGCGATTGAGATTGTATTGTTATTGCCATTGTTATTGCCATTGCCATTGCCATTGCTGCTCTGGTGGAGGACAGCTCCATGTGCGAGATCAATGAAAATCTTCCCTTTAGATGAGATGCACTGCGTGTCATGACGATGGTGATGAAGAGTTCTCGTATAATGTTTCAAAACCGGCACCGCAGCCATAGAACGCTCAACCGACAGCGCAGAAATGACCACGAGAGGTTCATGAACGAGATCCAAATCTCCGAGTCCCTGCAGTTGCTTATGACCAGCAGTTTGGAAACCAATAGTGTAAATAGCTGCAACATGCAAACTCGTCAATGCATACATGGCCGCGGCGGCCTGAGCTTCCGAGCTCGCGAGGACAATTGCGGAGCGGCCGGGAAATGCACTGGGGATGAAATCTTTTGTTAATGTGGCTCGGATACCTTTCCAGGTGACGTTGTCTGCGATTAGGGTTCGGCCATTGTTGACTGTTGTTTGGACAAAGATGGAGTCGACTTGTCCGATTGTTGAGGCGGCTTCGGTGAGTGTGGGTAAGTATGGTGCAAACTCGACTGGCAGTGGTGGGTTAATGTATGCACCACCAAATTGCGCTTTTGCAATGTATGATTGGATGGAGCATGTCTGTGGTTGATCGACGCAGAGGAGACGATGAGGGAGGCTGACTTCATTGAGACACTTTTCGAGGAATTTGGCATGACCATTGTCCAGTACGCGGCCCACTGCATAGACCTCCAATTCGGGCTTTTGCCCGAGAGATTGCAGCATGGAATTGATCTCTGCGGCGCTGAGTTGACCGGGAGCAGCAATCATGGGCATGAGCGGATGTGTAATTGGCGTAAACACTCTGTTCAGAGTGCGCGAAAGCTGGCCAGCGGCACTCATATTCAAGCCCGAGAAGAGCGGAAACGAGGGGCCTTGGACACTGTGACGGAAGAACTCCAGTTCGTAATTGTCCTCGACGTCACTGACCAGAGCAATCATCTTAACAATGTCGCCGTAGAGTGCGCTCTCGTGAAAGATGCTGTGCGCGACGGGCGAGGTCCATTTGAATCGGCCAGAGAAGTCGTGCCAGGCAGATATGATCTTGCTATGTCCTTTCTCCGCAGCGAGTTTCCGCCTAATGTCTTCGGGAAGCCATAATTCCACGTCGATATACTCGCAACCCCACTGGATGGCTTTGCGGAGGTAAGTGTAGTACAATTCCGGGTCCTCCATGGGAAATCGGCCATTTTCTCTGGTACATCTCGTCGTGAAGACAATGGGAAGTTCTGTTCGCTGTCGGAGCAACATCACCTGTTCGCCCACATACTGGAGGCCTGGCACGGCTTCGAAATGAGCCTTGTCGCCGCCCGGCTCTCGCAAGAGGTCCACCCGAAGCTCCACAGCATCTGCGCCTACAGAAAGAATGCCCATGTTGGGCAGAGCGGCGCGAATGTCTGAGAAGGTCGTCGAAAGCATGGTCGTCCTGGCCTTCTTTCTCAACTCTTCGTGCGGCTTGTACTGCCCCAGCACAAAAGCCAGGAACCGGGCGAGATCATGTCGGATGAGGGCCGTTTTCGTGTAGAGATATTCGTAGTCACAGCAGTCCGTCAGAGATTCGTCACTCCCTTCCTGTCTACAGGTATCGACGCAGTGCGTAGCAATCACTGTTCGACCCATGTCTCGCAACGCATCCGTCGCCATGATGCTGCCACTCTCCACCCCCAGCACCACGACCTCCTCGGACCAGTCCTGAGCACTCTCGAGCTGGTGTGCCAGAGCATAGGTACAACCCAAGACATCTGCGACCGTGCTCGTGATTTCATCTTCACCAGTGTCGAAGAGGACGAGCAGTCGCGGAGGCTCATTATGGATGATTTCAGGAATCTTCATCACTCCATAGGCTCTGTTCGTGGCAGCAGGCATAGCACCTACTGCCATTTGCAAGAAGAATATGTATATAATCTGCTCTCGCGACTGCACGTCACCTAATGGAGATATCACTAGCACCGTGGCCTGTGGGAAGAAGGATATATAGTTAGCAACGCATTCAGCCCGCCCATGCATGCATATACTGGTCTGCTTGGTGGGTGCAGCTCTACGACTACTACTACTGCTCCTCCTACTACTCACCGAGATGAATGCTCTGTCGGACCAGCTGGGCGTCAGTCTTCACCACACACATGGCGCGTGTATGTAGCCCGCCCGTAGCTTGATTCCACCCAGGTGAGATGGAACAGAGGGATAAAAATTGAATAAATGAATAAAAATGAACAGATAGATTGAATGACAGCGCGAAGCGCGAAGTATTCTTGTTGTTTATACCGCAGACCACCGTCCTTGTTTCTTTTTTTTAATTGCCCCGGGATGATGGCAACGACGGAAAGATAGGGAGAAGAAAACCCAACCCCAGAATAAAAAAAAGGCGTCAGGTTAAAGGTACAGTAGAGAGATGGAAGCTTTTTCTCTCAACAGAAAAATCTCAATAGGGAGGATCTCTAGTCCGCCCACGGAAGTTTCGCTGCTCGTCCCAGGAGCTGACGACAGCCTCCCTCTGCCTCTGCCTCTGCCTGTCTCCCTCGTCGCTGTCTCCGTCGTCGCCGCCGGCTAAATAGAGGGGGAGTTTTGGGCTAGTTAAAGGGAAAAATGTGTCGGGGCGCATTCCACGAATCAGGCAGAAGATCAAGGCACCCTCCCCCCACAACCAACTGCAAAAAAGGCCGGCCCTGGTTCAAACAGCGATCGGCCATGGCCCCGCCTCCTCCACACACAAAAAAAGTCTAAGCGAGCGAGGCCTTGTCCTCCCGGGCATGGAGACTTTTCAACGTGTGAAGACGTGTCATGGGATAGTCTACCTTATCAGAAAGTGCACGGGAGAGTATGTAGGCCAATCCTACCTACCTACTGTTATACCTATGTCTCTTTCAATGCTTTACTTTATGCTAGCAGCTCCACCGCGATCACATTTCGATAAGAGCATACTACGAAGTTATTCTCTTCCCACTGACCCCCTCCCTTCTACCAGTATGTTCCAAGGTATATATACCATGAACTTCCCTGCTGGAATTCGTTCTTAACGAGGGAGTTCTGTGCTAGCTTCCAGTATCATGGCTGGACTCTATTTCTGCTCACTCCCTAGAGAGAAGCTTACACTCATATCGCCGTGACAGGCAGCTCGTAGGTCAGTCTGGCAAAGAAGAAAAGACGATGGATCAGTAAGAGCCCATGGCATCGCGAAAGGCTTTCTGTCCCCTCTCGAGAATGATCTTGTGTCCTTCCAGGTGAGCGCGCTTGTGCGTGACGTCTTCGGCCTCGGCTGCGAAATATTCGACTTCGCGGTCGGCCATGTCGTTGATCATCAGTGGAGACAATGTGTCCTGCGCAAGGTTGTGCAGGAGGTGACGCTCGATGACCTGGTCGGTGACGGCAGTGATGAAGTAGCGTACCTTGTCCTGGAGATGGGTCAGTTGAAGGGACCGATAGTCACATTGCGATATCAGTCGACTTACCTTGTAGTAGGCCAGCTGGCTGTCCAGTGCGTCCTCCGCCGATATCTTGTCCATGTCGAGCTCAGTGGCCTCCTTCAATCCATTGGTAAGGAGCTCAGCATTAATGAGCGTTTGCTTCCCACCATCTTCTACATCGACTTCCACCTTGGCCTGATCCATCAAAGCTCGGATCCTGGCCATTGTCTTCTGAGCGCGGGCTTCTTGCACATGTGCTGTGTAAGAGGGATCGTACGTAATAGGCTGACGAAGCTTGTCCTGAATCAGCTGATGTAGCTCTGCTTTAGCATTCGCCTGACGCTGCCTCATAGTCGGGTCTACTCTCTCACCCTGTAGCTTCGCCGATACATCTTCGGAAACGACCTCATCTATCGCAGCCTTGACGACAGCGGCACACAGTGTAGCGATTTTATCGATGTGGTAGGCAGCGAATGCCTCCCAATTCTCCGACTGTTCCCGAAACAGCTGGGACATCAGCAGAGGGTTGAAGTTGCCAGCTAACTCACGGCCACGAGTTCGAACGAGAATCTGCTTGACCCAATCTACGGCTTCGTCCCGCAGACGAGTCTCTTGAAGGTCCTTCACAGCTGCGTAATCTTCGATAAGATCTGGCTCGGGCAAGTCATTTGGCGAGTTGGTGCCGGCGGTACTTTCCGTGCTCCAGATCCGATACTTGTGGCCATACTGACGCATCTGGCTCGCAAATTGCAGATTCAGATATTGGACCGCAGCGCGGAGACGCCGAAGGTTGGACAAATCTTCGACACTGTTGTCAATGTCGATCGGACCGAAGAAGGTGTGTTCGTAGTGGCCATCGACAGCGCTCGACACGATGGCCTGATATGAAGTGGCAATGCCCATCAGAAAACGTTTCTGCTCGGCAACCGTCGATCGCTTCTCGCCCAGGGCGTCGAGGGCTGCTATAGTATGGGCGTGCTTGGCCTTGAGCTCGCCCAGAAGATTGGGAAGCTCTTTCTTCAAATGCTTGAATAGCAGCTTCGATAGCTTGGTGCGAAGCGACGAGACTCCCTTATCGCTCTCTGGCAACTCGCGGTATCCTCCAGTGCTGAAGAAAGCACGCTCGGACCAGTTGCGTGCTTCAAAGGATGTATCTATCTCGTCTTCCGCTCGATTCTTCAACATGTGCCAGCCAAGCTCGAAGTAGATGTCATTGTTCTGAGCAAGATTGATCCATGTCTTTTCATTTGCAGAGCCGGGCCGCAAGTAGTCTGGCTTCGAGATGATTCCCAGAGTACGCTTACCGTCCTTGTCGACCTCCTTGCACTTGGTGAGGATGCCTTGGTTGGCGTAGTCGTCCTTGGCAGAGATGACGGCGAGCATGATGGTGCGCTTCTCCTTGATGTAGTCTCCGACAAGAGAGTGAATGAGCTTCACGTCCGCCTCTGTCTGATCCTTAGTAGCCGACAGGATCAGGCCAGGAAGGTCGACAAGTGTGAGTTGAGGGCGTTCCGGGCCCGCGATCTCGACACTCAGTACATCACGAGAAAATGCGCGAGGAGAGTTCTGATCTTGAGAGCCGTTGGAAGCTGCATTGAGGCCCATCAAGTCGGTCGCGGTCTCGATGAGATCTGGCAGTTCGGTGAAGTCTGAGATACTGCCGCTGAATGCTGACAGCTTAATCTTCTCGGCTTCTGGGCGCGCGCTGTCTGGGATGATCTTGGTGTGGATTGACTCAGTCTGGTCACGACGCAAGATGATCTCTGTTGCAAATCGAGTGCAAAGGTTCTCCTTGCGCGGGAATGGGACTTCCGTGATGGCCTCGAGCACTGAAGACTTGCCCGACGACTGGTTACCGCATACTACAAGCTGGGGCAGAGGAAGTATCGATCCCAGGCCGCAGGTGCGGAGACGGTCGACCATGTCCAGAATCTGGCGGTATTCCTTGCTCTGCAGGCCATCAAGCGAGGCTGTCGCAAGCATCTCAGCCACTTCGTCGACATCCTCTGACGCGGGCTTGTGTAGTGTGTCGTTAGGCATGGCGAGTGATACCCTTGTTTGATGTATTTGTGATGCGATGAAGGTGAGTAGAGTAGAGATCTTGGTTGATGCTAGAACAGCGGAAAGCGTGCAAGCAAACTTAGGATTCATCCTTCGTTGTTACGAGAAGGTGAAGTGAAGTTCGCGACCCACAAACAGCGTTTGCTACAGCGTGTTGCGGGTAGCCGCGCGAAGGTGATTGAGGCATCGTTCGTTCGGCGTCTGACGTTTGAATCGCGAGAGGAACGGTACAGTACCCGTAGGTACCTAGTTGCCGCTGCGCGCTGGTATTGCTCTCTTGGGATGCTGTTCCATTAGCAGAATAAGCTTTGCGGGAAGCAGCGTGGACAAGAGTACCTCCAAGGCCGAGGTTTCACGTACAATTCAGAAGTGGAATGCGGAATTCCAAGTTGCTTCTGGTGCCCTGCTGATGAAGTCTAGAGGGAAGGATCCTAGCAGTCGAGCGGTGAGCCCGAGTTGCAGGACGGCAACAACGGACATGGGGTGACCCTCCCCGCCTCCCATTCTCACGTTGAGCCCCAGCTGCTACTTTCGGTGCATATACCTTGCCGTTTGCTGCTGGCAACAAAAGACCTCACCGCCATCAAAGCCTGTTTTGCATCATCACCTCTGATGAACATCAAGAACAAAATCCTAGCATTCGGCTCCGCTGCCGTGGTATATATGCAGCGAGATGGAAGAGAGTGGTGTTGTAGACTTGGCTTGTCCTTCTTTAGGTAAGGTACTCTTGGTGAGCACAGTCATATACAACTATCGTAGCTCGAGTACTCCATCAATTCTACCTGTTCTGTCAAAAGGTCAATAACCTTGCGATCCCGATCATCCCAAGGTCGATTCGTTTTGGCGAAACTATAGTTTTGCATCAGCAAATACAACATTCTGTCTACATGTCCAATTCCTGATCCACTTACATCGTCTCATAAGGGTGCAAGCTACTTCCCTGATACATTCCCGAGTGGAGAACATCGTCACCTGGTAGAGGAGGAGTCGAAGTTATCAGCCATGCCATTTGAAATAAAAGGAAAAAAAAAGAAAAAAAGAGTGAGAAGAAAACAAAAAGCCAACAAACCTCTACCATCATCAACACACCATTCCAAAAACGCCGTAGTATTCTTCTTCGTAGTTCCCGCATGAGATGCAAATCGTCCCTCCATCGCAAACGCATCATAGCCCGCAGCCAAAATCACCGGCGTAATTTGCACTTCTCCTTCGTGGACAGCGCTCCACATGTTTTCATAGCATTTCAAGTGAGGTAATAAGAGCTTCTGGAGAGTTTCTCGATCAAAGGCAAAAATCATACTCTGCACGTGGGGTGGAAAATCGTCGTGGCCATTGGCGCAGTTCCAGGTCATTCCTATAGTATACACACACAGTCAGAGAGGGGGAAAGAAGAATAGAAGATTGGAGAAGAGCAGAGAAAAAAAAAGTAAGGAAACTCTTTTTTTTTCGTGTCATCACATATTTGAACTTACCAACAATCTTTGTTCTCGCATCGAGTTTGTCCCAATACGCATCACTCCAACAAGTTTTGGCTGCCCATGGCGGGAGAAAAGGGCCTCGGAGGGATGCGTTGATGAACATGAATCGCTTGTATGCGTTGACGAGGGTCATGTTGGCCTCCAAAGTCTCTTTGTAGCCTCCGAGATCGAAACATCGGTTCTCTCTCTCGACGATTCGCACATTGGGGAGGGCGTGGAGACTTGTCAGATTGAGAGTATGCTCGCCGTTGATCATGATGATGAAGTCGGCTTTGGCGTGCAATGCGTGCTTGCGGAAGAATGCGAAGTTGGTCGCTGCTTCTTCGGTTTCATGGTAGGAGTATATGATCAGGTCTGGGGACTTGTCCATGTGCTCGTCTTCTGGTTTTTCTTTTTCTACTTCCAAAGTATCCTTTTGTGCAAATACCTCCGCTGGAGGCGGTAGACGATGGAGTGCTATTAAAAACAAACAACAGTCAGCAGCTGAGTGAAATTTCAATGCGAGCAAGTCCTCCTCTACCCAATTCTTTGGTTGCGAGAGTCGATCGTAGTCGAGCCAGAGATTTCTCGGCGGCTGCTAGCTGCTCGGTGTGTCGCATCTCATGGTGATAATAGAATACTGTCATGAAAAGTAGCGCGCAGATCAATATTAACTGCACCGGATTATTCTTCGCAGAGATCATGATGAGAATTGGGTTCGATGAGCTAGAATGACTATTGAAGGCAGCCAATTGTCAGGTACTTATAAAGGCTTGCCATGAAGGTACATGTAGCACATAGTACTATGCACTCTGCTAGAAGTGGACATGCTGGAATCCACTGCTGTTGCGCAGCGCAAGGGATGAATCGTCTTGTACATGTTTCACGCGGTGAGTCTTGGCGCCTTAGGCATTTCGGTCTTGTGAAGGAGCATGATATATACCAGGTAGTCTTGTTGCCTAAGGCTGCAACTTTGGCTTCAACTGGCAAGCATCAACGAGGCACAAAGACCCAAGCCGCTATTGCGAACAGTGCACTGCTACGACGGCAGCGACCGGAATCAACTAAGTGACCAGAGACCGGACGGTGTCATGAGAGAGCAAGAAGAGTGTAGCATCCGCCACTCTAGACGTCCGTATAGAAAGGCCTAGGCCGTAGGATGGCATTCCTCGCTTGACACAGGATGAGCACATTTCGCGACATCTCTCGACATCTCTCGACAGATTCACTCGTCAATGCAAAGTGCATGGCAGTTGCGGCGCGAGGACGTATAGTCTGATGTGCTTGCGAGAGAATGCTCGGCAAGGCATCGTGAGGTAGAAGTATGATATGGGCAAGAGGAGGTGTGGTGAGCACAGCTTGGATGGACAGTGCTGGAGATGCCGAGACAGATGAGAGATGAGAATGATGACTTGAAACAGTTGATGTTGATGATGAAGTTGATGAAGGGGGAAGGATGATGAAGAAGATGAAAGGTTAACCTGAGAGAGGGATCAGGGTCAGGGAGGGTGTGGTTCGTTGAACAAGACCACTCACTTCTCTTGGCACTCAACAGTGCGACCTGGAAGCTCCCAACGTCCTCTACTCTCCCACTCTCCCACTCACCCTGTCTCTCAGGCCACCAACCACCATCCATCTCTCCACCGCCAACAACATGCCATGATGCCTGCAGCTCAGCGCTCCATCGCATACTACACGGGACTTGATATCTCCATTGATGCCGCTGCCAAGAATCTCAAGATCGTACCATCTGTCGTCTCACCAACAGAAGTACAGTTGTCAGTTGTCAAGTATGGTAATAATAACGATAACGACCACGAGCACCCTGGTCATCACTTTGTGCCGCGTCACGGACTCACGGCTACCTCCTAGTGGGCTTGAATTGATAGATAATATCGGGCTATATAAATTTAGCTTAATGGAGATATCCGTCATGCGGATACACAGGGCGTGCACCTTTTTTCGGACTCCGATCACGACCACTTTATCGACTCGGGAGGATGACGATATTCTCGGACGGTTATTGCGTGTGCCTGGAGGATGTGTCTGTGGACAGAAGCTTCCCACTCTCATCCGGTCCAGTATGGTATTCTATACCTGTGTTGCGGCCAACAACGAATGTTCATCTTATATGTCTTCATCAGATGGCGCAGCAAAGCATTAAAGACAAGCAGCGACCAACAGCTGCAGGGTGACGATCTCCCAGGGATCTTTGACCTGGCTTTTGCGGGGAGAGCTGCTTTCAATGCTTTAGCTCCTGAAACGTCCAGATGGAATTATGATGTTATGCTGCCACCCCGTTGTCATTACTCATTACGGATCGAGTTCAATGCGATAACGATGTGTCGACTGTGCACAGTGTGCAGACAAATAACGGGAGGTATTATGTGAGACCATCCAACGGTGACGGGAGAGATGCAGAAATACACCGCTCCTTTTCATTATCTTATTCTTATCCTCTCCTACCTAGTACTAAGTAGACAGCTAGGTACCTGGTATGTAGCAGAAACAAGGCGGGCGGGAGTCAGGTTCCGTCTTTTCTTGTCTCGTCTCGTCTCTTCCTCCTTCCACCCGAGACTTGTGATGGGACTAGGTAGAATGTAGAGGGTAGAGGTACATGTACAATCACCACCTACACTACCCTCACTACCTACCTACTGGCCCTTGCACGCTGAATGGAGCTCAGATCGGGATAGATAAGGGAAAACGCAGAGGTGGCTTGATTTGTGTCGCAATAACTACATGTACCTATCCTGTTCGCCCGCCCCCCTCGACCTTTCCACCCCTCCGCTTCGTTGTCGTTCTTGTCACTTCTACCTCTCGCAAACTTAGTCTCGTTTCTTTATAAACATCTCCTCACCTCCCTCCATCCCTGCCTCCCTCTCACCCTCTCTCCCTCGCCATCACACATCTCTGGACGTCCATCACCTATTGATCATACCCAATATACGACGACCTAAGTAGCAATCACCATGGCCGCACCAAGAGCAACTCAATTCATCGCCCTGCGAAACTTGGCCCGAGGCAGCCACCAGACTCGCCAACTCTCCATGACTGGAAGCTCAAAGACATTTGCTTCGCCTGCGCTAGAACGTCCTGTTCTCAATCTGCCTCATGACATTGCAGGCCTTCGTGCGGAATGCAAGCGAAGAAACCTCGATGCCGGAGGTCTGAAGAAAGATGTATATCTACCTTTCCCCCCACCCTCTCTGTATTGCGAATACCCAGACACTGACCCATCTCACAGTTGGCCGACCGTCTCAGTGCGCATGAGCTGACCAGGTCTCGTGGCTTCAGCACTGCAATCAACAAGAGCGAACGCCCACAAGCGCAGCAAGAGTCCAGTGCCAAGCCAGCCGTCCGCCACTTCAACACATCCCGCGAGCTCAAGGCTGTCAAGGACAGTTCCACCATTGATTTTGCCTATCTGCCCGACATCATCTCGCCGGACAATGTCGACGTATATGCTCATGTCCGAGTTCCCATCATCCCCACGGGAGCAGAAACGGCACCGAAAGTCATGGAGCAGGAGACTGTGGTCATGAGACCTCAAATCAATGTCATGTCTGCCGATGCCGTGTATCTGCCCATGTCAGAGTCGAGTGACGATCACGCAATGAACATTGACTTCCACGCCATGGCAGAACGTGTCGCTCTCAACTTGCGTAGAATGAAGGTTCCGGTGGAGGAGCAGGCTGGCATCGCCAAGCGCATCTGGGCTGACATGGTAGATGACATTCTCGGGACGAAGAGAGCTGGTACTGTCGCTTGAGGGAAACTTTGGAGGTTTTCTTCAAGAAATGAACTGCATCATTTATGTGAGTGAGCAGAACGGCGAGGGTGGCCTGAAGTGCTCAAACCATCTGAGCTCGAGGGGAGAGCATGTCTGGGTACCTAGTATTCATTTACCTTACCTGACCTGACCTGAGACGGCCGACGGCGAGATTCTAGTAGATATTTACCTTTTTGTTTCTGATATTTTCTTGAATGAGTAACAGAATGCAACGACAGCGAATTTTTTTCTCGGTTCACCAAGCCCTCTCTCCTCTAAAATACCTTATTTGCTTATAGTAGTAGTAGTAGCGAAGAAAGCTACAGGTCAGCATAATCTAGGCGATTTTCTCGATTACGCGTTCAAAGTACCTATCTACCTTACCTTACCTTACCTTAACTATCTGTATGTATACATTATCCGCTTATAGGAGAGATAGGCTTCTTTTTAAGAACAGGCAAACTACAAAAAAGATAAAAGCCGTCCCCCAATCCGTCCAGCAGGCAGGCAGGCAGGCAGGATATACATACACACATACATGTATCCTACCAACCTAATGTATCAACAGTCGCAAACTCCATCTCATCTCATCTCATCCATCCCATCCCACCCCATTCCAAAAAAAAAAAAGATAATCTCAATCAATCCAACTCCATCGTCCGAACACTTCCCATTCTTCTCATTCCCATCCTCATCGTCGTCGGCGTCGTCGTCGGCGTCGTCAGATTTCTATTTCTGCCTCTATTGCCATACATTCTTCCTGCTCTTACTGCTGTCTCATGCCCATTATCCTCATCCCCATCCATCCTCCTCGACCTCGAAGAAGAAGAAGAAGAAGAAAAACACCCTCCCCAACCACCACTTTTCATCCCCCTCCCCCAACGACAAAAACAAAACCTACAAAACCCAATTCTCTCCCTAACTTTCACAATCCTCGATCTCACTTCCTCTCTATAAAACCCCCTTAAAACCGTCCGAGGAGAAGTAACAGTAAGACCTCCACGTCCTGGAAACATCGATGGAGGAGTAGGGAAATAGTTTTCGAGGAGACATGTTGGATATTGTTGCTCTTCTTGTTGTTGTCGACGACTGTTCAAGAAAACAGGACCGTCGGCGGTCGTGTGATAATGACTGGGATGTTGTACGCGACACAATGGGGTAGGGTGAGTAATTGATGGGTAGGGAGGGGGAGTGTTGGTGGTGTTTATGGTGATTGGTGGATTGGTGCGGCAGTAGAGACAGGTGTTGGGACTGTGGTGGACTGGACATTGGGGAGGGACAGAGCTAGCGGTTGTTGTTGTTGTCGTTGTTTCTTCGATGTTGTTGTTGTTGGTGGTGGTGGTGCTGACGTTGGATGTCTGCGTCAAAGTGCTATGAAGATTGGGAGGTGTTGGTGGAGAGTCTAATGGTGGACTTGAGGGAAGTGGTGCGTCCAGACGGGTTTGGGAGATTGGTTTTCGAAGTGGTACACTGGTTGTTGTTGTTGACTCGAGTTCGGCAGTCATCTCGTCGCCAATGTCTTCTTCCTCCTCGCATGTCGCGTGCATCTCTCGGTGGCGTTCATCATTAGCTTGCACATAGTGCTCTGGGGTATACAGAAAAGCTGTAGGGGTCAAGGGGCGATGTCTTGTGAAGTAGGGAAGAACGTCGTGAGGTAAGGATGATTGCCTTGTGGGCCAGTTTCTCTCGGTCGCTTCAGAGTACCCGGTTGATGGTCTGTCTGGGTTGCAACAGCGAAGTGGCCGAGGTCGCTCAAATAAATTGAAATAACAGTCGACAGTTCGTTTTTGAGGACCGTGCATTGTCGTGAAGGACGGCGCCGTACTGTACCTGGAGGAAGCCATGTGTTTAGTTTGCTCTGGTCGAAGCTTGGTTTGTGTTTGTTAGGCTTTGAAGATCAGGATGGTATTTGCGCTCTCATATAATGCGCATTACTATGCCCGGCGTGGTAAGACACGGTGTGGTTAAAGGAAGAGTCACGCATATGGCTCATCTACAAGTCGTGAGTGGTCTCGGAAGCATGTTTTGGCAGCCGTGTGTATCAATTGTCCTGCATGTTCGAGCTTGGTTCTACCTCATGCTGTGGGATGAAGCTCTCGTAAATGTGCTTCACTGAAGCTTGTGAAGATATGCGTCACTAGACCTCTCATCACTGAAGTGGTCTCGTACAAGTGTTCCATTCTCGATGGAAGGATTTTCTCCATCGCGTGACTATCGCGAATTGAGTCGAACTCGATCAAGATGTGTGGGCATTCTTCCGAAAAGACACCTTCTCCACGCCGACATTTGCATTCCCTTCGGCGTCCTTCTTCAGCTGGTAGACGTACAGCACCAGCACATCGCCCTGCACGTCCATTAACACAAAAGATGGCACATTTCCGTCTTCGTCCTCATCTTCCCCGCCCAATGTCTCATCTGACCACGACACAGCACCGGTCGCGCTGCCGGGGTTGACGAAGAACTTGCCCTCCATCTCATATGCCTCGAATTTGCAAGTGCCAGCCCAACAGAGCACATCGACGTCCATTTGTCTCGCAGCGATCAGGAGTGCATCCGGGTCGCCGGGAGGGATGATGCTGTCGCCATGGGTAAAGCCGATTCTCAGGTTGCCGTGAGTGACGACTTTGCTCAGGGCGGTAGGGATGGGAAAGGCGGCACCGGCAGCAGCATTCGGGCCATCGGAGGCGGTAGCAGCAGTGAGGGGAATGTCAAAGTCGCCCTTGACGAGCTGGAGATCGGGGGCGAGGTTGCGCAAGAAGGTGTAGACGGAGGGCGAGGTGAGATTGCCGAGACACAGGATTTGGGAGATTTTGCCGGGAGTTAACAGCTTCTTGAACTGTGATGTTGGGGTCAGTGGGGGAAGGGTGTGTTGAAGGTGGTGGTGAAGAGTGATGCTGTAGTGGAAGGGAGAGAGAGAGAGGAGGAGGAAGACAGAGGAAGAGGAAGAGGAAGAGAGGATACCTTTGCGGGAATGTCCTACCAGGCTGTCAGCCAGGCCGTCTCATATCAGATGTGCATGAAAGCGAGGCGGTGACAGCTCACAATGGCTCGATCGGGAATGAACAGGTCGCCGAGGACCAGCACGAGTCGCGACATGTTTGGGTTGGTATGGGAGGGGAGGTGAAGGTGAAGGTGATGTAGCTGGTCAGGTAGATACTAAGGTCCGGTAGGAAATGGTAGCATTAACTAGAAGGGGAACTAGAATGGTTCTAGCGTAGACAGGTTGGCCCATGTAGCCGAAGAAAGCATGCATCTTTCATTCCCGCAAGTACACCTTTCTTTCTGCTGGCTGCCGTCCTCCGTCCTCCGTGTGCGTGTGCTGTGCAGTGTGCTCTCTCTACAAGCCTTGAAGTATCTTCTATTCTGTTTCCCACCAACCAATTTCACTGCTCCCTACTCCCGACCACTGCCGCACTGCCGCCCTCTCTCGTCCTCTTCCACGAAAACACGTCGGAGAGAGAATACCTTACCTTCCAGTACATTGATTACATTATCCAGCACGTCCCGTCTGCACTCATTGACTCCACACTCCCCTTTCACTCCAGTATTAACTTACCTACAATCTACTACACTCGACCACACTACACCACTCTGCACCAGAAGACGGGAGCCTCCATCCCTCGCGTATCCTTTTTTCCCCCATAATCTTGCCCAATTCTACCCCCCTACACACGACCAGAAGCAGAGCTTTTCCTCCTGCAGGAACGGCAACCAGTGCGTCATCCTGGCTGCCCCACGTTTACCTCGATTATTGTTCCGCTCCGCAATACCCCTCGCTGCCATATCGCCCCGGCCTTTATTATCTGCCACCATGCCACCCAAGGACCGTCTGCACCAGCTCAACAGACATCTGACTTACTCTCCCTCCTACGACATTCCCCTCAACACCCCCTTCTCCATTGCTGCCAAGCTCGTCGACGACTTTCCCTCTCCCACCTCTACCGCCTCTGGAGAGACCTTCCACACACCCGATCAACGACGAGACCTGTCCACCTCGGCCGTATCGCTGCAAGAAGAAGGCAAACGATCAAAGCCCGCTGCTACAACAATGTCCAACCAAGCTCCCCACCCCGCCCTCCTGATCCCCGGGCCCATCGAGTTCGACGATGCTGTCCTCCAGTCCATGTCGCATTACTCCGAGTCCCACGTCGGCCAGCCCTTCGTTAACACCTTTGGAGATGTTCTCGCCATGCTGCGCAAGCTCTTCATCACCACCGACCCCAACTCGCAACCCTTTGTCATCTCCGGCTCAGGCACCCTCGGCTGGGACCAGATCGCCGCCAATTTGACTGAGCCCGGCGATGACGCTCTCGTCCTCCACACGGGCTACTTTGCCGACAGCTTCGCCGATTGCTTCGAGACATACGGTGTCAAGGCCACACAGCTCAAGGCACCCATCGGTGACCGCCCTCAACTCGACGAGATTGAAAAGGCGTTGAAGGAGAAAAAGTACAAAGTCATCACCGTCACACACACCGACACCTCCACTGGTGTCCTCTCCGAGATTGAGCCTCTCTCCAAACTTGTCAAAAAGGTCTCTCCCGACACCCTCCTCATCGTCGACGGAGTCTGCTCGGTAGGCTGCGAAGAAATCCGCTTTGACGAATGGGGCATCGACGCCGTCATCACCGCCTCTCAAAAAGCCATTGGATGTCCCGCCGGTCTGTCCATTGTCATGGCATCCGGCCGTGCCATTGAGTCGTTCAAATCCCGCAAAACGCGCCCCAACTCCTACTTTGGATCCTGGCAAAACTGGCTTCCGATTATGCAAAACTACGAGGCCAAGAAACCTTCATACTTTGCCACTCCTTCCCCACAACTCATCCACGCCCTGCACACTTCTCTGACCCAAATCCTGTCCCGTCCTCTCGAAGACCGTTTCCGCATCCACAAGGAAGTCAGTCAAAAGATTAAGCAGGCCGTGACGGACATGGGTCTGAAGCAATTGGCCTCGAAGCCCGAGAACCAAGCCAATGGCATGACGGCCATATATCTGCCCAATGACCTGAAGCCTCCCGAGGTCTTGCCCAGCTTGATGAAGAAGGGCGTCATCTTCGCCGGTGGTCTCCACAAGGAGATTGCCACCAAGTACATTCGCTTTGGACATATGGGTGTCAGTGTCATGGACCCCCAGAGGGATGATATTGATCGGGCATTGAAGGGTTTGAAGGAAGGTTTGGCCGAGGCGGGCTATAAGGTGTAGGAGTAGAGTCAGTAGTATATCATGTCGGAATTGGAGTGATCAAAAAATGTATACACGAACCATCATATTATACCTCTTACATGGTCTCTGTAGAAATGACGTGTAACAACGAATTGACAAGAGGAAAGAAAGAAAAAAGTTATATATCTAGTACATGTATCTTCCACTTTTCACTTTCTTCTGCCTTCTTTTTTTTTGTTATATCAAGAGTGCACTATCTTCTTATCGGTACCAAGAAGATCATCTGAAGATGCTGTACTTAATAAGAAGAAGAAGGAAGAGAGAAGATGATTAGAAGTAAATCACAATACCTAAGATTCCTGATTCCTGATTCCTGATTCCCACATGTACCTACCTTACCTACTAGCCTGGTATGTACATGAGGTACATGTACATATCCATTCTAAAGGGCATTTATTTTTTCCTTCCTCCGTTCCTTTCCTCTCTGCGATATAAGTAAGGTAAGGTAAGATATACATGAAATACAAAATGCAATCTTACCTAGGTTAGGTAGGTAGGTATTGCACGCTCTCCTGAGGTAGGGATTCGAGTAAATAGAACCTAGAAAGATACAGTAAAGTTGGATGATAGGTATTGAGGTACGGTACTTTAGGCAAACCAATAACTTCAAAATCATCATCATCTTCTTCTTCTTCTTCTCCCCTCCCCTCCCCTCCCCTCCCCTCCCCACCCCTCCCCCACCCCCCCTCTCTCCACCTACCCCAAATACAACCCCTCCCTCTCCACCCACCTCGCCACCCTCGGCGTACACAACTCCCTCACAACCTCCCACTCACCCTTTCCCACCGCCTCTCGAATCCTCGTACTACTCACTCCCATTTCCGCATCTTGTGGAGACACAAATTCAATCTGTCGAGCCCAGAGTGCTTGTGCGCCGTTTTTTTGCATTTCTCCACGTGGGTCTGTGAGGGTTTGGAGGAAGGAGGTTTTCTGATCTTCCTTTTCGACAGAAGAAGAGGAGGATGAAGAAGTAGAATCTGGTCGCAACGTAACACGCAATTCATACCCTTTATCGAAATAAGGTTGAAGAGCAGCAAACGGCGGATCGAATTGTTGTTGTTGTTGAATGTAATATTTCGCGGTGAAAATTCTCGTCAGAGTGTCATAGCCGAGAAGATGAATGTGGCGTGGGTGAGTAGGGTAGAATTTTTGTCCTTGTTCGGATTCGATTGCGCGAGATTTGTCTGTGTAAAAAGGATATTTGGTGACTCCGATGTCGATTGCCATGGGTTGATGATGGAATCTTTGCTGCTCATCCCCATCCTTTTTCTGCTCTTGTTCTTGTTCTTGTTCTTGTCCTTGTCGTTTCTCCTTCAGACTCGCAAAAAAAATCCTGCAAATCCCTCGCAAAACAAGTCATCATAGCCAATCGATGTTCAAAAGAAGCCGGAGCAGCAATTTTATCTGCATTGGTGACTGCAAAGAGGAGTAAAAGTCGATGAGGGAATTCATGTTCTTTTTTTTGGTGCTGCTGCTGCGAAGAAGAATTGCAATCATCCAAAAAGGCAGATTGGGCGAGTGCTGCGTGAGCGATGGAAGGGGGATTAAAGGAGGAATCTAGGATGAAGAGGGTTTTGGGTGGTGGTAATGGTGATGAGAGGTCTTCGTAGTATTCTTCTTCTTCTTCTTCTTCCTCTTTTCCTTCCTCTGCTCTTTCTTCTCCTCCTTCTCCTCGCGATGACAGTGCAGAAGGTATTGTCGTCGTCGTCGTCGTCACATCTCCATATCCATGTACCCCACTCTTCCCACTACGAGGAGGACGAGAACGAGAAGGAGGATATACAGTCTTCAAGACTCGAAACTTGGCATCTGAGCTCTGAAATGCTTTCAAAGCCGAGTCGAGCTCTAATACCAGTTTGCTAAAGGATCGGATTCGAGGAGACATGATTTTGGGTATACCTTAGTCGGGAGATTTTGTTGTTGCAAGGTAGGTATTAAAGTGTTTTCGAGAAAACTCTTTTTTACCTAGAAAAGGATGGAGACTGAGGGTAAAGTAGGGTAAGGTACATAAGTTATACCTATCAACACCTATATGTACATGACCTTATCTTATACCAAGCTGAGGTCATGACATTTGCTTGGCGCCGAGAATGGTAGAGATCTACACCTTGTAATGAGGTGTAGCTAGATCTAGGAGGGGAGGTACCTCCTTCGCGAATGGCAGTGACAACAATTCTCACTTCATCTCCAACCAAAAGAGTAATGACGGCAGAAGAAACGATCTCAAGTCTGTCGAACGAGGAAAAACGAATACAATCCGAAACTGAACGTAATTGGTTGTTCATCAGAACTCCTCTATCGCTATAACACATTACACTCTAGCAAGGCCTCCCTTTTATTCCTTTTGGTACGCAATCTATTTCTTCTTCTTCAACCCATTCATGCACACCTTTTTTGATGATACCAGAATGCGCCCTCTGCAGAATCTCATGACTTTTTAGCCGGCAAATTTCATGTCGTGATCAAGCTCAGCAATCTCCTCCTCCCAGTCCTTGGCAGCATCAGACGGACCAGGCGCTGCAGTGACTTCAGGCGTTACAGTTGCAGTATCCGTAAAAAGCACTCCCTCCATGTCTGGATTCATGAACGGACTATCTTGGTCGCCCGCAGCTGTCATGTCCCGCAGAATGTCCTTGTCCGTGATGATCGGACTTCCGCCAAATACGGTAGCAGCAAGAGACACGCTTTCTCTGTCGTTGCGTAACCTTCCCTGCCCGTCAAATACAGAGGGTGGCAGAGCAGCTGCAAGGCGGTCGAGAAGCCGAGGGGCACCATGCGATTCCATCGCGCCAGGTGCAGGCTCCTTTCCCTTGGGCATGACCACCATGGGATCAATGGTACCGGATAACGGATGCGCAGGAGCGATACTACCCTCATCCTCCTGCAAGCTGTCCTGTCTTGAAATGCTTGTCAATGCCAGGAGAGCAGGATCGATAACACCGTCCTAAGAGTGCACGGTATCCAGAGGATCTCTCTTCTCGACCGTAGGCGTTCGCCCTTTTCTGCCTCGAGTGGCGCTCTCTGGCTCATCATCGTCGACGGGACTTCTCTCGGGGCTGTCGTTGGGCGATTGAGCGCGACTGTCGGACAGGTTGCGTCTTTTGTTGCTTTCCATCCACCCCTTGACCCCACCAATGAGACCCATGGCATATCCGGCCGCAAAGTCCATGTTCCTACCCTTGGTCGGCGTGGAGCTCCGTGCACTTGCAGTCTCCACCTTCAATCGATCGGATGCAGAGCCAGGCAGTGGCGATTCAGACCCGTTGGTTGAGATGCCGCGGCCATTCCTTAGGCTTGCCGTCACTGACGGTGCTGGACTGCTGGGCCTGCTAGGCTGCCAAAGCTTGCCGAGCTCGGTGCTCAATTCTCGTCCTGTGGTGGTCCAGTTCTGTCGAATGGTGTCTCTCAACTCGGTGACGTGTCGCTTGATGTCCATTTCGTTCTTCTTGAACCATGAAATGTTCAACTCCTGTCTCGTCGTACCTCTCTTCAACTGCCTGCCGACATACTGCTCATAGTCCCTGACAATCTTGGTAATGATGCCGGTCGTGCTGACACCTTCTGTCCTCTGTGTGACAAGGAACATGCCCTTTTCCTTGATGGGCGCATAAATATCGTCTCCTTCCGACGCGCCATAGGGCAAGTCATCATGTGCCACATAGTCAATGTTATGCTGCTCGAGGAAGTCGACCGTGATGATCCACGGACAATCTTCGACGACCTCGTCCACCCATCTGCAATGTCTGACGCTCTCGGCTCTTTCTTTCGCGCTCATGACGGTCAGGCCCTTTCTCTTGAATGTCTCCTCATCCCCGGTCACACCCACGATCAGCCTCGTGTTCGGGAAGGCCGTCTTAGCCTGCTGTAGCACTCTCATGTGGCCCAGATGAAACAGATCGAACACGCCATCCGCATACACACGCACTGGGCGATCAGTCGGTGGTGGGTTCGTCTTGTAGCCGCCCGCAGGGTCGACAAGGCCCGCTTGCGGAGGAGCTTCCATACGCATGGTGCCCGCTTCGCCCGACTCGCCGGAGCCGTCGACGGTGGCGTTCACGGGCATCGAGACACTGCCGCCTGTTGGGACAGCCATCTGCGCTGGTTGCTCGCTGTCGTTGCCACTGCGTTTAGAGCTGGCCCGCGAGCGTTTGGCAGGCGACTCCGTTTGCCTCGTCTTCGCGGGACCAGCCTCTGCCATTGCTGTCGCGTCAGACACTTCAACTGCAGGTATCGTCTCGTCGACTTCCGCCGCCTTTGCTGCCGATGAGGCCGCTCTTTTGCGTTTCGGTGCCATTTCTTGGTGTTCAATGGGGGTGGAAGGCGTGGAGCAGGAGGAGCAGGCGCAGGGTCGGTAACTCTCCTGTGATAGGCAGGCGCAATCGGTCGATGAGGTGGAGGACAGATAAATCTCAGTTCAGGAGATTTCCGATTTCCGGGGAGGGAAGAGAGGGCGAAGGGATTCGGGAACTGGGAGGTGTCGAAACGACGATGGGGAGACGCGCGCCAGTAGAATCAACACGTCCAAACTCTATTCAGCTTTGGGATCGTCACGACTTTTCGCCGGTCGAGTCGGCAGAAGGTCAATCAGAAGTAATAACAATAAGTGAAGTATCTCCTAGTACATGTAGGTATACAGAGGAAGAGTGAAGAGTGCGGGATATGGATGAGGCAAGCTGATAACACCACGGCGAGGAACAGGTTTTGGCATGTAGGAGGTAGAGGAGAACAGGTACGGTGAGATAGGTAAGGTTTCTGCTGGTCATCAGTATGTACGTCGATGGTGGCATCAGTGCCCACGTACCCACATACCCACATGTTAGCTACACCCACCGTGTTCTAGTGCCACCGCCAAATCCTGGCCTGGGCTGGCACAGCTTGAGACGTCACTCCTCGTTGCGTGTGGCTGAGTTGCAGCCATCTACCTATCTTACCTACATGTACCTACTTGATACAAGGCAGCAGCCATCATCATCACCATCATCATCAGCGGAATGCTGGCTACAAGTGACAGGACAGTAGGGCAATGGAGCAGTAGCAGTAGTAGTAGCACTAGTAGTATTGTTCCCGTCGAGAGCTCTCTACGCTACAACCATACATGATCCCCTTGCATGCGCCGACGCGGAACGCATGGATTGAATATCAAGTCCCCGATGAACACTCTGTTCCGATGCCACGCCGGCCCGCGTCCTGTTATTCCATCATGTATGTAAGGTTGTGCCGGGAGAAAGAAGCTCGTCAAAAGACGGCTCTTGATTGCTCAGTCGAGGGGAACAATGGAAAAGTCGGTGTGCGTGTGTTGTGTGTGTGATGTCCGTCATGTCGTGCTGGTCTCGTCGCTTCGCTAAAAAAGGGTATCAATGGAAGTTCCATGTGAAAATCCTGGCCGGGAAATGCAATTGAAACCTCAATGCCATCACTTCGTCTTCTCGTCCTCGTTGTGCAGCGTCGTGGCTGCCAGCTTCTCGTCTGCCACGGCCATGATCGTGTCCTCGGCCTTGGGAGGGACATCATTGCCGGAAGATGCAGCAGCAGCAGCAGCAGGTGCTGGCGTGCCTTCTCTCTCACTCCGGACGTCGCCATTCTTCAGCGGATTCCTCTGTACCGCCTCCTCGTCGGCATCTTCTGAGACTTCTTCGACTTCGGTGACTCGGTCCATGTCGACGTCGGTTTCGTCGTGTCCTAGATCATTCTCAGTACCACCGTTACCGAGAAGAATAATACGGCCTCCCCGACCTAGCAATCGTGTGCGCTGATCCATGTCCATGTCATAGTCATCGGGGGACTCGTCGAAGCGGTGGTGCATACCGGGACCTCGGAACTCAGCTGTCTATTGTCAGCTGTTTCGCTCTCCAAAAACCGATCGCATGTCCTCGGAAGCCATGCTGCATGCGAGATGTCTGGTCTGCCACTGCTACAGTCCCGGCCACTGCCAAGGGATGAATGAAGAGGGTGGGTCATGACTTGCCGTACTCAGGAGGCGCGCAAGGCCCGTCCCCATTAGCGACGCGCTCGGCAACCTTCTTGTACCACTCTTCCTTGGTCTGTCCATTGAGCAGGGCAACGACCATCATGGTCATGTTGTCGCAGCCAACACCGCCCGTCTCGGAGTTGGAGGCCAGACAGTTGTCCATCATGTTCTCGCAGATCGCGTGCAGCTCCTGCTTCGCGGCAATGCCTCTTCGAACGAACTCCACAACCGCTTGCGAGGACTGGCAATCCCAGATACCTGCAATGTGGTTAGCTTCGACGACACCATGAACGTCCTGCATCCGACTCACCATCACAAGCAACGACGAGGAATTCGTCGTCGTCTCCCAGCTCGTGTACGGTCACATCGGGATAGGCTGTGACAATCTGCTGTTCCGGTGGAAGGTCTGCGCTCTTCTTGAACTCAAAGTCACCAATGGCTCTGCTGAGCGCAAGGTTGCCATTCACTCGACCGAAGTCGACGAAGCCTCCTGCAGCACATATGCGGGCCTTCTCGCCCTCGTTCTGCGGCTTGTGGTCAAAGGACAAGGGCTTTGCGCGCCCCTTGATGCCCAGGACAGATCTCGAGTCACCAGCATTGCCCTGATCGTTGTCAGTATACTTGACCACTTCTCGCATGTGCTCCGACTTACCACGAAAATTTTGTCGTTGGTAATGATGCCGACCGAGGATGTGCAGCCAGAGACTTCCTCCTCATACTTGGGATCTGTGCAAAGTTGTCAGCGGTCGGATACGGTCCCGATGCTGCTCTGGTGTGGTAGCATACCGCTGAGAATGGCTCTGTCAATAGCAAGGAAGCCGTCCTTGAGCGCCTGCTCAAAATCTCGCTGCTTGAACGACTCCTGCTTTGCGATGATCTTGTGCAGGTTCTCGCCCGTGTACAGCGCGACCTTGTCTCCTCCATGTCCGTCGTACACGCCGAAGAAGGATATCCGCACGTCCGATGCTGCTGGCTTCAGTTCTCCTCCGTCTTCCTCGAGCGGCTGTAGGTCGAGAATCGCGGCGTGAGCGTCCTCCATGCTGATTCTCCATCCTTGCATGCAGCTCACACCGAAAGCGACGCGGTCATCTTGGCCCTGATCTGATTTCTGCGCGAGTCAGTATGTGATGCCATGAGTGTTCGAGGTACTTTGTGTGACGCATGTCCATTCAGAGCCGCGCAGAAGCCGCACGCTGCAATGGTGGCCACCACACGTCTCTGCAGACGAGGAGGCCAGCGGCGGCGGCGGCGGCGGCGGAGGAGGAGGAGAGGGAGGAGGAGGAGGAGGAGGCGGCGGCATCGACGACGATGACGGTGATGGTGACGGGAACGGCGACAATGCGTACCTTTTCCACGACGGGCTCCGACAGTGTCTGACCCATGGCTGGTTGATGTGGTCTGCGTGATGCAGCGAACGGAGCGGAAATTTCAATTCAATTTGTTGTTGTAGGCCGGGTGTAGGTGGGGTCGGATTGAAAGGCGGTTCTTGGTTGTGGCTGGCTCGTCGCGTAGCGGTGGCTTAGGTAGGTAGGTGTGAGGTGGTCGGCGCCGCGCAATTGGAGGGAGACGATGCGAACAGGTGGGTAGACAGGCAGTTTGGGGGTGGACGAGGCGGGTGTGTGTGCGGAGTGCGCAGTGTGAGCGGTGGGTAAGGTGGTGGATGGTGTGGAAAGCGATGACGGTGATGCGTTTGTTCGGCACGCGACTGAGCTGTGGCCTGTGTTCTGAGGCAAAGCACACAGCGGAGCAAGGAGAAAGATGAGTGGATGGCGCTAATTCCTCAGGCAAACTGGATTTTGTGCCTTACGATGCGTTGTACTTCTTTTAGGAGGTATACTTCCCTTTGAACTTCTCAGAGTGCAGGCAAGGTATGTAGGTAGGTAGGTCAGGTACAGGTAGGTAGATACATGTATGTAGTTTCGCGTCTTTGTGGGACAGTGAAGGGAGTACCTCACCTAGCACCGACACAATCACGTTGTCAGATGGTGGTGCTCCGCAGTGAATTGAACACGCCGAGTGATTACGGACTCATAGTGAGGCTGGCGAGGCTGATGCATCCTGGAGAAGGTGACTGTGCCAGGCCACCGCCGCCGCTACTTTTCACTTTTCTGCCCCAGTGCCCACTGTGTACTTGAGCATTTCCGGCTGTCATCCTCCTCCTCCTCCTCCTCCTCCCCCTCCCCCTATGCCCCCTCCTCCCCCTGCTCCTCCTCCTCCTCCTGATGCTACCTTGTCTACGATCAACAGCATGCTGAGCATGAACATGGAGACGCTCACAGAGGTCATGATCCCGGCTTGTGCTTACTTCATGGGCATACTTGATATAATTGCAATCCAAAGGAGAGTAAGTGAGTGAGTGGGTTTCTAATATATAGAGGGCCATCTACAAGTGTCCAAAGTGTCCATCAGCTCGAGTCTCGAGGAAGATTAGGTACCTTGATTATAGATAGGTACTTGAGTCTTGTGGTTGACGGATGCCTGCGTTCCAGTCTTTCGAGAACATCCATTCCGCCAAGCCAAGCACCTCCTAAGTCCTCCTTTTTGCCTTTTAACTTCGTTTCTCCACCCATGCCATGCATGCTCCCGTCCTCTTCCAGCTTTCTTTCATGTCATTGTCATCACAACCAGACACACCACCCCCATACCCCGCGCAAGGCCTAAGCCACCATCAACGTTACAGACTTACACTACATTACCTCACACCACAGTGTCCATCATGACGCCACGTTGCTGTCCGCCATTGAGAGATGCACGCGAGACATAAATCATGATAGATGCAGCATCCAGGAGTCGCGACGCGCGACTTCATTTGCGGATAGCCATGTCGACAGCCGGGGGATCCTGAGTCGGAATTTGGTGGGCATACCACCCGCCAGGCACATCTGCCTGTTTAATTTCCTATTTGTGTATTCGTGTCCGGTTGCTGGCACTTCCTAGATCCTGATTTCTAGGTACATTTACCTCTCCTACAACTTCACATTTGGCGCGAGACTGGCCGAGAGGGAGGCCACTCACACATCAACATGGCCTACCACTTCCTCAATGCCCTGTCGATTGTGGCCGCATTCTTGGCCCAGAGCAGCTATGGAGAAGACGTCGATATCCTATCTCTGGTCGATCCTTTGATTGGTACCTCGAATGGTGGCCATGTCTTTCCTGGAGCGACACTGCCCTTCGCAATGGCAAAGGCTGGAGCGGATGTGAACGCGGAGAATCAAGGTGGCTTCAGTACGGACTCCATGTCAGGAAAGATCATCGGCTTTTCTCATATGCACGATTCTGGGACTGGTGGCGTAAGTTCGACCTCTTCTCCTTCTCCTCCTCCTCCTCCTCCTGGTCGCCACCACATGATGACAACACACTTCTTGGAGACCAATTGATTTCTCATGAAACTTCTAAGCTGTACAAAATCTGTCTGATCACTTCGAATCAACATATATGCGCCATCTCGACCTTAACTCGATGCTTGTAGCTGACAGAGCCAGAGCCCATCTCTAGGTAACTTTCCGCTATTTCCATACGCTGGCTGCCCGGACGACGACATCAATCAGTGCGCGTTCCCCAGCAAGCTGCGAGCGACATCTCGCATCGATGGTACCGTCGAGGCACATCCGGGCTACTTCGCAGTTTCAATGAAGACGAATATACATACTGAGATGACGACGACGAATCATACTGCTTTGTATCGCTTCAACTTTCCAGAACAGCCCACAGAAAGGAATGCTACCCTCAGCCCACTGATCCTCGTGGATCTGATTGATCTGCCTAGATCAAGGATTAATGGATCCATTACTGTGGACGCAGGCACGGGACGGATATACGGAAGTGGTGTCTTCGAGCCGAGCTTTGGCATTAATCACTACGAGTTGCATTTCTGTGCCGATTTCTCTGGGGCCCGAATCCGTGATACTGGCGTGTTCATGAATAATCGCGCTGGAAGCGAGCCTAAACACCTCAGCGTGGTAAAGGACAACATCAACACGGGAGCCGACGTCCTGCCCGCTGGAGCGTGGACCAGATTCGAGGCGCCTGACAACGATGGCCAAATTCTGGCGAGAGTTGGGGTGAGCTTCATCAGTCCTCAACAAGCCTGCAACAATGCCGAGGCCGAGATCCCGACCTTTGACTTCAATGGCACACATGCCGCCGCACAAGCTGCTTGGAGAGATACTCTAGGTGTTGTCGAGGTCAAGCCCGGTGGCGTCAACGAGAGCTTGCAGAGAACCTTCTGGTCAGGATTGTATCGAGCTTCCATTTCACCCCAAGACTACACCAATGAGAACCCTCTGTGGCGCAGCTCCGAGCCGTACTACGACTCGTACTACTGCATTTGGGATTCCTTTCGCAGCATCCATACTCTGATCACGATCATGGACCCATACAGCCAGATCCAGATGACGAGAAGCTTGATCGACATTTATCGACATGAAGGCTGGCTTCCGGATTGTCGAATGTCACTGTGCAAGGGATTCACTCAAGGTGGCTCCAATGCGGATTTGGTGGTAGCGGAAACATACTTCAAACTGGGAAAGCTCGCTGCAGAGCTCGGCGTAGACTGGGAGACGGCGTACGAAGCTGTGCGCAAGGACGCCGAAGAAGAACCCCTGAACTGGGCCGTCGAAGGTCGTGGAGGCTTGCTGAGCTGGAAAACCCTCCACTACATTCCTACCGATGATTTCGATCCCTATGGCGTGGGGCCCTTTACACGAAGCATCAGCAGGACGGTCGAGTATGCGTACAACGACTACGCCATTGCGGAAATGGCGCGTGCGATGGGCAACATCGGCGACTATGAGAAGTACATTGCCACGTCCGAATACTGGAAGAATATGTGGAAGGCCGATCAAGACAGTAGTATCAAACAAAAAGACACCGGTTTCAAGGGATTTTTGATGCCCCGATACTCGAATGGCACCTTTGGATTCCAAGATCCGACCTATTGCTCGCCACTCAATAACTTCACGAGGTAAGTACAACGCCCGGGCACACACCCATTGTTTGTGAAATGATGTCGAGTGTGGAACATTGCTGGATGAACTAATACCATCCCTCGCAGCTGCTACCTCAATCCCAAAGGCAGCGAGACCTACGAAGGCAGTTCGTGGCTGTACTCATTCTTTGTGCCGCACGACCAAGCCTCTCTCATCCAACTCATGGGCGGCCCTCAAGCATTTGTCGACCGTCTGGACTATCTGCACGAGTATCCCCGACTGTTCTACCTCGGCGACGAACAAGCCTTCCTTCCCGTGTATCAATATCATTACGCCGGGCGACCCGGTAAGAGCGCAGAGAGAGCACACTCCTACATCCCATCGCAATTTGACGACACGTTTGGCGGAATTCCCGGCAACGACGATAGCGGAGCCATGGGCAGTTTCGCCGCACTGTCCATGGTGGGCATATTTCCCAACGCGGGCCAAGACGTCTACTTCATCACGCCGCCCTTTTTCGAGGAAGTGAGCATCACCAACAAACTCACGGGAAAAACCGCAACAATTCGAAACATCAACTTCGATCCCGAATACCAAAACATTTACATCCAAAGTGCGACCCTCAACGGCATCCCCTACACCAAGAACTGGTTCTCGCATTTGTTCTTTCTCGAAGGCGGAGTCTTGGAACTCACTCTGGGCCGGAATGAAAGTTCGTGGGGCACGAGACCCGAAGACGTTCCGCCCAGTGTGTCCACTTCCAGTGGATATGCCTCGCCGGACTTTGAATTCTTTATATAAAAAATTATCAATGGGTGAGACGAAAAATAAAGTCATCATGAGGGATCGGATCCTCTTGAGTAGTCAGTAGCTACTGTACTGTACATAGCTAGCAATATATAAAAACTAGATCTCCGCCCGTACATATGTATCCTTCATCCCATTTCTAGTAAGTAGCGCATCAACTACCTGCACTCGTAAGCTCCCACCCTCCAAGGAACCACATTCGAGAAACGCCTTGTTCTCTCTTTTGTATCAACGCAGAGACGAGATATAATTCAGCATTAATAGCATTCATCATTCATCTATAAGGTACCTATTGACTGACCCTAGGTACTTTGCACCACCATCACCACCAACAACAAAAAAGAAAAATCTATAATCTAAAACCCCCATTTACAAAAATTCTAGAGGTAACCCTTTCCCATCTCATCTCATCTCATCTCTCTCTCTCTGTCTATATGTTGTTCTTCATCATCAAGATCGAAAAATCCGCTTCTTCAATGTACAATCTTTTCTCTCTTTCCTCCCCCCGATCCATAAAAATAAAAAAAGGCAATGCTGTAGTCCTTCATCTTCATCTCCATCTCCATCTCCAATCCATCCTCTCATCATCAAACCTTCTCACTCCTCCCCCCCTTCTCCTCAGCCTCAGCGCGAGCCTCCTTCTCCTCCATCCTCTGCTTTCTCGTCTTCTTCGGCACGCGAAACAACCAATAAAAGAACACAGCAGCAAACATATTAAAAACAATAAACGCCCACAAAATCCCAAAATTTCTCCATCGGTCATCATACGAAATATTCACCGACGCCAAGAACGAATTCGAATTATCATATGTGCAAAATTCGCATTGGGATGTCGAAGTGGGGTCGCGGAGATATCCGATGTTGTTGGTGGAATTTTGGTACTGGGCGAGATAGTCTGTGCATGTGCTGAAGCCGGCGCCGACGTTGAAGCGGAGGTATTCATTGTCTGCGCAGGTGACTGCCGTGTTGGCGATTCCGGCGCCTAAGAAGCCGCCGACGAGGTAGGTGAAGGGTGAGACGCGGTACATGAAGATCCAGAAGCCCGGGAGGGATTCTGGGGAGGCGAGGACACCGCAGAAAATGAGACAGAGGGAGAAGGCCATGTTTGCGACGTTTCCTCCCGTTTCGGCAGAGTCCATGCCGGCGATGACCATGTTGGTGAAGGTGGAGGTGAAGAGGAGGAATTGGAGCATGATGAGGAAGAATAGAGCGCCGCGTTCGTGGAGGGCGTCGCCGGTGTTGTTGTAGAGACCGACGGGGTAGTAGTAGCAGAAGAACATAATCACTGCCATGAGTCCGTTCCAGGGGAGTTCGACCACAATGTTGGAAATCATAAAGGACTGCCAGCTGTATGTCTTGGATGGACGCTCGCGGACCTCATAGAGCGCGCGTTGCGTCACGAAATGTGGCATGATCTGTTGTACGAGTTGGCCAAAGATGGTAAAGGTCATGAAGATGGAAAACATTTGGTTCTGTAGGCCTTGATGAGTGAGCGGCGCCTTGAAGAAGATGAAGCCAATGAAGAGTGCCGACATGGTACACAACGCCACCTTGGAGTAGATGTAGGAGGGCGTGCGCCAGTATTGAGCAAAGACACGCTTGGTGATTTCCCATGTCTGCAGGCCAAAGGGTGCGGCGAATTCGCGGTAGCTGTCCTTTCCGTCAGGGCCCGAGTCGGCCTCTGAAGGCATGGCGGATCGCGTGGTCTTGATGTTCTCCAGTTCTTGGTGAGTTGCCTGATACTCCGGGCTATCACGCCAGACCTGGTGCCAGTCAATGTCCGTGGAACTTCCTGGTGCAGCACCAATCACTTCCAACATCCACTCTGCAGGATTGGCATCCTTGGGACAAGCGTGTGCTCCGTTGCGCTCAAAATACTGGGATAGGACGGAAGAGTTCTCGCCAACCTCGCCAAAGTAGACGGTTCTACCTCCCTTTGCGAGGAAGAGAAGGCGATCGAAACGCTGGAACAGCATGGCGGATGGCTGATGGATGGTGCACAGAATGGCTTGACCAGAGTTCTTGAGTTTCTCCATCAAATCGCAAATGGCCCAAGATGTCTGTGAGTCGAGACCAGAAGTGGGCTCGTCCAAGAAGAGCAGTAGTTGTGGCTTAGCAGCGAGTTCGACACCAATCGTGAGACGCTTACGCTGCTCCACATTGAGACCTTCACCAGGCACACCGACGACGGCATCGGCATACTCCTGCATATCAAGGAGGTTAATGACTTCATCGACGTAGTCCAGCTTTTCTTGTCGTGGAGTGGATTTTGGTTGTCGGAGAAGAGCGCTGAAATTCAGGGCCTCGCGAACAGTCGAGGTTGACAAGTGCAGATCCTGCTGCTGAACGTAGCCAGTCTTGCGTTGGAAGGATGAGTCGCGCTGGCGGCCATCGACGAGCATATCGCCGCTGATGACTCCCATCGTGACACGAGTGGCCAGGACATCGAGAAGTGTCGTCTTACCGGCACCCGACACACCCATAAGCGCAGTAAGGGTTCCAGGCTTGACCCAGCCATCCACATGGTCCAAAATGCGTCGATTCTCGCCCTTGATCTTGATGTCATAGCAGACGTCCTTCCACGAGAAGATGGCAGTCTGTTTCTGAATCACGTCGGTGGCCGCAGTGTGACTGGTCGTCTGTGCCACAGCGTTGGCATCACGCCCAGCGCTGATGTTCTCCTCGTCGGCCTTCTTCTCTCTGAGTGCAGCAGGAATGTGGCCTCTGGGGAACACAAGGACTTCGCCCTTAGACTTCTTGGCACTGATGTACTCGGTGGCAGCCAAATAGCAGCACATGAAGAAGACCAGATAGCCGAGCACGATGCCAACGTTCCGCCAGCGGTGTGATGCATAATATTTGTACGATGATGCCAGGAACCGGCTACCGGACACGAAGGCAAGGCCGGCCTCGGAGCCGACTGAAGAGCAGACTTGGGACTGATCTGCCAGGCTACCATAGGCGTCAGGCACAAAAGCACTGCATGAATACTGCTGTCCGGCGAACTCGTTGACCATGAGAGCTTCGAAACAGTATGCGACGGGATCGATATAGTTGATCCATCTGCACCAGCCCAGCATGTAATCCGTCGGAAGCACAAAGCCCGTGAAGATCACGATGGCCAGGATGAGAACAGCGGTTGGGGCCATGGCTTGTGACAGTGTCCGGGAAACGGAGGCAATAGTTCTGAATAACATGCTCATCATCAGAGTAGTGATGAACGAGACAAGCAGGAAGAAGAAGAACGGGCCGGCCTCTCTTCTCAGATTCACCATGAAGTAAAGCGTGATGTTGAAGACAATAGCGTTGACAATCTTGTAGGGCATGTCCGTTAACATGGACGCGAATGCTTCTGCAGATGGGTGATAGAAGGCATAACGATTGTGTTTCTCGACGATTGGTCGTTGCGCGTAGAGAGTCAGAATTTCGAGAGCGGAACCGAAGGCGTTCATCAGAACGGCGAAGAACAAGACAGCACCACGCTGGAAGAATGAGTTGGTATCCTGTTTCAGGTTGAAAAAGACAGATCCTAGAATCAGAGCCATTGCGAAGTTGCCAAAGATTTGAGTGTAAGTGAGTTCTGGATCTCCAACAAGGCGGCGAAAGCCACGCCAGAGACACAGCTGGATTTGTTGGGCGTAAGATAGCGTGAAAGGTGAATGAATGCGTTGACGTTTCGCTTGTTGGGCCTGGCGACTGTCGACAAACTGCTGATACGCCTCTCCCTTGAAGGGGAACCGCTTGTCGTATGCGTCAATGTCCTTCATGAGCTGCGCCCGTGTAGTACTGTTCCTCCACACGGCAGCGAATTCGTCAGGGGTACGGGGAACCTTGTTCTCCCAGCCCGGGCGAACAACTCGTTCTTGTGCAGATGTCATGGAAGTGAGGAAGTCGGCAGTAGTCTGGCGGTCTGGGCAGTCGAAACCAATGTTCTCAAAGTATGCCTTTGCCTCGTCGGTACGACCAAAGAAGATTTGTCGTCCCTCGTAGAGCACAACCGCTTTGTCGAAGTTTTCGTAAGCAGCCTGTGGTGCCTGGTAAATGGCAACCATGGCAACGGCACCGGCAAGATCTGCACTCAGGCGCAGAGTCTTACAGAACTCGATGGCGTTGGCCGAGTCCAAACCACGGGTGCTGTTGTCCCATGCTTGAACAGGCGCTCCACTCAAAACAGCCTCTGCAATGGAGACACGTTTCCGCTCACCACCAGAGACACCACGGACGAAGTCGTTGCCAACACGGGTGTTGATCGTATGTCCAATACCAAACGAGGCCATGACAACATCACGAAGATGGGTAGCCCACTCACGGGGCTTGACACCGCCAGGAGTGAGTTTCGGTGCCCTAGCGCGAGCGGCGAAGTAAAGCGTGTCACCAACGCTCAGCATGGGGAAGTGCACATCGACCTCTGCAGTGTAAATGGCTTCACCACGAAAGTGCGTGTGCATCTCCTGGGCTGGGATACCCTGGTAGTTGAGGTAGGAGTCCGCGTCAACCTCAAAGCCGTGAACTTCACCGGTCATTGTTTTTAAGAATGTCGAGCATCCAGAACCAGGCGGACCAAGGACAACCAGCATCTCTCCACTCTCTACCAGACCTTCAAAGTCCCGAAGAATATCAATCCGGTTGGGCTTGGCCAAACCAAGCAACTTCTTGACCGCTCCTATGCCCTCCAGCCATATATTGCCCACGTCTTTCTGATAGTCGGTGCCGGAGCCCCAACCATGTGCGCTGAGTCCACGGAACGCCACGCCTCCTTGCCTCTCTGGGTTGTTGCCATCTTCCCGATTGAGCTTGATCATGCTCTTTACCCATGACCGGGCTCTGAAATTGGGTGAATGCGGGTCCAGTTCAGAGTCCTTTTCCGCATTGAATGGGTTGGAGGGCACTTGGCTATAGTTGGTGATTGTTCGTGCCAGTCGAGCGACTGTCTGGTCTGAGTACTCTTGAGAGTCCGAGTCGGACGATCCCAGCTTTCGCTCTGATGCAGACATCTCACGAGGCTCGAATCCTTGCTTGTCTGCATCGTCTTTCTCTATGTCTCTGAGAGCGGCATCTGGGCCAATGTCGACCGGGGCATTTGCTGGGGTTATCGATGATTGTCGTCTGCCAAACAAGCCTCTCTGTCCCTCGACGTGTTGTTGTCCTTCAGCATCTTGATTTGTGTTGCTGGCCCGTCGCTGGAAAGCTGCTCCAGTGTTACCAACTCCAGCTCTCTCTGCTGTACTGTCGTAATTCCCAAAGGCAAAATTGCCTACGAGGGACATGCTGTAGTGTGGGTTGAAGCGCGCTAAGGCGCTTGTCTGCCTTTACACGGCTATCGTAGTGAAAACGAGCTCGCCCAGGATTAGCACCAAGGATGTGTGTGCCTGCGTCTGGTTTGTTGTTGATGTTGTGGTTGTGGTTGTTGTGATGGTTGACTTGTTGTCGCAAAGATTGTACAGATGAAGAATGTGATGATATTACCACAAACGCCGCCACGGGGGCGCAATGCTTTTATTGATTTCTTGATGCGACTATGTACCGGTGCACACCAGTGTCGTCGATCCGATCCCCGGATGCACAAAAGCTACCTACCGTGCACTATTTGGCCAAGCCTATGGCCCTATGCTCAGTCTGACAGGATAACATCCGAGGTCAGACAACGCCTTGCAGGAATGGACGCGATGATGACTGTTACGATTGTTGCTGAGAACACACATACACGATGAACCAAGGGACCCTTACACACATAGATCATCGACATGCCGTCGGCTCGTACTACTAGTCTACTACCTATACCTCCTACTGTGCGAATGCACCTGGAGAGCTACAGTATTCTGTTCATAGAGGGTTCGCGTTATTACGAGTTCCCTCCCCTCCTGTATACCTAATGTAGGCATCGCTCCCCACCCTATGATTATGATGCTGTACGGCTCGTTTCACAGCCTCTTGCTCCTTGCTGTCAGTGGAGAAAGCAGCGTGCACAAGCCTCGGAGGACTTGCGTTGGCGTGCTTACTGTTAGGAGGTAACGACACGCGAACACCACGCCGCCAAGGGAGCCTCATCTCCGGCCGCTGCATCTGGACACAGGTCTCGACTCCCAACGAGAGTCAAACGGAAAGATGTTATGCCGTTACTTGTGGAGATATTGTGCACTGCACGACCTCCCGCGCTGTGTGGATTTACTGCGTCGATCCCGCCCCTCAAACCTTCACCTTGGTCAATTGGAACTCTCGACGAAACGCCATGCCAAGCAGTATCGACCGCCTCTATGATGCTGATGACCGGACTGCGGACCTGTGGATGGAATGACTCTACAAGTCATGCGGGTCCAGCCATCCGAAAATCCTGGTCTACTCTTCAAGTCCCTGGGAGTTCGGATCGATCATCAGAATACCACACATACGGTGCTGTGTATCGAGTGACTGACGCCTTCGCCAGAATACGATTCTGATACACAAGCCGCAGTTGGCAGTGTGGGCCCTTTGTGGCGCTCGCAAATCCGCGAGCCGATTCTAGGCATACGCTATGACCAACCCTTGCATAAAAAGTGATAGAACCACCGTCGGCTGTCAGTAAAAGATCCCCACGACGCTTCTCCACCGCCGCCCGCCGTCTTCACTCTTCAGACAATGCCGCACAGTCGGAGTTGTCCGCTGCGGGCAAATAGGAGAGAGGGTAGGCTGTAGTTTTTATTCGCGTGCTTCCGACTTCGGCAACTCGTCTACAGTACCTTACCTATGTACCTACATGATTATCAATACCTCCTACTGTGTCGTAAATGTAGGTGCCACGTCGGAAGGGGGGCCCTTGGCTTATGCAAGATACGCTTGCCGAGACTCCAATGACTCCATCGCAAGCAAAATAATCTCGCCTAGACATAGCCCGCCTCGCCGCCTATCTGTACAATAAGAGATGATGTGTGGGAACACCACTCCATTATTCTGCTGTGGCTCCGGCTCCCGGGCTGAGCTCCGAGGGAAACGTCACCCCCCAAGGCCGGCGGAACGAGTGAGTGAACACAGCCGACCAGGCAGCAACTCGATGCGAATGCTCACCACTACACATCTCTCTACTAGGAGGTAATGACGCTCCATACACAGATGTAGTAGTAAAGATAGAATGCTTTTTAAGCTCGTACCTCACCGTAGCGGCATGTTCTCCGCTTTAATAGACCTTTGCACATCTGGTCAAGTGTTGTGCCCTGCATTTCGACTCTATAATAAAAATCACAAGGCACGCTAGAGAAAAATCTTATCCCATGCACATGCACTACTTTTAATACCGAAGCACGAGTAGGGGTGTGGAAGGAAAAAAAGAAGAAAAAAAGAAAGGACAAACTAACCGCCCAATCCCATGCGCAACTTTTTTTTTGTATCCCGATGGAATCCGCCTGCGCCGTTTGGACTGGTGGTTTTATATGAGTTTTTTGCGTGAATCCTCACTACATACATACAGTCAGTGTATACATCATACCTTCTACCATCTTCATGCTTGCCAGGAAAGACATTTCTAGACATAGAACAAGTTGTGCGCTGCATTCCGGTATATCCACGTCCCACCTCCCGGAGGATCAGCATTTGAGCAGAATTAGCGCCACTACAGTCCACGGGTTCGTACTTTACTACAGACGGGAGTCTTGCATCTTTGATGCCTGGGACGGGATTCTCAAGGGTGCTGCTGTGTCGGAGCGGTTTGTGCTCACGATGACAGCAGCAAATTGATTTTTGCTGCTCCTGTCGAAGAGCCAGTGTAGATCGAGGACCTGCTTAGGAGGACTGCTTCGAGGGGAGAAACGTCGTAGATCGCATTGGCGTACACAAAAGGCTATGAGCATTGGTCGGCGGAAATCAGAGGTGGAACACACATGCTTCAGACGAGCAGAAGGAAATCGCATAGCTGCTTCGAGCGTATATACAACTAAGCTACCATGCAAAAGCGTTCATCAGATACCGTCGTAGGCAAATTGTAGCATCAATGAGGCGCCGGCGACCTGTCCAGTGAAGGATAAGCGCACCGACGCCGATTCAGTGCTTGACTCTATTGCTTTCATCATCACTTGAACGTCTTTCTTCCCAAATTGACTGAGTTCGGCTGCTTTGACACAACAAAGGCGACAGCATGGTGACCATCCCTTGTCGAACCCTAAAAGTGGTGAACTCCTCGCATCAAACATAAGCCCCATCGAGTTACTCATCCTCAGATCACCAAACCTGAACTTAGTGTAGCAGGATGGTGAAAGAGGCGTGAGCAATCGCATATCTATCAACCTTGACGAGTGGACTCCTCAACTGACCTTGATCCCACCTTGGCCTCAGAACGAGTCCCAACCATCTCCTCCTCCCTTCTTGCTCACGCTGCAGCGACCACGGCTGAGAAGAAGTGCAGACTCATATCCTCGTCTCCCTCTTGCGAAGGCATCTTGCGGCGGTCTTCAGCCCAGGTGCGAGGTCGAGCAGAGGAGCTGTCCGGAAAGAGTGCAACCGATGATGGGTGGTGAGGAAGGATGGAGGTGCAGGAGAGGATAAGCCGCGGGAATGCTTCTGTGGCGGCGCTTTTCAGCTTGCAGTGAATAACACTGGTGTCCGGGGACTTTCTCCCAAAGCAATGTATGTAGGACAGTGGCGCGAGGCCATGTCTGTGTGTGAGCTTTGATTGCGATTTGTTGAGCGAGGAAGTTGAAAGGAGAGAGAAAGACGAAATTCGAAAGAACAAATTTGTAGCCGCACGCCAAGAAATCAGATAAGCTAGACCGCATTCGATCAGCTCCGCCTACTTCGCGTCTCGAGCTCGCGAACTTCGAGAAGGTACAGAAGAGATCCAACTACACGCACCCGCAGCAAACAACACCGCGCCTTTCACGGCCAGAAAGTGCAACTAACTACAGTATGCCTGCTCACATTCTTCATCGTTGAGAGCAGAACTAATCACAATGGCGTTCAATAGGAACTCGAACGCGCCTGCAAAACCCTCACCACTTGGACCGGGTGTACACGCACCGCAGCGCCAGCAGAATAGCCCCGCCAACAACAGTAACATGTCGGGCCTCTTCGGCTCCAACAATGCGAACAGCAGCGCGAATCCCACTCAAGGCGATCTCACCAAAGATGTTACGGTCAACGACCCACCCGAAGACAGCATTTCCGCCCTATCCTTCAGCCCTGCATCAGATCACTTGTCGGTGTCGAGTTGGGACAAGAAAGTGCGCATATATGAGATCGATGGCTCCGGAAACAGCAAGGGGGTCGCCATGTTCGAGCATGAGGGACCAGTACTAGATACATGCTGGAGTCCGGTGAGCAGATCTCCGGAGGCAATACAATGATCTCGAATATTAAGCTAACAAGACGTGCAGGACGGACAAAAGGTCTTTGGTGCGGGAGCAGACAAGGCCGCGCGCATGCTCGATCTAGGCGCAGGTCAAACTACAGGCACTCAAGTCGCAGCTCACGATCAGCCGATTCGATGTGTCAAATCTTTCACGTTCAATGGAAGCCCCATGCTGATCACGGGAAGCTGGGACAAGACGATCAAGTACTGGGACCTGCGAGCGCCTCAGCCCGTTGCCACCGTCGATGCCGGGGAGCGCGTCTATACAATGGACATTCGAAACGACTCCATGCTGGTTGTCGGCACAGCAGAACGACACATTCGCATCGTCGACCTCAAGCAGCCAGACAAGTTCTACAAGTCGTTGCAGAGCCCACTTAAGTGGCAGACGAGAACAGTCAGTACCTTCATTGATGGCTCAGGCTTTGCAATTGGATCCATCGAAGGACGTTGCGCGATTCAGTACATTGACGACAAGGACTCGGCCAACAACTTCTCCTTCAAATGCCACCGCCAGACACCGGCCGACAACCGAAACGTGTCCCACGTCTATGCCGTGAACGCCATCTCCTTCCATCCACAACACGGCACCTTCTCCACCGCAGGCAGCGACGGCACATTCCACTTTTGGGACAAGGACGCAAAGCACAGACTGAAAGGGTACCCTGAAGTGGGAGGCACCATTGCAGCAACCGAGTTCAACAGATCGGGCAACATCTTTGCTTATGCCGTGTCGTATGACTGGAGCAAGGGTTATATGTATAACAATCCACAAACGCTTAATAAAATCATGCTGCATCCTGTAGTTGGAGATGAATGCAAGCCGCGCCCGAAGACGACGAAGCGGTAGTCTCCTTCCGATGCAGAGTCTCCCAGAGAGCCTGCTCCAGAGCCTGCTTCAGAGCCTGATTCAGAGCCTTCTGTAGGGCATTCTGCACGGCCTGGGTTGTCCGAGCGTCGGGGGTTGTCATTCAAACTAGGATTGGCATGAATATGAGTATGAGCGTGGAGTTCTGGCGTTCTTTGGAAAACAGAGGTGGGAATGCATGCAGCGAAAGCCACGCGTAGGGCGGAGCATGATGAAGGCGCTTGACGAGCAGTGCAGAGAGTGTCATGAATAGCTAGCGGCTTTGCAGTAGATATCGCGGAAACACTTGGCGTCAGTATACGCATGAAATACATGTACACTAGGTAGTCCCAAATACCTCATTTCGAGCCAAGGTGATCCTATGGTGCATACTGATGATCCCCTTTGTGCCTACCTACCAGTAGATTGTTGAGTACATGTAGCATTGATCTCTATCGTGGGGTGTAGTACGTAAGAGGTAGGTAAGGTCAGGTAAGGTACAGGTAGGTATGAATATGTAGCTACATGTATGTAACCTGAAAGGTAAGGTACCAGGTACATATGTATACGACTTGCAGACTTTTCTCGAACTCTGCACCTACCCAGTTCTTGCTCGCCTCTTTCCCGTCTATAGCATGCTATTAGCTACATCTCTAGGTACGTAGGTAAGGTAGGTAAGTAGCTATTATTAGGTAGCTTGCCCACCACAAGCTAGGAATGCGGGAAAAAGCTGTACGATCACTTATGACAGCAAGCCACGTGTCGATGCACATGAACGAATAGAGCGTTTCATGTTCTTCGAGTGTGTGCCTGTGCCTGACATCTGCAGTGTCAAACAGTACATACATGTACCTTGTGGCGTCATGTGGTTTGGCAGGTACACCGTACATGATGTACGGCTTCGAATTCTATGTATCTACGACATGTACCTGTAGGTACTGGACAGGAAATGCCTGCATTTCTCGTCGTCTAGCTATGAAATGGTATGAGTGTCCCAAAAAGCTACGATTGGCTGTTCATGAGATTGCCATTATAACTTCCTGTGCACTTGGAGCACCAATGCTCTTTCGTCTACAGGCATTTTTTGCAGTCGACTAGGTACAAAAAGAGCACGCGGAGCAACGAGATGAGCCACCGAGAAAGATCTTCTCGAAAAAGCCACTGTTGCCTGGCAGCTGTGCCTGGCCATCACATCTAACCTAGCCATGTGATATATCGTACCTTACTGTATCATCGAGCTCTGATGGCGTTGGCGTGGCATATTATTCGTCGTGGGCGGGCGGCCCTGCAGTAATGGAGCAAGGTCGAGGAGCACAGCCTCGAAGGATTCGTCGGAAGATGAGGCTGTGCAGAGATTTGACTGTTCGGATTCTGAAACGATGCGTTCCTGGCCTGAGAGTGGAGCGAACTCTTCCTGGGATCTGATGGCGGGGGCTACCTCGAACATACATCCAATAATGCTCGGTCTTGCATGAATGTGAAAACATGATGATCGATGTGGAAAACTCTCTCTCTCTCTCTCTGCTACAAACCTTGTTGTGGGAATGACGGTGGGGACGGAGAAGGAAAATTGAAGCTGCTGACATCCATCGCGGCTGATGCTTGGTGGGGGTGCCAGATTGCCAGTAGGTAATGGCACAACTTACAAGACATTGGTAATGAGAAGCTTGGGCGCGGAGAGCGAACAGTTGGTCTGTGAGGTGTTCATGGTGTACGCGTAGGTGATCGACACGCTTATGATGGTTGATGGTGCAACTAGCTTCTAGGAGGTGTACTCTGTGACGGTACATCTGAGAAGACGTGTCGCGCAGAGGTATGTGTTTGAGAAGTCGAGAATAACTTACCACAGTTACTGATCGATGTCTCCGAGGCTCCGACTACATGACCTGCAGAGTTGTGGACTAGCTGTTTCATGGGGCTAAATATAGCCACACCGCCATGACGAAGAAGTGCAGTCTGCTTATGAAACTACGTGCAGTTTCAAACGTCAGTCTGTACCTACCTGTATGCGCATCTTCGTATACAGCATACAGGTACAGCTGGCACGGCGTAGGGAGGTGATGAGGGCGAGCAGTGCTGTCTATTCGAGCGCACGAATGGCAGCGTGGCAGCAACGTGGTGCATTGCTGCTATGGCCATGGCCGTGGGAGTGAGGGAGTGAGGGACGAAACTTCGAAATTCCTTGCGCGCAACACGCCTGCTCAGCCTCCGAGGTGCACTGAAGGGGAAGCCATTGACTGGGTTTCCCTCCACTGTCGACTGCGCCCACTCCTACTAAACCTGAGGTATCCTACCTTCCCGTCGCCGTCGGACCAATTGCCTGGACTGTGCCTGACTGCGCGAGAGCCAATCCTCGCCCATCCTCGCCCATCGCATGCCCAGTCCGGCCGCCCGCTCCCCCCATCCCCATCCCCCCAGTCGCATACCGAAGCTCGCTGCGGCAGCCCGTCGATCTGCATGTTCCCGAGACGCAGAGAAGTAATGTCAGGTATTGTATGTACCTCTCTGCTGGGCCGCTGGGAGTAGCAGAGGAGAGGAGGCACAGGACGGACTACAGGACTACAGGTGGTGGTGACTGGGCGACATCCTAGTCGCAGCTCAGCCCAGCTTAGGCGCATCCTTCAGACGCGGGTCAAGCGCCGGGACAGCAGGTCTTTTGTGCGGTCTGACTGCATAGCACATACCTGACCTGACCTGACCTACCGTACCTCAGGTACCTACCTACCTGACCTACCTACCGACCGACTGGAGGTAGTCGTCGACCTGATCGCGTTGCCAAACTGGTCGCGCACACCCTTCTATTCCTAGCTACCTGCCTGCGACACACCCACAGCTTCCCAGCGCGCCAGCCGACCAGGGCCACACACCATGGACGTCCGTGGTCGATCACCCTCGATGGGCCAGACGAACCACCATATAAGGCACTCGACGTCGGCTTCGCCTCATCCGTCTCCTCTGGATAATCGCACCTCCTCCTCCTCCTCCTTCTTCGACGCATCCAATTTGGGTACTGCCTCGCCCCCGACCGACCACAGCACCACCTCATACGCGACCGGCCTGAACGCCGCCTTCACTACCGATCCCACCTTCACCACCGACTTCTCCTCGCACGCGCACTTGGGCCTGGAGCCATCCTACCATCCTGGCTTCTCCGACCAGTCGCAACCGCAGACTCGCGCGAACAACGTGTCAAACCATACCTTCCTGCAGGCGCAGGGCCTCCACGATACCAACGGCACCACAACCAACACTACCAGCACCAGCACCAGCAACGCTTTCCCCGCCTTCGATACCACCACCTTCGACTCCAGCCTCGATCCAAACGTGCTCGACAGCTTTGATCCCTCCCAACTCGACTTGGTCGCCAACCCGACCACGCAGAGTCTAGACCCCATGGCGGCCATGGCACAGTCGCACTCGCCCACTCCACCGCACCTCTTCGCCGACCAAGTAGTGGGTCGGCCGTCTGCTAGTCCCAGTCCGCATGCGTCGCCAAGCTTTCAGCACGCCAGCTATGTGCAAATGAACCGGCCAAGAATCAACTCCGAGTCTCTGGACCCGTCCAGTGCTCGATACCCACAAAATGGAAGCAATGAATGGCAGCATATCGGCGCATATCGCTCGCATCAGCGGACGCCTTCGGACAACTATTCAGACATCTCCTCCAACCATGGCGCATCTCCCAATATGCCCACGCTGGAGTCGTTCGAAAATTCTTCGCCACTGCTCAACCCATCGGCCCAAGATGCCTCATTTGGGAACGGTTTGGGCTTTGAGAACTTCAATCTCAATGAGCAGCAACACTTTTACAGTCCTGGACACAGCCCCGGCCACTCGCCGCATCTCATACCACAGTCGCAGCAGATGCTGCCACCTTTCACGGCAGATAACAATTTCGGACTCAATGCCACCATGAATGGCCATTTTAATGCTCAGCAGACTGGGGCAATGGATATGTTCCCTGGGTTGGGACAGGAATCATTGCCTGCAGTGCACAGTGAAGACCAAAGTCCGGGGATGGCTGACCATATGAGCCCTCCAGAGATCAATATCGACTTTGCGCCACCTTCGAGGGTACCAACAGAGAACATAGGCGTCGAAAAGTCTGCCGATGCACTGAGCCCTCCCATTCGAAGTAAGTGAAGATCGTTGCGCTCGCATGAGACTCGATATACTAATCCGCGCTGCAGCAAATCGTGTTCGTGCCAAATCAGATTCACACGCCGGCTCGAGATCAGCGTCGCCCGCATTGCTAGGAAGGGGTAGGTCGCCTTCTGCAGGTTCCGGCGAAAGCCTTCTCGCAGTGGATGGCTCCCGCAACAGTTCGCGCTCATCATCTCCTGGTCGAGGTCGCAGTGGATCGCAAGGACGTGCTCGTAGCTCCAGCCATGCGTCCGATCAGCGCGACTACATTCTTGATCTCGCAGATCCGGCACGGTCTCCTAGTGCCGGCGGCGATAGTAAACGTGTCCAGAAGCACCCGGCGACGTTCCAGTGCACTCTATGTCCGAAACGTTTTACACGAGCCTATAACCTGCGATCACATCTACGAACACACACGGATGAAAGGCCCTTTGTGTGCACGGTCTGTGGCAAGGCGTTTGCGCGTCAACATGATCGGAAACGACACGAGGGCTTGCATTCAGGCGAAAAGAAGTTTGTTTGCAAGGGCACACTTCAGGGTGGATCGCATTGGGGGTGCGGAAGACGCTTCGCACGTGCGGATGCTCTTGGTAGGCACTTTCGTTCCGAGGCGGGCCGAGTATGCATTAAACCTTTGCTGGACGAAGAAGCCGCAGACCGGCAAAGAGCCTTCATGGAAGCGCAGCAGCAGGCCAATATGGCTGCGGGCCTGGTCGCACCTCAGCCCGTCATGGCTCAGCCAGAAATCAGCCTCGGCAGCTTCCTTCCGCAAGCACTTCTCGCGCAGTATCCCGCCCTGGCCGGCTTGGACTGGAGTAGTATACCACAAGGCGCACCACCGGACGAAGAAGCATATAGCGGACGCAGCTCGTTCGATGCGTCGGGGAGTGGCTACGAAGATTACTCGGAGAACGAGCAACCCCATTTTGGTCAACCACAGCAGGACCAAAGCATGACGGGAATGAATAACATGAACCCGATCAACATGATGGGCATGATGGGTGGCATGCAGCAGCAGCAACACCCGCAACCACAGTTCAGTGGCTATAGCGGGAATGCTGCTGGTGACTATTTATCGGATTTTGAGGGAAGGTAGCACACACCTCGAGCCGCATACCAGCATATACTGTCTGAGCGAGGCGGTTAGTAGTTGGGCATTCTCTGACTTGTTTTCTTTTCCCGATTTCGCGCATCGATACTAAATGCTCTCAGTACAGGTACTGAGCGAGCTAGGATACACGGAAGTTTGAGACATCAACGATACCCATACCCCAGTTAGATTTGCTGAATTTTGAAGAAGATGTGAATGCTTCGAAACCATCTTTTTATCGTGTGCTCTTCCTCTTCTACAATCGATGTTTAGTAATAAGTCGCGTGAGTGGTGCTGACATTCACTCAGGGGGTGCCTTACCATTCTTGTTTTCTCGTGCCAAGGAAGCGCTCGCGGGTTGGTGACTCAACGGCTTTCTCCTGGACGACGCGCGAAAGCCCTCGCAACTACAACACGTTTGCTCCCTCACTTGTTGACCGCACCGTACTGACCACTCCTACACGCCTCGCTCGATTGCACGCCCAGAGCAGCAACAATGGGTCTCAACAAGCAGCAGCAAATGCTGGCGGCGAAGCATGACCTGCGATCAATGGCGTTCCTCGTCAAATTCGTGGACGAACGCAGAAATGACAACAGCGTGCCTGGAGATCGCGCTGCGCGTCGGGCGGTTCTGCAGGATTTCTTGCGAGAACATAAGCTTCTCGGCCTCGGTGTGCCTTATGGCAGCGAGACGCCCTGGAATCACGACGCGCAATCTCTGTTGAATTTGATCGCCCGTGTACTACGCACGCCTGGTCGCAGAATCAGCGGTTACGCCGACTCCACCGCCGTTGCCGCCATCCAGGATGACTTCTTCTCGAATGGCAGCACTATGCTCTCCACAGAGTACCGCGCGGAGCTTCAATCGGCATTGGATGAAGAGCCTGTTCCAACTCCGCCTGACAGTGAAGAGGAGCGAATGAACGAGGCTGCTTCTGCTGGTAGCGATGAATCCTACAAGGCGGCCGGTAAACGTCACCGACGTCCCACATTGAAGAAGATGTCGAGCGCGCGTAACAAGCCGCTGAAGAAGCCACAATCTTCGAAGCGCACCGCGAAACTCATGGATGACGATGACGACGAGGCCCACGAGGAGCCAAATGAGACTGAGAAGCCAGCTGCCTCCACGTCCACACAGCCATCTCGGCCATCTGGCAAGGCCATAGTCAAGTCTCGACAGCCTCAAGCCTCGACAAAGCAGAGAGCTGTCAAGTCCGTTGGCCGCCAAGTTGGCCTCAACACTGGCAAGGGCAATCTTGTGCCCGAGCGAAAGATCAGCGGAGTACGTGCTGGCAGTTCCAAATACGTTCCCTCATTTCCTAACCTCAAAGCGGCTCCGTCAAGCCACAGCCACCGAAACGACTCAGATAACCAGCAGGCAAACAAGGTATATGAGAATGCGAATGAGGCCAATGATAGGGCTGAATTGGAGGATGAGGAGGAAGATGATCAAGAGGACGAGAATGAGGAAATAGAGCAGATTGAACAGGACGACAACGGTAACATCAGCGTCAACAGGAAACGTGCCTCCCGACGAGCCTCAGAAGACACTTCGCGTGCTCGAAAGCGGGCCAAGACCTACAAAGACTTGCTGGAAGAAGAGGATGACTCAGCGCCTGTGCCTCGCAAGTCACACCTTGCTGCCACCGCCAACAAATCTTCAAAGTCTGGGCAGATTGAGAGACGCAGAAGCAAGAATATCCGTTCTCTGCCGCACACCCAGACCAGTCAGCAGGACGAAGACGAGGAGCTTGCACTTCTCTTCCAGCGCGAGGAGTACCAACAACCCCTTACCACTCCTGAGCGAGACGGTGAGATGAGTGGCAACACATCAGGTATGACACGAGAGGAGCTTGCTCGCCTGGACGGTAGTCCTCCAGTGCCCACGCGCTACAATGCTCTGAGTCAAATGAGAGGCAAGAAAGCTGGCGAAGGCAGCTCTCGCGGCCTGGGCGGCCGGACCAAGATTGCACCTCTGAACAGGCAGCCTGCTGCCGGTTCAGCTCTCGCAGGCACCACGGCTCCATTTGGCGCCGACATTCACCATCGAGCTCAATCTTCTTCGACCCCAGACATCATGACGCTGGACCTGCCTCATGCCATGCTCAAGATTGACGGTCTCTTGGACCAGGCTCTCGTGACAGTCTCTCCCGAAGGTGAAATTGTCAACGTTGCCAGCATTGCGATGGAGCCCTCTCGGTCGTTGACCCGTCTCTACGCCGTGACTTTTGGTCACAACTGGCTCAAACTGGCTGGCGAAGCCATGCGCGCAGAAGACGCAGACGTCGTCTTCGCTGCACCAACCATCCTCAAGTCTCTCATCTGGCACTACCTCGCAGCTGAGATCTTGAGCAAGGAAGTCCTGAGCGACACGGTGTACACTCTGCTGGGGAAAATTCGCGCCTACGTTCAGCCTGTCTTGGAAGAGCAGAACGATGGCTTCAATTACAGCTACGTGCTGCGCCGTGCCTCAGAGGCACAGTTCCAATCTGCAGAGTTTCTCGGCCAAGAGGTGGCGCACTGCGCGCAGGAACTCGAGACCAGGCTCACGATGATTTTGAGACAGCACTTGGTGGAGATGGAGACGGCCAAGATGCCAGAGAGCTGGCGCAAAGATTTCTCGACCAGCTTGGTCGAAATTTGCCGCCAGACTCTCTTGCTGAGAGCCAAGCTGGGAATGGAGGAGGAGAAGCACGAGGTTTTGGTGGTTGGCCACCAGACGCCCTTCGATGGGGCGCAGATGGAGGCGGAGGGGGGCAGGGGTGGAGAGAAGGTTCTCTTCACCAAGATGCCTGGAATCAAGAAGACAGCCACCGGCGGACAGAGCCAGGTGGTTGTAAAGGCTCTGGTGGCGCTTTCCCCTGCCTCGATGGATGTTTAGATGGATTCTGCGTGTTATACACGCATTGACAGGTCCAGTAAGTTCTTGCAGCAGCCAGAGCAACAAGGAGCGGCTTTCGCCTGCTTCAAAAAAAGGGGGGTGGAGGGGGAGGTCGAGAGAAGAACAACGAAGAGCAGCTAGCTCTCTTTCTTTTCATCGATGTTTAATAGTAACCGTTCGCAACTCACAGAAACAAACAATATGATATTAAAAAACAGATCCCTATCCTCCCATCCCATGTCATCCATCCCTCACAAACCTGTCTACCCTACAACCCAATTGAACCCCCCTCCCCTTTTTTTCTTTCCCACCAACAACAACATCAAAAACCAAGTCATGCCGCCCCCCTCCTCCTCCTCAACCTCTAAACCAAAAAGAAAACTCCCCGCCTCCAACCCCCTCGCCATCCGCTCCATCCTCTCCCACATCGACTCCCACCTTACCAACAACAACAACAACCCCAAGGGCCTCCCCCCTCTCATCCACACCAAATCCCAAGCCCTCGCGCATCTCGCCCATCTCGCCTTTACAGAAAAATTTCCGTACACGGGAAACAAAGCCGCTGCTGCCGGAGGAAAAAACAAATCCGCTGAAGCAGGAGGAGGAACTGGAGGAGAGAAATTTCATACGGCAAAAACTCTCTGGGATGCAATGGGGTATGTAGTGAGGAGTTATAAGAAAGAAGAGTTTCGGAATTTGAGGGGGAGGGAGGCGACTTTGAGGATTTTTGGGGAGGGGGGGAGGATGTTGGAGGGGGAGTATTTGGGGAGGATTGGGTATGAGGTTCGTGGGGGGGAGGAAGGAGAAGAAGGAAAGGGGAGGTGGGAGGGGGAGGAAGAAGGAGGAAAGGGGAGGGGGGATGATGATGACGATGATGAGGGGTTGGTGCAGAAGGGTGGAGAAATTCAGGGGGGGAAAAAGAGGTGGGGCGGGGAGAGGGAAGAAATGGGGAGTAAGAGGAAGAAATTGTTGAGACGGGGTGGTAGGATTATTCCACCGCTGGGTTTGGGAGATAATGGTCGGATGCGGCGGCAGTCTTGTCTTCTTCCGAGTTGTGGTGATTCTACTACGCTGGAGCAGCAACAACACCAACACTGTACTGAGGAGCAGGTTGGAAACTCTAAAGAATCGTCGCGGAAGATGGTGGTTTATGAACCTGTTGTCAATGATCCCCCGAGCAAGAAGAATGAGAAGAAGAAGAAGAAGAAGGAGAAGTTGGATCTTCTTCTTCCTCCTCCGAGCCCATCCCACCTCGACTCCGAACTCCAACACCATCTCCATCTCCTTCGCGCCACAATCTCAGATTTCTCTACTTTCCTCACAGAAACGAAGCCCGCAACACCACAACCAACAACAATATCAACAAACGACCGACAACCTCTTCCCCTCGCCAACGGGAAAATATCCTCCAATCTCAAAACTCTATACCGTAACATTTTCCAGGACAACAACGGATTCTGGCGAGATGCTTTTGAGGATTTCGTTGTTGGCATGAAGAAGAAGAAGGAGCAGGAGGGGAAGAAGAAAAAGAAGGAAAAAGAGGAAATTACACCATCAACAACAATCATCCAAGCGATGATTTGGACGTTTTTGGAATTGGAAGTTTTTGGTGGTTGTGTAATACCATTATCAGTATCACCACCACCACCACCATCAAAAAGAAGACTCTTTTCACTTCCAGAGACGGAGGAAATAGCTAATCATCATCACACTAGAAGTTTCGATACTTCTACTCCTTTTACTGACAAGTTATGGCGGATTTTGATGGAACATTTCACATTCTTTTCTTCCTCCTCCTCCTTTCCTTCAAAAACAATCATACCACCACAACAACTCCAAACCATCCATACCCAAGCTCTAATCCTCCAAGCCGAAATGAGCAAAAAAGCTCCCTCGACGATGATGATCAGCAGTGAGAAATCTTCTTCTTCTTCTTCATATTACAGATTTTTCAAGCATAGCCATGGATCGATTGCTTACTGTCGTCGATTTTTTCCTGCAGATGATGGTCATCATCATCATCATCATCATCTTGACCAGGAGAACAAGAAGAACAACAACAATCCATCAGAGGAGGAGGAGGAAGAGGAGAGAGATATTGAGAAAGTGGCGTTTACGATTTCGCCGAGGATAGAACGTGTGTCCTCCTCCTCGTCGTCATCGTCATCGTCACCGTCATTATCAGGCGAGAAGACGACGGTAGTGATTGAGCCTGCGGTGATAGCTTTGTTGGGGAGAAGTGGAGATGGATGATGATGATTGTGGCGTGAGGGACATCTGTATACATGGGTAGTTTGGCAGCGATTCTGCAAAAATAAGAATAAGGTTGTTGTTGAAGGGAAGGAGAGGATACGGGGAGAAAAGAGAGTGAGGGAAAAAAAATGAAAGGAGCTTCCCTGGGATTAGGTAATCGGGGTGATTCTAAGAGTGAAAGACAGAGAGAAAGAGAGAGAGGGAGAAGGCGACTCTTTTCCTACAAAACAATGCGCTCACAAGTCAAAAAGATGCCGCAAGAAAAACGCCACCATATGCACAATCTGGGGTATCTTCCATCTCATGACATCGTCCAAAAAAAAACCCAATCATAGAGCGCCAATTTTTTAAAATGCTGTACAGTGTTTCCCCGATCCCAGAGCTGTCTACCCAAATAAGCCGCTAAAGAGACCCTTCTTCGCCGTACTAGGACTCTGATCGTCCAACGAGAAAGACCGAGTGAAGCGATCTTCTATTCCTACCTCTTTGACATCACCCGGCAAGACCCAACTACTTTGCTTCAGCTGAAAGTTTGATCCCTTTTCGGGAAAAGTCACAGGTTTCACACCTCGTCTCATCTGTGCCATGAAGTCCTTCTGTTGACTCAATGGTATTTGTTCTGGAACCGCAGGTCTGAAGACTGGATTCCGTAACCTGCGTTCCATGCTCATGGGTGCTGGGGGTAGATTGCCGTAGAAGGGACTTTGTCTTTGTGCTGGCTGGTAATGAAGCTTTTGCGCTTGTTCTTGACGTTGTCGTTCCTCCTCTCGTTGCATGTGTGAAGAGATGCCCGAGAGTTGGTTCCGAACGTCGCCGAACCCAAGAGGTGCCGCATTGGTGTGATTCATATATGTATGTCGTGGCTGCAAGTTGGGTCTGCTATCGAGCAATCGTTGTGATGAGCGCATGACTGGCTTATCGTCGATTTCCATCGCATCGTCATCGCCATAGTCTGAGAATTCAGGTGATGGCTGCTTCGTGAGGTAATTTGTCGTTGATCTCAGCACAGGCTGTTTGACTTGAGGTGCCAAGCCGTTGATATCCAAAGGTTCGTTTTCCTCCCTTCGAAGATATCTCCACGGATCCTTGGACGACGGTTTGGGCGTGTAGTGCTCCGACGCCGGGCCTGCAGATACCCCGAGAATGTCGTGCTCGCTGGGCTTGGGCATGATCTTTCCTTTCATCGTCCATGGCACAGCCTGAATGTTCCTGTTCGCCATAGCTTGTGTGATGAGCATAAACAGGATGGTAAAGCCATGCACAGCAATGGCATGTTCTTTGTCGAATGTGGCTGTCGAAACGGGAGTCGCAAGAATGTACCACGACCAGCCTCTGACAGCCAAGATGATAAGCTGCATGTAGAAGTACATCTGTTGGCCAGTCACAGCCTCGATTCGGTGCGTGTGATGATACCAGGCTTTCAATCCCGGATTAAACCAAATGAGGACTGTGCTGACCGAGATTGTAATGGGTATCAGCGAACTGAAGAGACTGTAGCAGGGGAGATTGAACTTCAAGCGAAGGGTCTGCTGAGCACATTGGCGCAGGTTTGGACCCAGAATAGACTCCGCCTCATTGACTGGCTCGCCAAGCAGTATGTGCAGTATCCCATACACATGGAAGGCAATCTGGACCATGTACGCAGTGAGGACCACCGCTCCAAGCAGCCGTAGCAAATTGCGCATGACCTTCTTATCGGTGCTGTCTCGAGTCCGGCTCGCAGCGTGACCACCCCTTCTTCGCGTGTCCTGCACCAGTTTCGCAGCATTCTGCGACATGGCATAGTAGTCGGCGCGATTGATGACGCTCTGAGCATTCGCGGCACACATTTTGCAGACCTGCGGGTATTTCTGCTCCAGCTCCAGCTTGTATTTCGGCAACGCGCGCATCTTCATGCGGTATTCCCGACTGTTCTCTTCCAGATCTTCTGGAAGGTACTCGGCCAAGATTCGATTGTACAAGTGCTGGTTCTGGGTGCAAGTCCGGCAAAAGGCCTGCTTCTGCTGGTGCTCGAGAGTCTCGGCAAGGGGCTTCGTGAAGGACAAGAACGATCGGTTGGCGTCTGTCGTGGGCGCGGATGGCGATGCTGCCCGCTGCGGTGTGTCGACGATGTTCCCCTTGCCGTCGAGGAAGTTCATGGCCTCGCAATGAGAGCACTGGAACTCGACGACATCCCTGCTATGCGGCTGCTTCGAGCCACAGAAGTGGCAGCGGATGCGTGAGAAGAGCATCGTGTTATTGCTTGGGTGGTGATGAAGGTGAAGGTGGTGGTGATGATTTGGTCATTGGTCGTTTCGGGCTTCGCGCTCTGTGTATACATGAAGCATTGTCGCAAAGTGAATTGTGGTGTGTCGTGTCGGGTCGTGTGCTCAAAGTGCATCGAGTGATGATTAGCCTGGCTGGGTGGTTGTTTTGGCGACCGGATCAAAAGTCGGCCCGGGATGTATTAATAGATTGACCGGCGCCTTTTTTAGCTCCCACAATATCACGACGTCGCCGGCAAGCCCACATCAACTCAATAGGAGGTAGAGGCACTGATGAGGCATCGTCTGGTCGGACGTTTCAAGGACAATGGATCGATTGTCCGTTGAGAACTAGGTATAGAGCGAGATAAGTTGCTTCGAAAATGAAGGCAACTAGGTAAGTGATTCCAGTGTGTATGTACTGGAGCGAGGCATAGGGCAGCCGCAGGTGCAACTCGTCACCCTTTTCTGTGGTGAATTGCACTGTGGTATAGTGCAAAAACTGGCGCAAAGACTCCGCCCAAAATTCACCCAGTCAGCCGATCCCACGCGATGTTCGTGCCCAAGGCAACCACGAGCAGCCAGTCCCGAACGCCATGCCATGCCATTTGCTTTCCCATAGATTTTGAGCAGTCCGAGTCACCTAGTCTCGGAGTAGTCGTTGAGCGCAACACAGACCGCGCCACGGTGGTGTCCGTTGTATTGGCGTATGATGCTCTTGCTGGCCAGCTCCCAAAGTCGCGCATAGTGATCGCTGCAAGCTGTGACAAGATACGCAGAGTCGGCAGAGAATGCGCAATCCCACACCCAGCGCTGGTGACCATCGAGCTCATTCTCCAGCGGAAAGGCACCAGAGAGATCCTCGCCAGAGGTAGGAATCACTACGCCGTTCTCGTCCCTCTCCTCCTCTGGTGGGACGACATTGTCGAGGTCGACTGTCCAGATTCTAGCGGTGTGGTCTGCCGAGCAGGTCGCAAGCTTGCGTACATCTGGTGACAGTAGGACTCTCGTGATGTACGTGCCATGGGCCGTGAACTTGGTGATGGGAATGAGCGTGGTCGTATCCTTAATTGTGACCAAGCGCCACACAAAAACGCTGCCATTGGTGCTCGAGCTGACAGCAGCGCATAAAAGAGAGGCGTCCGTCGCGACTGTGATGGATGCAATGCTCTTATCCTCCTCTGGAACCAGCTGGTGGCTGCATTTGTTCTCGGACAGATCCCAGATGCGCAGATTTCCGCCCCGATCGCAAGAGATCAATTCTCCCTGGTTGGGGTGTATCACGACGTCGTTGACTGGGACACCATGAGAATAATTGCGTTGTACATGGCCACTTCTAGTATCCCAGATCTTCACAGTGCCTGCAACAAGCCGTCAGCGAGACACAAGCTCTCAATATAGCATCGTTTTACTGTACCATCCTCTGAAGACGTGACCATCCACTTGCCCTCGCAGTGAAATGCGACGCCGGTAATGTTACCGGTATGGCCCTCGAACGTGAGGACAGCAGCCGGATTGGTAGACTTAATGTCGTAAAGCTTCACCGTGTGGTGTCCAGCAGCAGCCAGCCAGCGCTTGTCCGGTGAGATACAGAGTCGATTGACCTGCGAGTCAGGGTGCGGTATGGTCCGTGAGCAGATGCCGCTCAGAGCCTCCCAGAATCTGCGCAGGAGTTAGCAATGTGCCAGGAGAGCCTACACCATCTCGCTTTCTCAATCCAATTAGTGCTGCGCATTCCCCAATGTGCTATCTAAGTTGAGGTTCACATCTTCTGAGCCGGAGATACAACTCTGCAGGACTTTGGCCCCTCGCGAGTAGCCACAATTCCATTAGTGAGTGAGTGAGCGGTGGTCTGTCGCATGACAAGAGGCAGCAAGTGGAAATTTGTCCATCCATTCCGAAATACACAGATAGTGCGTCCAGCCGCACTGAGCGGTCACCAGTGCAAGATATGATCTCGTAATGCGATATTGGTACCACAAATTTCGTGCGCGAATCGGGGTTTAAGCTTTCTCCAACGATGGCCGGCCGATTCGTCTGGTTGACAGATCAACTTACCGGATAGTGTGGTCATATCCAGCTGCAGCGTGATCAGCAGAAGTCCCAGACAAAGCGCAACCTCATCGAATCCAGCATACCAGTGCAGAGGATTACCGACATCTTGTCTAGTCCCCAGCCTCGATGACTGGGGCCAGTGCAGTGGTGACAAGTCGAACTCTTGCGATGGTCGGTGGTCGCTCAATGTCGATATTCTGCAGGCGGCGACATACAATGTGCTTGCTGGCGGCGTTGTGGTGGAGATGTTGCCGTGTCGAGGTTGTTGTTGGTGGTGTCGTTGTTGTTGTTGCCTCCTAGCGTGCGAGAAGATGGAGATGGAACCTAGATGGCGCGCTGCGGCGTCACGACCAATAGAGTGAATGGACCAACGGCTTGAGTACGGCCCGAACCCTGCCGAGGTCCTCCGCCTCTGCCGCGTCTCCTTTTCATGCGTGGTCATCAACACCACCCAGACGGAGAAGCTAAGCAATAATGTATATACATTGCGACAACCCAGCCAACACAGCATGTTGCAAATGATGGAAGAAAGAGTCCGCTACTATCATTGACCTGCTACATGGATTCGAATGGGGAATGGACGACGGCGCCGACAAGATGGAGGATGATCCTCACTCACCAATCGAGTCAAAACCGCACAGCCACAGCAGCAACAGGTAGCTCAGCTGTACCTGTCGGTTTGGTTGAATTCAGTTTCAAACCGACGAAGCGAGGAGCGCGAAAAACCCAAAGAGATCAACAATGAATAGAGCGCATATCGCGTCCGAATCCATCTTGCAAAGCGCACTCAGCGCAGTGGAATTCTGGAGTCCAGCAACAATAACGTCACTTTGCACGCTGTGCTGAATCTACTTCTGACTGGAGCGTCGCGTCGCGTCAACACGGCCAATTCTGAAAATGATCAATTTAATACTGGCTGCACGAGGGAAGTTTTGGATCATCGCTAGGGACCTTGGACTGTTTGTCGGTCTTCTCTCTCTCCTTTTGACGGGGATGTGTATCGACCTCCACAGCAATTTGATCAGGACTTCAAAAGCTCGGATAATCAGGCAGCCACTTTTCTTGGCATCACAGCAGAGCGACGGCTCTACAGTGACCTCTCGCGGTTAGGCCAACGAACTCCTCGGACCATACAGATTTTCACATCAAGCTCAGCCAACATGTGAGACCCCAGCTGAAGCTGCTTAATCAATCTCCCGCTGCTGCTACGAAACCGAGAGTGCATCGCACCAGTTCCGGCGAGAAACTTCTGAGGATAAGCCGAGAGTGGCAGAGTACCCGCGAGATTCAGGCCTTGACATCAACAGTTGCACTATAACACCCAGAGGCATCAAACTGAGAAGCCTCGTTGGCAGAACCCTCCTAGGCTTGTCTGCCTAGTCGAGGTGAACAACTTGCTTCAAACTCTACCTTACCATCCACTGGAGATCAACTGCCAAGCAAAGACGCGGGAGTATCCACAGGCAAACCCAATATGCCAGACGGAAGATGGGCCGAGTTTGATACGATCGAAACAGCCTACAAGTCTGCGCGAGGGCCAAAAGCTCGGCTGACACACAAGCTTCGCTCGACATTACGCGTCGATGCTTCCTATAGACTCTCGTGCAGGATGCTCTGAGGGCTCGAGAATATGATCCGATTACGTAACCAAGGAATTGTGTTAGCGGATGGCCCTAATTCCTATCAGGGATCTTGAACATAGGTCTGGACGACTGCGGAAAGATCTCTTTGTGTTTTCAAATTCACAGTTCGGGGCAGGTCAGCTTGCGGGATCCTCCAACGAAATGTCCATCGTCCTAGTGTCAACCATTATGGTGGATGATGGTCAGTATTTGCACAGTCCTCAGAATACAGACTCCCTTGCTGCAAGCAATACTCGTATGTCTGCTTGTGATTGCTGTGTCGCCACGCTTGAGAGCACGAGCAAGGCGCTCAAGATCACAGGGCCCATCGAGTTGCTGCAGCAGAGACCCGTGTGTCTGTTTCGCTTATTCGTCTCTCTCTTCCTCTCTGGCTCAGAGCGCTAGAAACATATCGGATTGCCTTCTGAGTGCACAAATGCCACCGAATGCCTAGCATCGTAGCCAACATGGCCATCAGTGGCACGCGGCGGGCATTTGCTAGTGACGAGAGCTCGAAAGTGGCGCGAACCGGTGCTTTCTCCTACAGAAGTTTGTTCGTTATCAACTACTGCGTCGGAGCCTGGTCTCTCCAGAGAACCAGATTGCATGCACGTCCCGGACCAACCTCGGCACACAAGTCTGTGAGCTGTGCGCGTCCCAGGGGCTCTATGGCAATATTTTCGATGGCATGCACCGGCGGCGGAGTGGCTACATCATCCACGTCGCCTGACTTGCCGCTGGATTGTATTTCTGCCTCCTATGAATGGTCGGTGAGGAATGATAGCATTGGGTAGAGACTGATCAGTCGAGCCTGCAAAGACTAAAGCCTTGCGATCATACACGCGTGCTTAGGACGGGCACGCCTCTCTCGCATCACCCAAGAAGCTTCACCCAGCTGCATCTCGCTTTAGTGCTTTGCTCACTTCAGATTCCGGAACTGCAAAAGGCATGGCTCTCATTCCGGGTAAGCATAGCTTACATCGCGCACGCAGGTCTATATGCTTGTGTCAGGCCTTCACAATGGGTACGCATATGCATACGACGGCTGCTGAATCAGCCTATGGACGCTTATGTATGCGCGTTCTGTCGATTGTCAGTCCTCCAGAGCGATTTATATCGTAGCAGGTGCCTGAAACCTTGTGTTTCCCGTTCACGGCATAGTCGTTGCTCCGCCAAGTAGCGACTAACGCTGATAGTGCGGAAAAAGGCCCATGCCAAACAGCCGCGAACTTGGCGTTGGGGGACTGTAGGACTTTGTATCCAGATCTGTGTCGTGAAGTGTGCTGCCATGTGCTGTTCGTCCTGGGATGCTATGCCTTGAGCCTCACGGAGCTTCGGTGTATGGATGAGGCCCTGAAAGGCAAGATGCTGAGTCTTCCTGTCCAGAAGTCTCTGCGCGTGCCACTCATCCAGCTTTGGTGCTCTTATGCTGTGCTCATCGCCATCATTGTCACGATGAAGTATGGTCGCGCGAGTGCTGCTCTGGCCTCTTGACAAATATGTGGCCCACATTGTCTTCTGGTGGTATGTCGTGTGTCATACAGCTCTTGTGGCTTTTGCGCAGCTCATCATGTATCCGATTGCCTATCTTCCTGGCTCGTAGCGGTCGGAGGCTCCGCGGGAATGCCAGGGGAGGCCACAAGATAATTGCATCTGCAGAGGAGTGTGCATACGTTGTCGGCTCCGTGGCGCGAGAAAGGCAACGAGCGCTACTCATGCTAAGTGCTCTCCCATGCCACAGATCGCACAACTCTGTCCCTGTGATGAGTTCAGCGTACAGCAGAGGAGAGTGGCAAGATATCAAACGGGGGATTGGTGGTAGCGACCAAATCCTTTTCATAGCGTCTGGCAATCATCGCGTTGAAGGACCGCGCCGCATCGCGCTTGGCCTCGATATTGGGGGTCGCTCGGCAGAGTGTGACGCTCGTAGCGGCCAATGGAGGCCGGCCCGGTTTCAGGGTCCTGTTTCTTGGCCTCCTTTTTTTCGTCTTTCGCTCCTCGGCCGTTGTGAACCCACAAGAAAGATTGCGGAATTTGCTGTGGTCGTCGTAGCGGTCTGACCCAGCACGATCTTTACAGTCCCGACACCATGCGCGCCTCTCGTCGGCAGTGAATCGGGGAAAGCCAAAACGGAAATGCCTCCCGCCTCCTTTCGGGTCGAAATTCGGGAAGTCGGATCACAGCGAAATCGATGGTGACGATATCGAACTGGTGTTCACGATTTGTCTACACAGACACTGTCCAATCCCGTTGCTGCGACAATCCTGTCATCGCCCACGTGCTCCATGCAGGCACAAGGTCATAATCGGCCAATGCACCTGCTGTTTGTGCTGTGCGTAAGCTGCAATACCCCACCCATACGGAGTTCAGTGTTTAGAGGCACATTATGAATCATCGGACTCTCTGCATACGAGGGTTCATTGTCACTGCCCTTGGTTCCCAACCTATCGTGGTTCCGTGTTTGGATTTCGTGCGCTCTTGGCGTCTCTTGCCCTGATCTGCTGCAACTTCACGCCAACGCATCGCTACACTTCGTAACAAGCTGGAGGAGACTGACAAGAGAATTCTCCATCTCCTAATATGAGTTTCGTCGTGGCCGGATGCTCGGTGACAATTTTACACCATTTCGATGCTGTCGCACTCACAAAGCGTGCGAATTCACTCTGTGGTTGTGTGAAAGCTTAAATGTTCGCTGCACTCATACTCTTTGCTTCGGAGTTCATCATGGAACAATGAAGCGGCATTACAGACATGAAATCAACATGAGGGTGTAGCGATGAATCGTGGCTATCTCCTCGTACCACTATCATGAGGGTCGGACATCTAGTATGGACGATGCGCTGCGAGCCGGATTCTCGACTCTACTGAGTGGTAGGCTGGTAGCTTTCACAGGAAAACACGGTATACTCTTGATCAAATTTGCATCGCTGTAGGAACACAAGAACTCGCTGCCCTGCACATCTTTCCTCTTCTCTTCCTCTCTTCCTCCCACATTACAGATGAGCTATTGCAGAACGAAGCCTTGATCCACCGCGTTCAGACTTCACTTCTACTATACCGCATCTGTACCCAAAACACATACCGCACCAGTTGTGCTCTCTTCTCTTCCGGAGATCTCACCCATCAGCACGACGACCGCGTAACTCGCAGCCAAATCCCTCGGCAACCCGCACTTAAGCGACGTTGCAGAGATGGTGAACTTTTGCGTGGCGTGTGAGGCAAAGGGAGGTCTCTATTGTGATGATTGCCTCATAAGGTCGGTTGCTCGAGGAGACGGAGCATTCGCCGCTCCTACCACCACCATCACCACCGCCGACGAGTCACTATGGCAACAACAGCCTGCTCAGTTTCAATCTGGGCAGCTGCAGCTGTACGACGACAACTTTGGAGCTGTCAACGGACAGCTCCTACCTCATTTCGACAATTTTGTAGCTGTCAACGGACAGCTCCTACCTCCTTCCAACAATTTTGGAGCTGTAGACGGGCAGCTCCTACTTCCTTCCGACGACTTTGGAGCTGTGACCGAGCAGCTCCTACCTTTCGACGACTTTGGGGCTGTGACCGGTCAGCTCCCACCTCATTCCTATAACTTTGGAGCTGTCACCGGACAGCTCCCACCTCCTTCCAACCACTTTGGAGCTGTCAACGGACAGCTCCTACAGGTCCCAGGTTTCGACGAGTCGGGACCTTCTGACTGGCGGCAACAGGGAACTCCAGACTTCCCTAGCCCAGCTTATGCACCAAGCCAATTGGTCCCAGGACCTCCTGCTGAGCTGGCTGCCGCCAACGTCGGGGACGGGCATCGTGGTCAGTGGGCTATCCCCGGAGTCGATGGACCTGCCGCAGCACCGGAGTCGGGGATAGAGCACCACGGCAGTCAGAGAAAGCCTTCGAGTGACAAGCGAAAGGCTCAGAAGACGGCCCACCAGAACCCGTGGCGTGCACTCGCGAAGCTGCTGACCAAGCTGGTCAAGACCAACGGTGCCTGGAAGGGGGAGAGGGGCCTGAGGGTGACTAACGACGATCGGGCGTCAAAAGCGGCTATGGAGAGATATCTCCAGCGCAACGCTGCACTCCTCGGGCTCGCGCTTTCGGAGGACGGTACGCCAGGAGATGTCGAGTTGCGCATGGCCGGGCCGAACCGTGCAGCAGCCGTCACGGACGAGAACACTGTTCAGATCCATTGGCTCAAGCTCAATGTGATCAGGAATGGTGGTTCATTTCCCGGTCTGCCAGAGGAGTGGGTGGTTCGGTGTTCTGAGAACGCCGAGCTCTTCGCACACGTCTTTGGACCGACCATCTAGATGATTAGCTCTGCTAGACGATGCTTTCTCGAGCTAGTCTGTGCACTGACTATCTAGATGGCGAGCTCTACCTGACGCTGCCACTCCACACCTCTGAGCGCTTCCGTGCCGCTTGCGACCCCCGAGACGCCGTCGTCGTGACCATCCGGCTGTGATGAGCTCCACAGAGACGGAGACAGTATGGAAAATGATGGCTATGCCGCTTTCTTCATACTAGATCATTCCGTCCCATTTGTGAACACCGCGACGCCGTCGTGGTGACCAGATGGCTGTGAAGAAGTTCCACAGACTTGGACACAGTATGAAAGAGGATGGACACGCCCCTTTATTCATGCTGGATCACGGCGACCCAGACGCCGCCGTCGTTTGACCATAGGGCTATGAAGAAGCTCCACAGAGACGGAGAGTATGAGAAGGACGAGCATGCCCCTTTCTTCATGCTTCTCTCCCTTGATTACGGCGGCCGGACGCGGCTGTTGTGACCATAGGGCTGTGACGAAGCTCCATAGAGACGGAGAGTGTGAAAAGGACGAACATACCCCTTTCTTCATGCTTCTCTCCCCAGATTATAGCGACCGGGCCGCGGCTGTCGTGACTATAGAGCTGTGACAAAGCTCCGCAGAGACAGAGACAGCTTGTGAAAGGACGAACATGCCCCTTCTCATGCTCCTCGCTCTGGATCATGACAATCACGGCACCGAAGGCGACGTCAAGAGTGCGACCACGTCTACGCTCCCTCAGGAAACGGTTGGGCTTTATAGGAATCGAGACAGCATAGCAAAGGATGGACACGCCCCTTTCTTTATGCTCCTTTTCCTGGATCACGGCGACCACGGTACCCAGAGCGGCGTCAACACTGCAGCCACGTTCACACTCCCTCGAGGGATGGTCTGGCTTCGCAGAGATCAAAACAGTATGAAAAAGGATGGACACGCCCCTTTCTTCATACTGGATCACGGCGACCGCGGTACCGAAAGTGGCGTCAAGATCGCAGCCACACTCAGGGCTCCCTTTCGAGATGGTCAGGTCTTGTAGCGATTACAACAGCATGGCAAAGGATGGACACGCCCCTTTCTCCATGCTGGATCACATACCGGAAGCGGCGTCAAGAGTGCAGTCACCTTTCCATTCCCTCACGAGTCGGACTTCGCTGAGATCAAAACAGCATAGCAAAGGATGGACACGCCCCTTTCCTATGCTGGATCACAACAATTACAACATCGAAAGCGGCGTCAAGAATGCAGCCAGGACCACCTTTCTTTACAAGATGAACTGCGCAGGAATCAAGACAGCATAGCAAAGGATGGACACGCCCCTTTCCTATATCGGATCTGCTGATTCCGATCCACCTGCCTGGCTGGCTATTCAGACGTTGGTAATGGGTTGCAGCGGATCTTCTCACTGGACCTTCTCTCACTGGACCTTCTCTCACTGGATCTTCTCTCACTGGACCTTCTCTCACTGGATCTTCTCTCACTGGACCTTCTCTCACTGGACCTTCTCTCGCTGGCTTACGGAGCCTGCAATACCAATGGCAAAGTGAAGGGTGCAGCCATTCGTGCTCCATTACGAGATATTCGGGATTTGCAGGGATCAAGTCAGCATGGCAAAGGATGGACACGCCCCTTTCCCATGCCGGATTTACTGACCCTATTACTCCCGCCTGGCAAATCTCTAGAATGGTGATGGCTTGCAGAGATTCCTCTCACGGGACCTTCGCTCCCTGGATCACGACTATAACGGGTACCGAAAGCGACTTCAGAAGTAGCCCTGTTCGCGCTTCATTGCGAGACGGTCGGGCTTCGCAGGAATCAAGTCAGCATGGCAAAGGATGGACACGCCCCTTTCCCATGCCGGATTCACTCACCCTGTAACTCCCGCTTGACAAATCCCTCGAACGGCGATGGCTTGGAGAGTATGAAGAGATGCCTGCCGCCTCGGACGCGCAAAGCAATCTCCCAAGAACGACGGCAGAGCGCACACATGATTGCATTTGATCCAAAGGAGAGATCAAAGCATCACTGGTGCTCTCCACAGACTGATCGACATCCGGACCGATTGGCAACTCGATCGTAAGACCAGTATCATCAATCTGCTCTGTTACTATCCCGTCCGATACTCCATACTCGGTGCTCGCAGAATCAGAACGATACGATCATCCTGGATAGAAACTGGTCCCAGAGAGTAAGCAACACGGTCCGAACCATCACATCCTGCTGCCTCTTCTACGGAGCCAGAACGAAGCGAATACCTGGACATTTCAAACCATCAAAGTCATCAAGAAGATTCATCACAAGGCCAGACCGGCGTCAGCTTCTCCGCATTTTCTGACGACAACTTCAGAAAAATAGGACGGGGAGTAAGCAACACGGTCCGAACGATTACACCCTGCTGCCCCGCTATAGAGATAGAAAGAACGAGCATCTGGGGCTCTTAGCCATAGCAGCCATCGGAGGGTTTCATCTTAACGCCGAAAGACATTCCGGTAATGCGGGCAGGTGGAGGTGTTCGTATTGGATCGGACGGTGGCTCCTCTCACCACCATCCTGCGACAAGAACACAGCTCCGCGAACACGCCAACCCGACGCACCGAAACATCATATCGCCCCCATTTGCAGAGAGAAAGCCGTACACACCAAGATCGACTGCAAATCCGACCCCCCCGAAAGTGGCAGAACCGAACACTTGAGGGCGAGAAAGAATGACTTTGACGGAGGTACAATACCTGATAATTGCTACCGACGAAGCAGACGATGCCATGCTACAGGCGACGAGGCGGCGCGCAAACCTCTGGGAATATCAGGACTCGCGTCAACTTTCCGCATTTCCTAACGATGACCCCAGGAAAGTTGGACGGGGAGTAAGAATGGTCATAGCAGCACGGCCGGCGTCAGCTTCTCCGCACTTCCTAACGATACTCCAGGAAAGTCGAGGGGAGAGTAAGCAACACGGTTATGGTAGCACGCCTAGGTGGAAGGCAAAGATCTGAAGAAGATTTGAGACTGGCGTCAGTTTCTCCATGTCTCCTGCCGACAAACTCAGGAGAGTAGGTCGGAGAGGTAAGTAACACAGTCAGGAAGGCACGTGCTTGGTGGAAGGAGGAATTGAAGGGGGTCTAAGACTGGCGTCAGCTTCTCCGCATCTCCTAACAGTACGAGGAGAGTAGGTCGGAGAGTAAGCAACACAGTCAGGGTAGCACGTGCTTGGTGGAAGGAGGATTTGAAGGGGGCCCGAGACTGGCGTCAGCTTCTCCGCATCTCCTAACAGTACGAGGAGAGTAGGTCGGAGAGTAAGCAACACAGTCAGGGTAGCATTTGCTTGGTGGAAGGAGGATTTGAAGGGGGCCCGAGACTGGTGTCAGCTTCTCCGCATTTCCTGACGACAAGTTCAGGAAAGTAGGTCGGAGAGCAAGCAACACAGTCGGGGCAGCGATGGAAGTGGTAGGTCTCGATGAGGTACAGGCCTGGAGGGGACAGGTATATTCAAGAGGACTGGTGTCAGCTTCTCCGCATCTCCTAATATCAAGACAAGGAGAGTAGGTCGGAGAGGAAGCAACACAGTCAGGGCAGTGGTGGAAGTCGTGGGTCTCGAGGTGATACAGGTCTGGAGGAGGTATAGGCCTGGAGGAAGTACAGGCCTGGAGGAGGTATAGGCCTGGAGGAGGTATAGGCTTGGTGAAGATGGATACAAGACTGGCGTCAGCTTCTCTGTATCTCCTGACATCAAGACAAGGAGAGTAGATCAGAGAGGAAGCAACACGGTCAGAGTATCAGGAAGCAGTGGGCCTCGAGGAGGTCCAGGCCGAGAGAAGATACAAGCCTGGTAAAGATACAAGACTGGCGTCAGCTTCTCTGCATCTCCTGACAAGAACACAAGGAGAGTAGGTCGGAGAGTAAGCAACACGGTCAGACCAGCGTGTCTCTCGAGGGAAAGGTATCTCAAGGACACGGCGAGGCAAATGGGAAGAGGGTGGAGGGTGGTCCCAAAATGAAATTTTTGCCTCGCCGTGTCAGTGACTTCTCAGCATCGTTTTTGCGTGAACTACCTGATTTTGACAAACAATGCATTGTTGTGCCTTTCCTTCCCGAATAAATTGACTGCTTGATATTGGCCTGCTTCGCTTCCCAATCAGTTTGGTCATTCTCACGCGTCTATTGATATTCATTATAGATGCCAGAAGACCAATTTGAGCAGCATAGGAGTCCATACTCGATGCTATCTTTTACTATTGTGCTTGCTTGTTGTGCTATGCACTATGCACTCACCACTATAGCACAAGCCAATCGTAAGCTGACACGCATGCAGCACAGAAGACTTTTGTGCAACTGTTCTGCCGTTGTTTACTAACCTCCCTCTCCCTTTTCACTCTCATACACACTCACTCTTCTCTTTCTTCCCTCTTCCTTCTCTACCATCACTTCGCTCTATTCTCGCTCTCTCTTGACTCCTTTCTCCTCTCTGCTTCATTGTCGACTCTCCGTACCGACCGTCCCAGCTGCATGGTCCTATCTATTCCATGCCTTGTCAATATACATCGAATAGCAAGGCACGACGACTAGATCTGAGAACAGTCCTTTCTCAGGCCTCTCACTCTTGAACAAATAGCATGCATAGCCTGCTTTAAACAAGATGACTTCTTCCGGCCTTTCATATTCTCCAATATCATATCGCACATATCCCGAGCGGCGCAATTCGACGCCAACATGGACGACCCCAGTTTCCCAGCCCAGCCTTTCCGAGGGCCAAGATAGCGCGTCGCCGCCCCGTCTCACTGCTCACATCATTGTAGTAGAAACTAGTCCCGACTCCCCCCAGCCTTGGAATTGACCCTGGCAAATACGATGACGTGAAGGGCTGATGAGAGAGGGAGACGAGCAGCATCTATGTAATCCCGATCCCTTCTGTGGTCCCCCATCCATCCCCCTCCTCTCCCACTCCCATCCTGTCTCCTCTTGCAACTACTAAACTCCTCCTCCTCCTGCTACTCCTCTCCCCACCCCACCCACCCACTCATGGCCGCCCAAATCGTCACGGTCGAGCCCTCGCTCGCCAGCGGAGCCAGCGGAGCAACCGCCCGATCACACACCAGACGCGGAGCCGACCTCGTCGAGCGACTAAACGCTCTCGAGCACGAAAAACGCTCTCGACGCCATTCTCACGCAGGCCAACTCGTCCTTGCCCCTCGACCCGGAGCAGCAGCAGCAGATCGTTCAGTCCGCGACATCAACGACGAAATCCGCGCTCTCGAAGCCGAAAAACAAGCATACAGATACGAAACCCGCGCAGCCGCAGAACGAGATATGGCTCATAGATTTCGTTCTCGAGCATCCAGTGAAGCGCCGGCGCCTCGATCGCGCTATCTTAGCGAACGAGAAATTCTCGTCCAAGAAGGCGATTTGCGTCGTTCGCGATCACGCTATGCGGGTAGTGAAAGAGGATTGGTTCTGCATAAGGAGGAATTTGGGAGAGGACCGGGAAGAGATTTTGTTTATGAAGAGTGGGAACGCCGGCATAGGAGTCAGCCTCCTGCGGAACTTGTGCTGTATGATCCGGAGAGATATGGACCGCGTGAGGTGGTGTATGAACGTGCGCCGAGTCCGATTCGGAAGGTGGTCAGAGTGAGGAAGGATAGGAAGGGGAGAATGAGTTTGGTTCGGAGTGCGCATTGAAAGAAGGGCGTACTTTTTCCATTGTGGGCGAGAAGACACGGGTTGGTTTGCCAGTGTTGCGCATTGCTCTTGCAGGCCTTTATAAATAAGGTGCCCTTGGAGCAGAGCACGACTGTGATCCGATGTAAATTCTCGGTCTACACACTCACTGCCCACTGGACCTCTTCTACAAAAAATCTGAATCGGCACTACAGGACGCTGCACCAGTAGCAGGCAGGCCTCGAGACACCAATAGCAGCCTCGCCATATTGCGCCAATCGTCCAACACATTACAGCCTGGCTCTCGGCAACCCATCCAAAACTCCTCCTCCCAGTCCCTCCCAAAGCGGATTGCGGAAGCACGTCACGAGAACAAGGCAACAACAGCCTTATATCGCGCGGCGAACTTGATGCCAACGAGGAACAGGTTCTCCAAGAAGATGGGCCATGCATGACTGGCTGGGGAACAGCTTCAAGGCACAAGAAATCGACAAATCTCGTAGCTGAACGGGTCAAGCGTGACGGGCGAGCTTGGGGGAAAAGCCATGTGTGTGCACTATTGAAAGAGGTGCCAAAATTTGATATATGAAGATGCAGAAATGAGTTTCTATTTTGATTGCACGGATTGATGCAATGAGATGGAGCGAGACGGGGCTGAGAAGGGTAGCAAGCAAGAATGTGAATTATTCTTACACACGAGCTGATGAGAGCTGGAGGCAGAACGTATATAAAAATAAAAAAATCAGACTGCAATCCAGCCCTACCTCTTGTTGCACGTTGAGAGAAATACAGGTACAGTAACTCTTCTTTCTTTTCTGCAACTGCAGCCACCAAAAAACAAGCCAAGCCCAAGTCCAAGTCAAGTCGTAAACGCCATGCTGCAGCAGAGTCCTACCTACTGAAGATGATTAGTATAACAACCAGCAAGAATGTCCGGATGGCTGTTTGCCCTTGATATAAAATGAAATGCTCGAAGCGTGCATAACTACCAAGGAATATACTCACACTCGATAACTACTACCTCCTAGCGGCAAGATCAATAAAATCATTGCCCTCGTACTCTGAAAATTCCCTCACTGCCCACATCATTGAGACCAACAAAGCATCTGCGAAAAAAACTGCAAAATACCCACCGAAAGGTAGCTTTCGCTGCGTACCTACCGACCTTAGACCCGTGTCTTCTTCCAAGATACGAGTATGTATAAATCAGGTGGATCTCGAGTACGCCTGCAAAAAGGGCATGATTCGCCAGATCGTGTACTGTCACGTCGTGCAGTTTGCGATTCAACGTAAAGTGTTTCCTTGGCTGGCTGGCTGGCTGGCGTGGGCTGACAGCAAACATGAGACCGAGCGGAGGTCGCGAATATCATTATGGTCTTCAGACTGCTGCTATTCCAGCTCATCCCGACGGCTGCCGACTGCGCTGGCTTGCTCTATCAGGAGGCGAGGAGCAAGCCTCAGGAGGGTCACCGTGTCGATATCCTCCGGGAACAAGCCCATCGCAATGTGATCGGGATACGTGCCGTCTAGAACGCCTTGACCACAATGTTGCAGGAACCGACATCACGGTCGAGCGGTCGACTCGGCTTGTGGAGAATAGGTACACCACTTCGGCGGGGATCTTCTGGTTTGGTCACAATCTATTGACAGCAATCTCTGCCTACCTTCTTGAGCGCTCTTACTAGACTACGACACATGAGTCGCTAGTCCATTCGGCACAGCTGCAGACCAGAAGAGGCTGAGCCAAGATCGTCGGGGATTCACCGGTGATCGTAATGTTGCTACAAGTCTGTGAAACGTCAACATGACAGAATGTCCATTTCTTCTCAATAGGTATGTTCGCTTTTGACCATGTCAGTACTCGGGCTACGAGTTGTGGACGTGGCAGTGCCGCTGCGGAGCGGACTAGCTGCTGCGCCAACAAGTCAGGTTCTTTGGCACACATCGCGCCTCATCTTGCAGCTGCCAGTGCATGATCACACCAGCACTCCGACGCTTCTATTCATTTCAATCTTTCATCGAGCCACGCTCGCCGTCCACGATGGCAGGACGGTCCACATTACATGCCCGGTGGGGGAGGGACCTGAGAGTGTCAGTTGAACTCGCACAAGTAAGTGATCTTTGTAACTCACAGCACTATAGCCTTGGTTTGCACCGGGTGGTGGTGGTGGCGGTGGGATGCCCTGTTGATCCTGTGGCGCAGCCGTCATTCCGTTCGTGTAGTCCACTGGAGTTTGTGTCTGCTGAGCATACGCTGCGAGATGTTAGTACGGAGCATGCAAGTACTGCGAGAGAGGCTTGCAGCCAATCATTACTCGAGGCTCGACTCCTCCCTCGCCGCAAGAGAGGGATTCAAAAGGAGAGCTCTGCTTACCTTGATACGCACCAGCAGCGCCTGGTTGCATGAACTGAGCCATGACAACGCCATAACCTCCGTATGCAGAGTAAGGATCCGCTGATGGGTTCTGCGCATAATAGACTGCCCATGCCTCGTACTGCTTCTGTTGTTCAATCGGATCGGCTGGAGCGACGGCAGTCTGCGCTGGTGCCGTAGAAACTTGATCTGTGGTAATGCCGTATCCTGGTTGAGCTGGGTTGTACTGTGCATATTGCTCTGCTTGGCATACAGGAGCAGCATAGCCACCTCCATAGCCACCGTTGGCGGGTGACATGATACCACCATACGCACTACCGCCGCCTCCACCACCACCACCACCACCACCACCGTAGGGTCCAGAATGCTGGCGATCTAGGCCGCGATCATGGTAGCCTCCGCGACCTTCGCCGCCATAGCCACCGCGTCCACCAAATCCGCCGTTGTGTCGTGGCGGCCGCTCCTTGAATTCCTGGTACGAGGTGCGAACAGCCTCGAGGAGCGAGTTGCACTGAGCTTCGGCCTCGTCCACCATAGCCTGCTCGGGTCCAGCAACATGCAGGTACATGGCCTCGTCGCTCTCCCGTCCCGTGTCGTGTTCCATGAACCCCGAACCGCGACCCTTGATCTGGACGCGACATCTGGTCTCCTGCTGAATGTGTTTCACGTAACTGCCTCCATGGCCCACGACTTGTGCTCGAAGATTGAAGCCCGGGATCGGTTCAAGGTCGATGGGTATGCGCTTCTCCGGCCACTTGCGGCGGCCCAGATGGTCGCGGTCAGGCTGCGGCTCTCGAGGCTCTTCGCGACGGCGGAATCGGCGTTCGTCGATCAGGTTTGGGAGCTCCTGCTGCATGAGCTCTTCGATCTTCTTCACGGCTTGTTCGAGGCCGTCCTTTGTGGTGCTCGTCACGTGGAGGTAAAGCGGCGGATTGGCAGCAGTGGCCATGCTCTTATCCGGGTAGTAGTTCCCGCGAGTAGTAACATCTTTTCATGCGATCAGTGTTCGGTTCCTAAATAGTCAAAATCGTTCGTTCAAATGGAAGCGTACCAGCGCCAGTCTCTTCTTTGATCTAGATGTCACATGCAGGTCAGCAGATGCAAATGGGGGGTCGCCGCCGGTGGCTGTAGCACGCTAGGTGTAAGTCCAAAGTGCTTCTCATCTCAAGTTTGTATTACAAACTCAGTGCTGTTGATCGTGGGGAGGCGAGAGGGACGAGGCTGGTTGCGGACAGCTGAGAGTATCAGTGGGATCAAGTGTGTATTTACCATCTTTTGCGTGCTGCCTTTAGTCAATGTGTAGCGGTTTCGAAGGTCATTGACCTCAATGTCTTTGATGAAGTCACCGTCCTGTTGATATACTTCGTGGTTGAGGGCCGCGCCTTTTTCCGAGGCCGAGGGAGATTTTGATGCGCCAGCGGCTGCGTTGGAAGCCTGCGAGTTGCGCGGTGCGTCAGTGAGTGCTTCTTTATTTCCCTCGTTGTCTCTGACCGGCGCTGCGCAAGAACAATGCTCATACTCACCGGACGAATCGGCGGCACATCCACATGCTGGATGCCCTTCTGCCTCTGCAGCTGCGCGGTGATGCGGGCAGCCGCGGCGGCAGCAATTGCGGCCGGGTCTTTGACCTCGTCTTTGGTCGGAGTCTCGACGCTCTTAACGGGGCTACGCTCGCGGGCGGTGGCAGCAGTATCGGCGGCCTTGCAGACAGGGCTGCGCGAGCGTCGGTCGAATCGAGACTTGCGCGGAGGCTCCTCGCTGGGGGCCTGGTCGAAGCGCGAGCGCTTTCGTGGTTCCTCAGCCATGGTGCTGTTCGACGCGCTCTCGCGATGATAAAGAGGGATGAGTGAAGGTGGAAGTGAGGTGATCTGTCGCTGTCGAACCGGGGAAGTGCTTCTTTCTGTGTTTCTGTCCACAGTGACGAGAAGGTGGAAACTTTGCCGAGTAGAAAGCTCACGAGCGCTCACTCATTGAAAAGTGCCCGGGCCCGGGCCCGGGACCGGAACGGGGCGCGGCATCTTGCTGCCGCCACGATATATGGCCACTTTACTACAAACCGGCGGCCGGGGGGCATCCCAATCTATGGACTACATGTACAGTGCTGCTTACCGAAGTGGCCCAGGTCTGTGCAAGCGCTAGGGACGGTCCGGTATCAGCTAGCCGGGAATAGTGCTCAGAACCTTTGAAACCCAAATCTGCAGCGAGATATCGACGTCTTTCGGCCCTTTCCTCATTTATACGCGTCTATACCTGTTTAGTCCGCTCGGACCGCTCCTAGCGCCTGCACAGACCTGGGCCACTTCGGTAAGCAGCACTGTACTCTCCGTGTTCGTGTCAGAATGTACAATTCGTTTGCAGCGTCCTTGATCCTCTTCTCACGCAGAATGATTTCAGCCGCCTTCATGGGGACGTCGCCTTTTAGGGTTGCCTCAGCCTACTCAATGGAGGGCATGAGTGTCACTGCATGGCGCTCCGCAGCCTCGTCCAGGCTCTCCACAGCCTTGTGCCGGCGTGTGAGTCGAACATGCTACGCTCCAGCGACTTTTCGATTCCTGGGCAGCATTTGATTTCCCTCAAGGACGCTCGTTGCTTTAGATGCCCCTGCACGGCTTAGTAGTACGGGTTCCTAGCACCAAGGTGTGCGATTCATCAGAGCAAGGCGGGCTCCTCAGGACTCAGCATACAGTTTCGGATGCTTTCCAATATGCATTCATGCGACTGGGCCGCTCTGGCTGCTCTGACTTCGACAAGCTAGATCACGGGCGACTGGACAAGACTACACCAATCCTCACGGAAGCCAAAAGACCCTACGTGCGATCTTCTTGGATGGTGGCATGGGTTGTGGATCATGAGGACCAAACTAGGCAGGCAAACAGACTCTGGTCCCGCTATCGGTACGTACTAGATGCCACATGCGCATTGAGCGCCCGTAGCTACTTGCACCACCATCCATAAGGTAGCATAGCGCCTCCCGAGAAAGGCAGCCTGGCTGGGTCCTACTCACAACCTTATAGGCGTTTCAGACCTTTCGCCCGTAGATCTTGTAGAAAACTCTTATAGATAAGGCTAAGGGGCCCTCGGTCTCTGCAATCTTCGACTCCTCCTATCTGTAGGTTATTTAGGAAACGCAAATTATACAACTGTTGAGAATCGACTTAATTATAACTCGAACTCGGTTACAAAGCTATAGAAGGACAATGCCTATACACTACGGCAACTACGCTCCGCAAAGGAAACATATATGTGGGTGATCTTTAGAGCGGACCACTGCAACACATAGAAGCTGATATGCCCAGACGATTATATACATCATTCTGGATGGTCGCAGTGGATAATACTACAGGACGTAATCACGGCTCTGGGGAAGTTAGGGGCATCTTGAACAGCTCCGACCTAGCTCTGCACGCTCCCCATATGACACATATCAAGATAGGTAGTAATCCACCAACGATGATGGCTTATGACGAAGGGTTGAGACGATAATCTCCAAGGTACAAGTGAACGAATTCTTGCTGAGCTTTCATCGCGGTGAATCGTACTGTATCACTTGAAAATGAGCAACAACGTCAGATCTGCACAACCTCACTTTCTCGTCGCTGCTCTTCATCTCGCCCTATCAGTGCTACCAGAGGTCTACCTTAACTCCTACGGAGCCCGGTACCTTACCTTCAATGTTACTCCTAAGTTCAGCTGTCATTTAAGCTTTTGACGGGCCGTTGCCGTCAAATCTGTGACTCCGCGATCGCATAATACTGTAACTTCATTTATGCGCAACACCAAACACTCTCCCTCCTCCCATTCCCTACTTCTCCCACCCATTGTCCTCCACAATGGCCTCAAAACGCGCAGTACAGCTGCTCTCCAAGCAGTTCCAATCGTCCACTATTCTCAAGACCACCACAGCCACTCAAATCCGACAGCAATCCTCCACCTCCGCAATCGCCTGGAAAGCTCTCAACCGCCGCATCGCACCTCTTCCCACAGTCACCGGCCAATCGAGCGCCATAACGCCTGCTGCAGCCGTCTCCTCCATTCTCTACGAGACCCCCGTTCCTGACAAAGCGCCGCCCAAACGCCATATCCTCAACTGTCTGGTCCAAAACGAGCCCGGAGTCCTCTCTCGCGTGTCTGGTATTCTTGCGGCTCGAGGCTTCAACATCGACTCTCTCGTCGTCTGTAGTACAGAAGTCGCAGACCTCTCTCGCATGACTATTGTGCTTCAGGGACAGGATGGCGTGGTAGAGCAGGCGAGGAGGCAATTGGAGGATCTGGTTCCTGTGTGGGCTGTGTTGGATTACACGCAAGCTCCACTTGTGCAGAGGGAGCTTCTGCTGGCGAAGATTAGCATCTTGGGTCCTGAGTACTTTGAGGAGCTGTTGGCGCATCACCGAGAGATGACGGGGAGCACTTCGCAATATGGGGATGCGGCTCGTGGTGCCATCGCTTCAGGGGAGTTGGGGAACATCGATGGACAAGCGGATACGACTTCAGCTACGAGCGCGAGTTTTGAGGAGGATATGGACGCTGGAGGTGTTTCAGTACGTTCTTCTCTTTTTGGCCCTCAAGAAGACTACTTCATTTAACTCCACATGGCTTTTTTACTTCTTGAGATGAAGCTAACTTTTGCTACTTCTAGCACGTTGACTTTCACCCACGCAACCTTGCCCCATCCGAAGCTCTTCGCATGAAACACCAACATCTCGAAACCATTACTTACCTCGTACACCAATTCGGGGGCAAGATTCTGGATATCTCCACGAACAACTGCATCGTTGAGCTCAGCGCGAAGCCCACTAGAATTGATTCGTTCATGAAGCTGATTACGCCTTTCGGTATCCTGGAGTCCGCACGGACAGGTCAGTTCCCTTCCTTCTCATTTGACGAATTACCTCCGCTAGTATGGGAAGTGTATGCTGATTTGATCCGAACAGGCCTGATGGCACTGCCACGTACGCCGCTGGATGGTGCTGAGAACGAACAGACTGTGGAAGTGGAAGAGGTCATGGACGCTGCTTCACTGCCACCATCGTAGGCGAAGAAGTCACGTAGCCTTTTGCATCCGATCTTGGATAGCTCAAGGCCACTCCTCCATGCTTGCGCTAGACCTCATGAGACTCGAGACTCGCCTGTACTGACAGCATACTGAGCTACCTGGGTCGGCCCTGGGAGACACTGAGGACCGGCTAATCATTTCCATGGATAGCGGTGGTGTTTGAGGCGTACCTGTATTTGGAGCGCTCTGGAGATCTGTGCACAGGAAGCTCTCACGAGCTGGCAGGACTGATGGGTATATCTCATCACTGTGTATGGATAGTATATGCAATTCGCTTCTAATGTTTCAGTGAGTGAACCTCGATTGTGGCTTTCCGTTACAACCTCGCAGGAATAGTCTCTGATATGCACTTCGGGCTCTCCCAGACGAGAGTTTGAAGTTGTAATTTAGACATCAAATGGACATTCACGCGCGAAGGCCCTATAACAAACATCTTGGTACTGTCCGTTACTACTAACTACAGCGAACATATAATGCGAGATCTTAAACCCAGACTGTCCCGAGTAATATAAGACAAAACTTCGGTTGTAATAGTAGGTATGACGCTTATCTATCTAGGTAGTGGACCTGGAAGGAGGACCTTGATGGCAGTAGATCAAAGGCCCCCTCCGTGACCGCTGTCTGCAAACCTTCATTTGCCATTCACATAGCGAGCGCATACCAACTACGAGAAGCAGTACCTATACCTACACGCACCATCACAATGTCAACATCAATAAGACCCGATAGCCCAGTATCCCCCGAGAAAGACAATCCTCTCCTCCCATTCATCTACGACACCATCATCATCGGCGCCGGACCCTGCGGCCTAGCCACGGCCGCAAGACTCCGCGAACACACTCCCTCTGCGATTTTCACCGACGAAGAACATCATCGCTACCACTGGATCAACAAGAAACAAGCTGCAATCAAAAATTCCAAGACCGGTCAGACTCGATTACCTCGTAGGAGCCAGTCCGCGTTATCATCATCATTACAACAGAGAAAAAATCGTACATGGCCATCAATGCTCGTCCTGGATAGTTCTGGAGATAGCTGGATGGCGAAGTGGAAACGGCTCTTTGCTGTGTTGGAGATTCGCCATTTGAGGAGTCCGATGTTTTTCCATCCGGATCCTCGGGATCGAGATGGGTTGTTGGAGTATGTTCATGCGGTGGGACGTGAGTGCGAGTGTGTGGAGATTGCGGGTTGTGTGGGGAGGGAATTGAGTAAGCATCAGTTGAAGAAGCGGAGGAGGAGAGGGGGAGGGAGTGAGCGGTATGGATGGTTTTTCTTGTTCTTCTTCTTCTTCGCTAAAAGACTAAGATGGTGTCTTGAACACATTATTGGTGGCTGATTGATTTGATGTAGGGCGAAGCCGGCTGTTACGATTGATGGTGAGTTGGTTGCCCGTGCCGCTGAGCTTGGATATAAAGATACCTTGCCTAGCTAATCCTTCGACCTGCTACATTCAGAACGAGATCGTAAAGACTACTATATCCCACCAGCTGACCTCTTTCAATCGTATTGCTCCTTCATCGCGGAACGATACAGTCTCCAGACTTCAGACCTCGTCCAACAAGCCACAGTATCAAACATTGACTACGACTACGTTCCACAAATCTCTCCGCACGAGAAGATATTCACCATCACGACCTCCCACTCAATCCACTACTCACGAACGGCCGTGCTCGCAGTTGGAGCAGGAAACGCCCCCTCAATTCCCATACCCTTTCCCCAACACGGCTGCCCCTGTGCTTGCCACGCCTTCCAACCCATCGACAACCCACTGCCAGCTCGACTCACGTCTCATGTCGAGACCAACATCCTCGTCATAGGCGGCGGTCTCACCAGTGCCCAAGTCTCCGACCGCGCCATTCGCCACGGCGCAACCAAAGTCTTTCACATCATGCGCGGCCCCCTTAAAATCAAACCTTTCGACGTCGATTTATCCTGGATGGGCAAATTTCGCAACCACGAGAAAGCGTCTTTTTGGTCCGCAGATTCTGATGCGGAGCGAAGCGAGCTCATCAAATCTGCGAGAGGAGGTGGAAGTATCACGCCGAGGTTTGCGAGGATTGTACAAGGACATTGTAAAACTGGCAAACTCGCACTACATACGCATACGACAGTGAAGAAGTGTCAATATGATGCTGTGGAGCAGGCGTGGAGTATTCAGACCGAGCCTTGTATACCAGAGTTGGAGGCTGCGAGTATTCATCATGTCTACTTTGCAACAGGGGTAGCGTCGGATTTTGAAAAGTTGCCGTATTTGCAGACGATATGTGAGAAGTATCCTATCAAGGGCTATGATGGACTTCCGGCGTTGACTGATGATCTGACATGGAGGGATGATGTGCCTCTGTTTGTGACGGGGAAGTTCGCGGCTTTGAGGTTAGGGCCTGGAGCGGGCAATCTGGAAGGTGCGAGAGTTGGTGCTGAGCGGATTGCGTGGGCGATGCAAGAGTACTTGGGAAAAGACGGAATGGGAGGGAGTTGTATGGAGGAGGAGGAGGAGGAGGAGGAAAAGAAGTTGGGAGGAGAGTATCGATATGCGGTGGGCTTGGGAAGTCGATTCGAGAGTCTGGGACTATTGTAAGGTGACTCAGGCAGAACTCTCAATCCCACCACACTGCCCGGCCTCTGGCTGATTCCACTGTTGACTGTTCCTCATCAGGTGCAGTCTTCACAACACGAGGACTGGTGCAAAAGAAAATTCAACAAAACGCCACTGGCACCTACACCGGCCAGCGCCATCAAATATTGCACCACTCGTGACTCCGGGATTCGATCTTTGTTCCCTTAGACTGATTTCGATAAATTCTTCCATTGAAACTTGGAAGCTGGCTGACATAATGCTACTGAGAGTGCCTAAGCCTTTAAGGGGCAGCCTAGTGTAACGAATTTCGTGCTATACAGTGATATCACCGTAATTACATCGGACTGGGCGTAGCTGGCGGAGCGAAATCTCTAAACCCCTGATGATGGTATCGATAGCAGCAAGCATTGTTCGCAAAGTGGCGTGCTCTCCGAAATTACCCCACCATCGAAAAATCAGACCAGCAGCTGTGTGTGTGCTCTCTCGTCATTCCACTATTTTATCCCTCCCCTCTCTGTTGTCTCTTCTCCTTCTTCCTCTCTTCCCTCCTCACCCTCACCGCTTTACCAACAAAGCACATCTACTCTACCTTCACTGTCTGCACAACGCCGGCAGCTCTTGATTCATTCCCACACATATCGGAAAGACGCCATCAAAATGGTGCAATCATCTGTGAGCAGACACCGCCCTTTCCATGGGGACACATTGAGAAGAACAATGGAGAGAAGAAACATCAGCGACAATGGCTGACATGAAACGAACAGGTCCTCGGTTTCCCGCGTATGGGACGTCTTCGTGACCTCAAGAAGGCCAACGAGGCGTACTGGGCGGACAAGCTCTCTCGTGATGAGCTCCTCGCCGAAGGAAAGAGACTGAGATTGGAGCACTGGAAGATCCAAAAGGACGCCGGTGTGGATATCATCCCATCCAACGACTTTGCCTACTACGACCATGTCCTCGACCACATCCAGATGTTCGGTGCTGTGCCTGAGCGATACAGCAGCGCTAAGCTGCACAAGCTCGACGAGTACTTCGCCATGGGCCGTGGTCACCAGAAGGACAACGTCGATGTGCCTTCGCTGGAAATGGTCAAGTGGTTCGACTCAAACTACCACTACGTCAAGCCCACTCTGCAAGACAACCAGACTTTCACTCTCTCCGAGAACCCCAAGCCAGTCGTTGAGTTCCTCGAGGCCAAGGAGGCAGGCATCAATACTCGCCCTGTCATTCTCGGCCCCGTCTCCTTCCTCGCTCTCGGAAAGGCTGACCGTGGCTCTTCCGTCGACCCAATCACCCTCCTCGACAAGCTTCTCCCAGTCTACGAGCAGCTCCTTACCCAGCTGAAGGAAGCTGGTGCCGAGACTGTTCAGATCGATGAGCCAGTCCTCGTCTTCGATCTCCCATCCAAGACCCGCAGCGCCTTCAAGCCAGCCTACGAGAAGCTCACTGCTCTTCAGGGCAGCAAGGGCCCACAGCTCGTCCTCGCCACCTACTTCGGCGATGTTGTGCACAACTTCGAAGTCATTGACTCCGCTCTGACCGGCACCTACGCCTTCCACGTCGACCTCGTCCGCCACCCAGAACAGCTCAGTAAGGTCATTGAGCATCTCGGACCAAAGCAGATCTTGTCTGCTGGTGTCGTTGATGGCCGTAACATTTGGAAGACCAACTTCAAGAAGGCCATTGAGGTTGTCGAGACCGCTGTACAAAAGCTCGGCAAGGAGCGTGTCATTGTTGCCACCTCCAGCTCGCTTCTCCACACCCCACACACTCTTGCTAGCGAGAAGAACCTCGACGAGGAGGTCCGCGCTTGGTTCTCCTTTGCCAGCGAGAAGGCTGTCGAGGTTGCCATCATCGCCAAGGCTGTCACCAACGGCCCCGAGTCCGTCAAGGCTGAACTCGAGGCTAATGCCAAGGACGCTCAATCCCGAGCTACTTCGAAGCGCACCAACAACCCAGAGGTTAAGAAGCGGGTCGAGGCTGTCAAGAAGGAGGATTATGAGCGCAAGTCTGGCTTTGATGCCCGTTACGCCGCACAGAAGAAGCACCTGCAGCTTCCTATGTTCCCCACCACTACCATTGGCTCATTCCCTCAGACCAAGGACATCCGTATCCAGCGCAACAAGTTCACCAAGGGTGAGATCACTGCCGAGGAGTACGAGAAGTTCATCGAGAAGGAGATTCAAGAATGCGTCAACATCCAGGAAGAGCTGGGTCTTGACGTCTTTGTCCACGGCGAGCCAGAGCGCAACGACATGGTGCAGTACTTCGGCGAGCGCCTCGATGGATATGTCTTCACCACACACGCCTGGGTCCAATCCTACGGTTCTCGATGTGTCCGCCCACCGATTCTTGTCGGTGATGTCTCCCGCCCGGCACCAATGACCGTCAAGGAGAGCAAGTACGCCGCCAGCATCAGCAAAAAGCCAATGAAGGGTATGCTTACTGGCCCCATCACTTGCCTACGATGGTCATTCCCACGTGACGATGTCCACCAGTCTGTCCAGGCTCAGCAGCTTGCACTCGCTCTTCGTGATGAGGTTGTTGACCTCGAGGCTGCCGGTGTGTACGTCATTCAGGTCGATGAGCCAGCTCTCCGTGAGGGTCTGCCTCTCCGATCGGGCTCGGAGCGCGAGAAGTACCTTGAGTGGGCTGTCAACAGCTTCAAGCTTTCCACTGCAGGTGTTGAGGACTCCACGCAGATCCACTCTCACTTCTGCTACTCCGAGTTCCAGGACTTCTTCCACGCAATAGCCGCTCTCGATGCTGACGTCCTGTCCATCGAGAACAGCAAGTCTGACGCCAAGCTCCTCAAGGTGTTCATCGACGAGGCATACCCCCGTCACATCGGACCGGGTGTGTACGATATCCACAGCCCACGTGTTCCAAGTGAGCAGGAGATCAAGGACCGCATCCAGGAGATGCTTCAGTACCTCAAGCCAGACCAGCTCTGGATCAACCCTGACTGTGGTCTCAAGACCCGTCAATGGAAGGAGACCAAGGCTGCTCTTGTCAACATGGTCAACGCTGCCAAGTACTTCCGTGAGCAGCACAGCAAGTAAGCGCGTTGCTGCGCCCTTGCATGATTTTGCTATCCCGCATGGTGTTCCTGGCGCAAACAAAATGGGAGCGAATGGGATGGTTTTTTGCCGGTCTTAGCGCCGGTGTAGCGCTCAACAGCTACGATTCAACAAGTGATACCCAATTTTACTCAACGTCTTTATCAGCGAGGAGTTTCAACAGAGGATGGTCTGTTGTTATGATGGAACGAGAAAAGTTACGGCCCGTGGACCTCAACGCTCCTGGGAGAGGATGGCATGATGGGAGGGCATCATGCGATCAGTGACTTCACAGAAGAAGGTGCTAGGCTCATAGAAGAACAGGTAGTCGCTACCAAAATTGTACTATTGATGAGGTCACTGCTTTTCTGGTGAGAGCCTTCAGGTTTTCACCTACACTGACCACCTCTCTTCCCGACGCAGTCGTATCGTCCTATATCGTGGCTCCGACCTAGAGATGCTGTCGCGAAAGTCATCTGCGCCTGCTCGCAGTTTTCGAGATGCCGACAGCAGTCTGCCATCGACGTCAGCCATCTCGCCTTCATGACTAGTTTGTCTATCTATCTACTGCACTGACATTGACCATAGCACTCTTTTACCTCACGATGGCGCCGGTGATGCACTCGAGGTCCCCCAAGATCCTAGCGACCGCCGCTACTCGTTCACGAGCTCGCGCCGCCCATCCACCTATACCCGCTCTCAGCGTACCCAAAGTGTGATGATCTCGGACCAAGATGCCAACAAGCTGATGGTCGAAGCGCTCGCGATCCAAGAGCAGCATGATCTTGATGCTTCGGACGTCAATCGACGACGAAGCACCATCTCCACCAGCGACAAGAACAACAACAACAACAAACGACTCAGCATTCGTCCCGAGACCTATGCTGCGGCATCGAACTTTAGCCAATCAAGACACTCACTCAGCGTTGTCGCAGAAGATCCCAGCCTGCTTTTCGCCAAAGCTTTGAGAGAACATCAGCAAAGTAAGGATCTCTTCCGGTCCGAAAGCAAACGTCGCGAAGGCGAAGAAGAAGCTGCGGCAGCTGTGGTGGCAGCGGCGGCGGCGATGCAATCAGATGATACAGCTGAAGCACAGCAAGGACCTTCTTTTTCTTTCTCACCCCCGTCTCCATAGCCTGCAGACGTGCCAGAGCAACAACAACAGCAGCAGCAGCAACGACAACTACAAATACCCTTCTCTACCCCCCGAATCCACACAACCCTCTCATCCTGGACCCGCTGGCCCTCTCACACGCGCCCCGAACGCGCCCTCTCCGCAGGCCTATCCGACTCCGTCATCGTCCGCGACTTCGCAGATCCCGCAACCCGCCGCCATGGCCTCACGGCTCAAGTCTTGCGCACGCAACTCCACCAACTCCAACCTGGGATGCTCGACGGACTGAAACACACGGCCAAGACAATTGTCAGCATCGCCAAATTCTACAGCTCCGTGTGGACTTCACCGGAAAGTTATCGCGGAGCGAATCGTCGCACATCAACGACGGTTTCCACGGGAACGTTGGTCCATCCGGAATTGGAAATGGTGGTGTTGGGGGCGAATCAGGAAGGGGATGTGTTTACGAATGAGCTGCATCGGCATTTGAAGGAGGTGGAGAGGCAGGTGGAGGAGGAAGTGGAGAAGGCGGAGGAGGAGGCAGAGGAGGAAGAGCAAGCTGGTGCTGTGGTTGCGAAACGGGAAGTTGATGGAAAAGGTCCGGGCAAGGGAAGGGCGATGGGGTTGAAATTGGATCTGGGAGCTATCAAAAGTGGAAGTCCCGGTTGGGATAAATTGGCGGGAGCAAAAGCCGGAACACCATTTATCGAAAAGGGAGGATTTGATTGGAGTGGTGGTGGTGGTGGTGGCGGTACTGACGGTAGTGGTGGCGGTAGCGGCAAAGGCAAAGGTAAAGGAAAACTCGGAGGTAAAGCTGGATTGAAATTGGATTTGGGAGCTTTTACATTTGGTGGTGGTGGTGGGAATCTTCCTCCTGGTCTTGCGAGAATGGGTAGCGGGTTTGAAAGACTTGAAGGAGCGAAAGCTGGAACGCCGTTTGTGGAAAAAACGGGGTTTGATTTCTCTTTTTCTTCACACTCTTCCTCTTCGTTCTCGACGGGGAGGGGTAGTGCGAAGGTTGATGTGGATCCTATGGCTGCTGTGGATGAGGATGAGGAGGTTGCTCCTTGAGAAAGAGAGAGAAAGAGAGAGGAAACTTGTTTGGGTAGGATAGCGTGGCGTATGTACGTACTTGTGTACATATGTCATCTGTCTGCAATTCAGTGGGAGTGGAAAGTGGAATCCTACCTCCTACATACATACTCCATACGATCTTGAATCTGAAACTGGACGGAAGACGTGAGTAGTCGGACCACTACGAGCTATCTTGGTTTTCATTGTTATGGACTTGTTTTTTCAGCGAAACATTTCCAGCGGACACATCACTCTCGCCATTCCGAAGCTTGCTTGAATCCATAGTCTGGTACAGGTACAGCATTCGCAGGTGGTCCAGTAAAACCTTCAAACCACGTCAACAAGCCCGACCACTCGAAGAAGCACAGAACAATATGCAGGACTTGCACACCCCACGCCGTCTCCGGATGAAGGAAATAGTGCACTCGGCCTCCAAGGGGTAGTGCTTGAGCGCGATCGACAAGAGGACGCATAGTATTTTCATACTGTGCGAACGCAGCTACGTGATTATTAGGATGCTGCAAAAGTGCACCTGCGAGATTGTAAGCTCCGTTCAGAGCTACAGTGGTACCCATTCCAGAAATGGGAGAAGCACAATATCCGGCGTCGCCGAGTAAGACGATACGGCCTTTGTTCCATGAAGACATGTGAACTTGCGCGAGCATTTCGTAGTAGAAATCTTCTGCGGTGTGCATTTCTTGGATGATTCGTTGGCACTCCCAGCCTGCGTTTTGGAAGGATTCTGTCAGAAGCGCTTTTTGCTCGCTTTCGCCTGCTTTGCGGCTAATGCTATTGCGCGCGACGGCTTCCCAGCGGGGATCGTGCGCGTTCGTGATGTGCATGAATACGGTCGTTATGTCGTCTTCGTCACTGGGCCGGACCATGATGCCTCTTCTGCCGTGCGTGTGAAACCATCTTCGCCACTCGCTGTCGGTTGGGGATGCGGGCATGCTGAAGAATGCGCCATACATGCCCAAGCGGTGCAATCGATCGCGCTCGCCGCTTTCGCCCCAGACCATTCTTCTCGTTTGGCTCTGGAGCCCATCTGCGCCGACGACAATATCAAACGTTCTCGTCTCTCCAGATTTCGCAAATTTCGCCTCGACGCCCTCGAGGACATTGTGGAAGTCTGCAATGTAGTCGCCATACATGAACTCGACGCCCGTTCCACCTGCCTTTTGTACATCACGACTCAGAGCTTGACACCTGCCGACCAGAATCTTCGCCAATCGTCCCCTCAAGATCTCGATGTCACTCGTTCCTGTCTGCACCGTGCCGGTCTTGTCAGCAGGGAAGCTGGCCCATGTACGGCTCTTATCGTCGACAAACTGGCATCCTTCTTCGCCAGTCAAAGCACTTCGAATTGCAGCTTCAAGTCCCAGTTTGCGAATGATGCTCATTCCCGTTCCACGTATATCAATGTTCTGACCTTTGGACAGGTCATGTTCGGAGCGACGTTCGAGTATGGTGATTCGCGGGAGTTGCTGAGCGGGCACAGGTGAGAGGAGGAGAAATGAGGCCAATGGTGGGCCTGCGATTCCAGAGCCTATGATGAGGATTGATTGTGGCATTGCGAACTGCTTTTCCAGATGGCTGGAAGCTCAGTAATTATGAAGTATGACACTTACTCTGTGAATTGTATGATCGGTTGATATCGTACTTCCCCGTGCATAATGTGCTGGCTTCAGCTTCTCACCACACGTCCGTACCGCGCCACGCAGGAAGACGACATAGATGAGAGCCAATCGGACGCCAAGAATGTTCTCGGACCCGAAGTTTGGTGTACGTTGTAGCACCCAGAGGTCGATAGGCTATCAGCAGTGTGTCCATGCAGTGTTGCCACCTGGGCGAGGCATGTTCTATTCGACGAGTATCTGTGTCCTAGACAAACGCTTCTCTCTGCTCCAGCCAGCCAGACTGGCCGCGCTCGGCACAGAGCATGCGGAAACTGGAATACAGATGAGCACGCAAGGCGTCTTTGGCTCTCTCGACCGAAGCGTCTTGCATCATCCAGGCGATTCGCAAAGTGGTGAAGACGACTGCAGTAATCTTATCGCGCCGACTATATGCACTGCGCGTTCCTTCGACTGGAATCCAGCGCGTCCCGGCCTGCACGTATAGCGCCCAGTGCCATAACGCTTCCCAGTTGAATTGCTCGTGCTTGGTGGCTGGCCATATGGAGACGTTCATCTCGCCTGCAATCTCCAAGTCCTCGCATCTACGTTCAAATTCCACGAGTTTCATAATCTCGCAGTCAAACACCTTGATCGCGAAGTCATTCGACACAAAGTAGATCTTGAGAGCTTCGCGCCGGATCTGGCGACACGTGGTCAAAAGGCCGGGCTCGCGAAATACGGGATTAGAGCCCCGAAAGCTGTGATTGAGGTCGAGCTTGTCGGTGCCGTGGCTGAGGCTCAGGGCATATTCGTAGATTCTGTTCCGTAACTCTGGAGCAAGGCTGAGCAGACGGCCAGGTGGCGAGAGTGTAGCAGTAGCATCCATAGCCAATCTGTGCTGGGTGATGCCTCTCCCTATACAGTAGAATAATATGCTTCTTCTCGGCTCGAGTCGCGCTATTCAGGAAAGCCTGCGTACGTGAGCGTGTGCAGTTCTACAGCCAGCACAGCACAGCACCGCGTGTCGCTCCGCGATGATGATAATGGCAAACCCCTGCTCTCTTCTTTGGGCTCTCACGAGCTGGAAATAATCGCCGGGTCGTGTTGCCGGCGGCGACAGGCAGCCCAAGCAGTCCCTGGTCGATATTCGAAATTAGGAGGTATTATTGATGACTCGAGCTGGAGATCGTGGGAGACTGTGAGTTGAAGTTGGGATCAAAAAAGTGGCGGTACGATTTTCTTAGCCTTCCATCTTTCTCTTTTGACTTTCCCCTCTGCATCTTTTTGCCTCATCCACCTTTCCATACAGCAAAACGACGACACAAGACGCGAACTTCGGCCGGCAGCATACTCCGATTGCGGAATCCGTGAGCATTTTCTCTCGAGACAGCATCGCACCGTCGCGGCAACGCAAACTACACTTTTACAAGAACATAAACCAGGCTTCAGCCCATTCGCCACAGAAATGGCCCGCGGCAACCAGCGTGACAAGGCCCGCGAGAAGACTCAGGCCAAGCTGGCCAGTCAGGTATGTCCGTATCTGTGCATCCTTCCCGACAATACCGAACAAAATGCTGACACTGGTAAAAAAACAGAAATCTGGCAACACCATGTCCGGATCTGAGCAGCAGAGGGCCAAGGAAGCAGCCGCGGAGATTATGAGGAAGAAGCAGGCTGCCGGTGAGTTCATTCTTTCCGTACCTGGTGACTTCCAACCATGCGAATACTGACATATGCTGCAGCGGAGGCGAAGAAGGCTGCTGAGGGCATTGTCAAGAAGTAAACGCGCAATTGTGCTCTAAGAAGAGACATTCTATCACGATAGAGAGCGAGTTTTTACCTCCTGGAATTTCATTTCCTGGAATACCACCAACTGCAAACGCAGCAGATAGACGGAATTTATACCGATACCTGGTACCCTTGATTCACGTGAGATGACGAGCCGTAACATCATGTCACTCTCACCAGCCACAAAGTTGGTCTTCAATCGCATTGTTCGCTGGATGTTGCCATTCATTCGCGTGTTCCTGAATAGCAGTCTTCTTACCTCATCAAGCTCATCATGACAACGATTCGATGAAGGCACCGTATTCCTAATAACGACGACATTGCAGATACAACAAATCAAGCCGTGGGTGAGATCCAATAAAACTTCTGCTCAAATGCCCCAGAATGTCGAGGAATCGATAGGTTACCTACCTAGCTGCTGATGACCAATCGCTCTGCCAGCCTACACATGGAGACCTACAACGCAGAGATCTCGAGCTCACAGAGATGTGTCAAAATCAGCTTACCCCAAATGCTGAAACCTCCCTTACAGCTACGACGTGTATTATATACACGGACAAGATCGTCTAGTTCTTCTGTTCCTTGTTCCTTCGGACGTCAAATTGTATCGTATAGGTATCCCTCAGACTCAAAGGTACGAGGCCTGCGAAACTCCGATTTGGAGCCTGTATATACAAACCTGGTTGTAGATCCGTCAGTAAGGTAGTCAAGGCATATCAATAAATTCTTTCGGATTAAATGAAGTTTCCTTCTATGCGAACCCCTTCCAAATGCAAATGTGCTATCTTGCTAGTAGTGAAGGAGAACGGCACGTCTTTTGATATATTGGAAGTCACTCAAAATTCTGATCCGTGTCCTGCTGTGGCCTAAAAATGTTAGGCCATTGTAATCAATGCTAGGGGGAAAAATGAACAGTATATATTCAGCCATAAAAGCACCTGACCAAACATTGCGGTGTTGGTCTAGTGGTATGATTCTCGCTTAGGGCTCACCCTGAGAACAAGAATGCGAGAGGTCCCCGGTTCAATCCCGGGATACCGCCAAATGTTTTGATAGCGATTCTTTTTGCAAATATTTTTGACTTAGTCGAATGTTGGGACTTCAGCGACGTTGGATGTCGAGGGGAGACGTTTTTTTGCGCTGAAAGTAGGGCGAAAGAGTGAACAGAAATTTTGAGATTACGGAAAGTTTCGCAGGCTGACACTTTTGGGAAAGCTCCCCTCCTACTACACTCGTCTCTCTCTTGCGTCTTTCTTTTCTATCCTTAGAGAAACCGCCCGCTATATATAAAAGCCCCTAGTTTGATTATGTATTTATTTCCTCTTTTTATTGTTATCAAAATCTGTGCGATAGTTAGAAACTGACTGACCTCTGGAATCGATATTCACTGATAGAGAGAAAGATGTTTACTTGATATAACTAACGGTTCGTTCGCCCGGGGCTAGCAAGCAGTTAGTGAGGAAGCAAGTGAGTAAGTACTTTGCATATAAGAAGAAATTCTGCTACAGAAGATGAATCCCTAGTAGGAAGAACATATGAAAAAAAGAATCGTCGAATGTTTTCTGATTCTCAACAATCTTTTTCGTCCCTGCCCACCAAATCTCTAGATACCAGGTACTCTACATTCATCGTCCCCAAAAAACACACCTCCTCGCCTTCCCTCTCACAAACTCCCTCGTCGGCTGCTCAAACACCTCCTCGAGCCCTTTTTCCAACGTCAGCTGCTTCGTCTCCGGCACCAACACAAACACCAACCCCCACGCCACCAGATTCAATATAGCATACAACATAAAACTCCCTTGCGTGCCCATTCTGGCGAGGAGATAGGGGAATGTGAGGGAGAGAATTGCGGCGAAAAGATTTGTCACGGCGACGGAACTGCTGGTTCCGATTTCGCGGTGGCTGAGGGGGAAGACTTCGGCCGAGTAGATGGCTGGGACGGGACCCATGCCTGGGCTGTAGAGGAGGCAGAAGATGTAGATGAGGGAGGTGGTGAGAAGGGGGAAGTTTTGTTTATGAGGAGGATCGGTGGTAGAAGCGGAGGACGAGGAGGAAGAAGAGAAGCTGAAAGTGAAACTGGTGCATGCGAGTGTGAGTCCCATCAGAGGAAGAGTGTACAGCAAAAGAGATCTGCGACCGAAAGTGTCCATGGTGAAAATTGCGGGCAGGGCTCCGAGAAAATTGCAGAGGCCGAAAATGGTCGAGGCGAGTTCGGCTGCGAAGGGGGAGAAGTGGGCTGAAACGAAGATGTTGCTGCTGTAGAAGGCGATGATGTTGATGCCGCAGAGCTGTTGGGAGAGCATTACGGTGTAGGCTGCTATTGTGGCGCGGCGGAGCCGGGGGACGGTGTACAGTTCGAAAAAGGTTTGGCGGAAAGAGGAAGAGGAGTTCTTGTTATCATCATCATCATGCTGGATGGCGGTGGTGGTGGTGGTGTTTGTTCTTGAAGGACGTTTCTGCTGCTGTTGATGCGCAAGAAGCAACTCCCTCGCAGCCTCGAGTTTAGAATTCCTAATTCGACACAGCGAATCAAACGCTTTGCCATATTGCTCCCCATGCTTCACATACCACGCCGGACTCTCCGGACACCACCAAATCAACACAATCAAAACCACCGCAGGAACCGCACCAGCCATCAACATCACCCTCCACCTCATCCCCGCTTCGTGCTCCTCCTCCTTCTCCTGCCCCCAATAATAATTCCCCCAATACTGATCCACAACCAAATTCCACCCCAACCCCACAAAAATCCCTCCGGCGCAAAACATCTGCCAACCCACTGCCAACGCGCCTCGAATTTGCGCTGGAGCCACTTCCGCCGCAAACACATTCAACGAACTCGAAACTACTCCCAACCCGACTCCCAAGAGTAATCGAAATCCCAACAACGCCTCCCAAGAAGATGACGACCACCCGCTCAGGAAATTCATCACGACGCAGATAGCTCCTCCGAGAAAAGTTGCGCCTCGCCTTCCATAGCGTGCGTTGAGGGGGGCGACGAGCCAGGAGCCTACGAGGCCGTTGCTGAGGTAGATTGCGGCGTTGATGATGCCTATTATGAGGGTATTGTGGGTAGTGGAGGATTTATTGTCAAGGTGAAAGTCTTGCGGATAGTAGAGATTGGCGCCATTGATACTAGCTTGAGACCAGCCTTGGGACATGGCGCCGAGGCAGAGGGCGAGGACGATGAGATAGAGGGGTAGAGGGTGATGCCATTTGGTTTTTGGTTGGCTTTCGGGTTTTCTTGGGTTGTTGGGGATGGGGTTCGTATTTCGAGCATCTTGTAATAATCTCGTCGTCGTCGTAGTAATAGTCGTGGAATCATGGGAATCAGGATCTGATGACAGAAGGAATAAATCTGTTGCAGCTTGTTCGAAAATTTCGTAGTCGTCTTCTTTGAGGCCGTATCGTTCTATAAAGGCGTGCGCGTCGGTGGGCAGGAGGGCGTGGGAAGACGTGTCAAGGAGAGGGTCTCGGCTGCTGCTGTTGCTGCTGGAGAGACTTTCCATCTCTTCGACGGGACTATTCTGTTGGTTTGACATTTTGTGATCTCGCTGCCTCTTTTTTTTTGGTTTTGAATTGACTTGTGGCATATCCCATCGCAGATGCGTAGATGATGATTTGGTGGCGGGAGTCAAATCCCTGACCCCGGGAGATGTCCGGCGTTGCTCGGAGGATCAGTCGCAAGGGTTTAACCTTTAGCGCAGACCAAGTGAAGGGTCGCAGTACAAGGTAAAGGATTTCTCTCTCTCTCTAGGCTCGATGAACTCGTGTTGTCACTGTGTTCAACTCGGTCAGTTCTAACGGAGAGGAGATACAATGTACCGGGAAAAAGACATCTCGAATCCCAAGCTATGTTCATAACTCCGTCTACCGAATGGTCTCATGTACTCATATCCTCATCATACTGTCGCAGACCATGTAAGCGAATCACACTCCCTGTGCTACTATGTTCTCGTACCAACTACCATGACTCTCCCAATCAACCCTCGTCACTCTCTCTAAAGTATCAACAATAGAAGCAACCTGAGACACAAACTCCGCCATTCCACTGGCAGCCAATCTCTCCGAAGCGGAACTGGCAGCCCGCACTCGCTCAGCACTACTTTCAGCCGAAAGTCGGCTCAAGACGTGCGTCTTCAGTCGTTGAAACAATACCTTCAAAACAGGATCGGAGAATCTCACACTACCACACCTTTGTCCAACACTAATCGCGCTGACTTGTGCAGCTTGTGCAAAGAAGCGGGTTATCGTACCCTGCACCGAACGTTTTGTCATTTCAGGCATGTTATGCGCTGTCTCCAGAATCGAAAATGCCTTCTGTGCTGTTGTAGGCCCTTCAGTGCTACCCGTGCTTTCATACGGTTCTGTTGAAAGTAGTGCCCAGAGCCTGCCTGCTTCATTCTTCCACTGACTTCGGACGTCGCGCTTCAACAGGTTCTTGGTCGTCAGAAGAATTGCACCGATCACTGCAATCCTGATTGCCTTCGCTCGCTGTTTCTGTAGTCGCTCCAGATCAAGATGAAGTGTCTCGGGGCATGCATTCGTATCGAGCTCGTTCGACGACAGGGTCAGATGAACAAGCGCATTGGTATATATCTTCTGCGGCGAAGCTTGATCTGCTGGCATGCGAACGCTCTCGGGATCTCTACGATCGGACTCGGCTTCCAGAGAGCGCCGCGATTGGTGCCACCATCGTTTGGTGTTGGTGAGGGTAATGTGGTGAGACTCCAATTCTCGGCGGAATATTCGAGCTTCGTAGCCAGCGGCCTCTCGCGCTAGAATAGCGGCTTGCTGCGAGATGACGAAGTTGACGTAGTCCAGGCTGAGAGCGTCGACCATGCGAAGGAGCTTGAACAGCTTCTCGATCATGTCATCTAGCTCGTCGTTCTCAGTACGCAAGTAATCTGCCAAAATCTTGACCTCTTGGTCTCGAAATGGCGCACAAAGCTTAGGTAGCACGTTCGCCATAAACCCAAAGAAACCTGGATAGCTAAATACACCCTGCTGGCACTGTCGGCTGATGTTTTCCAGATCGAGCGCCTCCGATATCATCTTGTACATGTTCATACCGGGCTTTAGCATTCGCAAAAGCTTTTCCTTAATGTTCTCCGCGGCGGAGAGAGTCCAACGTGAGGCATTACCCGCGGCGAAGCCCGCCTTCATGCTCTCGCAAATGCTGCGGTACATCTGTGCTCGCAGGTCACTGTTCTTGTCTTCGAGCCTGTACTCCTTGTCGATGGCGAGCTCGTGTGTCAAGACCCTGTTGCTCGGCATGGTCGTGAAGAGCTTGTTGAGCTCACCAGAGCCAATGGGTGTAGGTGCAAAGGTGTCATCCACCACTTGCTCTGGGGATGCGGAAGCATCAGACGAAGGTTCGACACCTCGTGGTCTCACTTCTGCGGCTGGTCGCTTCTTAGGTCTTCTGCGTCGGCTCTCCTTGATAGCTTTCTTAATCAAGAAGTCCGCCCGATCGGGGCCTGCGAGTTTCCTGATCCTGCTTAAGAGCATGACTTGGTTGTCACGGATACCTTCTCTATAATCATTCGCCACCTCGCCACGACTATCATCCTTCACAGTTTGCCAAATGGCGTCGAGTTCAACGAAGGAGGCAACCATGCCTTCGATCAGAATACTGGAATCTTGGAGCCTCCACGCAGCAAACGCCGAAGTGTACGAAGTATAAGACTGGTTGAGAGTCTCATGTTGCATTTCGTTTGCAGTGTAGTTGTTCCAAGTATCCAACCTGGCGACTGACGCTTCGAACAAGTTGATTAGTTCCGACGCCTTTAGGATCAAGTCCGACTCTTGAGCGCCAGTCTTGTTCAACAGAACGGAGACTGGATGCCCCACAATCATGTAGGCGCTAAGAAATGTCCTCGTGTTGAGCCCGGCGTTGCCATCATTCGCATCTTGTAGGCCAAGGTGCATCAGGACAGCTGTGGTGGCTTCAATCACCTCCTGACTAGCAACCAAGGCAGTCATGTCTTCAAACGAGACACTCCGGGCTCTCTCCGCAGTAACACCAAGGTTTCGAAATCTGAGGACTGGTTTCCTCTGTTTGTAAGCGACCCAGGCACTCTGTATCGCACGTATTGCAGCGGCGATTCGGTTTACTTCCGGAGAAGACGTCTCTTCGACCACAATGGCATCTTCCTCGATATCAGCCACTTCCTCCACCACTGCGAGCTTCTTCTCCGAGCTGGAGCGCCTAGCTCTGCGAGCTTGAATGTTTCTCTGGAACTCGGCACGCCTCCTCTCGGCCTCGGCGTGTCGCTCTTCCATCTCCAGACGCAGCCGGGACTCTTCGGCGAGTTTGCGGTCCTTCACCTCCTCTGCAATGCGCTTCGCACGCGCTACTTCCTCTGCACATGTTGCTGCTACCTTGGCGAGGAATTTCTCCTTCGCGGCTTGTGCAGCGAGAGCGCGTTCTTCGCTATTTTCCTTGCCTCTGGGCGCAGCCTTGGCCAGAGCGGCTCGCAGTCGCACTTGCTCTGCGTGCGCCGCTCGGTCCGCTAGTCGTGCCTTCCGCGATTCGATGATGGAGGCTCGCCGAAGGTGCTGAGCGATATATGTGGACTGGCATCCTCCCGTAGAGCTCCGGCGAATGGAGGAGCGGCCAGAAGTGTGCGAATGAGCCTGCGAGTGTGCAGATGAAAGGGAATTCCTTCGCGAAGACGCTGCCGAGGACTTGCGCCGTGTGAATTGGTTGCGATAGAATCGTGCAGCGATGTGTGCAGGCGGTGCGTAGATCTGGTGTTCTTGGTCGGTTTCCGGATCGTCGGTCATGTCGATGTTTATCATGCTGCTGGTCTGTTCGCTGGCGCAATCGCCGTCTGGCTCGCTCGTCATTGCGATAAGGATAGTTAGAGTGTACAGGTACCTTAGGGAGAGTGGACTGGTACTGAGCACGTGTGTCGAGTAAGAGTAACTTGAGTAAGGTACTCCAGAGGCTAGAGTGGAGTAGGCAAGACCAAGGCGGGTGCAGGTCTGCTTCCAGATGGCTGACAAAGAGGGATGACGCTATGGGCTATATAGAAGACGAGTCCGGCGCGTGCTGATTCCTGTGCTGATCATATGCGTAACATAACATCCGTGCATACGCCACGTGCACTTCGCAGGCTACCTGTGTATCTCCTATCTCACTGTCACCGGGTATTGTGTGGCGTTCGACGATGAGTCTCTGATTTCCTGTTCTCACTCCCAGATGCTCAACGCGCCGACCCTTTCGCATGGAGGGAGACGCTCGCTAGAATGCGTCCTCACTTACCTCCTACGCGGTACTGTGGTACAAACCCTATGTGTGAACCTGAGCGTGATTGTGACCACGGAGGGCCATATGGAAGGATCAATTCACTACTGCATGGTGTGGAAGGTATCGCTGCTCCATGGGCGAAGTGTTTAGCGCAGGTCCCAAATATCAAGCAGACAAAATGTAGTAGATTAATGTGACTCGTAGCTCATCAACGCTCCAAAAGCATATTCACATTTCATGACTAGCACTGAGCACTCATGTCTTCTGCCGACGCTGCTTTGTCGCTCGACGTTTTCCTTCTCTGAAAAGTGCTGCTCGTTTCACCCGGCTGCACGGGACTGTTCTGTCTGACTCGTACTGTCCGCCTTCTCTTTGCTCGTATATTGTAGTCCTTGCTTATGGAATTGGTTCATAACCGCCGGCCTTGTGCTCCTGGCGATTGCTGAGCAGAAAGTAGATGATAGCGCCGACTATTGGGAAGAGAAAGACGAGAACGGCCCAAAGGATCTTGTGCGAAATGGGGCGATTGGACTGGATGAGCTCGACTATGAACGCTGTTAGTGATGTCCTTCCTGTCACAGCATGGTTATATCGCATATCGTAAGAGGTGAGATCAACATACCCCAGATGATGATATCAACGATCAACACAATGAATCCAACGATTCCACCACCAGTTCCATATTGCCATGCAGTGTTCTTCTGAATGGTAATCTCGTTCGCGAGCGGGGCGGCGAAGGTGAGAGTGGCCAGGCAGAGCTGGAGGAAGGCGTTGAAGAGACTCATGTTTCTCGTATCTGGGTCTGGATGTGTTGCTGATCTGTTGCTGGCCTGATGTAGTGTGTGGTGAGTTGTTCGATAAGCTGAAGTGAAGAACGGTGCGGTTTTGTGGGTGCAAGCGGGTACGGTAAGTAACAACCAGCAATTCAAGGCAGCACTCGTGGAGGATGCTGTACCGTATCTAGCCACCGCCACTTCTCTCGAATCGGATTGGTTCCCGTGATCTTAGCCCCGCGTGACGCACATCGTGCATCATCGTGGCAGTCACAGGTTATCTCAGTAGTACTCAGACCCGCTAGTACTAGATTGAGGTGCATTTCACTCCTTTCCAAGATATCATTGATCTGTTGTAGAAGCACGGAATCTACCAAAGCATCTTCTTCGCGATTGGCAGAAATGGACTTTTAGACGATACCCCAAGCTGATGAGGTCTTTTCGTGGATTCAAGTTCTTCTGGTGCCGTCGCGGTGTCTAAGTTTTGAAGAAGCTCGCGACCGGCATCTGTTCGTGATGGCTCGAATGAGCTTCTGCCCAGTTGAGAATCGTTTCTCCTGCATATCAGTCGCTGATCACATTGCACAGAATTCATCAATTCATACTCGTCTCGAGAGCACAAGGCCCGGTTCCAGCCAAGCGGTTCTTTAGCCTTCATGATCAGGAAGGACGGCGTTTACAATTACTCACTTGCTGCATTCTTGAAACCGTCTGATAGGTCTGTGCCTAGCAAGTACGACGTGGCGGCACTGGCTGGAGCGAGTGGTATCCCACCCCGCGAGCCTGTGATCTTCTGCTGCTCGCATATGATATCGCTCGTGAAGCAGGATAGTCTTGAAAGCAGTTCGACGGTTCTTCAATCCAGGCCAGCTTTTGATGAGCCGATCATATCGATGGGATCTTTGGGAGGCTCACGGGGTGGGATTTGATTATTCGGTGTTCTTGATATACCCAGCTCTACCAGTGACTCAAAAGATTCATCCAGCCCTTTGATCATTTCTGCATGTTACAGTGATACCGCTTGCGACATGTACGAGTTCAGATCATGGTGGTTGTGATAGATATCGAGCATCGAATAGGAGTACAAGAAAACAACATTATTCGTCTTGATACATTGATATCCAGCCAACCTGACCATTGTAGGTGAGCAGCCTCGTATCGGCGGAATTGGTGCGCCGCCAAGCTATGCCGAGCCGCGCCGCTATCGGCGACTATCAATATAACAGACAGACAGGGGCGCAACCAATGTTGTTCGAGCCTTCGAGGTCGTCGGTTGTTTGTTGATGACAATCGGCAAACTTCTGATTGTGTTGACCGCGGAGTCCCTGTTGCATTTTGCGCCAAGCATTGCGGCTTCCCCACTATCACATGACAAGTGGCGAGAGATAGTTTGTCATCCATCCATCCACTCCATTCGCCGGAGATGTTGACTCTTCACGTAGATGCTATCCGGATTTCTCTCAACTCCTTGACTCCTACAAGAAACACTCTATCCTCTCGCATACCACCACATCCGCGTGAGCACTCACCATGGCTCCTTCTGTCGTGACTCTCGACAATACGGCCGACTTCGATTTCAGCGACGACTTCGCCGCCGCCCCCACTTCCAACACCACCACCACCACCACAAACGGCGCGGGACATGGAAACGCAAATGGGCATGGCAGCACACGAACCTTGCTGCTTGCACCCCCTTCCGTAGCGTCACATCCATCTGCGTTGACGGAAGTGGCCGAGGCGTATGATCGATCACAAACAGACATTCAAATGCTGGATCGCCTGGCGCTGGGCCTAGTCTCTCTCCCCCCCACCACATATGATGTCGTCCTCGTACTATCAGAGGTGGATCAGACGCAGGAAGGAAGCGCTCCGCCACTGGATCGCACAGTCATGCAGCGGATAGTGGAAAGCATGAAGGCGGGAGGAAGATTGAAGAGTCAGGATGGCCGCTTTGGCACATCCTCAAGTGCTGATCAGACGGAAGCGATTCTGGCAGGATTGATTAGTGGCAATGGCGATGGCATGGTCAAGCCGGATATATCTTCAGCCATGCAGACCGTGAAATTGAGCTTCGGCAAGAAGAAGAAGGCGGACGCTGCGGCCGTGCCTGCGAATGAACTGGAGGCGGCGAACACTGGCAAGAGGAAGATGGGTGATGTCGAGATGGGGCACACCAACGGCACTGGTAATGGCAATGGCGCGGTGCAGAGTGTCGATACTGTCAAGTCCACGCCTGCAGGCGTTGGTTTCATTGAGAACGAGGATGACTGGGATAGTGCCGAGGACGAGTTCCCAGACGACGATGAACTGGAGCGCGCTGGCAGAATTGACCCAGATACACTGCTGACCGAAGCAGACAGGCAGAAGCCGCTAAACATTCGTAAGTGAAGTGAAGTGAAGGCGATGTACAGGAATGAAGTGAAGGCTGACTTGTGTACAGCTGAAGCCTGCAAGCCTAATGGAACCAAGCGGCGGCGAGCTTGCAAGGATTGCACCTGTGGTCTTGCTGAGCGCATTGCTGCGGAAGACAAAGCCAAGCGTGCCGAAGCGGATAAGAACCTGCAGAAGCTTAACGTGGCAGCGCCAACACTGCAGGCCGACGACCTCGCCGAAGTTGACTTCACAGTTCAAGGCAAGGTCGGGTCTTGCGGGAATTGCGCACTGGGCGACGCCTTCCGCTGTGATGGCTGCCCTTACATTGGTCTCCCAGCGTTCAAGCCGGGCGAAGAAGTGCGGCTGCTGAACAACGTCGTGCAGTTGTAACCCACTTCACTTTTGAATCATGATTTATGGCATCAGCGTGGCGTTCTTGGCGGAAAGAGACTACAGCTGGCATAGAGGTCTGGCAACTGATTTTGCACATATTGGAGGGGGAAAGATGCTGCACATACCGGATAGTGTACCCCGCTGGTAGATGAGGGCGCGCATCATGGGCGGCATTGAATTTGAATTGACATGATTCGCACGGAGACATCGATTAACTTACCTTAGGGAGTAATCAAAAGTCGTGTTGATGTCAATCAAAGTAATAACAAGCAAATCTTTGCTCCCTACAATCCTACCTGGTACATAATCATCTCGCGCTCCCATCTATTTTGTACCTACCTACCTACCGTCCTGGAGGAGGTACTGCGCTGCTGTACATTCAACCCCCCCTCTCTCTCTATCTTTCTCACTCGCTCATTTTCCTACTGCTCCTTGTACACACTACTCGCCTCAGACCTTTTTCTGCTTTTCTTCTGGTTCGTTCATCCATCCATCCATCCATCCATCCATCCATTCATCCATCACAAGCCGAACCATGTGTCAAAAGCTGATTGATTGCTGGAGGTAGGTAAGCAAGCAAGCAAAACTCATCACGAAAGTTTAGGTACAGGTACAGGTACAGGTACTCTAGAGTCTATACGAAAATCCCCGAAAAAGAAAAGAAATTTTCAAAAAGAGAAGAATGAAAGTAAGGTAAGCAATGTACAGGTACAGGAGGTACGCAAGTCCCTATTGATCAATTCTTGTAGGGGAAGCCTACGTGCCGTGTCTAAGTTTCCGGCTTTGCAATTCCGGTTGCTTATTTCTTTCTTTTTTTTTCGGTCTTGTGCTTTCTTCTGCTAGTTGGCATGCATGCATGCATGTGAAGAAAAAAAAAAGTAAAAAAGTAAGAGAAAAAGGTAAAAAGTAGGAGGTAGGAGGTACATCTCCATGGAGGTTTACTTTTTTTTTCTTTGTTCTTTTGTGTGTCGTGTGTCGTGACAATTGGAAGCGAGCGAGTGAGATTTTCCTTTCTTTTTCGCCCCGGGTCTGAGCGGATGCGAGTTGGGAAGTTTGGAGCAAGATTGCATTTTGATGAGATGGGAGTTGTTGGTCGAGGGAGAGGGAGATGTGCAATACGCCGCCAATACCATACTTATTCTGTACTATGCCCCTGTATTCTACTCCGAGTTGATTTCCAATAGCCATCTCGGCACGACTCCGGCGAAGTATGGTAGTTGTAGCCGGGAGATTTCCTGCCGAGGGTGGCGCAATATAACATTCATCATGGAAGTCGTCGGCATCATTTTTACCAGATGTGGCAATCATCAATTCAGCAACATGCCCGATCCGGTAGCCGGGGAAGAGGGTCCCTGGACTCCAGTCCCATGCAGAGTCCAGGAATGTAGATGTGACTGTTTTTGTGTTCTTCTTCATCACTTGTGCTTTTCCAACTACCTAAGGTACCTACTAGGTATAGTCGTGAGGTAAGCTGGTACTAAAGCAACAATCAATTTCAATTTCAATCTCAAATCTCTCATCAATCGCGATCTATGGCGGAAACGGAGAAGAGAATGACCCGAGGCGCAACCAACATCTTACGGGAAAAATACGACGGGAGGTCATCCAGAACGACGGTACCGACACGCAGAAAAGTAGCTTCTTGCTTCCCCACAATAATCCCAAGCAGCTGGATCAGAAACAGACTCCGTCGCGCGAGCGCCTCACAAGAGTTACAACTCTCAGTGGACAGAAAAGGGTCGACCTCTCAGAAAGCAGAGGGCAGAGTGGGGCAAAGTTTCGTCGAAAAGGGCGGAGTAGAAACAACTCAATCAAGTAGATCTCAGCCCTGGTTTTTCTAAACTCGCAAAGAAGGACGATGGGATGGGTCCCGTTCTTTCCGCTGGGGTATGTATGATGATGCGATGCCAGCCATACAATTTTGATGTCACTCGTACTTCCGGAACCAGCGAACCGACTGGATCCCTCGTCAAGCACAGCACAGCACAGCACAAGTGACAGCAGTACCTCCTAGTCCCGCCTACCTACTTCCTGTGATGACAGTAGGTACTTTCGTATAGCTGCGGAAAAGGTGAGGCAAAAAGCAAAGTACCTAGGAGGTATGGCAAAGGACCACTTACCGACCGACCTCCTTCACTTACCACCCTCCTACCACCCTCCACCTACCTCCCTCCCTCCCTCCCTCCCTCCTACCTCCCTCCCACTCCCACTTCTCCTCTTCTTGGCGTCGCGTGCTCGACCACACTAACTTAGGTACATTACCTACCTCCCTTACCGCTCGCCCGTCTCTCGCCTTTCCCGTCCTGGGCACCACTTACCGTGTTTTCAGCCGTGTGGACGACAAGACGGTGCCAACTCTACTGTCTTTTCTTGGTTGCTCTCGATTTTGAATCTTTCTTCGGTACCTTTCCTCTGGGAATTGCTCGTCACCGCTCTCCGACTTGACCTCCTCTCTGTCTGAATCGCAACCTACGGGCAAGACCGACTCGAAGCCATCTCCAGGACGTCGCGCATATCTGTACCGACGAATAGAGTGATGTAAACGATGCCCGAGGACGATATCGATCGAAAAGTGGCAAAGAAGGAATTCGGATAGGACGCAACGCGCAACACATCAAAAGAGATATCATCACTGCCAGAGAATGGGCTGGTATAGTGGGGAAGGGGACAGACAAGATGGGAGACACATACAATGACCATGGCACCTTACATGGCCGAAGTGAGACGACCCTCGCAGTCACCATTGCCATGCTGGTGTTGTGCACAATCTTTGTGGCGTTGCGCATGCTATCGCGCGTCGCTCTGATTAAAAAAGTCTCCGTCGACGACTACTTCATGCTGCTCGCATGGGTCATCACAGTGGGCTTGTGTGCGTCCATCTGCATAGGAACCCGATACGGCCTCGGACGGCACGAAAGGCAAATTCCAGCCTCATGGCAACCAGCTCTGCGAAAGTCGGGCTACGCATTTTCCGTCATGTATCAGCCGGCGCTCATGGCGACAAAGACCTCGATCCTGGCCTTCTATCTGACCTTTTCTGGCGCCGAAAGATTGTTCAGATGGGCATGCTACACTGTCCTCTTCGTTGTCAACGCGGGTGGCTTGGCATTGACCTTGGTCACAGTTTTGCAATGCGATCCTGTGTCAGCAGCATTTTATGCGGTCCCGCCACCTCAGGCGCAATGTACCGACATACTGACGATATATCTGAGCTCAATCCCGCTCAACATCATCACCGATCTGGCAATCTTATTCTTACCAATGCCTATCCTGACAGCCATGCGATTACCGAAGAAGCAAAAGCTGATTCTGGTCGTCACCTTCAGCTTCGGTATATTCGTTGCGGCAGTCGATGTCTTGCGCATACATTATCTGCAATCCGCAGCTACAATGCGACTGAGCGAGATAGCGAACATGGAATCGATGACATCCTCTCGGAACTCCATCACCACTGATTCGAGCTTTTATCTCGCCTTTTCCTTCATGTGGAGCGCAATCGAATGCACAGTCGGCATCATGTGCGCATGCGTACCAGGACTCAAGCCGCTTGTTGCTCGCTTCATGCCGAGCATGCTGAGGAGTCCCGACGACGAAGTTTCCAGGTTCGGCTCGTTCTCGATATTAGACGCAGACGCGCAGACAGCATCGTCACAAGTACCAGATATTCCGCCAGACGTGCACTATCACGACTTTGGAAGATCGGCTCATCCCAACGAGGTAGAGGAGGGGCAGCGTGCGGTCGGGATCATGGACTTTCTCACGACACCAGATATGAACGGATTCCACTCCATTGAGCGATCAACAACGGCTCTGACGAACACGTCCCGTCACACTGCGCCACGTTCGCCTACTTTCTTCGACTTTGTCGTCATGAAGCAAAAGAAATCTCTGGTGCATATGACTACCAAGGAATCCATCTACCCGTTGGCCATTGTCACCGTGCTCTTCTTCATTTGGGGGTTCGAATACGGCCTGGTGGAGGTTCTCAATCGCCAGTTCCAAAGCGTGGCCAACGTCACTACTGCTCAGGCAGTCGGCATTCGCAGTGCATTCTATTGTGGCTATCTGGTGGGTCCGATCACAGTTGGTCGCTGGACACTCAAGCATTGGGGCTTCAAGGCTTGCTTCCCGCTCGGCTTGAGTATCTACGGCTGCGGCTGCTTGATCTTCTGGCCAGCTGCTGTCCTCACATCGTGGCCGACCTTTCTCGTCACCAATTTCATCGTTGCGTTCGGACTGTCGCTCCTGGAAGTGTCGGCCAATCCATTCATCCTGTTGTGCGGTCCTGCTCAGTATGCTGAGATCAGATTGAACCTCAGTCAAGCAGTGCAAGCAGTCGGTGGCATCGTCGCACCTCTCATCGCATCAAAAGCTTTCTACCACACGACTGCCAATGCACCAACTCTCATCAACACGCAGTGGGCATACCTGGGCATCTCGCTCTCCACCTTCGCCTTGGCGGTAGTCTACTTCTACGTGCCTCTACCAGAAGCCACAGATGCCGAGCTTGAGGACTCCGTCGAGAGGCTGGACGGCGCAAATAAAGCGAAGTTTGGCGAAGTTCATGCCATCTGGTACATCCTCGGACTGGGGGTCTTCAGCCAATTCTGTTATGTAGGTGCTCAGGAAGTCATCGGAACCAGTTTTGTGTCGTATCTCCACACCGTGGCGCCTGAACTGGATACAACAAACTTTTTCGCAATCGCGCACACGGCCTTTGCAGTATCCCGATTCCTAGCTGCTGGCGCAGGCTTCTGGATCAGTCCACGCGTGCTGCTGTTGATGTTCTATTCTGGCACCATCATCTTCAGCGCGCTCTGTACGCATTTCACAGGCCGCACTGGCGTTGCCATGATGATCATGGTCTTCTTCTGCGAAGGGCCACTGTTCAGCTTGATCTTCGGCCAAGCACTTCGTGGACAAGGCAGACACTCCAAGTTTGCCAGCGTCCTTGTGACAGCCGCAATTGGCGGCGGCGCCATTTTCTCGCCAATCTCGTCTGCGCTAGTGGCACATGGCCGTAGCGTTCCTTACAGCCTGGTCGTCGCCGTGGCCGCCTTCTCCGGTGGAATCGTTTTCGCATTCGGACTGAACCTTTCTCGTACAGTACGACTGGTAGTGGACCCGCTCAAGGAGCATTCAGGCTCATTGTTCGGCTCTGATGACCGACCAGGCTCACACAGCAGTCGGGCGAGTCGTGCCTTTAGCCTTTTGAGCATTGCGAAGCACAAGAGAAACTCTGGGTGTGTTGAGTACCGAGAGCGAAAAGGAAGCGCACCCACAGGTTGATGAAAGGCCTGCTGGACCATAATGATTCGCATGAGAAATGAAATGAGATTATCATGCATGGTTGACATCGCTCCGGCTAGCGTATGGCACAGCATGTCTGTTATATATATGTCCTTTAGCGTCTGGCGTCCTGGTGTTGATGACTACGGTCGTCCATGGGGAATGGGGGATTATGTTTCGTGCTGCCTTGACAGCATCCGGCATCAGTGTGTACATATCTTTCACATATGGAGGACACTTCTGCAATTCAGGCGAAGTGATTTTAGTAGGCAGTACCTACACCCCGCTGTCAAGAATCCCAGCGCTTCAATCCCACAAACCTATCTGATGTTCCTCGTTCCCCCCCCCCCCTCCCCCACTCCCATTGAATTGCGTCACGTGTAGTGACACTGGCAACGCGGCAGAACTGACTGATTGACTGATGGTGAGGTGTGGTGGGGCAAACATGCACATCGGTGGCGTTAAAAAAACACCACTTTTACCTTACCTCCTAAAACCATTCTCGTACCTACTACAGGCTACGTAAACTCCGTTGGATTGGAAATTATTGTGTCATTCTTTCCAAACAAATTAGTCGATGATGGGACCCTTCTACTGTTAGTACATAGGCAGGTACCGTAGGTATATATGATATAGCAGTGCCCCTCCCCTCTCGATTCTTTTACTTGTTTATACTTTTCGACATTGTGAACAACCACCAACCACGCAACCAAGCAACCGACCACACTTTACAACCATACCTCCATACCAGTACCAACAGATCTCCCACCCGCAAACAAGATGGCCGAAACAATCAAAAACGCAGTCGGAGCAGCCACCGGCGGCGCCATCGGTAACAAACTTCCCACTGCCAAACTCGGCAAGAATGGTCCTCATATAACACGCCTTGGGTAAGAAACCACCTCATCCATCCATATCCACCAACACAACCAACCAACCAACTAACTAACCCCCCTTTCTTCCACCAGCTACGGAACAATGGGTCTCTCCGCCTTCTACGGCACCCCCAAACCCGACACCGAACGCCTCGCCCTCCTCGACAAACTATATGCCTCGGGAGAACATTTCTGGGATTCCGCAGACATGTATCAAGATTCCGAAGATTTGCTCGGAAAATGGTTCAAAGCAAACCCGGAAAAACGCGACCACATTTTTTTGGCGACCAAATTTGCAAATTGTGTGAATCCTGAGGATGGAAGTCGTTATGTGGATAGTTCTCCGGAATATGCGAGACGCGCGTGTGAGAAGAGTTTGAAGAGGTTGGGTGTCGAGAGGATTGATCTTTGTGAGTGTTTTACCATACCTTTCTACCATTCCTTTATATGTGATATCATGTCAGCTGATTGATGATGTGAAAACAAAAAGACTACGCCCATCGTCTCGACGGCAAAACTCCCGTGGAAAAAACCGTCGCCGAATTGAAAAAATTGCAAGAAGAAGGCAAAATCAAATACATTGGTCTATCCGAATGCAGCAGTGAATCTCTCCGACGAGCCAGCAAAATCGTCCACATCGACGCCATTCAAATCGAATACTCTCCCTTCAGTTTAGATATTGAAAGCCCACAAATCGGCCTCTTAAAAACTGCACGAGAACTCGGCACAGCCATTGTCTGCTACTCGCCCATTGGAAGAGGAATGCTCGGAGGAACGATTCGCAGTCCCAAGGATTTTGAAAAGGGAGATTTCCGTACATTTGCTCCACGATTCTCCGAAGAGAATTTCCCCAAGAATCTCGAATTGGTCGATCGGATTACGGAATTGGCCAAGAAGAAGGGCGCGACTCCTTCGCAGTTGACGTTGGCGTGGATCCTGGCTCAAGGTGACGACTTTTTCCCGATTCCGGGTACGACCAACTTGCAGCGTTTGGAGGAGAATTTGGGTGCGCTGAAAATCACGCTGAGCAAGGAGGAAGAGGCCGAGATTCGCAAGGCCGTGGAGAAGGCGGAGCCATCGGGTTCACGCTATCCACCCGCATTCGCTTCTGCTCTCTTTGCAGACACTCCACCACTCCAATAGAGTGAGTATACTTTTTTCTCAAGACACCAGTCTGTCGGTTCTCGACAACCAGATAGATCCCTGTCTGCCGGTTGCCATTTTAGCCGGTATACGAGTATATAGACATCCAACTATACCAAAAGTACGCGAACGGCATGAAAGTTGTGAATCAGACTTGAAGCAACAAATGCTCACGTTGAACAAACTTGTTATACAAGCTATCACTATCTCTCCAGGTGCTGCAGCTCTTTCCCTCTCCTGCATTACCAACTGCTTCTGTCCACATCAAGCCCCATCTGCGCGTCGATCCAAAAGGGAGGAAGAAAACATTGCTCTTGTACACGCATACCCGCAGTCGCTGCCATCGCGCACAAACATCGCAGTCGATCAAACACACACACACAAGTCATCTCTTACAAGAAAGCAATGAGACCGAAGATGGCGGCAAGACCAGCAGGGATTGCAACGCCAGCAGCACTCGAATCTTGCGTAGGCGTAGCGGTGGAGGCAGAACCCGTGCGTGTGCCGGAAGTCGTGCTCTCGTTATCGGTCGGGGCACCGGTCGTCGAGGAGGCTGCAGTGGTGGTAGCAGTCATCATGGAACCAGTAGAAGTGGCTGACATGGCTGCGGTGCTCGAAGGGTAGCTAAAGACATACGCAAGAAAGAGGTTTCCAAGTCAGTAAAGCTGGTGCGAAGCATCAGTTGCATGCTGAACTTGGATGAACATACGCGCTCGCGGCATTGCATTGGGCGACCTTGGTCTGTTCGAAGCCGAAGCGCTGAGGAGCGCTGGGGCAGTTGTTGTAGCAGGTCAGGACATTGTTGGCTTGTTCGCAGAGACAGCTCCAGTCGTTAGGAGTGCATGCGTTGTATTGTGCTTGGGTCTAGAGAGAGAGAAAGGCCCGAGTCGGGTGGATTAGTGGTTGAGATCCTTCTTATAGGTAGGTACGGTATGAGATGAGATCGAGTGAGAAGGCGCTTACAGTGCCGAGACAAGATTGAATGATCAAGTCGATGCTCTCACCACAGCCGGAAACTGGCAGCACGCTCGAAGTCGATTGCGCAGTCGCAAAGCCAGCAAGGGCGACGAAGAAAGCTGCAGAGGCGTGCATTGTTGATGTATGATATGGGGTATTGGTGTCGCTTTTGGGATAATGTTTCTGAATTAAAGGCTATGGGTGTCGGTATACACTGGCTGATTGTTGTTTGAAGGTCGAGAAATGGATTTCGGAGCGAGAGACGACGAATAGAAGGAGGAGGTAGTGAGATGGAAGCGACAGACAGGACAGGACAGGCAGGACAGCAGAAAGAAGGCGTTTCCCCAGGTATGGAAGGAGCGAGGACCTGCTAATTATATGAAAGAGTCAAGTGCGACCTGATGGTCCCTGCACCACTAATACATACATGCATTCTCATTGGCCAGCGCATCTCGTGGCGTGAGTAGTAGAACTGTACACCTTCTGCGGTGCCATGCCCTGTCTGGAGGACTTGGCCCGCAGAATCGAGCTATCAAGAATAGAATGCATCCCGTATCGCCACTCTTCTCCAACAATACCTGAACAACAAGATCCTTAACACATGTATACGTGGACTGTAGGTAAGATGTACCTATTCTAGCAGTAAGTACTTACAGTACCTTATATAAGTTAAGGTATATACGACACAAAGGCAATACCCTAGAATCACACCAGGGTGAAATTAGGGCAGCTTTACTTTGACGCTAATTTCACCCCCTCTCGACTTCTCCGCCCTTCCCTTCTTGCATCAATAATCTTGGCTGTATAAAGTATACTGTATAAACCAGGTCAGGTACCTACCTGTACCTAGGTAAACATTCTTCACGATCTTATATAATCTGACATGGGTATGTCCTCCTGAATCATTTTGGGCTAGAGCCTACTGCTTGTATGTAGAGGCGCGTGACTCTCGGGCTTGCGGCACTGGTATTATAGGTAGTATACTCTACCTACCCCAGGTTTGCATAGCTGGTTGCAGTGACGCGACAAGAGGGTGTAGAGAATGACTATCCGTTGTATAAGGTACATGTAGCTACATTAGTCTATCTCGCGAAAACGTGGCAAGACAGATTTCTCGGCACTAGGTTGTCTCTGCCATTATGGGGCTGGATATGCTTTCTTCGCGATTGCGCGCCCATTTCTACAATCTCATTGAGAGGAGACTCCTTCCTCTTGGTCCCACATCTATCCGAATAATGCTTCGGAATACTCAAATTCCCGTGTTAATCACAGGCTCCAGGTCCTAGACATGTCCTTCCTGCTCATGGCTGCGAAGTTGTCCTGACTTGGTTATGGCACCGCAGAGGAAAGAACTGTCACCTTTCAGAGAACGAGTGATTCCTCCTCAGACAAGCTTGAATGGCCCAGGCGGAAGCACACCTATGCTTGGATCGATCGAGCTGGTGGGATGTATCGTGGACCTGCTGACGATGATGCTCCAAGGTTCGGGCCATCCTCTGGATGGATACCACTGCCATGATGCTGTAGGCAGTGGCTGATTCCTTTCGTGTCGTGGGAGCACAATGTGCATCCGCGCTGGGAAGTCGTGCTCTGAGAGCGCACAAGCAGGCAGTACCCCGCGAATAGTCTTCCGGTCTATGCTGTGGTCTCAATCTTTCTTCTCACCCAACGTATCGTAGGACAGCATGCCAAAGGCCACAAATATGCATCCTCCGCCTATGTACGTCGCCAGACTTGGAGTAAGATCCCAGACCAACCAGTCCGCCAATGCAACAAAGAAGACACTGAGCACATTCGCCATACTGCCAAAGACGGGATCGGTCCAGATGACCAAGACGACCAATAAAGTAATCCCAATAACTCCCGAGAGCACCGCAATGACCAGCCACAGCCATGCGTACGCCGAAGGGAAACTAAAGGTCTCGATACCCAAGATGTGGAAGATGATGAGAAAGATCCATAAAACTCCAAATGTGTAGAATCCAGTCAAGGCCGAAGCTGCTAGTGTGAGCGGAAGGCTAGACTCTTGTGATTCTGGTCTATTCGAACACGCCCATTTCTTAAACAGCACCTCATACAGCCCAAATGCCACAGCTCCCACGCAGGCTATGACATTACCGAGTAATCGACTTCCTCCAATCGCAGGATCGGATTCGGATGAGTGATCGGCTGTAGTGTCTCCATATGCGATTGTGAAAGTACCAGCAATACTCAAGGCTACAGCGAGGATGGAAATCCAACCGAGCTTCTCTTTGAGAATAGGTACGGAAAAAGCTGCAGCAAAGAATGTGCTACAATTGTAAATGGCAGTGAGATCTGCAGGTGTGGTCAAGCTCAAGGAAGTGAACCAGCTGAAACCAGATATCGTCAAAATGATTGTGACAATTGCCATAGATGTCGCGAGGAAATCTAGCGGTCCTCCCGTACGACCAGGACCTTTGATAACCATTTTACTTCCATGCGTGGCGAAAGCATCAATGGTGGCGATACTGCCTCGCAGAGTGTTGTTATATTCTCGGACCCACTGGACGTAGGATATTTGGCGATTTGTGTACCGCATGTAGAGCATATGAGCAATCCATGGTAGAGCCAGAGCAGAATGGGTGAGGTACATGGTCGCAATAGGTTTCTTCCAGTTGAGCTTATCTTCAATGTAGGCTGTTGCTTCGGTGTTGACGGTAAAACCTACGACACATGCTACCAAAGTGAGGGCAATCTTCCAGGCAGCCACTCTCTTCTTGGGAGGAGAGCCGTCAATCGATCGTACGCGGTAATGTCTGGATGGGGCCTGCTGGCCATCTTCTACCCCTTCGAGGTCCTGGAGTTCTGACAGTTCAATGTCACTGTCCAGTGATGAGTGCCGTCGTTCCGTAGCCAGAAAGGGTTGATCTTGGTCGCCTTCATCTTCCAGCTTTGTTCTGGTTGCGCTGTCCATTCTGTTCGTTGTCGTCGGGTCGCAGTCGGGGGGGGGTCAGCCTGGCCAGGGTGTCGACGGGAAGTGAACCGAAAGCCTAGCAATCCATACTTGGAAAGACGATGGATGGATCAGGCAGAATCACAGTGACGAAGTTCGGGCACGTTCAACCTCGCGAGTAAAAGGTGTCCTATCAGGGTGACAGGAGAGGATGGAATTGTTCTGGCCGGTGTTCACCCGCCGCGGCTGTGGCGTCTTCGCCTCCCGCTAGCCTCGGAGCCTCGAACCTTCGTTTCTTGGTGGTGGTACCGGAGGTACATCCACCTCATACAGTACCAACAAAACATCAAGGTCCTGCAGCCTCTACACCCTACCCTGACGAGAACCCACCGCCATACCACTCCGGCCAGACTTCGCTGTCCAGAACTTCTCACTGCTTTCCTTTGTCTTTCTGCCTGCCACCTTCACCAGAGCGTCGAGCGACTCTGGTCGAGATTGGACACACACCTACCTGACACTTCCACGGTAACCAGCGACCAGCCCCGCGGCAAGATTCACAGCGATGAACAGCATTCTGCCGCCCTCGCACGCCGCTCCTCACCTCCTCGGCAACAACCGTCTCTCTCCATCTCGAGACCCTTACGGCATTCCCAGCAGCATGGCGTCGAGAAAGCGCAAAGCGTCCGAGGAGCCCGACCATGATCGCATGTCTACGTCTCCCAGTGCCTCGCCCTCAATGGCAGGCCGCCCACTACCACATGCTCGCAGTATCAAGCGCACCCGCACAGGCGCCGTTCAGGGCAGACCACTGGCCCTCCCACGACTCCTCGAAACCCTTTCAGCTGATCAGATGCGGAATCTTCTGCAAAATATTTGCGATCAACATCCCGAGCTCCAGCAGGCCATCGTCACTAAAGCGCCGAGGCCGTCGGTCGATTCGACGCTGCAAGTTCTGAGCAGATATGAAGATAGCTTCCGGCAAGCCTTTCCGCTGGGCAATCGTCCCACATCAGACTACTCGTACAACAGAGTACAGACGCAACTGCGAGAACTCATCGAAGCGGTTCGAGAATACACACCTCACTTTCTACCACCACACGAGACGACGGACAGTCTATCGTTCGCATATCTCGACTCTGTCACCAACATGATACACCGGTTACCAGACTGGGATACATTCCAACACCAACGGCACAAGTCCGAAGCATACGATGAGATTGCAAAGGCCTGGGCGTTGGTGATTCAGGAGGCAGCGAAGAAGGCGGGCGGGTTTCACTTGCAATTTGGAGGATGGGATCACAAGGTTGTAGAGCACAATCAGAAGAGCGGGGGAAAGATGGAAGAAGCTGTGAACGAGGTCAAAGTGGCACTGGGGTTCATGCAGGCTCCATCATCGAACACGCCGGGTGTCAGCGAAGAGCGTGCCAGCATCCGACAGCAGTTGTTTTCGGGTAACTTTACACAGCTGGCTTACTCTCGGTACTCATGAGATGGTGGCCTCTTCGCAGCGAGACCCATGGTTTCAGCACAGCACAGCACAGTCGTGGGATAGGGGAACTTGAAGCGTTCTTTTTGTTTTGTTTTGTTTCTCTCTTTATTACCAGCATGGAATCTGCAACGGGATTAGGCGCTGGAGTTTGTGAAAGGCGAGCTTGTTTCTGATCCGGCCACTGCAGAGCGCCTTGATTAATGCAGCCACTTGTGGAGGGCGAAGGAGTGATTACAGAGCTAGGTACATGTACCTAGGTTACTGCTAGATGTGTCTAGTAGGAGAAGACAAAAACAATGGAAATTTGCACAACCCATCCAGGCGTTTGCGCTCCCCCTTCCTCCTTTCTTCTTTGTCCTGCAATGTTCGACCTCTACCTCTATTATTGATGGATACATATAGGTCCTTTCTCTCGCAGTCGAGGGAAGAAAATCCATCACCTAGCCCATCATCGTCCCGTCATGTCCACCCAAGGTTACCTACCTAGGTAAGTCACACATATGTACCTAGTCACTCCTAGGTCGACTATATTACTCCCTAAAAGCTACAATACCTTCCTCTATGAAACGAATACCTATATGTATCGTATACATTACATACATTACATATACCTTACCTTACCTTTTTACTCTTACTCTTTTTCTAGATCGAGTAGGTACATAAGGTATATAACGTATATATAAGGTATATCGCCTTCTCATCTCCTCTCATCTCATCTCATCTCCTCTCCTCTCCTCTCCTCTTATCTCCTCTCCTCTCCTCTCCTATTATCTAGTTATAGAATATGTATATATATATAATACGCATCTCCTCAGACTCCTCTTTTCAATATAAGACGACGAAGTCTCGTGGGGATTGAAATAATAAGGTAATGGTGATTGGTGTTGGGGATGGATGGATGGATGGATGGAGTATATAAATAGAAGAGAAAAATTGAACATGGAAAATGTTGGGTTGGGTTGAGTGTATTTGTTATCAGATAGAATCAATCGGTTACCGATCTGTATTTATGGAGGATTTATGGATATGAGATGTGAGGTTTAAGGAACCTGGAATGGAAGGTGCGGTTTTGTTAAGTTGACTGGTACCTTAGGTACGGGTATTTATTATGTGCAAGATGTGAGATGTGATGGTGCATAAGACATGTATCTTGTCATTTTCATCCATTAGAATATTTCTCTCTCTTTATACATTGCCCTGCCGTAGAAAATTCGTGACCTTTTTTTTATTTAAAAAAAAAGACTGGAAGGTGCTTGCTCATTGCTGGAGGAAATCCACTCGCTATGCCAAACATGAAAAGAATCACAATATGTCCTCTCTCAAACCATCCTCTTCTCTACTACAACTACTACTCCTTCTTCCCCATCCCACCAAAAGGACTCCCACCATCGACCCAAGCCTTCTTACTCCCCATCTTCTTCCCCCTCCTAACATCCCTGCGACTAGCACAACAACAACACATACCCATTTGAATTCCCCAAGCAAAAATACTCGCCGCACTCGCAATCCACATAAACACAAACATTTGCGTTCCAATATTCGCTCGAATATTCAATTCCGTCGCTCCCGTAATCACATTGCGCATAATAATAAACATTACTGTCGCGATCACGGATGCCACGGTTGTGAGGAGCGCGGCGAGAAAGGTGATGAGCGCGAGTGGGAGAGAGAGCCAGCGCGTGAAGACGCTGAGGGGGAGGAGGAAGATGACGAGGAAGTCCAGGCAGATGCCGGAGAGGAAGAGGCCGAACATCCAGTTGGAGACGGTTTTGATGAGGTCGAGGATGGAGTTGATGTCGGCGGGGAGAGCGACTAGGTAAGAATGGTGGGTTTAGCTTGTGTTGGGACTTTATGTTTTGTATTATTTTTGGGGAAAAAGAAAAGAAAAAAAAAGGAAAAAGAAAAAACTCACTTGTTGCGCCGGCGAGAAGTTGACTCTGAATAATTTCCACCGGGTTGAACCAATATAGTGTCTCTGTATTGGAACAACTCGTCGTACCCTGCCCATTATATCCTTGACAATAATTCCATAATCCAACAGTATAAAAGTCGTGCAGACCCAACGACTGTGCAATACTGTTGATCAAAACGGCATTCGGCACAGACACGGGTATAATGTTGGAAATGTCCAGTTTGAGAAAATATATCTTGTTCAAGGTGCTGCCGACAGACGTATTTCCCACCTCGACCAGAATCAGAAATATTACTGATAGGAGTAGGAGGAAAGAGGAAATCAAGGCCCAGATGAATCGCGTTCGAGTCGCTCGTTTGATTTGTGTTGGGGTCGGTTCGAAGTCGTGATGATGGTTCGTAACTGTTTGTTCGGAATCGGAGCCCGCGAGAACATCACTACCCCGGTCCTCTTCGACTTTCTTCTTTCGTCCAAACATTTTGTGGTTGTGTGTGGGTGTGTGTTTGTCGACTGGCTGGTTGGTGGTCCTCTTTGTTGCTCTCTCTTCTTCTTCTTCTTCTTCTTCTTCTCCTCCTCCCCAAAGCCTTTTCTTTCTCACTCCCAACACCCCGACAAGAACAGCAGCAACACAGGTCCAGTGGCAAGGTAGGTAGTCACAGGAGAGAGAGAGAGAGAGAGAGGCAGAGAGAGAACCAGGGACACGGAAGGCAACAAAATTAACCTACAAGCACGAGTCGCGATTTCAACCAAACAACAAAAACCAAGAATCAAGAACCAAGAGAAGGGAGAGAGAGGGAGAGAGAGGGAGGGAGAGAGTGGTGAATGACAACTCCACAGCATAGAAGGGAAAACGGTAGGTAGCGAAACACTGCCCGCCTGACTAGCGCTTCCTCTCTCTCTCTCCCTCTCCCTCTCCCTCTCCCTCCCTCCATCTCTTTCTCAAACCCGCTGCCACGATGATGATGATGATGATGGCGTGTAGCTCCAATGTGGCTGCTGCTAGAGGGAGGTACCTCCTTCTTTGCTTCGCTTCCATCAGGGTTACCGTTAGCTTGTCCGCGGGCGCACGCACGCACAAACAAAGTGTACAGTAGTGCGTGCGTGGCAGCGTGTGCATCAATGCAAGACCAGACGACGTCACGATGGAGTTTTGGCGACAAACCTAAATTTCATCACATATGTACATATATAACATACACTAGTTAAGGTGCTAACTTACCCGTTTGAGACTCGATCTAACCTTAGATAAAAATTCACCCTGCAGGGGGGAGTACCTCCTAGTGGTGGCGGCTGAAGGGATAAACAAGGCCGGAAGACTCAAGAGGAAAGTTGGGAAATTGTCATCTTTGTACGCAATTGGGGAGCGGGGTGGTGAGGACTGTGCAAGTATGTAATTTCTGTTGGTAGGGTTGGGGTGGTTTTGGAAGGAGGAAATATATATATATATATATATATAAAAGAGGGATATTGATTATTGATGAGACAGGCCAAGCAGGCAGTTGAAGTTCTCAATCAATTCATCGCCAAGGCATATTCCGCCGCGAGGCTTTTCGGCTTGGCATCGACAACTACCAAACAGTGGCAAACCGTCATACCTCCTACAATCACGATTCGATAGCACCAATACAAAGAATTGAGAAACAAAAAAGACTCTTCAACGGATAGCAGAGGGTGCGCTACAAGAGATGTGGCCATGTCAAATACAATATCTCCCTGAACGCGTCCTTCAGTTCACAGACGAATATCTTCCTGCCGGGATTACGCGGCTTGATCTGCTTCTGACGCATGATGAAGTAGTTCCTTTACCTCCTATGGGGAGCGGGAGATTGGAGCTAGAAAGGCCATTGGGGCATGTGCACGTTCGAAAGGCGAGACAGCCTCACACACGGTAACGCGCTCCGCGGTATTTCGGTGGGCGCCATGGAACTCTGTCGGGAGTCTGTTCTGCCCGGGTCCCCTTCTTCTTCTACTACTACTTCTTCCTCTTCTTCAGTAGTGAGGTAGGTCATTCTCCGTTGCGCACCTGTTCTCTTCTTCTTCTCTTGGGACCTCGGAAGAAGAAAGAGACGCAGTTGGCAAGATGCTTCCCAACGCGATATGGCTGATGTGCTTGGCGGCGGCGACGACGGCGGGTGTGAGAGCACAGGATTCATCCAGCACAACCGACAGCAGCGACACCAGTACCATGACCACCGAGACCTTCTCTGCCCTGACCTTTACGAATTCATACTCTGTGTTGACTGGAAGTGATGTCCCTACATATGTCTTTACGGGCTCCGGTTACACATATGCTACGGTCGGTGGACAAGTCACGCGGAGCACTACCAGTTCGAGCACGGCCACAGTATCGGGCAGTAGCAATGGCACAGCAAGCTCGACGAATTCTCAAATTACCGCGTCGACTCATCATGTCAGTCTGACACAGATTGGTGGTGGCATCGCAGCCACTGCCACCAGCAATAGCACCACAACGAACAGCACCGCCAGTTCCACCAGCTCTGCAGCAGCACCCACCAACACGGTCCCTTGCAATGGATTCCCCGAGTTCTGCACGCGGCAATACAGCAACATCACCATGGTGGCCTCCCACAACAGCGCATTCGTCGTACCCAACAACGCCGCATCAAACCAAGAATTACCCATCATCGACCAACTCAACGACGGAATCCGCATGCTGCAAGGAGAAGTACAATGGGAAAACGGCACAACATACAACTGCCACACATCCTGCAGCCAACTCAACGCCGGTCCCTGGCAAGACGGCCTCGAAATCGTACGCTCCTGGCTGCAAGAAAACCCCTACGAAGTCCTCACCATCCTAATCGGCAACAGCGACTTCACCGTCGTCGAAAATTTCGTCCCAGCAATCACCAACGCCGGCCTGTTACCCTACGTCTACGAACCCACATATATCCCTCAACACCGCGACCAATGGCCCACGTTGGGCGAAATGATTCTCACGAATAAACGTCTCGTCTTCTTCATGGATTACAACGCCAATCAAACTTCCGTGCCATATATTCTCGATGAATTTACGCATATTTGGGAATCTCCGTTTAGTCCTACCGATCAGGCGTTTCCTTGTACGCAACAACGTCCACCGGATTTGGACCCGGATGTCGCGAGAGATCAGTTCATGAATTTGGCAAATCACAATTTAAATACTGCGGTCGATTTATCCAGTGTGGGCATTTCCACGAGCGAACCGATTCTGATTCCTAATACTGCGGAACTCAATCTTACAAATGGTGAACAAGTCGGATTGTTTGGAACGCTGGGGACTATGAATCAGAATTGTACTGGTATGTTTCTCCCCCCCCCCCCCCTTTTTCTCCCAAAAAATTTCCCGTAACTAACCCTCGTTCTAAAAACAGATATGTGGAATCGCGCCCCCAATTTCCTTCTCGTAGACTACTATAATCGAGGTTCACCTTCCGCCGGCTCAGTTTTCCAAGTCGCCGCTCGAGCGAATAATGTCACATATACGCAAGATTGTTGTGGAAACGTCGAGTCTTCTGCTTCGTCGACGAGATTTTCGACGGCGCTGGCTGCTGTTGCTATTGTTGTTATTGTGAATGCTGTGGGGGGTTGGTGATAAGCTGATGATGATGGGGGATGGGGGATGGGATGGGTCAAAGTGTATGTATATGTATAGGTAATAATTGGATGGATGTTGATGTGTGATGATTATGATGACATGTTTTTGGGGGGGATGGTGTAGCATAGCATGGTATAGCGTAGCATAGCATAGCATAGCATGGAATGGCACGGAATGGCACGGCATGGCACGGCATGTTTCTTCTTCTTCTTCTTTTTTTTTCTTTTTCTTTTTTCTTTTTTCTTTTTTTTTTCAAGTTTGTTTTTCGGATAATCATGTGAAGGTTGTGTATACAGATTGATTGATTGCATTTGACACTACATAACTTACGTACCTATATAGCATTGGAATTTGATTGAGATGAGGGTCTCGTTGTTTCCTCACGTGGAGTGGATGGGAGAGAACAGAGAGAACATGGAGAAAGAGAGAACATGCAATACAAAAAAACTTTCATTATCGTCATCTCGTCACTCATCACTATATACTTGCTTGCTTGCTGTTGCTTTGCTATACTTTGCTTGTCTCGCCAAATACAATACATTACAATGGTGCAGGGGTATCTTCTTCTTCTTCTTCGTCATCATCATCAAATACTCAGACTCTACTTCTTGCCTTGCAAAGCAGCGACAGCATCTTTGAATCCAGCTTCATATGCAGCGCCACGGCCCTCGTGCGAGATTCCAGGTGCGGTAGTTGAGGTCGTGTTCGAGCCCATGCCAGAGTGGCTGCCAATGTGGGTGTTGTCAACTCCGGAAGTGATGCCTCCGACACCTGGCTGGTGATGGGTAGCAGAGCTGTAGCCGGTGGGGTTGCCGCTACCGGTAAGGCCACTACCCTGGGGGTGAGAGCCGGTCAGACCAGTGCCTTGGGGCTGGTATTGTTCGCGGTTGCGCTGGTCGTAGTTGGTGCCAGTGACTGGATCGTCTGGCTGGTTAGATCTCTGAGAGCTCATCTTGTCCTTGACCTTGTCCATCATGCCACGGTTGTCTTCACCTGCGTAGCCGCTAGTGGTGTTGTGGTGTCCGGACTGGCTGTGACCACCATGTTGTTGGTATGCTGCTTGCTGGCCGCGGGTGTACTCGTCTTGGTGAGCACCAGTGAAGCCAGAGCCAGGTGCGGTCGAAGACATACCGCCATGCGAGCCAGTCAAGCCGCTACCGGGCTGCTGAGTGCTGTGGTTGTTGTGATGACCTGCGCTTGCGAGTCCTGCGCCGCCAACTGCTCCGGCAGCGAGACCTGTCGCGGCTCCAGGACCGGCGTGACGATCGGTGAAGCTCGAGTCGTGGCCGAGAGGCTGTGCAGCAGAGGAGAAACCAGAACCAGGTTGGTTGGGGTGGCTGTAGTTGTTGTGGCTACCCGTCACATTGCTGTGGCCGTGGCTTCCAGTCAAGCCGGAACCAGCATGGCTTTGACCCACTCCACTGTTGGAGGTTCCAGCAATTCCAGCACCCGTGGCGTGGGAGCCTGGGTGCGAGCTCGATGAGTGGGAAGCATTGGTTGACTCCTTGATCGGATTGCCATAGGCGTCATGAGCATTGTGCTGGCCAGGCAGGACATTCTTGATCTTGTCGCCAGTAGTTTGGTGCACGCCCGAATGGGAGTGTCCCACACCCTCTCCTACGCCGCCGACCTTTTGGCCACCGGCAGTTGGGATTGCACTGTCGTTGTTGGCATGTGGGTGCGAGCCAGGCACAAAGCCGGTACCTTCACTGACGCCAGATGTGCCAGTGTGGTGCGTGTTGTGCGTGTTATGCGTATTGTGCGTGTTGTGATGACCTTGATGAGCTGCTGCATCAGCTGCAATATTCTGACCTTTGGACGAATATGGATCGTATGGCTGGCTAGCGGTCGTCTTCTCTGCAGCGAGGCCAGGGTTGGTGCCTTGAGCGTGTGTCCCTGGTGCGTAATCTTGCGCACCAATCGCCGTGCCTCCAGTGATGCCACTGCCGTGTGTATTGCTTCCAATGCCAGTGTGTGGAGCATTGCTACCGACGCCGGCGCCAGAGTGTTGAGTACCGCTACCAACGCCCATACCAGTGTGATGGGTATTGCCATGATCCTGTCCAGCAAAGTGACTCCCTTGGCCGCTCAGTCCCGATGTATGATGCGAGCCGCTGGGGACTCCAGCAGTTGTGCCAGCCCCGGTCAAGCCAGAAGAGGGAGCATGCGTCTGGCCTACTCCTTGTGATGTGTTTGCGCCAGTCACGAGAGGATGAGTTCCTCCTGTGATACCGCTGCTGCCGCCATGAGTGGGGCTGTTGCCGGAGTTGTGTAGTGGGTTGTAGATGCCAGTGGTGGAGGTTGTACCAGTCGTCTGGCCGGGATGAGTTCCGTGTGATCCGTGTCCAGTCAGACCTCCAGTAGAAGAAGAAGAGGTGCCAGTGGTAGTGTCCTTTGTTCGAGAAGTGTCGAGTGCCTGTTGTTGACGCAGTTTCTCCTCCTCCGTGTGGCTTTTGCTGCTGCCCGAGAGCTTCTCTTCGATTTTGCTAATGAGACCCATGATGATTCGATGTGTGTGATGATTGTTGGTCCTGTTGGTGTGTGTGTGTGCGTGTGTGTGAGGGAAAAGTGTGGCTTGTGAAGGAGATATGAGCGCAGGTATTATACCAATGCACGAAAAGTGTATACATCAGGTTAAGAAAGAGCAGTCTGCCTGCCTACCTCATCGCACGTCACATTGGTGCCAACTACAGGTTCTTGCTACTACTCACTACCTCCACCTCCTACTACTTACCTCCTAGGCTCGTACACGTACTTGCGCGCGTGCCATGAGCGCATACCGCAAACGGATCTTATCCCACTTTTCGTCTCCAATGCCAGGACTATGACGAGTGGCAGTGCAAGGTGGCTGGACCAGCTCAATGGCAGTGTGGAGCTCTCGCCGGTCATGACTGCACATCAGATGGTCGGGTGATGAGTCTGATGATGGCAACTGGTGCGAGCAGAGAATAAGTTGAACTTGCTTGCTTGTCCCGTCCGTGGTGTTGGTAAACAGAGAGAACATTGAACCGCTGAAACAGGGCCTGGACCCCTCATGACGGCAGATGATGGCGTTATTCCCACACTTTCGAGGAGAAGAGCGGAGACAGCACTTCTCAACCTTCCATCATCTGCTGGAGCACCCTCCGTCACACCGAGGCAATAATCTCGCCCTCCTCCTCCTCCTCATCGTCATCGTCATCATCATCATCACCACCATCATCACCATCATCATCATCATCCCCATCGTCATCTTGTGGCTGAAGCGAGAATTTGGGGTTTGCCATGTGCATACATTGAAAACTACCTACGGACTAATAACACACTGCCAAGTCTTGCGGTTGGCAGCGCAGAATATAGAATATCACTACTCTTTATCAAATAGAAGGGTGTGTGTGTGTCTGTGTGTTGACACTCCGAAAATAAAATGTGTGCCGCTCCAGGACTGCAAGCGTCTGACAGGCAGACTCGCCCCTTCAACACGGCAAAAATTGGCAAAAATTGCTGCACATTGCAAACGCAAATGGGGCATCCCTCCACATCCATCATTGCCGCCCATTCGTCGAGGAGGCGTGCGCCCACGCTTCGACTCCAGACCGAAATACCATTTTGTACATAGGGATGTTTCATACTCCATTTTCCGGATTTCTCCTTCTCCGTGACGCCGCGCTTGCAGGTCCGTAATATTTTGTCTACGCTCGCATGCATTGCGTATGTTGATCGTAAGGTCGTGATATGGTCATGTTGTGTGTGTGTGTGTGTGTGTGACACAGAAAGAGAAAAAAAGTGGCCAGGGTGCAAGACCCCAGCAGCCGTGGGCTAGGAGGTGGTACGACTCAGCCAGACCGGGGAGCTCCAGAAGCCTGGGCCTCGGGGCTCACGACCGCTGCAAACCCAAGTTTGGCCGCGCAAAGTCGGTAAAAATCTTGAGAAAGGACGACTTCTTGGACGGTTGCCGACGATGCTGGATCTTAGCGTACTGCACCATAGGTCCAACAATATCGGCTTCCTCGATTACCGGAAATTTGGAAGGCTGCTTGGGATCCTGGAGCGATGGCATCTTCTTCAGTGTTTGTGTTTCGGCCAAAGGCTGGAACACGGTCTCCTCACCGCTCGCTTGCGCTTCAGCATTGGCCAGCTCGTGATTATATCGCCAGATGCTGTCGATCTCGGCCCATTTTTGCTCAGTAAGCTTGTAGATCTGTGAAGTGACGCCGTAGTTCTCGCTCACGCGAGCAGCCTGTCGCATATATTCAACACGAGCCGTCTCCCAGTCATCGCGCAATTGTCGGCAATGCTGAACATCACACAATTCCGGAAGGTAAGGTTCGGGGTAAATGTTGAAGTTTGCATGGCCGAGCTTGATTGCCCAGTAATCAGTCTCCTCGGCTATATTGAGGGCTGGAATCTCAGAAGCGGTCGGTAGGGTGTGACTGGACCGCATGTTGAGCGATGCAGTCGATGCCTTGGTTGACAGTGGTGGGGTAGGAAAACCATGCGCGATTGGACTGGAAACAGGAGTGCTCACCATGGATGGTACCACGCTGGGAGGAGCTACTGTGGGGGATGTCAAAGGGGATGGCAAGGCCTGCTGCGAATCGGCAAAGTAGCTCACCAACATGGGTGGCAGCAGAGGAGTCGTGGCCAGCTCCTGTCGCTCAACAGAATCTTCCTGGACTTCTGGGATGCTGATGTCCATGGGCTTCGATGTCACCTGAGAAACGGCTCTTGGCCTGGGAGGACTGATCGACCGCTCATGGATAGGAGCGCGCAAGGCGCCAAGCGGAGGCATGCTCACATTTCGAACTTCGTGCGCGTTGGGAGCGGTAGAAGACCTGGTAGCGGGCAAGCGCAAAGAAGACGGTCGGGAGCTGGGGGCGCTTCGAAGCTTGATTGTCGACGACGAAGCACTCGGTCTATGGCCACCAAAACGCCTTGAGAATTGGCGACTGAGGCGTGACGCAAAACTATCGGCCAAATTATCATTTGATCTAGGTCGCTTGATAGCACGTGCTCCGGGAAGATAGCCGTCATCGAAATAGTCATCGCCAGGGCTCCACTCTGGAGTGACCAGAGGAGCTGGAAAATCAGGTGAGCCTTCGCGTTGACGATGATAGCATAAAGGTGTATCGCAGATGCACAGAGCCTCGGGAGTAGCATCTTCAGACGCGTCGTTTTGATCGTCAAGCTCCGAGGGATCTTCCACCAGATCGTGTAGCGTCGTCTTCTGCGGATTGGCTGGCGAGTCCGGGTTCGTGGCCAGGGAAGATGTTGAGCTTGGAAAACGAGTGTGACCGCGGGTGGAGAAGGTAGGCGTCAGAGGCGAGGAGTTGCTGGACTCTCCAGAGGAATCGCGCGAATGAGAAGGTGAAGATGGAGGAGCCATATCGTCCTCGGGCAGCGGAGAGGAAGCAATTCGGGGAAACGAGAAGGAGCGTAACCGGCTCATATTGCGCTTGGTCGCGTCGTGGGGCTATAATGTGCAGTCGCGAGGCATAATGGGTGTTGTCCAGCGATCGTTATGATTCATGCATGCGCGTCGTGAGGAAGTGAGTGGTATAGGCAGGTATACAGTAGGCAGGCAGTCGAGGCCCGAGTTCTTGCAGAAAATGGGTTTCAAGAGAAGTCGCAATGCGCGCGGTGCTATTCCCAGGTGTAACGAGCGGTGGCACGACTCGCTCGCTCGCTCGCTCGCTCGAGTGTGCAGTCCGGAAACAAAGGCCAGTCGATACGGGACAAATGGTGGTTTGTTGATGGTCCCAACGGCGGGCGGGACGTTGATGATGGTTGTCGTGGCAGCGCGTCGTGTCGAAAAACGCGTAGACGTCGGGAAGAGAAGTGAAGTGAGTGAGAGCGCGAACAGACGGCGGAAGGGCTGGGACACTGGCGCAGACGGGCGACAAAAGCAGCAAAGAGAGACGGAAGCAGGCAGTGTGATTGGGGTATTTGGGGAAGCGTGTTGCCAACGGGTGGGCGATGCTCTGAGTTTGTGGTTAAGGTGCACTAAAAGTGACACTAGGCTGAGTAGGCTGGGAACTCCTTCCGTCAGGCACTGCTGGTCCGCTGGATGTGTGCCCGTAGTGGAGGTACCTCTAGTGCCCGTTCAGGTCCTGCTAGGCCGATGCGAGCTAGAGGAAAGGCCGTCGGCTAGAGCTTCTTACCGCTGCAGCCTGCGAGAGCCAAAAGGCAAAAAAGCCATGCCACCTGCGTCCAGTGCCGTCCACTCGCGCCTTGCCTTGCCTTGCCGTACCTTGCCTTGCTCTGTCTGGCCTGCATGCTTCGGAATTCTCTACCACTTGCAGACCCACTCACTCAACTCACTTGAAAATCTCACGCCCGACGACTACATAATAATGTATGACACTATTACTGCGGACGTAGTGATGACCGTGGGCACACCAACAGGACCATCAGCTCAGCCCAGCACAGCCCAGCCCAGCTCGTGACTCCGCAGTAATAGTAATCATCACTGCTACTAGTACCTCTGTCTTTTGCCGCGCTGCTCAACCGACGACGCCGCCGCCACCGCCGACGACGACGACAACGACAACGACAGCGCACGTGATCTGACGACAGAGAGAGAGAGGGACCTGGGAGAGAGAGGGAAACGGACAGAGAGACCCGCGGCCCCGGCTCTGCTTCTTTTTGCTTCGCCGGCGTGCTGCCAGGCTCAGCGCCGTAAGGTATTGCTAACAAGCTGTCGTCTCTGCCACGCGGCAACGTAATAACCCTTGTAGTGGTTCTAGACATCCTGGCTCCAGAACGTCAATTTTTGACTAAAACTCGATTCATCACTTTGCCCTAGGAGGGTACTCCCTCCTGCCCATTCAGATGCCAGATGTGGGGGCAAACGGCCCTCTTTCCCATTGCTGTAGTCCTCCCTACAAAAAGACCTGCTTCTCGAACCTCTGCTATCCATCCGTCTCACACGGAGTCATACCCAATGAGCAAGATGCAGCGGGTGAGGATATACTGTAGTGTACATGATTCTTATTTCGCACAACAACATACAGCGCATCTGCAGGCCGCAGCGCCGCGTCGTCGTCACACCGCGCTTCAAGTAGATGCTCTCCCTCCCCCCAGGGAGAATGTCCACGTTGTCACCATTACTGTGATCGATAGTTGACAGCCTGTCAGCTTGCACCAACAGATACGAGACGACTGCTGTGCGCCTCTCAGGACCGACCACCTGATTGTCGTGGCCAGCTGTACCCGGATGCAGAGAGCATGCCCTCGCAGCTTCTGTCCTCGTCTGGGATGTAGGGAACGCTGCAGTGAGACGAGAAGTGCATACAAATGCCTGCTTTCGTACAATGGGTGTAACCGCAGGGCGACCTTCTGTGACTGTTGCACGGCGTCGTTCCTCTTACAATTGTCGCAGGGCAGGCCATCAATCTGAGATCAGCCACAACCAGTCTTCAGATGCCATATTCACAGATGCTGTAGCAGGGTGAAGTGGGGGGGGGGGGGGGGCGGGGCGAGGCGGTCATCTGTGGTGATGTGAGGTACATGTAATGATGGGACTGTCCATATGAGCCTGACCAAGCCTGCGCCGCAGCCAGCTCGCGCATCTCAGCCAGCAGCATTACTCTCAACGTGGACCTCTGCTGTGCCGCTCGTGGTCCGACGTTGCCGCGTTGTCGATGTTTTGTCGCCAGTTGATTCGCCCAAGCAAGGTGCTTGTGATGAAAATGTTTTCCGACCGTCCTGCTGCGGGGCTCTCAGGATGCAGAATTTTTTTTGACACGGCTGGCAGCGGTGCTTGGCACTACACACACACACATCCACATCTTGACGTGCTTCGATCGATCCATCACGATACCTTAACAATGAATCTGTCGGTAGCTACAGTACATGTATATACTGTACACGAGACGACATCCTCTCTGTATACAACTCGTTGGGTACTTTAACAGTCCCGACAACGGTGATGGTTACCTTCCGCCCGCGGTAGCGAGTCATGCATCTGGATGCATCTGTATGCATCTGGCGCGGGCTGCTATCCTACTCGTCAGTTGCGAACGGCACTCTTTCGTCGTGAAACTTGTTTGTATGTGTGTGTGTGCGTTCGTCCGTTCCGCCTGCAGGTACAAACATTCAAGGCTGCAGGAAGAAGGTGTGACACAGTGACGGGACGAGCAGAACGGCGATATTGCTTGCTTCGTCACACACCGTCTGGTCGCTAACGCCCAAAAGCCGCGGAGGAAGCGGCATTTGTGTGGCCCAAGAGTCCGGTCGCAAATGTGAACGAACATGGGCGGTTCGCGACGCTTCGATCAACCGAAAACCAATTCCTGATTACACGTGAGCTCCGCTTATCCAATAGGTACCTTATGTAGCCCACACCAGAGCCCATTGCTCCCAAACCTTTGCGAAGGTGTTTTGCGCTCTCACCGCTGCTGAAATTGAGTCATCAAAGTCAGCAGTGCTGGCGACGCTCGCCAAAAATATCCGCAAGACAGAACACCTGGTTATCAACTGGTCACACAGCCTTGCTACGCGGGTTTCCGAGGCCGTGTCCCGCCAGCCACCGAGCCGAAAGAGAGCCGCAATACGCTGGTACGTAGCGTCTTCACCGATGGATGACACATGGCACTTCTCTATCCGTCGACAGCTTCCAGGTTTCTGACGAAGCACACGTTGAGCGAGCCGCATCAGAGCCCGCCCGTTGTAGTAGCAGGCTACTCGTTATCTTTATTCGTCAAATTGATCAGTATTCTCGACATTCCTCTCGGTTTCAATGGTTGCTCATGTGACGACTCTTTAGATCCAGTATTTGCGCCAGAGTGTCTTCTGCTCCTCTGTGCCTCGGAACGTGAAGTCGACCTTCGTGATGTCCAGAAAGCCTTCGTCGAGCACCGGTTCTTGAAAGCGACCTGCATATCCTGTGAACGCCATGATCGGGAGTCTCGTTCTCCTCTCAGGGTTCATCTAGCGAGTGGTCAGCTATCACGGTAATACCTGCAGATGCCACGTCAACTGTTATCTGACATACTATGCCGTCGGACAACGATCGCACGGTGTCGTTGTGTTCGCAGAGCTTCGCTGGCGCTGTGAAGTGGACTAGACGAATCGGCACTTTGAGCCTCTCCGCCAGCTGAAGCCAAGCGGCCCTTGTCTCAACGTCTGCGTTCGTATTGTCCACCACTACAGGCGTCTTGTCCTCCAGCAGTTGTGTCGCAACCTTGATACACCTGGCCCGTGTCTTGAGAGTATCCTGGTTGACTCTCTCGTACCCGAGTGACTGCATATGGTGCCAGTAAAACGTAGATTTCCCTGCCCCCGGACTACCGCAGAACAGCACCACTTCGACGTCGTTCTTCTTAGTGAAGACGATGGGGCTGATGTCAGTCTGAGTATCCAGATTCGTCTCCAGATAAGATGCCGGCTCGAATGGCCTCACGAATGGCTTTGCTGCCTCATTGAGGAAGTACTCCTCCGGAGTGTAAAACGGGATGCCTATATTGGCCGCCCAGTCACGATCGCAACACGAATGATCCTTGCGGATCTTTGCAGCCTTATTACCTTCGCGACCTGCAGCATCCCCAACGAAGAAGCATCTTTCAAGATCGACATCAGCTGGCTGGTCGAGGCCGTAATCTTGCACCAGCTGATTCCACATGCCGATTCGAGGCTTCCTACAGAGGTCGTGCTGAGTCGCCGCATAGACGGAGATCGGCAATTCCAGCACATTCAGGATTGCTGAGATCTTGCCTTTGAAGTTCATCAAGCTTTTCATGTCACCTGCTCTCTTCGGTTCGGGCTTTAGTACCACGCGACTCTGGTTACTGATTATCACCACAGCATAGCCAGCTTCGCTGAGCTGCTTGAGCTTTTCAGGAACACACGAGTGCCACCACTGCCAGTCCTCGGGCCCTTTCGAGAATTGCAGTCCAGACTTGGTCGTGATGAGTGTGCTGTCCAGGTCGAAAGCTGCAATCTTGACTGGCTTCGGCCGTGTGATAGTGGTGGCGTCTGCATATCGGCCAACGAGCACGCTGTCATTGACGTTGTGAAAGATGACCTTCTCTGCTTCCTTCTGGGATGCTGGCTTGAAGAAATTCGACACTGCTTTGCTTGTAGTCGTTGTCGTTACCTTTCGCCTGGTCGGTGGCGGTGAGATGTCGCGATCGGCAGTTGCACTGCGTTTCAGGGAAGCCATTGACACCCCAATGGGAGGATGATAGAATCCTCGCAGCGAGAACCTGAGAAAGAGTGCTTTCATGTGTTACCATAACCTACACGCGGTTGAAACTTTGCAAGTGAGACGCGGTGGAGAACCTGGGAAGGGGCCGCTGCCGCTGCCAGAGCGCCTCACATTACGCCAAAGCACACGCCCCATCACAAACTTAATTGAACCACATTCACGTTCAGCAGGAACTTTTACGACGGGCAGACAGCGCACTCAGCTCCAATTTCGACAGCACGCATGAAGCTTACTACATGTACGTACCTGGTATCTACGGTACCTTAGTGTGCTACGCAATGGCCAAGGCATCAGGAACTGGAGCCCATGCATTCCCCCATCTATTCGCACAGCGACCAATTTCAGAGTCCAATCTGGGAAGCAGCGGCTGCCTCTCCTCGAAAAAAAAAGCAAAAATGAGGCACAGAACGAATATCAAACAGAACTCGGTGTCTAAGCGAGTTTTTCGCTTGCCTGTAAGTAATGTTACACGAACGACAATCATAACTCATCTCCCATATCCTCTACCCGAGTTCGGGCGCCTCGATACTCCTGTTGTACCTCCCTCTGCAGCATACCCGAAATCTCTGGGACACGGATTGCTTCGAATGGTGATCAATGATCCCTATATTATGTGGAGGCGGGACTCTTGCTTTTCTGCATAGCAGCAGAGTGCTCAGGTGTTCTCCTGGCGCCCTGCTATCCGCATGTATCATCCCCTGGAGCCTGTCCAACATCCACTCCGCAATGAGCCTGTCCAGGTTCTTCTCTTCATCAGAAGGAATGTGACCCATCTAACGTGCCAGAGGTTTGGCGGCGTTGTGAGTCTAGCTGTACTCCATATAGGTGCCATAGTGCTGGCCAACAAAACCGGCGCGTTGTGGAAATTGCGACTTCATTCGTCATGGTGGCCTGTTATCACATGATCCAGTCGTGGCGGTGTCCTCCTAAAGCTTGGCCTTGACGCCGGCGGACCCGTTGGCGGTCGCTGAAGCCTCCTTGTTGAGTTCAACCTTGCCATTGCCCTGACCCTCTCCGAAGAAGATGACTTGCACAGTCAAATCGTCACGATATCGTCTGCTGTAAGGTGCAGGCAACGTGAGAAGCGCAGAGAGCATGTCCTTGTCTTTTCCACCGAGCGCGTTGCGCACAAGATGTGTAGCAGCATTCTTATCCTCGACCACAAATCGCTGCTCACCAGATGGGATTCCCCACTGTTGTTGCCGTACGGGCGCGCGCTGGCCAGAGGCATCTCCTTGGTCGTGATGCTCGATCGGCAGTGAATGCTTTTGACTACTGAACCACGATTGCAGCCAGCCATTTGTTGGAGTCTTCGCAGAAGTAGAGGCTTGTGTCTCAAGCCACTGTCCCACAAGCCCAACCACCTCTTCATTGGTGAGCATTTCCCACAGTCCGTCGGTAGCCATGACCACGAAATCACCGTTCGCTGGCTCGATCTTCGTTCTCGTCACGACTGGCTCAGCGGTAACATATGGTGGTGTCTTCAAGTATTTACTCGGAGAGCGACCAAAAAACTGTCTCTTCATCTTATCCTGCGTTTCAGCTGACCACTTGTAAACAGCGTCTCCAAAAGCTCTACTAGGTTCGAGGCCTCCGAGAATACGTCCATTCGCGGTTACATATGGCTCGCCAGGATGCTCGGCTCTCAGTCGTGCATCTTCTGATGGCGTGCCACCAGTCTGGTCAACAGATAGTGCTGTTGCTGTCCACTTTCCACTGCTTCCTCTTCGACCAAGAACGGCCCGGGAATCGCCTGTGCATGCCACGCGAAGCTCTTTTGACTTGGAGTCGTAAAAGGACAACAGAGCACATGATCCGGAAAGTGCTGGAGCAAGGATCTCTGCAGCGACCACTTTCGACTGAGCCTTGAGAACTTTCTGGACAGATTCGTGCGTGATTTCGTGGTCGAGCTTGACGAAGCCCTTCTTGATGGCGGCATCGATCGCATCGGCCGCAGGAACAGTAAGTTTCGCATCTTGCATTGCAGACTTGTACGTAGCATTGAGTTCGCGAGCGACGTACGAAACAAGTGTCTGCCGTAGTTTCGCGGAAGTGGTCCAGCCTGAGTGACCATCAAACACTCCCCAGAACATCCAGTCCGAGCTCGGCTTGTCACCCTGTGCTGCAGCTGTAGTATTTGGCACCTCTACAATCTTTTCTACATGATCGTCCTCGATCGGGTCGTTGCTGGGGATCTGAACAACATCATAGCGAACAACACCCTCCCCTCGACCGACTAGATAGCTCTCCTCGTTTGTTCTGAGTTTGGCGGAGGCTTGCTCCGGTGTGAGCATCTCCAATACTTTCCGGCCTGAGAAGTCTGTCTCCTTGCTAATGGGCTGGTCCGCTGGTATCTGAGCAGTGAAGAGCTGGCCTTGCTCCACAATAAGTGCCTTTCGCACTGCCTCTGGCACGACTGAGTCCTGTGCGAGGGCTGCTGTTGCTGGGCCTGCCGCTGACGTAGCTGTTGACGAAGTAGAATATGACCTGCTCTGACTGCTGCTCAAGGCGCTCGAGGCAGGCAATACATCTGCTGTTGTTGCTGATAGCGACTGTGATCTCTGCTCGTATCCGTAGTACAATGCCGCCGCGCCAATCCCGACAGCGGCAGGTATGGAGTATTTGCGCGAGAGGCGCATCGAAGACTGGAGCGGTTGGGGCGAGCGATTGTTGGTTAGGAACCGGAGTTGCGCGGCATGCTGAGGGCTAGCAATACGGAGCTTCTTGAGTGCTGATCGTGGTGAGGGTCGACGGAACGTGCGCAGGGTTTGGATTACTGCGCGTCTCATCGCAGCACGTGCAATGGGAGGAGTGGAGCGTGGTGGCGATGGTGGTGGTGGTGGTGGGCAAGAGCAAGTGAGTGTAAAAGCAGAATGAAGCGTACATGTACCTTGGTGAGGCAAAGGCACTTGGATGATGGATCGTGTTTGGGGTGATGATGCACACCTCATGCTTATGCATGGTGCCAAGCCCGATGCAGTTATGCACACCCGCAAAATCCAATCTCACCTTCAACCTTAGAGATTTCCGTCCGTTTCGCGACATCGACATTCGACGAAATTCACACCCAGCGACACCTCTCGATCTCCACCTCCTCCCCGTCCTCACGCCGCAATGTCGAACAAGACCAAGGAACAGAAGCCCGCCAAGGGCGGCCGTTCCGCCATCGATGATGTCGTCGCGCGTGAATACACCATCCACCTCCACAAGAGGGTACGTTCAGTTTGATGAAGTCCACGGATGGTTTATACATTTGTCCTCGCAAGAGGCTTTTGCTTGAGCATCGGACGGAAGACTGAGACAAGAGCATATGTCTAACAATGTGTTGGTATAAAGGTTCACGGTGTCAGCTTCAAGAAGAGAGCTCCTCGTGCCATCAAGGAGATCCGCTTCTTCGCTGAGAAGGCTATGGTACGTTCTATGAACTCTTCTATCCCGCTGGCTTGATGCTCCTGTTTTGGGACAAAAACTGATTGTGCTGATTATAGGGCACATCCGACGTCCGCCTCGACCCTCAATTGAACAAGAAGGTCTGGGAGTCCGGCATCAAGGGCGTTCCTTTCCGCCTCCGTGTCCGCATCAGCCGTAAGCGTAACGACGAGGAGGGTGCCAAGGAGAAGCTTTACTCCTACGTGCAGGCTGTAAACGTCAAGAACCCCAAGGGTCTTCAGACTACCGTCGTTGACGAGGCCGCCACCGCTTAAATTTCCACTCTGAACAAGAAAGGCAAAACGCAAAGGCTTGGTTGAAAGCCAATAAATGGTGGACAGCCCAGTATTGGAACAGTGCAGAGGCACGCAATAAGGCGTTACACGGCGGCGGGAATACTCTCTAGCAACGATACCACAGAGTGGTGCGCGCATGATCGCGCGGCTGGGGCGTGTAGCGGTTTTTAGCGTTACGATTGAAAGTACGTCTTCATGACTGTCGAATTGAGAAAGCTCACTGTCCATCACTGTCGGTCCTTCGTTCCCGGATCCAGCCTTTAATTTTCAAAGGTCATGCTCATGGCCAAGATCATCTATCGTAGAAGCTTCACTTCCCCGTCTTAGCCCTGGCTCTGCTTCGTATCCATCTCTGAAAGGAGTTCCCTTTTGGCCCTACGCGTTTGCACAGACCGTTGGAGTAGAATACCAACATAGAATGCCTCAAATTTGGTCCTCCATACATCACTGACCAAGGATACGCCAATCAGCATGACCATGTTCGCAAGAGGTTGCAGCAATGCTCACAAAGCAGACCCCAACGCTTCAATGTATCTACCTCTCTGTACATCAGAGTATACATCCCAAACTACCTAAGAAGAAATGATCAGTAGGTGCCCTTCAACACCACTCTAACAACAACATTGACAACAACACAAACGTTCACAATGCTGCTCCTGCCACTGCTCCACTCTCTTTCCTTCAGCATCGCCTCCGCCGCCGCCGTCGCAGTCACAGACCCACTTCTCCCCCACCGCCACCTCCACCCTGATCAGTTCATGTTGGGGGTCTGTCGAGGAAGAGAAGCAGATCAGCCTGGTACCTATGTGCCCACCTTACGTGAAATAATGACCAGCACACGTGATGAAAGGGCATGTTGAACTTTTCATATTAGACAAACGGTCTATTTCATCATTAGGGAATCGCAAGTGATCACAGATTCCTCCCCTTTCGCGTCTTGGTATTCCCATGTGATGCGATTTGGCTAGTATTCAAACGCCACGCTCAGTTGACCTTGCACGCCAATGTCGCTGTCTCTATCGTCATCATGCACCCCAAAGCGTCCCTGTCGCCGAATTGGTATCACTGATCAATTTGATCCTTGAAGCGTAGCACTGCATTGTGAAGTAATAGACCGTCAGCACCCTTGGGAATGCTGAGCACAGTCGGTGGTCGCGTTCGCGTACGGTCGTTGCTGTAGTCAGATATGAGAACCAGCCCCGCCTCTTTCACACTAGAAACTAGTGCAGGGACCAGATCGAGCAACCGTGAAGTGCAGATCAGACCCATGAAGTTGTTGCTCTGTGCAATGCGAACTGACTCCTTGATGCTCATGTCGGTTCGGCCGCAGCTGGTCACGATATTGGAATCTGTGGCTGCTCGATCGTTCGTGGTAGGCGCTACACCAAGTTCGTTGCAGAGAAGCACGGGATCTAGTCATGGTTAGCATTCTAGCAGGCCTGTTCTTTCGTATGACACTCACAATTTGGCTGCTTCCAGTTCAACGCCGTGCAGATATCCGCATTGTAGCTGGAAAAGACGAAGCTTCTTTGTGGACCATCTTTGAGCTCACGTAAGTGCCGAGCATGATCGAAGACCACCTTGAGCACACCGTCAACCACGACGTTGATGTTCTGCGTGGGTCCAAGCCGTAGAGCTGCCTCCTCAGCTCTTGTTGGATAGCATACATGGATCTCCACATGCAAATCCGCAGGCAGTATCGCCAATGTGGACTCGAGCGAAGAGCATGATTGGGCAATCTTCTGCTGAGCAACAGCGAGATTCTCGCGATCAATGCCGTTTCCCACGAGCTCTTTGATGACGCCCTTGCCCAGACCAGCCTGGAGCGCGCTATCTCTAAACTCCTGGTATGTCAGTCTGCTAACGAGATCGTTGCGACTGCTTGGTAATGCCCAGCTGTTGAACAATACAGGTACGCCGTCTGAAGTCACTTGCACAAATAGTCGCAAGAAGTCTCCTGACAGACTGCTACCAGTGATTAGGTTACTCGGATGATTTTCGAATTGGCTTGTGGCTTTCCAGTACGTTGCAAAGTGTGTGATCTCAAGCGGTATACCATGGAATGGTGTGACGACCTGGTATCGGAAGGCAATACGTCCAATTGCGCGCAGCCGAGGATCAAACAGCTCGAGATGCCACTCACCAGAGCTATTCGCCTTGCCAGTAAACACGCGACTGGACGCAGCTGCGCGGGCGATAACTTTGCTCCCGAATGTCGGGAAGATATCGAAGTCGATGCTAAAGTTATCCAAGTCTTCAATCTGGAACGAGAGGTTCTTGAAGTCATCTTGTATTGGTAAAGGCAGATTCCGTGGTATCAAGTCGGACGACTTCGACGACACAGTCAGTCGCGCGGCGGGGTACTTGCTATCACCATAAAACTTAATCGCATCTCCTTCGACAAAAGAGAGCTGGATAAACGTCTTCGTAGTATCGAGGAAGTTGTGTCCATATCTTCGAAGCGGAATGATGGGGGGCGGCAATTCGAGAGAGGGGATATTTTCCGCATCATGGTTCGCCTGAGTCGGTGTTGCTGTTATAGTCAGCGGCGGTGGCTGCCCAGGCGCAGGCTGCAGGTCCATTGGATCTCGCACAAATCCATCTCCAGTTGCGCCAGCTCCAGCTTGCGCAAGCAGTTGCATACAGTCCAGCTTTCCTTCCCAAGCGGCGTAGTACATCGCATTGAGATCCTTCTCGTCGAGAGCTGCTGGGTCAACGTCGAATTCCAGGAGTTGTCGCAAGCTGTCGAGATGCCCTTCGCTTGCAGCGTGGAATATCGGTGTCCATTGGTACAGTTTGTCGGCCTGATCCATGTCCACACCATACTCTTTCAACATCTGGAGTATCCGATTGTCTCTGCCAAATCGTGCCACAAGGTGTTGTGGGTACAAGCCTTCTGCGTCAGGGATGATGGCAGGTCGGAATCGCAGGATCTGCTGAACGATGGGAGCTGAGCCGTACTGGCAAGCCAGGTTCAGTGGAATGTGACTGGTACTGCTCGCCTGATTCACGATGGCCCCAAATTGCAGCATCTCCTGCACGCTTCCCGGCTGAGAGTGCACAATCGCGTGTATCAGAGGGGTGAAGTGATCCAGATCCTTGAAGTCCACAGTATCGGGAGCGGAAACGACCAGTGCCTTCACCATGTCCACGTGGCCATGCATACACGCATAATGCAGTGGTAGGCGCCCATAAACATCTGGTGCCCGTATGTTCGCGCCTTTCGAGAGAGCTACTGTGAGCACGTCGGATCTGCCACTTACTGCAGCCTCGTGTATGCAATTGCGCTCATTGATTGCGTCTGCGAAGTTGAAGTTGACCAAGCCTGTGGCGTAGAGTATGTCTTGAGCGCTAGGCGCTGCATGGTTGACAGTATGGAGGAAAACGCGGCTGATGCGCTCGGCGGCATCCGGACTCGCAGCAGTGCGTATGGACCATTCGCGGACGAGACCAATATTGCCAGCATTGATTGCTTGCAGCACCTGGTACTCAACCTCCTCGTCTTGCGCTGAGGGCTGGATCCTGTTCTCGAGCTCGACGGCAGGAGTGTATGCAATTTTCTCGCCTTCTGCCCAGGCTTGCAGCACGAGAAGTCCGGTGGTGGCCTGGTCGGATAGATCACTAATCACATCTCGATTGAAGCATGGCTGCACGTCGACTGCTCTTGACAGATAGAGCTCCTTGGTTCGGGACTGTCACCAAGTCAGTATCTATTCACGCGGATAAGACTGATATTAGGCTATAAGCACCTTTGAGGTTTTGTCCCACTGCCATAAGTTAGCTCAGCCCATGGCATAGTGTACGAAAGTAACGACCTTCTTCAGTATCTTGGAGAATGCTGTCTGGTTGACTTCGACGAACTGCTGTAGCTTGTCGAGGTCGTTGCTGAAGAGCCGAAAGCCTTCGTCCAATGTGACATAGCTCGAAGATAACTTCGAGGCCGGTGTTGCGCGAGACTGCACGCCTGCCTTCTTGTCTAGCAGAGTTCGTAGGCGAAGTTTGAGCTGTTCAGGCATTAGATTTGCGCCTCAGTGGGGGGTCTCGATCGGGGAGAACTGACCTCCGCTTCTTTCTGGAGGTAGAAAGTGTTGACCTTCTCCAGCTCGCGCTCGAGACGGAAGAAGAACGTTGCTTTGTTCGCCTGCAACGAGGCTTGCGACTCCTGCAGAGGCTCGCCATTGGGACCCTGATGTAAGGCTGCGAGCACCGGTGTCGCGCTGAGCTTCTTGATGAGCTGTATGGAAATGTGAGCATTGTGCGAGTCCACCTTCTGTCACCGTCACGCTGCCTACCTTCTTGAGAGCCTTGTAGTCGACGAAGCTCGCTGCGTACTCCGGTATATCGAGCTGCCGCTTCTGAATATGCTTGCCGAACTTCCTACCACTCACCCACCATCAGCATATGCGCCTCCATCCCGTCCATTGTTCCCATGTTGACTTGCGCGTGGCTGGACGTACATGATCGGCTAAGAGGGGCGTGATCAAAGAAGAGGCTGCGGAGTGGTGGTCGCGAGGTAATGCGACAGGACTGAGGCGATTTGCTGGATAGTTCCTGTTCTAGGGTAGATCGGGCTTCGGGTCGACATATTGCGAGAGGAAGGCGTGACTCAGAGAACAGGCATCGCCAGTAACTCAGAGAACGGCACGTGCGAGAGAATGGAGGCAAGAGCGTGCGTGAAGTGAGGTGGGCGTCGGTAGATGTTGTTCTGTACTGACCTTACACAGGTAGGAGAGAACTAGGTAGGAGGTACCTGAGTTTTGATGTGAGGTGGGGGAGGGTAAAGTGAGAGTAGTACCTCCTCAGGTAGTAACCAACAGAGGAAGGTACAAGTCGATTCTGAGAGCGATATTCACATGCACGCCCCACTATCTCATTTTCCTTTCACTCACTCACTCACTCATTCACGGACAGGCGCCAGTGTTCCGCTCGTTGCCATACTAGTTTATTTTTACAGTAAGGGAAATCTGGTAGTGGTGGTGCTGCACAGCAAAAAGCGTCGAAAATGGGGCGTCGACCAGCCGCACAGGGACGAATCGTTTACCCACGTTGTGTGCACGAGCGCGGACATAGCCGGCGCTAACTGCGCGCTTCATCTCACTCGAGAAACTGCAACTCTCACGTGCACGGCTGTGATTCTGTGAAGGAGGAGGCAAAGGAGGTACGTGCCTCCTCGCGTCGTTCCGCTTTACTAACCGTGTATCCAGCAGACTCTTCTGTCACCACACCTCACTTGGTGCCATGGAAGGGGAACGGGGAATACTGCCGAGTCTGGCCTACCTGATTCTTGTTGGGTGATGCGGGTAGTCGTGTGGAAGCCAGTTCAGCAGCAGCGCGTGGCATTGGGGAAGGCGATATCTGGTTGACATTCACTTTGTTTGAGCTGCTCAGCCTCAGAGACTGGGTGGGAATGGACCTCCTGTTCCAGTGTCCAAGGGGCGTGTACACTGCGGTCCAAGTCCAAAGGCCTGTGGAAGAGCTGGAGGGAGGAGGACAGGATGGGAAATCAAACCATCGAGCTTACTTGTTTGCTTGCTTGCTCAAGTCATGCTTGTCGAAGTACTGTCTACCAATCTCTGCCTCCTAGTTCCTAGCTCTGGTGTGAAAAGCCGAAGACCCGGATACCAGCTTGAACTGTTTTAATGGCCAAAGACGTGCACCTTACACGCATCATACCATTTGTCTCTCCAAAATCTGGCAATACCCGGGAACACACTGGCCAATACCCCCTCGTTCTCACGCCTACCCCGAGCCTCGTCCATGTCCACCTTGGAAAAAGGCGTTCCTGTTGGAGCCCATGAATATCGGACTTCCTGCGGCGCCTCGTCTAGATCTCCTTTCAGGAGCAAGGCTCTTCTGAAGATGTCGGTGAGCGTGCTGGTAATTTCTGCGCTGAAGTCCGCCGGAACGTTTGCATTGGGCTCCATGCACTGCCGCAGCTGTGCAGTAATAGTGAGCATGAAGGACGACGCCATGCGCTGAGCTTCTGGCTTTACCGTGCCAATGTCAAAGTCGCTATGCATGCGCAACATATCCGCTCCAGACTGGTACATAAGGTACTCCATATTGGCGCATGGGCCAGCTAAGCACAAGTCAGCCATCTGAGTCACTCGATAGCACAGACCTACTCACCTGCTCCCAGACCGGACAAAAGCTCGTTGAAGCTTGCCAGTCTCGCTTGCATCTCCGGCCTCAACATAATATCCCGAGATGTCGTCCAAGGAACCTTCTTCAGAAATACTTCTTCATAAACGGCAGCTCCAATGCAGGCCGAGAGGACATGCTGTAGCTTCATACCCTGCAGCTCTAGCTGTGCTGCTTGCACTCTCCAGGATTCTCCGTCTTTACCCAGAACGCGGCTGTATAGCAGTTCCAGTTCGCGATCTGGAGACGGTACGAAGCTGATATGTTTGTTTTTCAGGCCGAGAGCTTCGACAATGTCATCAGCAGTGGTTCTGATCATCTGCACAAGGTGCTTCACACATATTTCCACGTCATCTGTAGAACGTAGGCCATAGGGATGGTGGCTTGTTGTCGGTACAGGTTGTGATACTAGTGGCGATGCCACCGGCGGCGAGAGGGGTCCAGGTGTTGTAGAAGCCATTGCTGGAACTGGTCCCCCAGAGGATGCAACGGACTGGGCGTTTTGCAGTTGTGCAATGTCGGAGCCACCTTCAATAGTCGCTGATTCCTCCTTCAATACAGCAGAAGCTGATCTGCTGTTCGTCTGTGCTGCTCGTGACGCTTCCGCATCATGCATGGCTATCTGCGGCACATCACTCGATCCATCTTGCGTTGGCATCTCTTGCCTTCCAAAAGCGACTCGGCTTTGGGATCCGAGTCTCAACTTGACTTTCAGGCGCTTTGCGGGTAGATGTCCCTCCTCGTCGATCTCGCCGTTAGGGAATGCTTGTCCCGAAACTCGCTTGGCTCCTACAGCGGGTGACTGGTGACCATCCTCAGACAAGGCTGGAGTAGTACTGATAACCGACAATGATGAGGTCGATGCTGGACTAGCGGAGTCCAGAACGCCAATAGCCCCCAACTCAGGTCTGCTCCTTCTCGACTTTTGGGCAGCAGCTTTGTACTTTGGTCGCGCTTTTGTGCCGCAAGGTGGCATCGACGCATGTCGTCCTGTGCCCGCTTCGCCTGGCAGATGATGAGATTAGAACAAGACCACATCTATGAGTTGGCAGATTTCGCGGCTACAACAATCTGGTCCCAAGGCAAGACTTACCTTTTGTCGCGGCGCCCTTCCTTCGTTTGTTTGATACCGGAGCGTCGTCCTCGCTGCTGTCATCAACCTCAAGCAGACGACGCTTCGATTGTCCCTCTGCTTTCGACGATCGAGCCGGCTGGGCTGACCTGGCCTCAATCTGCATCTCGCTGTCTTTATTGGAAGTGTTGATGGGTTCTGATAGGGTCCCGCCGATATCTTTGGGCATACGAGCGTTGCTGCTGGTGTCACCTTTAGTGGCCGGCTTCTTCAAATATTTTTCGCGCTGAGGCGTGCGCAGTGTGTTCATTGGGCTCTCGGCAAACACGTCCACGCCTACGTAGCCATTCGAGCTGGGCAGCAAGAATAGGCGCAGTAATTCTCTGAGCTCATGTGCTGTTGGCGTCCGAGTTTCAGGCTCCTGAGTTGAACTGCTCTTGATGGTGAGCTTGACATCCTCCCTCTCAATCAGGTCGGCCAGCCTTTTCAGCTGCGACAGTCTGTCGACATATTGGGTTACTCGAGTTTCTTCGTCGTTCAAGTCCCAAAAGACAACATTCAACGCGTGCTCGCGGTGATCATCTCTGATGACGGGCATTCTGGCTTCACACTTCGCGGTAGCGTCCTTGTCAGTTTGCGTGGGTTGGTTTGGTATCAATCTTGCCAGAATCGAGATGTTGGCGAGATGTGAGGTGCGGTAAGCGAAGTGCAAGAAGTGAAGTGCAAGAAAGTGGGTGTAACTTGAGTGTTCTCAGAATCACTTGTGACGTTCAGGTATCTTGGAGGTTCAGTGTTGATGTCAACAGGCAGCAAACAAAACACCCTTCATGCAGCTACGCATTTTGGCATGACAACACAGCTTCACCTCGACATAACAACGCAGCTTGACTGCGCCTCGGACTCAAGCAAAACGTTGCCACCTCCGCCAGCGACGACTCAGAGAACACCAGAATGGCGGAAGCACGGTTGCTGCCAGACGCTCCCCAAAAGCCTACCAAGACAGTGCACATCTCGATCGACTACGGCACAACGAAAATCGCGGTAGCATTCTGGATTGGAGTGCCTGGGACTCAGCCTCTGGACACAGAAATCGCCGACGTGAAATTCCCAGGTGATGCTACTTCGCCTCAGAAACTGGCGTTCAAGAACGGAAAGTGCCACCAAGGCCACGAGCTGGAGGAGATGTTGCGAAAGGGAAAGCTCAAGCAAGAAGACGTGATTGACTACTTGAAGGTGCTCTTTTACAAGAGTCATGAATCTTCGGATTTTGCTGAACGAGCGCTTTTGCAGCTCCGGCAGCATGCACATATTCTCGAGCTGGGCGAGGATGCGCCCGTAGACGAATTGAAGATCCAGGCTCTTGCTATGCAGCTTAAGTGCTTGATGCGTGGTGTGGAACAAGCTATCGAGAACGATGGCGAGCAACATTTTCGACATACCAGGGAGGAGATTCGAGCCTGCCCTCGAAGAATCTTCATCAGTGTACCAGGAATGTGGACACCAGCTGGGAACCGCTGTATGAGTGAGGCTGCCAAGAAGGCAGGTCTAGCTCAAGTTGATCTTGTTTGGGAACCTCAAGCTGCAGCCGCATACTGGCTCCAGAAGACCAAAGTATCCGGCGAGGGCATCTACAGAGCAGGCGATATGATCCAGATTCTCGATGCCGGCGGCGGAACCAGTGATACAATTGCGTACGAAGTGCAAGTTGACGACAGCGTGGGGGAGAGCGATGATGGTGGCTATGGTGGAGCACTGAAGTTGGTGTCCATGGGCAATGCCAATGGTGCACTCGCGGGCTCAGAGTTCATCAACCAGGAATTCCTACGGTGGGTGGTACGACGAATCAACCTGGAACATTTGACTGCGCATTATCCTGGTGGTATAGCCGCCGTGTCTACGCATCTGGGCCTGACAGACGCGGCTGTGCGTAGACTCGCCCAAGCAGACTTCAATGGAGTAGGTGGTGACTATGCTCACGAGATTCGAAATATCTATGCATCTGGCCTGGACAGATTACTGGAGAACATGGACATAAGCAAAGCTGAATTTGTGGACCATGCCAATACGAATTTCAGACAACTGAAGCATAGGCTCAACAAGCATGACTTTGAGGCCGGATCTCGAGCAGTACATAAGGTTCTCATCGACGGTGCGAACAATCAGACAGCAGCGATAGAAGACTACAAAGTGAGATTGAAAAGGTAAGTAGGTAGGTTCGTGCATGATCCTGAGAGCGAGTAAGCCAAGAGAGGTCGACAAGAGGCAGCCTGACAGAGTGTTGAATACGGTACTAATCAAATCTGCAGAGACGAGATCTTCGGTTTCTTCGAGCCTGTTTTGGCAAAGAATTTCGATCTGGTCCGGCAAAGTCTGGAGACCAACTCCAACATCAAGACGATAATAGTGATTGGTGGTCTTCGACACTCCGACTACTTCATGTCGCAACTGGCCCAGCAGTTCCCCCAAGTTACCATCATCGGTGCGACAAACTCTGCCGTCGGTCAACCACAGCCAGTCTCCCGCGGGGCCTTGTGGGCATTTGGCATTGCAGAAGCACAGGACTTGCCCGCTACGGACACGTATGGCATCTCAGAAGACCAGCCCTACAATCGGGCCATTCACACCGATCTTGCACCTGGCGAGACCGTCCCCGGCACATTTGAGCCTCACGTCGAGTACGCCCCGCAGCGATGGAAGACGATTGTTGCTTCTGGAAGACGCTCCGAGAGAACCTCGATCTGGCAGCAGCGACTTGTTTTCAAAGATGAAGAGGTCAGTGAGATAGATTCTAGATGTTTCCAGTATACCAAAACTGTGCTAAGAGCATGTACTAACATTTTTTAACATAGGATCTTCACCTGCAAATCTACTGGTCAGCGGTCAAGCGAGAGGAGGACAGTGCCATCTTGGTCGCCCAAGATAGCGATGTTACTGTTCCTGGTGTGGAAAAGTGGGCGCTTCTAGTCGGAGTATTGCCCAACTTACAACAATGTGGCTTCAAGCTACAATATCCCAAATCCGAGCAGACAAAGCAGACAAGACAGACCAGACAGAGCAAGCGGGCTGTTGCCGAAGAGGACGAGGAATACACCGAAGGATCCAGCAAATCAACCTCCAAGCGCAAGCTCCGAACCCGTGCGAATGCCGGAAAATCAGGTAAGTCTCCCGCTCCGAGCCTACAAGACAGAGATTCACTACCTATACTAACCAATATAATTAAAATAACCCAGGTCCCAAACAAGCAAAAGGCACTCCAATCCGCGCCTCCCACTGCACAAATTGCAAATCCAACATCCCTCAAACCGGCGTCTGCACCACCTGCCAGGAAAGCGCACGCTACGAAGTCTGGTATCGAGTCATCATTTCCGCTTCAGGGGCAAATGTCGCTGTCAGATGGGAAATGATGGCGAATCCTTCCCTGTCGAATGAGAAGGATTTGGCAGAGGAGAATTTCGATGAGGGAGAGGATTTGTTTGTGCTTTATGAGGATGCTATTGTGGATAAGAGTTTTAATCCGAATCCGTTGGCGTAGGGAGGGCAGGATAGCATAAATGAGGTAAGGGGATGGGAAGATGTGGGATGTTGGTGTGGAGAGCTAAGGTATCAATGGGGGGCTTTTTTTTCTTTTTGAAACTCTGTTGCCCTCTGTAAGGGCCGCCGGAGAGAGAGAGAGAGAGGAGAGAGCTATACAGTGGGGTCTGGGAAAAGGCAGCACCGGCATGATATCTTTGCTCACTCAGGCTATAGCCATCGTGCCATTTATCCCTCGTACTATCTTACAACTTCTTGTCCCGACAAGTAGTCGGCTTGCTTTTGTATTGAGTGAAGAGTAATGTAACCAGGTGCATTGTCTAGGTGACGATATCTTCCACGCCATCGTCAAATTCGAAGTGATGTGCTCTGCGCAGTGCAGCCGCATGATTATCTACTATTCGTGTTATGGAGATTGTGGCAGTAGTCTCTAAAACACGAGTAGGTATAGCTTTCCCCATTTCGTCTCTTCTAGGTTGCCAGTCCGCACTGTTTACGCCTTCTTCGTGCATGCGGTTTGTCCGTCTCTGAAGCTGCCATCCGCGTACTGGTTTACGCTTTCTTCGTGCAGCCGTCTCTTAAGCCACCCGGAACATCAGAGTCCTAGGACGCCAGGCACTCTGAATGGCAGTGCAGAGGTGGGGCGGAACAGGTTGGCGGCTGGGCGCTGTAATGGATACCAATTTTATCCTGTAGCGTCCCACAAGCATAGAGATGCTCTTCTCGAACAGGTGCATGTGCCAGCGCCGAGGCCAGGGCACACCAGATCCACAGACGTTCTCATCCTCTCATATTTCCAGTGACTGCTGTTGCTGCTATGAGTAATATTCTCAGCCCTCTCATGAGTCCAGTGGCTGCTGCTGCTTAAACGGATCCGGTCCAGCAGAATCCAGCAAAGAAACCTCTGTCCCATCTTCCAAAGTCAAGCTCCAATCCGTAGTCTCAAACTATCAATTGACACAAAAAAAACTCATCAGCTTGATCTCTCATCTCTCCAATCCAAAATAGAACAAGAAAAATCATAAACTCACCAACCCCATCCTACTCTTCCTCACACTCCTAAACCTCATCAAACCCTTCACGCCTCGACTCCCTTTAACCCAAAATCGAATATCAATTCTGCCCTGCATCTGATTCAACTCGCCCCGAATCCACGGAATCTGACTCGCAAAATACACCTCATCGCCCAGCACCTCTCGGACCGTAGGATTCGTGCGTAAAGCATATAACGTAGAACTCACAACCGAGGAGCTCTGTTTCTGATAATTGAAAATCGCCAAGCAGGATCCGATCATGATGACGGCGAATATGGGAAGCGATTTGAGCCATTTGCTGCTGGAGTTTTCGAGGGAAGGGAGCGCGCGGTCGGAGCGCCGGGTGAGGAGGGGCCCGCTGCCGGGTTTGGGGGCGGCGATGTATGTTCTGCTGATGCTTTTGGGGGTAAGGGATTGGCGAGGGAGGAGGAAGCAGGGTTGGCGGAGGGGGGAGAGGAGGAGGCGTGGGCGGGAGAGCAGCATGGTTGCGTTGAGATCGGATGGCGTTGTGGTTGGTGGTATTGTTTCCATGGAACGAAGTCTGAGAGTTGAGTGTTCTGCTGAATCAGCAGATTGAGAGCTGAAGGAACTGAAATGCCTCAGGCTGCAGGCTAGGTACCTGAGTCAGGAAATGATTACTAAGCTTTCGAGTGTCCTTTTCACTGTGTCCTCCCGCTTGATACTGATACTGGGGATGATAGCGGGAGATCAGTGATGCAGAACTACCTATATTGGTGTGTGTGTGTGTGTGTGAGAGAGAGAGAGAGGTTCGTCGAAATCCTCGTACGCATCATGGAAAATGCTCGTTGAGGAATTTTTATACATGCATGGTACACCTCAAAAACCTCAATGCTCGTAATGGCGAGGTGTCAAATACAAAAACGCCAACGCTAGAAACGCTCACTTGTTGTTGCTTCTCCAAGCAATTTTTATCCGCAGCGCACCTCGCTCCAACCAACGTTACGCCATTTTTCCAGTTCCCTCTACCTGACCTTGCGCCAGTCCAGTAGTCGTATTCTCTTTCTATCATCTACATGCCTCTGAGTGTTGTGTGAGGCAACCTAGGCCGGTGAAGATACCGAATCTAGGCAAAAGAATTTGCAACTGTCCTCGAGACCGCTCCATGTCAGAGCTCTGTGGAGGGGTGTGTACGCGGTATGCACGTGGCGTGTTCTGTATGCTGCATCCCACGTTCGCAGGAACGGGAGCACAAATATAGCTCGCAGCAGACAACTTCTGGCCCTCCACAGAATTCTCTTGCGTCGCACGTTAGGTTGAGCGGTGTCACCCAACCATGTCGATCATTTCCTCGCCGTCAATGCAAACAACTTGGGCGACATCGTCGGACGGCTCGACCATCTTCCAGCAAGTGCGCTGTAACGCTTTTTGTTTCAGGTCGTCGTATACTTCGTACAGGTATTGTCGCGATGCGACACAGCGCAATTCCCGCCGGTACAGCAGCGAGGCGTAGTCGTAGCGCTCGTCGCAAACAACTGGCGCTGATTTCCAGTCGAGGTGCATGTCCTTGCCAAATACATCTCTGCACACGCGACGTCGATAGGAGGCGTGTCTCGCTTCGTGTTGTAGATCTGGAGGAGCGTCGGGCATCAACAATCCCACATGAAAGCGGGTTCGCGTGGTTTGTGAAGTGTCGCTTGACTGTGTCGATGACTGCGTAGACGTCGAGTTTCTTCTTGTTCTCGTCATTTGTTTTTGTTCTTGGTGTCGTGTTACCAGTGGTGGGGGTGGTGACTCAGACAAGGCCAGACCCGTGTCGTGTCTTTTCAGTGTGTGTTGTGAAGTCGACATCGGAGACGTCAAGACCGGTAGAGCCATGTTGTTGATGTTCTTGAAGGCGACTGTGACGTTGTTGAAGTCGAGAGTCGAAGTGTGTTCGTGTTGGTGGCAGCAAGTGATATAACCCGTGCAGACCCCCGTGGGGTAAAAGTCGACGTGTGCATGTGAGAGCCAAGACGCCTAGTGCCCTCTGTGGGCCATCTCCGGTGTCCGGAGCAAGTGGATCCTGGCAATCAGCGGACTCGCACAAAGAAACCACGGCGCATTTTTCACGATGACCGGTGGAGAATGCAGATGTTTGTGGATGCAAGCCATACGACTCGTCCACCTGACTGCGGGCACTGCTTCATCCAATGGTGTCGATGGCATCAATCGAACGACGAAATTGCCGGTTTTCGCCTTCACCAAAGCTGCTCAGGTCGCGTACCATTCGTTCGTATTGGGCGGCTTTCTTAGCCGCCATGTCAACTGCCGAGATGGTCATGTCGACTTCGTCCGTATGGAATACTTGAAAATCCTTCCACGCACGTGACTTTCTCTCTCGCTTCATTTCGTTGACAATGTCGCCGTAGATCTTGGGATGGCTCATTCGTAGACATCTGCTCTGCCTGGTCTCCTGCGGCATGGGCATCATCATCGCCTCGATTTGAGGGTCGGATACTCGTTTGCATGGCGGCAGTCTGGATATACTCGCGTTGGAAGCAGTGCTGCATCGTGACGCTTGTGATTTGCTGCTGCCCTGCCGAGAGACTTTTCGGTGCTTCCTTGGCGATCTCGCGCACTCGTCTTGATCGAACTCGGCGTTGCTTTTGCTCCTGCTGAAGCAAGCGATTCCCTTCATGTTCGCAAAAATACCGTTGGACCTGTAGTTGCAGGACGGCTGCTGACGGGGGCGTCTGTTATTATTATGATTATTATTGAACGCGCTTCGACGCTCGAGCACTTGTTATGACGTTGATTGCCGTCCGTTCCAAAGGGGCTCTACAACAGCCAAGGCTGAGCGGGTGAGTGTGTTGGATTATTGGAACGTGCGCAGTCTCGGTGGGGTAGGGCTATGCTGGCGGGCTGTGTCCTGCGACCTGCGTGTGACCGTAACCGCGCCGCCTGGTGAAGGAGGGTGTGTCGGAGGGTGGTGCACCGAACAAGAGAGAGAGAGAGAAGGTAGACCGGTCCTCGATCGTCGTCGTCGTCGTCGTCAGAGCTGTGGTATGCGCAAGGCAGAGCAGCAAGCAGCTCGCGCTGGGCAAGTGGAGGGATAATAAGAATGGAAGCCGTTCGAGGATGCCAGGCAGGGTGGAACGAGCTTCCATGCAAGCCAAGCGGCCAGTCGTGGTCTTGTTAAGAAAAGCGAGAACTCTAAGGCAGGGCTGGTGCCGATACACCCGCAGATGCACTATCAGCAAAGACTGTCTTGACAACATGCGCCTCTCCGATTCGTGGGCGGCCTCGATATCCAACGACCGATGGGCCGCCTTCCTTTTGGGACACTTTCATTGCCTACCGTACCAAGCACAGTGAGAAGGCTTGGCCCTGCTAACAATGGAGACCTCACCTCAATGACTTTCTTGGTATGCATTGCGGACTGTGGTACGCCCCCAGTGGTTGCACGGTCACACCCATCATCTCACCGACGATATACCAGTAGAAGCATTGCTATTGCGACCGGAAACCTCGTTTTCGCGGGGTCTCACTGAACACACGTCCGGCGAGATCGGAATGTGGCGTTGCCGCCGCGCTCGACAGGCTAATAGCCTAATGGCGACACGCCCGACAGCAACGAGCACGATAGCCAACAAAAAGATTGGAGATCCCTACTAGTAAGCAACCAGGTACGTATGCGCACCCCACGTCTACACGTCTCACAACACTCGCATCCTCTCAACTCATGTGGTGGAAGTTATGCACGAGGCTGCCGCTACGGCCAGGTGTTGGCCGCATTTGAATGTAACACAACTTTCCGGCGATGCTAACTCAATTTTCGCGAGACTAGGAGGTCAGGTAGGTATCTACACGTATACTATGTACTGGCTAGTGGCTACTGCATTGGTGGTGGGTTGGTGGGTTGGCACCAGCGGCGGCGCAATCTGTGAGAACAGCAGCATCAAATCAGTTCGCACGTTCTCTCGATCTTCACCCACGCACGCAATCAATCGTTCTAACGTTTCGACTAGGAGGTAAGTTACCGTACGGACGATTCATAAGCAGCAGCTCTTGAAGTCTTTTCTTTTTTATCGCCTTTATCCGCCCCGATTTCCGCAACACACGGCACGCCTCTAGTCTAGCAACGCGCGTTGCGTGTGAACAAGACATCTCGTGGCATGACGTGCAGAGCACCGATCATCAATCAAATCAATCAGGATCGCCGTTCGCCAACACATGCGGATCAACTTTTAGGGGCGGAGAGTATTGAGAGTGCAGCTGGCCCTTGCACTCATTGCTGCAAGCTTGCAACGTCACGAGCAATAATCATCTGTTGTGAGATGGCGGCAGTTCATGCACGTCACGAGAAGTGAGCGGTCCACAGTAGTCAATAGATATAACCACAACAACCCTTTGCGTTCGACATCAATCACCATGTCCTGTCAGCCGCTAGGGTTTGTGTTCGGGGGCATCCACGTGAATGTTGTTGGTCGTCTTCTTCACGGGGCTCTCTTTCTGCGAATCGTACACCTGGTCGCCCAGGTTAGCCTGGAGCTCTCTGTATAGGTACCTACAATGTAGATGTCAGGATCGTGTGACCTACAGGAAGATGTTCTCCCGCGTGTACTGCGGTTGATCCGGATCGTCAGAAACGTTCTCAACCAGGAAGCGCTTCTTCACCGTTTTCAGAAAGTGCATGTCGGCGCGTCGTCTCCGCTTGAAGCAGAAGTAGCACACCGTATTCGGACCAATGAGATCCTGGAGCGTCTGTTGGAGCAATTCAAAGGCGGGCTCGAAATATACGCAGTCTGCAGCCAGCACAATGTCGGGGTGCTGTGGGATGGCATCTGGCGCCGCAGTGCCCCACTCGTAGACGGTGGCTTTCACTCTGTCGCCGAGGTCATTCAGCGCGATATTCTGTTCCATCAGAGCGAGCATCGTGTCCATATCGGTGATGTGAACAGCAGCACTCGGTTGACATCCCACGGCCACGGCCAACCTACAGCAGTCAATACGCGCGACCCAGCCCAAAGAGACTATATGTAGACCCTTGGTAGGAGGTAGGTAGAGCTCTCTTACCCAACCAGTCCGCCTCCAGCTCCCAATTCCACACTTTAATCAACGGCGCGTCAGCTCAAATTGTGAAGATGCGAATTGCACAAATTGTGGGGTAGTGATGGCTACCAACATTGAAGAGGCCTTTTGCAGCTCGTCTTGCTTCTTTCGCAGGACATATTTGGCCAGTATCATACCCGCAGGCCACGCTTGACCACCATTGCCTTTGGCCAGGTCCTCGTGGAGGAGCAGGGGAGGCGTGAGGAGGCCATCGAAATCCACAGACTTGGTGGCTTTTGGTTTGTGAGTGGGCGAAGTGACCAGGTCTTCGGAGAGGCCAAAGTCGCCTAGATCCGACATGATTTCGACACTGGCTTACTGCACAATCGGTAGTAGTGGTACAGTAGTAGTAGGTAGTCTGTACGTTCGCTTGTGCCTCAGGGGGGTCATCCACTACGAGGGTCGTTCGTCTCGTACACGGTACACTGGAAGAAATGCGATCAAATTTGCCAAAGTTTGGGGCTTGATTTGATAGAGTTTGACCACCGGCTCGCAGTCCAGTTATCCACGGACTCCACGCTGGGCACGCGCTGGGCAACGTGCTTGGGTCATTCAAGCCTTGGTGGGCTTGTGACTTGTCTCCTGGCTCGGTGCTCCTGGCCAGAATATGGACAATTAAGGTATTCTATCAACTTCTATACTGGTCTACTAAGCTCTGCAGTGTCTGCACCAAGTCACCAACAAATTCGATAGCGGCCCGGTTCGCTATTTGCAGCTGGACGCGCAAAAGTGGTGGCCATCCTGTTCTCACATCTCACTGCTCTGCTCAAGCGCCCGGAACGGACTGGATACACGCCGGCGGTCATCGTCCGGTCGCCCGGCAAGTGCAGGCAACTGAACTAGGAGAGATAGTTACCTGGTATTAAGACAGTGCGAGAGCCGCGGAGGGCGTACAACGAATAGTCGAATAATATACCAAACTAGAGCGCCAGCCGCCCTGCGATTTGTTTCACCGAGTCTCTGGCAGACTAGCACAAACAACATTCACAACCTAGCCCGCCGCATGCCGGTACTACAGTGTATGCTAAAATAATATCAGAAAAATCGCGCAGCCAAGGGTCCGTCTCCCCAGCCAGCCAGCCCGCCAGCCAGCCAACCAGCCCAGCCCAGCCCAGCGCTGGTCTGACGCCAGCATCATCACCATCACCATCATCATCACCAATACGATCATGCGACCATACGAAGATACGAGAGAGAGAGAGAGAGAGAGACAAGTAAATCAACACATAATAATCAACGAACAGATCGATCGGAGCGTAGTCAGGGTAATCACTCAGGAGACATGATATGTCACGTCGCTCGAGCTCCCTAGAACTACCACAGTAATCTGCCAGCACCCCATGAGCTCGGAAGTCCCTATGGCGAAGTTATCCCAGTGTTGTGGTACAGTACCGGTACAGACGTATCATGAACTTTGGAGGATATTTTTGACATGTTGTTGTATTGGTGTGCTTCCTCTCATAGCATAGATTTGGCTCATGAGTAGCGACGACTTGGATAAATGTTCAAGGTGATGAGTAGATCATCAGTTACGGTAGGTGGACGATGCGCGTAGCCGGACCACCAGAACTAGTAGTACTGGTTCTAAGAGGTGGCGGGCGTAACTATTCTATCCCTTGCTTCGCGGTACAAGACATTCTTCATTCATTCTTTTCGAAAGCCACACCCAGCAAGGAATCACCGTTCAGTATGGCCACTTTACGCGTCAGGCGCGCAGTATGCGCGTGTCTGGAAGGTGAAGCTCCTTTGCGAATTTGGGACTATGTCTCTTGGTCTCTTTGCCTTCTGCCAGAAAGCCAGAATCGCCATCGAAGAAGGACGGACTTCTGCCAACGACCGTCCGCAAAAGTGCTGGATTGACCAGGGCGGAAGTACAAACGTCTCGACGCAGGAAGATCGAATATGGCACTTCGGGTTGCGCGAACGCTCGCAAGGATTTCATGCACCTTATACGCCCTCTTCACCATCGCTGGCGCCGTTCCGAACGCGGCCTTCCCATTCAATTCGCAAGTCCCGGCGGTTGCACGCGTTGGCCAGCAATACAGCTTTCGAATCTCGGACTCGACGTTCGCGCCGGATCCCACAGCCTATGTGTATACGATCTCGAATCAGCCAGCATGGCTCACGATTGATAGCTCGACAAGGACGCTGCAAGGCACGCCAGGAGCAAGCGATGCTGGCTCGACAACCTTCGTTCTGACCGCAGCCGACAGCTCTGGTAATGCTCAAATGTCATGCACATTGGTCGTCTCTGCAGATCCTGCACCACAACCTTTAGGAGACATTATCACCAAACAACTTTCCGCCACTGCAAATCTATCCAGTAGCCAGCCTCCGACCCTCACCCTTCTACCCTCCACGCGCTTCACATTCGACTTTGGTCAGGATTCCTTTATAGATGTCCTACAGCGGAAACTCTACTATTATGCTACACTGGACGATCATACTCCTTTGCCCTCCTGGATGAAATTTGACCCGGACTTGCTCACCTTCTCTGGGACAGCGCCCGATCTCGCTTCTTTCCCACAGTCTTGGGTGATCAGTCTGATCGCATCAGATGTGCCTGGCTTCTCCGCGAACTCGGCCTCCTTCACCATGACCATTGGCACGCAACAATTAGTGTTCGTGCCGGAAGAGCAGGAGCTGAGCATTACAGCTAGAAAACTTGTCAATATCACAGTATTGCAAAACGAGCTCTTCAGAAACAACGTGAATCTTGATTCAGGAGAACTGAAGAGTGCAGAGGCAGATATACCTTCCTGGTTGACATTTGACCCTTCAACGCTCGCCATTGAGGGTACAGCACCTGCAAATTTCCAAGCAGAGAACGTCACAATCACAGTCACGGATAAGCTTGGAAATGCAGCGACCGCCATAATCACTCTTGTGCCTGGTGACTCGTCGATGTTCCACGGACAGATTGGGACACTCTCTGCGCAGGCCGGTAAGAAGTTTGAATATCACTTCGATGACTCGCTCTTCACTCAGAAGGATCTCAATCTGAGCGTGCATGTGCCTTCCACCGCCAGCTGGCTCACCTACGACGCCACGACTCAAGATTTGACTGGCATTCCGCCCACAAAATCTCAGGCTTCTACTGTTCGTGCAACTCTGGTCGCGAAGAGTGCAAGCGATCAGCAGGGACAGGCTCAGTCATTTATCATCCGCATCAAAGCCGCCACCACAGTTTCAATCGCCTCGAAGATTCCTCCAGGTCCAACGAGCACGTCTACTCCAAGCCCTGTAGCATATGAATCTCGTGGCAGCAATGGACCCAGAATCAGTGGCGGAATGATCGCAGCCATTGTCATTCTCTCGATCCTTGGTGCCATTCTGTTATTGCTGACTCTATTCTGGTGTTGTCGACGAAAGCGACGCCACGACTCCTATGTCGAAAAGTCTCCTAGAACGAAGACCATTTCTCGACCAATCCAAGCACCACAAGGCGATGACACCGTGGTGGTCACGACTATCGACCAAGACGTGGAAAAAGATGCTGGCCTCGATCGTGTCGACTCACACTTGGAACCACCAACGCCACTAAGGGCGTTCGACCCACCGCCTCAGATAGTGTTGGATGGCATTCCGGAGCGTCGCTCACGATTCCTCAAACGCTTCTCGCGTATAAGCCAGGCTTCCTCTCTGGGAATGGGAGAGGAAGCTATCAGGGGAGACGAGAATATACCAGAATGGGGCACGGAGCCAACACCCTTGCACACGCCGCATGATAGCTTCTCTGTTCCTACAGAAATGGCAAGAAGAAGCACACAATGGAGTGATGGAAGTCCAAGCAAAAGAGCTCATGCTTTGCAGAAAATGCGTGCACATGGCAGACACCACAGCAACGTCAGCTTCAAGCGTCTCAGCGTCGGCCTGGGCATAGGAGCAGCTGCTGGAAACTCCGCTACCCCTGCAGGAGTGGCACATCACAGCTCAAGAAATGGTAGAGGGAGAAATCGAAAAACCAAGAGCATTTTGGGTCTCCCGACGACGCGAGAGACAAGTGTGGGAGGCTCGTTGAGGACCACTCGAACCAGTATCCTTTCGACCACGCCATCCGACTTTCCAGAACCAGGCCCATCGAGATACTCCAACCCCATATCTCCTCCTATGCTCTCCACCATCGCAGCGAGCATGACGCTCGATCCCAAACGAAAGAGTATACGCATGGTAGGGCGCAGCGACAGCATACGTGCCCCTGGCGATGACAGCAGACCCGACAACCGACCTCTCGACAAGAAGCGTGAGAGTTTTATCAGAAATCGCCACCGAAGCGGACACATGCAGAGTCCTCTCTTCTCCTCACACGGCAGTCGCTCCGGCTCGGCCAGCCTACAACGCAACGGCTCGCAGTCCATCGAAGCCAGTTTGGCAGGAAGCGTGCGTCGTGCGAAAAGAGGCACACCGTCTGGCTGGGGAAGCAAAAGTGCATTGCCCAGCCAAAATACCCTTTTAACCAAATACTCCGAATCCTCTTCCCTCGAACCTCACGGACACATGGACTCTCCGCATCGTGATTCTCGCCGCTTCAGTCAACGACTTCGAAATACTTTCGTGCCGGGATTCCCTCGTGCTATCACCCGCTCTACCCTCTTCGACAACCATGACGACGACCGCATCGACGAAGACGACGGGGATAGTCCTCGTCATAGTAATCATCATCATCACCATCATCACCACCACACCAACAACAGCAGCATCTGGACCACCAGCGCCAGCAACAACACCTCCCCTAGCGATGGCTGGCTGGTCGAAGAACTCAGCAAACCCCGTGCAGAACGCGACTGGGTTCTTCCGGACGAATCTAGCCCGATTGTTCTCACAGCTGCTCCACCGCCTAGTCTTGCACCTACGAGCAGAGCGTCTACGCCTCTTGAAGGAGCTGAAAGTGCCAAGTCGGGACAGAATTGGAGAAGAAGTAGAAGAAGAAGCCGCGCGGACGAACGGGATATTTCTACTTCTTCTCCTTTATCACAGCCTCGTCATCCTCATCCTCCTCTCCAATCTATCAACGCTTCTTCGGCTATTTCTGCTGATACAACAGCCGGAAGTGAACGAGACAAACGAGGACAAGAACAAGAACAACGACAAGGATATTCTCTCTGGGTCACCGACGGCGAAAGCGAAAGCGAAAGCGATGAAGAAGAAGATGAACAAGAAAAACTCCACGGCGCAGGACTAATTCCTCCTTTGGGGGGAAGTTATCATGATGATGAAAGTGAAAGATCAACAGGAAAAGGAGATACGGCGAGGAGTGATTGGACGGGGAGAGCGTTTTTGTAAGGTCGTAGTTTATTTATCTAGAGATGAGGATGAGGATGAGGATGGAAAGTTTGGAAAAAGGGGGTGGTGGGAGGATCAAGGGGGGAAAGGGGAAGGGGAGAGGGAGGATGGTGCTTGGTGGTTGGTTACCTACCTAACCTGTACCTCTCTCCCTCTTATACCTTATGAAATGAGGTATATGAGTATGATAATGAGTATGAATATGAATATCTATGAAAATGTCTCGCTCGCTAGTTGTACAGTACAAGTACAGTCTGCTTGGTTTTTTTTGCTTCTGTACGTAGGTAGGTAGGTATAGGGAAGGCAAGCAAAGTGCCCACGGGCAGCCGCCGGAGACCTATGTACTTACTGCTGTTGCTGTTACTGTCAATGCTGTTGGTTTGTTTCACTCCCTAACTACGTGTACTTACATTTGCAAGATTCGGCACCTCGCGCTTACAGGGAGACACTATATCTCCCCAGTTCTGTAATGGAAGATGGCGCTCGTACGTGTAGGGTACCATCCTCATCATCTCCTCTCCATGGATAGAATCAAAGAATAGGGTAGGTAAGTACTCAGTTTGGCAGTTTAAAACAATGTAACGAATGTCAAAAAAAAAAGAAAAAAAAAAGACATTGCTGAGATTGTCTAAAAGCTTTTGTTTTTGCAATTGTCATTTCTCATAGAGGCTCATCGAGAATTCCTCTTTCCAATCTAATCCAAAAACTTCATCAATCTACTGAATAGCAGCCAAAATAGCCTCTCCAATCGGACCTGCCGAAGCCGGGTTCTGGCCCGTAATCAACTTGCCACCCTTTCCGCTCGCAACGACCTTGGGAGCCCATGGCTCCGACGACTTGACGTACTTTCCGCCACGAGCACCCAATTCCGTCTCCAGCATAAACGGCATGACAGAAGAAAGTTGGACTTGATCCTCCTCGGTGTTGGTGAAGCCTGTCACTTCTTGCCCGGCAACCAAGTAGCTTCCGTCGGAAAGTTTGGCGTTGACGAGGGCGGCAGGTCCGTGGCAGACGGCAGAGACGACTTTGCCGGATTCGTAGAATTCTTGGATGATTTGGTGCGAGGTGGCGTCGGTTGCGAGGTCGAACATGGCTAGAATTTAACAATATCATCGTTAGTATATACATTACTGTATCAAACCTGATGACGGAGTTCCCCAAATGAGGTGTTGTCTGTCTATGTACTCACGTCCGTGACCACCAACGTAAAAAATGGCATCAAAGCTATCCGCTTTCCCAACGAAGTCACTCAGCTTCTGTGTGTTTGTCCATAGTGCCTCCTTCTCCTTCAAGAACTTGACGGATTCCGCATCTTCCTTGGTGGCCTCGACGGAGGAGGGATCGAGGGGTGCGGCTCCGCCGTTGGGCGAGGCGATGACGATTTCGGCTTTGCCCTCGAGCTTGTAGTAAGGGTGGGCGAACTCGGGCAGATACCATCCCGTGGGCTTGCCGGTGTTGCCCATCTTGTCGTGGCTGGTGAGGACGAAGAGTACGCGAGGTGCCATGATTGGTGGTAGTGGTGGTGTCGTAGCTGTGGAGTGGAAAAAGTTGGTGATTGGAGAGGAGGTTGGTATCGATACTGTAGTCTTGTTCAATTGAGTGAGATGTAGATATATAGGTAGATTGAGGAATAGTGAAGCTGATGGTTCTTGTACGGGAGCCCTAAGTAGACCTAAGCAACGGGTTTTCTTCGCCCTACGTCACTCGGGGCGTTATATGCAGACAGTCAGTTTGTAGGCGTCTAGGCGTTGGCTCCGGTCCCTCGCCATGGACCACAATTATCATTATTAATCTCACTAAGACACTGCTGGTCTGATGTGGATGGTGTTGTCCTTGGCTTGTTGATCCCGTCGAAGGTTCCAGCAGACAACCTTTCCTGGGGTAACGACGTAACTATACGAACTATACTGTATGCGGATGCCGGAGCGCGGAAAAGTTTGGAGCCATCGACCACGACCTCAGTGACTTCACTTCCATTTTCTACACTTCTACTATCCGGCCCCGGAAGTGCGGATGCTATGGGGAACGACATGACTCGCGACTCTGGGAAGCCAAGACCGGGAACATAATAGAAACATGTCATACAGCTCGAAAAGATTTCATTCTCCTTGGCCATTAATGTCTTGTCCGATATGGCTTTTGGTACAGAATTCTGCAGCAGCTATAGCAAGAACCTTCAAAGCATGCTGTAAAGCTATGAGACAGTGAACAGGATCTCTTGAACATATGGAAACCTGAATAGATAAATTCAAAGGTCAACATACTGTGCTAGCATCATTCATTCCCCAATATCCAGAGTCAGTCATCCATTGTCGTTTACTGCTTGACCCGTCCAGCTACACTTCTCTCCCCTGCCCCCCAAAAAGCTCCAGTCTGTCGTAAATCGTGATCCCTTCCTGCTCGAACACATATTCTCCATCCTTGGCTGGCTGACTCGCAAAACCAAAATCTCCTAGCCACCCGTACCATTATCCCCGATTGCCCATTCCCGCAGCTACCCCAGCTACCCTCTTCCCGCAGCTAGAGGATCCGAATATCCTCGCGGCATCCTTCTTCTCTTGCCGAACAATAACATCCTTCCACAAACGAATGTACACTTGAGGTTCGGCTGTTTGCTGTTGCTGTTGCTGCGGCGAGCTTTCTTCTATTTTCGTGTCGAGGATGGTGTCCATCAGCTTCTCATCGTCATCTTCGTCGTGTTCTCCAGATGACGATGATGATGATGCAGCCATACAAGGGAAGGGAGAGAGTGAGGGAGCGAAAGAGGTAGATGTAGCAGTAGTATCCACCAAAGGAGGCCGAGGATCTACCGCTTCAGGTTCCCTCCCAAAAGAAGAATCCTGCATCGTCGTCGTCGTCTTCGTCTTCTGACACTCTAGTGGTGGAAGTCCTGAATGGTCTCTCTCTCTACTGCTGCTCCTCCTCCTCCTCCTCATCCGACCACTATCAACATCATTCTGATCTGTATTATCAGTACTACCTCCATCACTACTAAGCTGTCCTAACAGCTCCAGAGCCCGATGGCCCGGGTTGATGAGCGATGGTAGTGGATTAGACTGCAGTCCGAGTGGACTGTTGCTTCTCCTTCTAACAGCAGGTCGTCGAGCTAGTTGGTATTTAGCGGACATGTTCATCTCGTAGATTGGAAGCTCGGTAGGAAGAAGAGGAGGAGGCGATGGAACAATCCTTTGAACCCAAATCACAGAACCCCTTTCTTCTTCTTCTTCATTATCGTTATCATGATCGTAGTCATCGCTCTTGAGGAAGTCTCGCATTGAAATGCGATATTTCTTCTTAGTGGTGGTTTTGGGGGTGTTCTTGTTGCCCCAAGATGGGAGAGGAGGAGGAGGAGGTTGATTTGAGATCCCGCCAAGGACCACTTCTGGAGGGATTGAAGCAAACCGAAATTTGGCAGAGTCTTTGCTGACGCATTTGTCGCTTTGGAGGGTGGAGATCGCTGTTGCTGCTGACGGAATTGAAGGTGGGTTGTGACTATTCGAGTTTGACTCATGCTGATTTCTTTCTTCTGCGTTGGCGATTGGTCTGCCGCGGGTCAGTAGGCCCTTGATCGTGAGTAGCATGATGTATAGTTGTGCTGTCGGTTTGTATTATGGTTGTAACGCATTAGGTGCGTGAAATTTTGTCAGACGGGCATGGCGGACAGGTTGTTCTAAACTACATGCAGATACCGTATTTGCATGTCTTCGCCAGCTGTGCTAGCAGTCGGGAAGCTGCAGATGTCTCACTCAGGTTGTCAGTCTGATGGGTTGTATTTCACATATTAGTTCGTGGGTAAATACGTATTGTGGCTTGAATACATGTCATACGCCTGGGGTTAATAGGTTCATTCCTGTTGCACATCTGAGATATGTGATCCTCCTGAGTCGCCTAGCCCCGCTGTGATTGTAGTACGGGTGTGCCTGCACGATCACTCGGAGGCAACAACAGCTCTCAATCAGACCCTGTGCGGAGAATTAGAGAGCCTTGTTCGATGCTGAACGGCTTCGGGTTGCTATGGGCCTCCTGATTGCTTACTGCAGACGCTGCAAAGGGAAATGTAGACGAGAGATGTCGCTGATGGTGTTCTTCGAATGACTCACGCATCGCCATCCTAACGATCGATCGAAGTTGTTCAAGATGAATCATGATCGACTGTTCTGATGGCGCAGCTCTGTGTCTTCTGATTGCGACTCCTTGAATAGCAGCTTTCTCGCGGCGGACTGTATAAAGTATTTTCTACGCCCGCGAGTCGTGATCAAACAGTAAAGGCTCCTAGCTCGAGGACACTGGGGTAGAGAGATTGCCACCCCGACATGTTTTGATGGAAACCTCAGGTTGCTTCCATGCAAACGTGCGTAGCGCTGTGTAGCATTGTGGAAAGCATGGAATCTGCCATCGATATGACTCCTTCAGTGGCTCGAGCTCTTGGAGACTCAAGACATAAATTCAGTATCTATTCACACTCCAGGTGGCGCGAAAGGCACTGGGCATGGCTCATGCTTTTCCAACTCCGTCCTGTCGTATACGTCGAAGTAGTGACAAGCATACTCTGCTGTCAATCCGAGAGTGATGACACCTCCCGTCCACTTCCACGCGCCTGAGAAGAACCAGTAGGCAGCATCTTTGATGTCATTGAGTTTGACATTACGTATCATGTAGGCTGAAGTGGCTGCACTTCCTGCTACGGTACCAAGGAAGTAGACGGGTCCCGCACCCACTGCCACGCCAGCGCCGGCAAGCAGTCCAACTTGCACAGCTGACACAGCGGAAAGAAAGAGCTTCGCATTCTTCTCCTGGGCCAGAGCGATACTTTTAATTCCAGCCTTGGCATCATCACGAATGTCCTGGTAGGCGTATATCATGTCGTAGACGATTGTCCAGGCCACGCATGAGCCGTATAAACATGCCGCAGATGTCAAGGCTGATACATCGCTCAGCAAATCAATACCAAGAGCCGGAAAGCCCATCATGGCACCCCAGCTGAAAGTCAAGCCAAGCACAGCTTGTGGATAGTTTGTCACTCGTTTGGCCAGTGGGTATGTGGCGACCAGTAGCAGGGAGGGGACGCCGTAGAAGAGACAGATAGTTGGGAACTGTACCAGGAGTGCCAGTCCAGCAAAGAGCTGAAAGCCGAGGTACGGTACCGCCTGGCGTACACTAATTGCACCTCGAGCTATGGGTCGCAGACGAGTCCGGGAGACGTGAGGATCCAGGTCACGGTCCCAGAGGTCATTGATGGTGCAGCCTGCTCCCCTCATGATCAGTGCGCCTATGAAGAAGAGACCGCTGGTGTAAAGCACTGTAGTGGGAGGGATGATGGGATTGGTGAGAGGTGCGGCCAGTAGTGTGCTGAAGAGACATGGTAAGAAGAGATAGTAAGTGCCTGCGGGCTTGTCGAGGCGTATGAGCTCTGCGTACGGGACCCAAGTGCGTGGTAAGTAGGAGAGGAGACCTGCAGTTGGCAGTCTGTAGGGCTGCAGAGCAATGTCTGGAGTGGGCAAGGTTGGAGGAGTGGACGTGGATTGACTCGTGCTGTGCCGAAGCTCCTTCCTCTGCCAGCTATTGGCTGCATCGCTCCTTCTGCTCGTGTTGACCGGTATAGCGAGTCCTGACCTCGTCGTCGCCGTCCATCTTTGAGTGCGCACCGGCTGACGCAAGAACTGCAATTGACGCGACGTTCTCGTGAACGAGGCCGGCCGGTATATCGAGGAGAAGCATCGAGGAGATGCCATTGCGAGGTAAGGAGAGAAGAGCAGACAAGAGAAGAGAGGGACACTGCAACCTACCTCACCTCAGCTTTACCATTCTGTCCGCCGAGTTCCGATGGTGAGCATACTGACCAGCTGGATTGTCTTCGTGATGATAGTGAAGAGAAAGAGAGAAGAAAGCAGATGATGGAGAAGATGGACGTAAACTAGAATTACCTCGCTACAACTAGCGGACGCCAAGAAAGCTGGAGAAGGGAGCTCCGTGGTCTCGCTTATCAGATCACGTGCTCGGCCAAGTCCTCCACACGAATCAGGACTAGAGCTTCTTCCCTAAGTTCCCTGCATGCGACACGCTTCTTCACCACGACCATCTTCGCGAACCGCCAACATATCACCCACTTTCGCGACATCCATGTGTTCGACGTTTTCTGTACGAGCTGCAGCACAATCTCGCGCTTCATAATCACGCTGCAAGTCGCGTCTGCGTGGCTGCCGCGCCAATCCACAGGCTATGCGCCTGCGGCAGTGAAATTACGTGCATGAGGCGGAAGCTCGTCTCATATCGTCGTCGACATCCACTTCATCTCGACTCGCCTACGCCGCCACCACAAACACCTGACGACCGAGTGGAAGACTCCTCACGATGCCGGCTCAGCGACCACGGGCGTCGTTCGAGCCCATCGCGCCGAATTTCGACCTCAAAGCTCTCGTCGAATCCACAGCGAATTTCACATATGTCGACCGAATTTCTTGCGAAATGATCGAAGCGCAAGGCATGGCCGCCTTTGAGAAGCTCATCTTGCTGCATGTCATCGTTGGAGGCAAGCCATTGGTCATCGATGGATTTGAGGAGAAACTGGACCCATGGACATTTACGCCGAAATGGCTGCGCGACAATTGCGGCGAGAAGGTCGAGAACGCTCGCAACTTGACTGCGAAGGAGAACCTCCCTCTGACCATGGGACACTATCTGAAGAACATGGGCTTGCTCACCAATCAGTTCTTCGACAAGCCTGGGGCGTATAAGGAAAAGACTCGCCAGAGAGTGTATCTGAAGGATATCGACTGTCCTCCGGTGTGGTGGGACAAGCTGAAAGATCATCTGCCTGCTGCTGTGACGTACCTGAACGATAGTACGGGAGAGATCGGTGGGCCTGGCGCAAAGCCAGATCCCCAGAGCACAGTGCCTGGACGAAGGCTGGGCAAAGGTATCGCCAGAGCTGGCGACTTGATGAGCTCTCTGCCTCCTGATATGAGAGCAGAGAACTTGATGTGCTACATTGGACATGAAGGGACATATACCCCCGCGCATCGGGAGATGTGTGCTTCGCTGGGACAGAATATCATGGTAGAAGCGTCGGGCACCGTGTCCGATGATGGTAAGGCGGAGAAACCTGGATCCTCCATCTGGTTCATGACAGAGTCCAAGGACCGTCACGCTGTTTCGGAGTACTTCCTGTCAATTCTTGGCCATGACATAGAAGTGGAGAATCACTTTGCTCAGGTTGTGGCGTGGAAGAAGGCACCCTTCTCGGTTTATGTCGTGGAGCAGAGACCAGGAGATTTCATTCTCATTCCTCCTCTAGCGCCACACCAAGTCTGGAATCGAGGCACGCGAACAATGAAAGTGGCCTGGAATCGTACTACTGTTGAGACGCTCGAAATGGCACTCAATGAGGCTATCCCTCGAAGCAGGATCGTCTGCAGAGATGAGCAGTACAAGAACAAGGCTATCATCTACTACACATTGCAGAAGTATCACAGCCTGCTCTTGGATGCGCAGCGGCAAGCGAGCCTGATGCCGAGAGACGCCGCTCATTCGTTTTTGTACACCGGTAAGATCAAGCAACTGACGAAAGACTTCAAGCGCCTGTTCGGACTGTATAAGCAAATTCTTCTTACCGAGATGTTCTCGCCCGAGGATCGCGACTCTCCCAAGAACCTAGAGTACCTGCCCTTCGACAGTAACGTCACATGTGCTTACTGCAGAGCCAACATCTTCAATCGCTTCTTGACTTGTCCCTGCTGCAAAGACATGCTAGGGCACAATGCGGATACTGAAGATGGTGATCCATACGATGTGTGTATGGATTGTTACGCCATGGGGCGTTCATGTTACTGCATCAGTGGCCTGAAATGGGTTGAACAATTCAAGTGGAAAGAACTGGTGAGCAAGTATGAGGTGTGGAGAAAGGTGATTATTGATCTGGATGGTGGTCAGATCACCAGCAAGACACCAGTCCCGCTTATAGAAGAGCGTAGACGCTATGGCAAGAAGACTCTAGCCGAAGTTTGCAAAGATCAGCTCAGGCGCCGCCCGTTCAAGGATCCTCACAAGTCGGATGAGCCAAAGGAGGACACTGAATCAGAAGAGGAGATTGAGGTCGGTGATGACGGGACTGTGAAGAAGGTGACCAAGAAAAAGAGCAAGTCGTGGCTGAAGAACAACAAGGCCTGCCACATTTGCTGCCACCGACACCCGGCCTGGAAGATGGCGCAGTGCACAACTTGTGATCGTGCTTGGTGCTATGGGTCGCTCTTCCGTGGCTGGGACAAGATGCCGCTAGAGATTATGGAGAACCCCGATTGGTCATGCCCACATTGTCTGGAAGTCTGCTTTGCAGGTGCCTGCCGCCGCGAAGGGAAGATGATTCCTTACGAGCCGAAAGGTACTCTGCTTGGTCACGATACTAAAAAAGTGGCCGATGTCCGCAGCGTGGAAGTTTTAGTCGATTTCTCTGTCAGCAATCTCAATTGGTTGAAAGAGGACGAACAGGGCAACAAGATCGAGTCGCGCCGCATGCAGAAAGCAAGGCAAGCAGGAGCCGACCTAGGAGAAAACATGAACGAACTGCGACGAGATCTAGAGAGGAGCGATGATGACGGCGGCGTCGACGGGACCCAACTCGAAATGGAGTACTCCCCGGTCAGAGACGGCCCTCTGGATCCGGCGCTCGGCGGGGACGCCATCCCATCCGGCAGCCGTCACATAATGAGTGGCGGGTTGGGAGATTTGGACGATGAGGCAGCTCTTGCGCGAAGGCTACAGCTTGCGAACGCCTCTTTGCCAGGATCTGCTGGCAAAGTGGCCAAGTCGGCTGTTAATGGCGGCGTGCCAGAGGGCTATGCTCCTCTTACTGCTGCGGGCTACGCAGGCTACGCACCCGAGGCGAGCATGTATCCCGATCCCGATGGTGGAGCTTCATACCACTACCCTGGACAGAACGGCGACGATGACGAAACGCCAGGCACTGGTAAGAGAGACAAGGGGAAGAAACGCAAGAATCGCAAGAGTGGCGAGGCCGATGATGACGACGAGGACATTGCCATGTCAAAAGCGCCAAAGCAGAAGAAGCCACGCCTACAAGCTGCTGGCTTTCGATCCCAAGATCTTGCTGAGGAGGCGACAGGTGCATCAGCGTCGAAGGCGAAAAACGAGGCTCAGCGACAGTTCGAGAAGGAGAAGGAGCGGAAAGCATTGGAAAAAGCTAAAGCGGAGGGGCGCTTCATTATGCTGCAAGCTGCGATCAAAGGCAAAAAGCGTATCGTCAGACTACCTATTCCCGGCAATCGGCTGGGGCAAGTCATTGCACAGCAAGCTGCTAAAGCCGCCTTTACTACTGCCCATGGGCCTGAAGCTGATGCCGAACATGAGATGGAAGATGGCGCAGATGAGGATGAAGATCAGCACGGTCTGCTGCTGAAGTCCGACATAGCACCCAAGAAGAACCCGGAAACACGTGAACAGAGGCTGCGCAATGGCATTATTGTGTCCGGCGGCGCGAAGAAGGCACTCGTTCCCGTGGATAACGATGAGAGTTATGGCTATTCGTACCGAGAGAGGCTGCCGAATGGTCAGAGAGTTAAGCGCGATTTGACCAAACAGCAGCCAACACTTGCCAGCAACAAGGCACGTCGCAAGAGTCAGAAGCAAGCAACTGTGTATGAGGAAGTGGATATCGGCTCTGACGACGATGTCGGTGTGGGGGAGGAGAACTCGTTTGTTGCGATCAACAGTACTGCCGGGCGGAACAGGCGGTCGCTGCCGGGTTATTTGCAGAATCGACATGAAGACGGCGATCCGGATGCTCCAAATAAGCTCCCCGACGACATTCGCGACCGGTCACAGAAGCAACGACCTAGCTCTACCCAACGAAAGCGCCAAAGTGCGACTGGGCCGGACGCCCAGCTGATACAGGAGACAGAGGACACCGCTTCAGCGTCTGCCGATCCTTCGCCTGCGAAGAACTCTCCTCAACCCGCCGCACCCTCGTCCAAGAAGGCCGGCCGTCCCTCTTTTGGCGGCAAAGGGCCTGCGATGCGCCCATCAACTGTTAGTGAGCCTATCACGATCGATGACAACGGTGAAAGCAGCGACGACGATTTTCTCGACGAAGCTATCAGCGAAGCTGCCAACGGCGAAGGAATTCCATCGAACGGTCTGCCAACCACAAACGGATATGCGTCTCATTCAACATCCTCGTCGAAGCCCAAGGGTCGGCCTTCGCAAGCATTACCATCGCAGGCAGAATTGGCAGCAAAGCAGGCAGCAGAGGAAGCCCAGAAGCAAGCTCTGATGCAAGCTGCTGAACAAGCCGAACAACAACGTGAACGGGACGAGGCCAACAGGCTCGCCAAGTTACAGGCGTTGCAAATGCTCGAGAGCGGAGGCGACATGGACTTGGATGCTCTCGACAACAATCGCGCGGGAGGAGGCGTCGAGTTTGCAGACCAATTTGAGGACGAGAGCGATGATGGTGCAGACGAGATCCCAGCACGCCCAGTCAAGGTCTGATGAATGCGATGTCCATTGCACTCTACAGTTGTATTCCCTCATTGGCAGCATAGCGGTTTGGAAGCGAGAGTATAGCTTGCATTACCTTCAAGTCACTACTATTTGGCAGAGCGTTTGTTTCTATCCCTAGAGTAGTTATTGAAAAGGACTGATGCAGTTGTATGTGTTGCAGATTTCACTGTATCAGTGCAGAGATAGTCTGTATCTCGCACTTGGCTTCATCATCATATACTCTCCATGCCCCCAATCGACGCCGCCGTCTTATTTCTTTGTGTTGTTTCTTACAGTAAAGGCAGCGCTCCTGTTAAATGTTTCTATTTTCTGTTCTACAACAAGTAGCCAAAAGAGCTTTTTTCGGGAAAATATACATGGACCGAACGAGGTCCTAGGTGAGTGACTAGTTATCTGCTTTTTGGTAGATATGGATGATAAATTGAGTATTACTATACTATACTGTACTGCTGTGTTTCAATCAAGCACGCTCCTTTGCCTACTACTATATATATACGTAATCCTAGATTATGTAGGTAGACGAGATACTAACCTACCTGTACATCTGCTAGCGGCGCTTTTCTTAGTTTCAGGTTCAGCTCTCCGTTCAAGTTCACGTTCGAAATTCAGATTTAGAAAAAGACAAATCAAAGACCAACCTTGCAACAGCTTTACTTTAGTAATAATAATAATAATAAAAAAAATGACTAGGGAGGAGGTAGTCGTTGTCCTCCCAAATAAGAAAAAAAAAAACTTCTTCTCGAACGCCGGAGATGATGATGATGCCGGAGTTGACGCCGGATATACCCTTAAAAGAAATGAAGAAAAAAAAAATGAAAAAAAGAAAAATCCGAATCCTTGAGCAATCTTTACGTCCTAGCAAGAACAGAAAAAAAGTCAAGATATTTATCCCCCTTGGCGTATAACAAGCAAGGGTTAAAGATACGATGTAACTTGCATCTCTCTCTCTCTCATCACCGATCTCATCACCGATCTCGTGTCATCTCTACTGTATGCCCTCATCGATTATTTCGGGGCCGATTAAAGCCAAACAACCGTGTAATAACTAGTAGGTAATCTGAAGTTTCGGTTCGGGTAAACAAAAAAAAAGGACGCGGCCGCTTTACGCGCTTCCCGCTCCCGACCGATTTGACCAACCTCGCCGGAGTTGACGCAGAGGGATTGTCATTTCGGAGAATACTCCGAAGGATGACTCCGACGCGCAAACGATGAGGACGAGACGAGACGATGAGCGGATTGCCTAGTTGGGATTTAGGGGAGAGAGAGAGAGAGAAAAAAAGGCACGCATGCTTGGTCGGTTTTTCTTGTTGCTGCTGCTGCTGTGGAGGAGGAAGGAAGGAAGGAGGAGGTGAGGTTGTGTGTGGCGATGTACATGACCTATACAGCAGGACAGTAGTATTCCAGGTATTGCTAGAATCAGGCTAAGCCAAGCAATACACCCGAATTGCCTAGGTACCCATCAACGAAGGAGGAGAGAGAGAGCAGCCTTGTGTGCAGGTTGAATTGTCGAGTACTCGGTCCTCCGTAGATTTCAAGTCGTAGAATGGAAGTGTACAACAAGCCATGAAATCAAGACATGGCTGTTTGGCAACTTTGTCCATGGAGAATCCTACTCTCCTCTCCTCCCTTTAGCAAGCAAAGAGAACTGCTTAGGTCGAGACGAGGTTGAGTCGACGCTTGCGTAAAGTCTCTTCCATAGAATATGTTCCTGAGAGACTTCTAAAGTGACGAAGGCCGTTCAAGAGATCTACAAGAAAGCCGAAGAACGCGCTTGCGGCTGTCATTGTGCGAGTCTCTAGAGATCGTCGCCGGAGACAGACGGAGCAGCACCAGATCTATTGAATCAGATAATGAACCAGATCGCCGTATATAGTTCCGCAAAGCGAGCATAATTTGATGATGATGACAGAGAAGACGTTGAAAGCCGGACGATGTAACTCATCGAGCTGACTTCGTCCGCAGTAATGCACAGAGGCAGTTGAGAGCGTAATTAGCAACAAGTCTGTGTTCTGGCAGTGAATGACTATGTGCCTTGCCCTGAGATTGACTTGCCACAAAACAAACAATGATGCGATATCAAGCTCCAGGCAGATTGCGTTGATACCTAGGTAAGTAAGTTCGAGTAGCAGTCGCTCCAGTTCCCTAGTGAAGCCGTAGGATTGCGGAAATGAGACGATAGAGACTCTGTAACGACAGCATGCTCGCGAGCTGGGAACCATAATATGACTGGAACATCAAAATCATAATCGACTCAATAGTAGGTAGGCAACCACACGCAGAACATCATCGGTAGGATTCCGCGACGTTGGTGCAGTCGATGCCGTCTCATCATCAAATTGACGACGAGCTTTTGGACGGGGATGTTGGTGGCAATAGGCTCATGGCTCATATTAGAAGGCAGATGGATGTTTTGCCGGTCCGGAGTTGACACAGAGATTGACGCAGTCCTTCCGGAGAGTTCTCCGGGGGAGGGCTGCTGCCCCGACGATGACGACGAGCGGATTGCCCTGTTGGGATTGAGGGTGAAGAGGAAAAAAAAAATTGCATGCATGCTTGCTTGCCCGGGTTTTCCTGCTGATGATGATGAGGAGGAGGAGGGGGAGGAGGTCGTGCATCTATTACTGTACATACCTTATTACAGTGGTAGTGTAGTGTGTATTCGCTTCAAAGTATACAGGTACCTTACAGAACCAAGCCCAAGCCCAAGCCCAGTTTGAAAGCACCAAAACTACATGTACCTACCTACCTACCTATACGCCACCGCCGCCGGTGCTGTTATTAAGCTATGCTGTATTCCACTCTACTCCAGTCTACAATCTACCTCTCAAAATCATCTCGAGAATCACATATATCTTACAGCGCGTTAAAGGTAAATTTGTTAAACAAGTACATGGAGACATAGCACCGCATAACGACTTCCCCGGGGCCCGCGCCCTATGCGCAAAATCATCATTTATTATCATACTTGACCATATATACCTTACCTTTTAGAGTACATGTACTTTTATTTATATACCTATATATCGAGAGTATAAGCAGGAGCATAATAAGCAGGAATGTAGGTAAGTGAGTACCTATGTAGATATCTGCAACACATCTCAATCAGGAGCTATCTCCGAGAAAAAGGTACCTCCAGGTACCTGTATATGCCAGAAAAGTTAGGTTAGTAGTTGGTGGTGATTCATGTCCGTGTCATCGGTACCATAATCATGACTCGTGTGAAAGTTTTAACTTCTTCCTGTGCTTCGAGGCGAGAAGGAACCAAGGAAACGGTGTCAAACTTTCTCTCGAAAATAAGGGTATATACATTGTACAGGTACTAATGACCGCTCGTCTTGGCGAAAAATAGAAAAAACTTCCGAGCAAAATCCGCAATCAACGTTTAAAGTTTTGACCGACATATTCCATCCCCTTCACAGTCCGCTATGAATCCGACCCGGCATACCAGATACGACCATTTCTCTGTCATCACTTGCTGCCCCGTAATAATGTCCAATGTCTGAGCCAAGCAGTGTCTCCTCGTCTCTGACCACGCTACCGTTGACTGCAAGGACGTGGCGATGGAATAGTTCCTTGGCCGACGTGAGTTTCGGACCTTCGTATCCTGCAGGCTCATCGAACGTACATCGGACTCCGGAAAAGCTCATTTCCTGTTCTGTCGTACCATAGCTAAAGGACGTATGCTCCGTCTGGTTGCTGGTATAGAACGCTGTACCATTCTGCCTTGTCACGAGGGATGCGCCTTGATAGGACTGATACTTCTCATGGAAGCCTTGCATAGCGGAGAATGACTCTAATCCTGTCGGAAAGACCGCTTGTCCAAGTGTCTGCACCTGCTTACCCGAACTGAGAGCGGCAGTCAAGGTCAAGTTGCCGTTGGTCGCCAATGCTTGGGTGCTGTAAGAGTACAGCGAGTAGTCCAAGGTCCGCGCGTAACCATTTGCTGACCTATCTTGCCCGGTCGTGTGGAGAGTGCTGGTCTGATCTCCCGCAGAAGTGTAGTTGCCATCGTATTGAGAGCCCAGCTGCTGCGTCCAGGAGGCGAGAACGCTTGCATTTGAAGTCTTGATTGTCGATGAGATGGACAGCTGCCGACGAGCCTGTACAGTGTACGCGAGACTGCTATTCGAGCCGTTCGCGGCAACGTGGATACGCGACGAGACTGTCAAGGAGGGATCAGGTAGATGAAGTTGTGGCCTGCTGCCTGTGGTGATGTGGCCCGGATTGTCGAGCCACAGAAAGATTTTGCCTGCAAGATACCAATCGTCCAGGGTGGTATTGGAGAGTGTGGCAGCACCATTCGAACTGTCATTCAGCCCTGATACGCGTATCGCAAAGTTATGGCTTTTACCATCGCAGAGCAGACCTAGCCAGGGTGTGATGTCAATTTCGTCCTCCCTCAGGTCGAAGGCATCGATGCCAACAATAGGACGCCATAGACCAGGAACGACACCTCCTGTGAAGATGACAGGCCAGGGCCATGCGACGCCAGCCATCATACCATCGATGTATAATTGAATCTCCCGAAAAGGAGAATAGCCGGGCAGCGAAGAATTACCACTGCCGAACGTGTCCACCTGGGACTGCAGGACATTACCCCACCAGAACTCTTCCAGTGCTTGTCCAGTAGCAGCAATAGTGAAGAATGCCTTTTTCACATTTTGAGGCAATGTGATATCATTCGCAGCCGTCTCATTCGGAAACCGAAAGTAGCTCGGTTGACTGGCGGAGCCCCGCCTATTGGATACGGGTATGACGAGATCTGCAGGTACTACCGAGTCAGGAGCAGTGAAGAATGCTGCCGTAAGGGTGACATTGAAAGGTGCAGTATAGATGTCATTGATGACATTGCCCAGGTCAAAGATGATCGTCTGGCTCGTCTTGAAGAGCGATAGGAAGCTTGTCATATCCTTGATGTATGTCCACGTGATGCCGGTCTTGGTAGGCTCTGCAGTAGAGGTGCGGAACAGCTCAACATCGCCAAACGAAACGGTGCCGAGTCTGTCGAATTGCTTCCCAGCAGACACCACTGTGAGGTTCCAGCTGATGCGATTGAATTGGCACGAAGGGGGAGTGTAAGATCCGACATATGGCTGGCCATAAGACGAGGCGAAGGAGTACTCCACCAGCGTGCTCTGACAACTTGGGGCCGTGCTGGGTATGATGGCGACACTCGCGTTGGAGGACCCATCAGTGATTTCGAGAACTCCATCAGGTGTTACTGTCAAAACAGGAGGGTAGACCTGGAAGTCTTCCAACAGCGTTCGACCAACAGTTGGTGGGATCGGTGCTACGGAGCGTCTGGTTATCGTCGGCTGCAGCCCATGGTGAGATAGAGGATTATCAGACCAGAATACAAGAATAGCCGTGGCCACCAGCAGTGCTGACAGTACTCTCAGCGGATGGTGTCGCGAGACGCTGATAACTGGAGTGGTGGCGTGCAGCTGATCCACTCTGTCGGCCCAGGCTAGGTGTGCCGTCGCTTCATGCGGCCATGGCACGGCTTTCTTCCCGTCATTGTGGTTGTTCTCAGTCGGCCTTCCCGCCATGTTTCGGCACGACACTTGATATTTGGATGGTATCCTGCCGAGGGTGCGTTAGCTTTCATATTCAACCCGCAATGCCGCAATTCCGGTCCAAATGATATGCACTGGTTGAGAAAGGGAAGAAGTGGGCCGTTGGCCAGATCGGGAGCTTTGGTGGATCGATGTCCAGAGACGGAAGTCGGCAAACTCACAAGATATCAGGCGGACGCGGTAGGACTCTCGTATGTGTTTGCCCAGTACCTGGCCACTGCGTTCTCTGCAACTTCATTGTCATCGAATCGACCTCTGTAGAAGTTGAAGACTGCGAACTCGTCCTTGGTCATGATATAGTCGTCGGGCTGTATCATAAGTCGTCGCCATATGTCCGTCAGAGCGTCTTCGAGGTACGCCGAAACGCTGGGATCGAGGTCTCCTTCCGAGTTGCGGGCAATGTCAAGGGCTCGCTGGTAGTTGAGCACTCCAATGCCGTCGATGTTGACGTTATTGTTGCCGCCCATTTTGTAGCAATGGTGTTCTTCCGAGTACTGGTAGGAGGAGGCTTCTGAGGATGCAATGGACGGAGAGCTTGAGTGTTTGGCAAAGCCAACAACAGCGAGGGCTGGATGTATATGCATGGCTGCGGTGCTCGTGGAACGTGAAGCGAATTTTCGGAAGGAACCACAGGTGGAGTGGGTGTGATTGGCAATGGGGAATACAAGCAGTCGTAGCACAAACAATAACTGTGGGCTTACCTGTAGTGAGACCTGTGCAGTGTGTGGGCTGGAGGTCTTTATGTTTCCGGAGCTGGCTTAGCAAGGTGGTAGCCCTTCTTAGCCCTCCCATGTGCCTGAGAGTAAGCACCCTGGAATGTAGCGAGCCGTTTCGGGCTGCACTGCCGCTAGAAGAAGGCTCTTGGATAACCTTCAAAGCGTACAGCGAAGTAATGGCGATGCTACGGAGCTAGAGGTCCACCTGCTGCGTTTCGATGACAGGCCGCGTGGAACGCAGAGAGAAGCGCAGCGCAGCAGGAAGATGCGGTTTGTGGCAGAATATCACAGGGATCGCGTGGTGGACAGCTAATCCTTGCTTGCTATGATGTGGTAGACCAGAACTCTGTCATAATAATCGTGCAGATTATTCCTCAGCCTCACGGCCTTCACCTGCGTCTTTGTTCAAAGTTTGTTGGCGGAGCCGAGGGTAACGTGTGTGCAGAGATAGAGTTCGAGACAGACTAGGGTCAACTTCACGTGTGTCGACCTTGCTTAAGGGTTAGACTTTAGCCTCAAAAACGCAACTCACAAGTTCGCACAACTGAGTTCAACAGCAGCACCGGTGGAGCACCCAAGCAATCTTGATATGGTTTACCGAGTGCAATGATGTTCAAATGATGCGTCTCGCGCCATAATAATGGCCAGGAGCCGCAAGTAGTATGTAGAGTCGCGCATGATTAAAGGTTCTTTTACGGAACCCGGTGACACCTAGAATGGGGTATTGAAATTCGAGTCCGAATTTCTTGTACCACCCACAGCCAACTCTTTGTCGGGGTGGCGCTGCTGCAGTGTAGATCCTCTCGTGGCCTTGCAGACAGGCTGCTTTGCTCCAGGGTACTGCAGATAGTGGGAGGCTCGGAGTGGCAGCAGGACCAGCACAAGTTGCACGAGTACCCCATGATGATGAGTTAAAACACACCCTCACGAGTGCAGTCAGTCCCTCCAGGGGCCATGTTGGAGGCGCCGAGCTGCAGTGTTTCCTAGAACTTGTCTGCGCATCCACTTTCGCTTGTTGCAGCTACAGCAGATTGTGGATCATACCATGGATATCGTTCATGAGCGATTCAGTCGTCATTCCGACGACCACGAATGGGCGGGCCGACGATACCGGTATTGCTCGAGCACTGGGGAAGAGACCGCGCTGCAGTTGAGAGCGAAAGTGTGGCTCCCACACGACCCAGACCAGACTCCACAGACGGCCGCGCAGGGTCACCTGGGCAGCAAATGCCTTAGTGTGTCCTTGTCGATGGGGTGGTTGTATCGACCTCGACGTCGCGGCACAGTAGCAGTAGTATGTAGTAAGTGTTACGACTGGAGTGTGCCGCCGTCCGGCAGAACTTCAAGGTTCAAAAAGTGTCTCGGCGCCGGTGCGACTTCCGACAATATCACGCGGCGAGCCGCAACAGTGACCCAGCGCGCTGTTCTATGTGATTGCCGTGAAACCGCCTGGACGGGGTGGAAGGGGGGCGGTGGGCGGTGGTTGTTGTCGAGAACAGGCTATGTTCGGAGTGGATAAAGTGGTGGCAGTAGGTGGGGAGACGGTGAGTAGTACCTAGATAAGGTAATCAAGTAGAAGCGACTGTAAGCGACAGAAGGATCACCCGGGGTGCGGCCCGGACACGTCGGGTGCAGCCAGGCAGGCAGGCGCGCTGCGCGCTAAGGAATTGTTTCTTGTTGAGCCTCAATATGTATGGTATGCAGTAGGAAGGAGCATCATACCGACACCAATTGGCCGTGCAGTCATGCTCCCATCACCGCATCTTCTACGCCAGGTTGTACGTCAGGCTCCACTGCGCCATGGGATAACGCAAGGCTACGCGAGGCTGCCACTTCACCTGCGCATCAAAGGAGCATCGCAAGCCCGGGGCTTTACGGTCGCCAATGGCCAGCCATCATCATCATCATCATCATCATGGGGAAGAGCATGGCGTGCGGCGCGGTTGAGGGCCCGGCAGCAGACACGTCGCTGCAATAGCAGTCAGGCGACAGATGGCACAAAGCCCACCACCCTATCGGGGCGCATGAAGGAGATGTCGCGGAAGTATGGGTGGACAGTGACGGGCATCTATCTGGGTCTTTCGGTACTAGACTTTCCCTTCTGCTTTCTCGCTGTCAAGTGGTTTGGCACAGAGCGAGTTGCAGAAATAGAGCACACCATCATGGATGGATTTTGGAATCTGGCAGAGAGGGCCATGCCGAGTCTGAAAGAGAGACGGCTCGCCAATGAAGCCGCCACCGCTGCGGAGGATGCGGCGGTGGAGGCGCGTGAGGCGGGCGAGCAGGTTGCTGAGCAGGCCAAGCATAAGAACCCAGGTAGGTCCGCAATTGCAAACCATTGGTGCTGGTCAAATCGACTGATGAGGGAAATGTAGGTCTTGGAACACAGCTCATTCTCGCATATGGAGTGCACAAATCACTCATCTTCTTCCGCATTCCTCTCACATTAGCAATCACACCCAAAGTTGTCAAGAAATTGCGAAGCTGGGGCTGGCAGATTGGAAAGCAAAAGCCAAAGTCGGTATGAACGAGGTTCTGAGATGATAGAATGTAAGATGGAGGAGAAATCTCCGCTCGGGGAGTTTGTACAACACAGGGAAGAGATGAAGCTCCATCAGTATTGGCGGCTATCAGGTAACCGCACACCACAGTAGATGATTCAGCGCTTAGATGCAACGCAGCCTGTCCAACCCTCATCTCTCCAGCTCGCAATCCTGCCACTTGCAAGTCTCAAAGCTCTTCCATCCACATCCAACCCGAAATCTCGTCTCTTCTCCAACTACAGGTGCCCGCGGGTTGCGAGACCACCGGCGAATAGGATGCTCGCGTCATCTGCATGCAGTGCAAACTCAGAAACAGGATGCCATCAGACATACCTCCTAGAGCAAGCTCAGCGATGTAGGGACCACTGGTTTCAAAAATATGATTGCAAAAAGAATATCACCAAGGGCTCTGATTAGACCTAAGTTGCAACAGCTCACTAATTCTGAGAGGGAGAGAGCGTAAAATCGTTTCAGAGAGTAAACTGAAAAACAAAATAGAAAGTACACCTATGATCTGTCCGCACGGTCCCTTGAGAGGAGACTATTACAGGAAAGATCCAAGCGAGGTGGCCAAAGCTGTTTGTGAAGGGATCAGTGAAAAGTATCACGTAGCATCAAACTATAGTACAGTTGGAGACGTCTTAAACAGAGCCTCAAAGTCAAAGGGGAAGAGGGTTTACACATGGAGGAAGTGTGTAGTTTGGCCCAGTGAAAGTCTAGCTTTCTACTTTGCTATACGAGGCAGGTCTGTGCGGGAACTACTTCTGTGGTGTACTGCTACTCTCGCCACTTTCGTACATGTATTTATCTTCCCAAACACCGAGGCAACACTAATGACGCGAAAGTTACCGCGCCGATATAGTTCTCGAAGGATGCAATTCCTTCACTTGCCGTATGCACGCTATCACGTGATGTTCATAGCCTCAAACTCCTGTGACAGAATCCCACTAGCCCTACATCACGAAATAGTTCTAAAGAGCGCTTCATGCTATAGAACTACATATGTAACTGCCAGCACGACTCATTTCTCAACTCTCTCTCTCTCTTGACATGTTACATATGTGCCCACCATCCCATCTATCTATCTAGCTTTTCCTACATCCCTTCGCGAAAGCCATAGCTACACCAATTGACAACGCGACGCCATACGCAGGCACGATGAAACCAGCCAAGGCTATGCACATCACTTCGCAACAGCCATACCAAGAACGATACTCCTTCACGTATGCATAATGGAACTGGGGTCATCCTCTCTTCTTATACATACACTCCGACCTAGACACGCCCTAGACGCGCCCTAGACCCTCTCTCACTTTCACTTTTCACAACCGATTCAACATCAATGCCCCATCGTCGATGAGGTACATTAGTCGTCCGACGGGGTGAAGGGTAGTAGCCACCACGCTTCCCCAAGAGTATATACGCCAAAATGGAAAATCGCTGCAGTGGTGCCCAATGGCATGGAGCCATTACACTAGTATGTGAGGTATGTTTTGTTTTTCTGTCGGACGTTCCGAAACTCTCTTGTCTGCACGATTACACACACACTTACGCGGAGGTGAATAGGATGGGGATGAGATGCGATGCCAGACTCGTGAGATTCGTTTACTAGAACTGGGTATACGAACCCATCGATATGCGAAACTTGCAGGAGGGTGTCGGGGTAGGTTTGGGCAAACTCACTAAGTACCTAAGGTACCTACGAGAGGGGGTTTGGGAATTGCTGGTGCCTAGCCTCGCGAGTGTTGGGAAGCGCTATGGTTTCGACGACAAGTTTGCAGACATCTCTCTGGACCTACCTTTACCTTACTCTACTGATGATTATAGTCAATTTTGGCAGTGGCTCTCGTCGCTCGGGCTTATTAGCAACAATGGAGTATACAGCTCCAAGTGAGCAGTACCTTCAAGTTTGCAAAAGTGTACCCGAAACGGCCCAGTATCAAATGGAATACATTTCGATAGCTACCAATAATGCATTTGGTCCTTTTTCAACCCCTTCGCCCAGGGCTTCAAATTTCTCGCCTACAATGATACGACTTTTCGTCTCTCTCTATCCGTCCCCGTCTATTCACAAGCGCTATATCAAGTAACGAAGAGAGCTCCTGCAGTGGATATATCCTCTTAGTCAAGACTATCTATCTCTTCCGTTCAAATTACATCAACAGCAACTCTCAATCGAAACCCAGCTGTATCGTCACAGGACTATTCACAGCGATCAGCTGACCTCCACCCTCAAGAAATATCTCCAACTCGACAAGACCGTCATGTCACGCCAATAGACAGACTGCTAGCCAGCATGAAGCATATCTAGCCAGCTCTATAGCAAAAAGCCATACAACTCTCCCGCTAATTCTTACTTATCCAGACAGACGACTTGCCACCCCCATCCTATCATAAACCCACAAATATACAATCTATCACATCTCCTCACTAGTATATCGAAAAAGTACTATATACCTACATACACTATCCCCATGCCCCTTAACAAAACGACCAGACAGTCCAATCCAATCCAACTCCGATCAATATATGCAGCCTACAAGCAATACCAAACCAATCGTACCACGGCATTACAACCATCTCTCAGCCATCAAACATCCCCCAAAAAAATCCCCCCCCGCAGAGCCTAGGCGCAACGACTCTCCAGATACATACATACATACCCCAGCTGTCTTCACTTCTCAAAGTGTCCCCCACACTACGCCAAATTACGCCCTATTACAGTACTACCCAGCGCCTTATACAAAGACAAGTACCAGATCCCAAACTTCGTTACTTCCCAGCTGAGCAGCTCAAATGGAATGAAATAAGTATTAGTCTTAGACGTCCGGACAGACCTAGAATTGCCGTTTGGGAACAGACAGCTTCAAGGCTAGCTAGTAGGTAGGACCGCTGCTACAGGAAGACAGCAAGGTCGAAATCTACATACCTACCTAGGTATCTATCTATCTAGGTATTATTTTGGCTATGCATGGTAGTAAAGCAAGGTAGGTACGTATGTATTCTTGAATGGAGCTGTGTATGCAAAAGTGCTTACGGGATGGTGATGATTGGCATTAGGTGAAGGTCACTTCCATTGGTGCATGTACCTGTAGCCATGCTGTTGGAAGCCTTTTCGTGGCGTAATAAACAGTTGCGGCTCTGACAGGGAGAACCGCATGGACCTAACAGCGATAGATTGAAGAGGAATGACACAATTTTGCAATGGTGATAGTGGAAAGCCAATGGTATGTATATCCTGATACAGCAGCACAGCATGCCCACGATTAGCGGCAGCGAAAAAGAGTCCAAAAACACCAATGTCCAGTTTCCATCAGTCATTCCGTCGTGCGCCTTTCTTCCATAATGGTGACAAATTAGATCATAAGCACACACATCCTCGTATGCATCTAACCACTGCACATGACACATGCCTCTGGGTTTTCTATGCTGCAAGCCAAGGCAGCTTCGGCATAGATGTCCCCCTCGCGGGGATCCTTCTTCTCCTCGGCCTCGTCGCCGCCCTTCTTGACAGCTGGCTCTGGGAGCTCTTCTTGCTTTGGAACGGCATCGAGACCATCAGTGGGTAGTGTTTCGGGGCTCTCGCCTTCATCAAGGTCTGCTGGGAAAGGTGGGTTGACGACGGCAGATGAAGTGCGACCGAATGTCCTCTTCTTTGGCTGAGGTCGCTCGACCTCCGGCGGTGGTGTGGCGGCAGGCGTGACCACATCTTCAGGTGCAGCAGCAGATTTCTGTGGCTCCTTGTTCTCGTACATAGGCTTGGGCGATGAAGGCTTTGGGGCGCTGACTGCATTGTACGCACCAGATGCCATGCGCTTCTTGGCGGCGCCAGTGCGAGAGATGTTTGTGTCGGCGACCTTGAGCATCTCTTGGTCGACGGTGAATTGAATAGGCGCAGAGGCGGCTTGTGTGCGAAGGTAGTACATGCCAGTCTTGAGGCCGAGCTTCCAGCCTGTGAAGTGCATGCTTGTAATCTTGCCCATGGTGGGCTCCTTCAAGTGGATGTTCAAACTCTGCGACTGATCGATGAAGGCACCGCGATCGGCAGCCATCTGGACAATGTTACGCTGGCTTATCTCCCATACAGTCTTGTAGAGGGCTTTGAGATCGTCGCCAATGTTGGGGATACGCTGAATAGATCCACCATCAGCGATGATGCGATTCTTCATGTTCTCGGACCAAAGACCACGATCGACCAGATCCTTGAGCAACCATGGGTTGACTACCTGGAACTCGCCAGCAAGCACACGGCGTGAATAGATGTTGCTGGTGTATGGCTCGAAGCACTCGTTGAATCCCATGATCTGAGAAGTGGATGCAGTAGGCATAGGAGCGACGAGCAACGAGTTTCGCACACCATGCTCAGCAATCTTGGCCTTCAATGAGTCCCAGTCCCAAAGATCTGACGGAGTCACACCCCACATATCGTATTGAAGCTCGCCCTTTGAGACTGGAGAACCTTCGTAGGTCTCATAAGGACCAAGCTTCTTGGCCAGGTCACAAGAGGCGGTAAGAGCAGCATGGTAGATCGTCTCGAAGATCTGGATGTTCAGCTGGCGAGCCTCGGGCGACTCGAATGGCATGCGAAGAGCAAGGAAGGCATCGGCAAGACCGCTAACACCAAGACCGATGGGTCTATGGCGCATGTTACTCTTCTTGGCCTCTGGCACTGGGTAGTGGTTGACCTCGATAATCTTGTTCAGATTCTTGGTAACCACCTGGACAACCTCATGCAACTTCTGGAAGTCAAACTTCTCATTCTCGAGGTCGACGTAGGTTGGCAGAGCAAGAGACGCAAGATTGCATACGGCAACCTCGTCAGGTGCAGTGTACTCAATGATCTCTGTGCACAAGTTGGAGCTCTTGATCGTTCCGAGATTCTTCTGGTTGCTCTTGCGATTGGCAGCATCCTTGTAGAGGATGAAGGGTCCGCCAGTCTCCGTCTGGGCCTCCAGAATGGCATACCAGACCTTCTGAGCACGGACAGTCTCGCGTCCCCGACCTTCCTTCTCGTAGCGAGTATAAAGCTCCTCGAATTCGTCGCCATACACATCAGCAAGACCGGGACACTCGTTGGGGCACATCAAAGTCCATTCGGCATTCTGTTCCACACGCTTCATGAACAGATCGGGGATCCACAGGGCGAAGAACAGGTCGCGAGCACGAACTTCTTCCTTTCCGTGGTTCTTGCGGAGATCCATGAAAGAGATGACATCGGCGTGCCATGGCTCGAGATAAATGGCAAACGCGCCAGGACGCTTGTTGCCACCTTGATCGACGTAGCGAGCTGTGTTGTTGTAGACCCGAAGCATGGGAATCAGGCCATTTGATGTGCCGTTCGTGCCAGCAATGTAGGATCCGGTGGCACGGATCTTGTGACAGTTGAGACCGATCCCACCAGCATTCTTCGAGATCATGGCGCAAATTTTCAGTGTGTCGTAAATGCCTTCAATGCTGTCATCTTTCATGTCGATGAGGAAGCATGAGGCCAACTGGGCGTTCGGCGTACCAGCGCTGAACAGTGTTGGTGATGCATGTGTGAAGTACTTATTCGACATGTAGTTGTATGTCTCGATGGCGGCCTCGATATCATCTCCGTGAATCCCGACTGCTACGCGCATGATCATGTGCTGTGGTCTCTCGGCAACCTTGCCGTTAATTCGGAGCAGGTATGAGCGCTCTAGCGTCTTGAAGCCAAAGTATTGGTAGTTGAAATCTCTGTCGTAGACAATAGCAGAGTTGAGTTCGTCTGCGTGCTCCATTACCACTTTGTATGTGTAGTCCGAGATCATCGGAGACGGCTTGTTGTTCTTCGGATTGACGTAGGTGTAGAGATCCGATACCACAGCAGAGAACTGCTTCTTTGTCTGCTTGTGGAGATTCGAGACGGCAATACGAGCGGCGAGGATGGCGTAGTCTGGGTGGGTGGTGGTCATGTACGCGGCAGTCTCGGCGGCCTGTGGACATATCGTTAGAGCTTCACAGGTTGCGGTGGGCCATTTTCATCACATACCAAATCGTCGAGCTGAATTGTGGTGACGCCCTGGTAAACGCCGTTAATCACCTTCATGGTGATGGCTGTCGAGTCGACATGTTCTGGATCAAGGCCATAACAGAGCCTGGAGACACGGGCTGTGATCTTGTCGAATTGGACGCGTTCCTTGCGGCCATCTGAAGACGCGTGTCAGTGTCCCAATTCGCAGACGTGGCGGTGGCGTAGGAGCTGTGACTATGAGGAGAAGTAGTGGCCGGCGTCATTGCCATCCAGCTACAATACTCGTATCCGCAGTTCACTATGGTGTAGAAGACGTACCGCGCTTGTAGACGAACATGGTCGTCGATGGCGGCGAGGTATGCACCTCGAGCTGGGTGGAGTGTAGAGGAAGGGCGGTTCAAGCAGGAAAGGAAGCGTGGAGTGGTTGACGTAGTGGTTCGGACTCTCAAGCTCGGTACGATATGCAATGCTCGACGAGGGTTGGTATCAAGGTCGGGGGATGTTGTTGTCGTGGAGTGGACAAGAAGAGGGAGAGAGTGTGCGAGCTCGGAGAAGATATATGCGGAATCGAATCGTAAGCCCGCGCCTGCCACCAAACATAAACGCGTCGCCGTCGCGTATAGCGTGCGGAAGTCGCGTTCGAGCCTGCCATGCGGCCCCTTCCACCTAGCGCCAATTTATAAGCGAGAATCTTGGCGTCAAACGACATGAAATTCTCGTCCCGCCGAACCAACCTCCTTCGTCCTTTGTCTGCGCAACAAGACCACATGCACTTGACATTTCATCCGTGCGAAATGGGCCCATCGTTTCGATGCTGGACACGTTCTTTGTGAGATCGGCTATGACTCGCACCATCATGCTCGATAGCTGCAGGTGCTTGTGAGTTCGCTTGAAAGAGAACGTTCCATGTTACCGACGATCGAGCGCGGTGTGCTTGCGCCTGGTCTCGAAGCGGGACATTGTCAAAATATATCTACAGTCCACTCTACTCTGTTAGAGTGCTTTCTGGCTCTTTCGAAGGCTCGGCGACATCGATTTTACCACAGTCACGAGTTCAAAATTTGATGCCTATAATGAATCACAGGTCTGCCAAGACTGTCTCACTCGTGTTGCAACATCCGAGCCTGGCTCTGAGGATGTTGCGTCTATTTGATGAGATACATATAAATCGTCTGTACTGCCTATGCTGAAAGAGTAACCAGCCCAACTATCTTGACAGGATGAGGGTGGCAGCAAAGCGGACGGCCCCATCCTACCTTAAACATGGTGACAATAGGAACTTCATATCCCACGCTTTCCAGCGCCGGACTCGGAGACGAACTTCTAGTACCACTTACTGATGACCAAACCACCAAAGAAGGGAGGGAGTAGAGTGGGTGATGGAAAAAGGAGGGGATAAATGGAATTACAACATTGATATGCTGTCATATGTCGGCAGTCATTTTGACTCATTGCCGTTTCCCTTCTGGATTTTTTTTTTGCTATGTCAGCTTGAGCCCGAGGACGTACTAGATTCCTCTATCTGAGCTAGCTGGACACAGATCATGCCCTCACCGTGGCATTTGCGGGTGGACGTGTACTGTTCGTAGACGCATCGCCTCGTAGCCACTTTTGTGGCTCTGCTGGATATCCAAACATAGGTAGCCGCTGTGTAAAGCGCTGGCGCCTGTGCGCGAATCTCGACCGACGAAGGCGCCGAAGATGATCTAGAGCACATGTATGCTCTCCCGTCAGAACAACGGTAGTCTCTCGTTTGAGAGTTCGGATATGCTTGACGCCGCTTATGGCGCCAATGTTGTAGGTGCTCTACAACTCCACCGCCTTCTTAGCCATCTCCAGTGCACCCTCAAAGGTAGTATTGCCTCCAATGAAGCCCCCGGCGTGCACGAAGATGCAACCTGGAATCCCAGAAAGTTTGCTGAGTTCTTCATCCCGCACACCTCTCCAGGCCTCTGGTAGTCCCTTTCTGTTCTCGAAGCTGCCAGGTTCCAGGCTGACAGCGCGGATCCTCCACTTGCTGTCCTTCTCCCCACTTTCCGCGAATAATGCATATAGCACGCTTCCTTGAGCACCATTCTCCTCCTCGAGCGCGTACAGGTGGTCCATCCACGGCACACCACCATCATTGTGGGGTACCACCAAGATGCGGCCTTGAGGGTCGACTGCTGTGCGAGAGTGAAAGGCCTGGGCCACGATGGCACGAGCTGGCAGCCATGCGGAGAACTTGTCGTTGAACTCGATGGAGAATTGCTCGCCCACGAAAGCCGAAGCGCGCAGGAAACGCGCATCTTCCTCTGCTTGGTCCTTGGCCTTGCTTGTCTGGATGACGCCGTTCTTGGGAACGCCATTCAGCAGAGGAGCATGGTTGTAACGCCCGACAACATTGGCAATACTGAAGCCCTTGTCTGAAGTCTTCTTCTCGATTCCAGCTTTTCTGATTTCAGCCGGATCGTAGACGGAGATGCCATTGTCATTTGCATCGAATGCCTGAACAAAGTCCTCATATAGCTTTTGATAGAGCAGCTCATTCTCTGCGCTCTCCACATCTAGCCCCGTCACAGCGGACACGATCGATTTGCCATAGTGCATCCACACCAGCCCTGCAGAAGACAATTTCGTATTTTTACCAGGAAAGGTGGCGCAAAATTCGCGCTGATGGTGATCGTAGCGGAGTTGGGAGTGATCGTGGACACCGCCGACATCGACCACAATGGTGCATTTTTCGAGGGTGCCCGGGTCGCGAGTGCGGATGAGTGAAGCAGCGGAGAAGCTATTGTAAGATGTCAAAGGTGAGCGAGCATCCCGGAGAGGTCAAGGCATTCCATTGGCTTCCTTCATGCAGTCGATTTCACTTACTCTGGCAAGAGGCGGAGGAAATAGACAGCGAGGGCCTCGTCGGCGTGGAAGTGGCCATTGTGGGTGCCAATGACGGGCGACGCTGCAGGGCTGGTCGAGTCCATCTTGAGTCGCTTGGAGGAAGGCTCGGCGGTGGTGGTCATTTGCTGCAGAAGAGGACGGTAGAGGGCAGGGTTGCTGGCAAGAAGTCGCTCGAATACGTCGTGGGTGCTTCTGGCCTTGTTGGGCGTTCTACTTCTCGTGGCTGCAGCAGAGCGGACGAAGGCTCTATTGGGAGGGAGACGAGGAGTGAGGAATGGTCGCAGCAGAAGTCTCTTCATTCAATGACGGTGGAGAGTGGCGAGTTGATAGGACTGACTGTTCGCATTTGGAAGATTGACCCATCCATTCTAGCTGCCCGCCGGGCGTACAAAAGTTGCTGCTCCACCCCTGCCCTGCGTTGCTGCTGACTAAGACTGCTGTTACGGTAGACCTTATTCACACGGGCCCGTGACGGTGCAGTCGTGGACTCGTGGATCACATTCACGCCCGCGCCTAGGTATTCACCGTGCTTGTGCTTGCTGCAACGTGGCCAAGCCATCTACATCCCTCTCACACATGTCCCATGCCACCCATATATGTCCAGAGGTCAGGTACTCGCTCATAAGTTACTACGGTCACGTCGATTATTCATGCACGCTGTTCTGTTCAACCAGCCAATCGTGATTCTGACCTCTGCCTCGTCTATTCCTCACTCCACGTCATGTCATAAACCTGCTTCTCGTCTGCTTCCACCGCCCTCTGAGCAGCACTGAAGCAGGATAAGTAGTGGAGGCCGATCTGGTAAAGAAGCGAGACAAACCACGCCATTCCAGTGACTTTGCAGAGAGCACGCGACACTCGAGCACTTCACGCGCCCGCTCGCCCGCCCACCTTCTCTCTCCTCTTTGCTGCGGACCACTCGCATCTCTCCATCTCTTCTGAGTACCTACCTGACTCAACCTAGGTGGTATTTCGCTCGCCAGAACCTAACGCCAAGACGGCGGCACTAACGACATCTTCGAGAACTGGACCTGGACCCTCATTATACTCCTGCTAGGACTAGGAGGTGGACTACCTGACCTAGTTCTCCTGCTAGCTCCCGTCGACTTTTATCTAACTGCCCGAGTCCTTGACCGACGACGCTGCGACGCATGCTCGAGCCTTCGACACCCTCCACGCCCGCTCCCGACCAACTCTGCACCCAGAGAAGGATAACGAGCGTGCGATGATCCTCCGCTTCATTGGGAGTGCGCTCTTCCTGGCCTCGATCGTCTTCACCATCCCCCTCGCCTTCGATGTCGGCGGACGAACGTGCGGATTGGCTTTCAGTCTCACCCTGGCCACATACTACTTCATTCTCTCCACCCTGCGACTTGCGACACCCGATCACTCGAGATGGCGCTCCCTCGCACTGAATCTCTTCGCAGCCATGCAGCCTGTCATGATCGGGGGACTACTCATCTGGAGTTTGAACAAGTTCAGTGTGGATAGCGGTGAAGAGGCCAGCTGGGTGAGTCGCGCATTCTACAACGCGACCAAACCGCTGCATCAGAACCCGAGCTTCAAAGACTGGGTGTTTGGAAAGGAGGGTCTACTGGAGCATGCCCTGATAGGAGGCTGGGACAAGTTGTTGACGTACTCGACGCCTGTCTTTCAACTGGTCGAGGGCTTCTGCAGTCTGCTAGTCATTCAGGCTGCCGGACAAGTCACACGCTACCTGGTCAACAATGATGATGGAGGCGACAGGTGGATGCTCGGTCTCTTAATCCCCACCGGCAGCATTATTGCGAGCTCGTGCTATTTCATCTGGCGCATGTCGACCTTCCCTGGACTGGACAGTCAGGATGCCGTGCTCATTGGCATTGCGATTACCTGTGCAGTGTTCCTCTGCGCCTGGGGAATTGGGAGTGGACGCGGCAACATTGTGGAGAGTAGCTTGCTCTTTGCCTACACCACGCTGTGTATCTACCAAATCTTCACCGATTATCAGCCCAGTCGCCCGCTGCCAGACTTACCACTACCCAACGATGTGAACGAGTTTCCCCCTCTGCCACCAGTCCTCATGGCCAGCTTCTCTACCATCACGCAGGCACTGTCCCAACTCCCCGCCAATATTCACAATGGGTTTGGCTTCATGCTTGCTGCAGTTCAGACGGTTACGCCATCGGTTATCATATCGCTCATCTACCGCCTGCTTGTACTGTACGCAGCAGCACGCATCATCCCTGCCATCCGCGAATCTGGAGCACGAGCACTCTCTCATGATCCATCATTCGAAGACTCGGAGGGAGTGCATGGTATCATGGGGCTCCTCACATACTACAGTCCCAGCATCCTGATCGCTGTCTACACAAGCTTACTGATGCAGCACTTCGCAACAGCTTCTGCAGATCATCCTGGAGAGTGGTGGACCAGCCAAGGTGGTGAAGGAGGCGGCAATATCAGTCGATGGGTCAACCTGGCAGGTACGATGGCGCTGTATGCAGTAGAACTGTATCTTGGTAAGGATCAAGACGACGGACTGCACTGGAAGCTCGATTGAGGAACGGCTGTGTGAGAAAGTGGGAGAAAAGAAGAATCAGATTGCAAACAGGCCCATGGAGGTCTCAACGATGCTCAAACCAAGACATCGATAAACCAGCGTGCGAATCCGGTACGGCGCTGGAAAGACCATGACCAAGTCAAAGTGCATACCTTGATCATGAGGTACCATCATAGCATCAGCTTTATCGGTTTTGGTGCTGCGAATCGATTTCGAAATTCGGACCAGTTGCCCAAACGAGCAGCTGAGAATTTCCATTTACAAATTAGCCACCCAGCATTACGGCAGCGGAAGCGGAGGTGAGCCCACAAGTCCCTTTCGTGATATTGGACGAGGAGAGCACTGGCCGAGAGGCTGAGGTAGAACAGGACAGGAGATGAGAGAGGACTAGACATGGACATGGGAGAAGATGGCCATTTACGGTGTCACTCATCATGCGGAGTGAAGTATCCCAAACCAACTGCTCGATTACATACCCCAAAGAGTTAATTTGCTGTTTTACCATTTCTCACAGTGTCTGCCTTTGTATAGTCAGGTTCTTGCAGTAGAAGCTTGCCGAGGTGGAAGCGTAGGAGGTTTCCTTTCCTATGGGGTCACGTTTGGTTGTGTACCTGCCGATCTCGTCACCAAAATGTCACGAAATGTACGTCATGATGCTCCCGTTTGAACGTCAATTGGAAAGAGCGCATTTCCTTATTAAGGCCAGGTACTGAACTCTACCAACCTTAGGTCTCTTCCAACGCGGAGATATTTCCAAGACATTCACCACATATTCCCGTCTCTCTCTCTCTCTCTCTCTCTCTCTCTCTCTCTCTCTCTCTCTCTCTCTCCATTTCGACAGACACTCTCAACAATCCACCCACAGGCAACTTGCATCTCAAGATGGCAGAAACCCACCACTTCGACGCCAACCGCCTCTTCTCCGTCACCGACTACGTCTGCCTCATCACAGGCGGAGGAACAGGCATAGGCCTCATGGCCGCCCAAGCCCTCGCAGCAAACGGAGCCAAAGTCTACATTACCGGAAGAAGAAAGGAAGTGCTAGAGAACGCGGCCAAAGAACATTCCAACTACCGCGGTCAAATCATCCCCATTGGTCCATGCGATGTCACCAAGAAAGAAGACCTTTCCTCCCTCTTCGAAGAACTGCAAAAGAAAGAAAAATATCTCAATCTCCTCGTCTGCAACGCCGGAATCAGCGGTACCAAAGCCGAACCGGAACATGAAGACGCTTCGGATTTGAGTAAGAAATTATGGGAAATGGAGAGTGTGGACGTGTGGAGTAAGACGTTCGAGACAGATGTGACTTCAGTGTACTTCACTTCTGTAGCTTTCCTCCCTCTCCTCCAAGCCGCGACGAGTAAAGGCGGAGGCAAATTTGAGGAATTCTCGGCAAGCATTATTACCATTTCGAGTATGAGTGGGATGATGAGGAATGCTCAAGGACATTTTTCGTACAATGCTGCCAAGGGCGCCACGGTGCATTTGTCCAAATTGATGAGTTCGGAGTTTCAAAAGGCGGGAATTCGAGTGAACAGGTTTGTGTTTTGCTCTCTCCTCTTTACTTTTTCTTTTGACTGACTGAATTGCGTGTCGCAGTATCGCACCTGGCTACTTCCCATCCGAAATGACGGCCAATGAATCCGATTCTCGACAAAAGTCGGAGTTTCCTCAGGAAAAGATTGAAGCGACGGGACATGTTCCGATGATGAGAGCGGGACGAGACGAGGAAATTGGCATGGGGATTCTGCTGTTTGCGAGAAATCACTATGTCAATGGACAGATTCTGGCGATTGATGGTGGCGTGTTGAACACTGTGCCTTCGTAGGGGGTTAAAAAAAGGGGGGAGTTGGGGGGTATGGTAAACAAGTGCAGAAAGAGAGTGAGATGATGCCTCGACGAAGATTCAACGCTATATATATTACGTGTGATGAATACCTGAAATATGATATATAGGGTATGTTCCTGCTTCCAATCGCACTAGCAACAATAGACAGCATAGCGATTCCAATCAAAGCAGTGAAGAAAGATCAGGTAGGTAGGTATGAACAGTCTCTCGGTGAGCATGGAGTCTTGGTATCTTTTTACTGTAATGTTTTCATTAGTAGCTCAGTAACGCAAGTAGAGTATTCCCGAGCTCGTAGTTAGGTACCTGAGGTAGGTGTACCTGAGGTAGGCCCACTCGCATTTCCACACCCAACGCCGCGCGTGCGCATCAATTCCCTCGCCACAAAATAAAGAACAAACATCAACATCAACAGCAAAAGCAGCAAAAGTAGCAACAGCAATAAAAGCAATAAAAGCAAAAAAGCAAGAAAATCATCCCAAAAAAACATATCCGCTCACAATCACAACCCTTCATCTCCTCTTTCTCTTCTCTTCTCTTTCCCTTCCCCTCCATTCTCAAATACATAAAAAAAGGGGAGTTTTTTGTTTTCAAAAAACCCATCCCCTCTCATCCATAATCCTCCTCCGATCACCAAAAGCCTCTTTAACACACTCTCTTAACATGAGTCTCTGATACCAATCATATGCCCTCGGCCATTCCCTCTTCCACTCGACTTCAATATCTTCGACAAAACTTTCCATCAACAAACTCGTCACGACCTCTCGCGATGCAATGTACATCAAATCCGCATATGTGCATCGATCGCCGACGAGATAGAGATTTCCTGTCGCGCTCAAATGGCCTTCGATGGTCGAGAGGGTTTCGCGGATGGTGCTGCGGTAGTATTCGTGCACGGAGATGAAGGCTTCGTTGCAGCTGCCGTTGAGGAGGGATTCGTGGCCGCTGCCGAATTGGTGCCAGGCTGTTTTGTTGGGTTTCGAGGTTAGAGGAGGGGGGATTGATTGGAGATGCGTGCGAGAGTTGGAAGAAGGAGAAAAAAAAAGAATAAACTCACCCCATTGTTTTTGATGCCATCGTTCAGGAAATGAAGTATATCGAAGTTTGTTTTTCGAGTCGTATGTTTCTACCAAGTATTCCACGATTGCTCCGGACTATAATGGAAAAGGAGAAGGAGAACAAAATGCAAAAAGTCAGCAAACTGACACCCGAAAAAAGAAAAGTTCCATGTATTGCAATATATTGGCAAGAACATTTCAATTTTTTTTCTGGTCTGGGATAAGAAGAGGGTGGACTAGGTAAGGTAAGGTAGGTAAGGTACATGTAGAAACGCTCAAAACAAACGAAACATAAAAGCCTCACCACACCCTCAGACCACCTCACCACACCCCCCTCCCCTCCCCCTCTCAAAACACTCACAAAACCAAAAACACCGAAAAGAAAAGAAGAAAAAGGACGTACCTCCCACAACATGACCCCCGTATTCGGATCCTCAATCGCCGGCACAGCGCGGTTCATGGCCGAAGGAGGATTCGGATCATCTCTCAGAGAAGCCAAATCGAGAACTTTTAATCCATATGCCAGACCTAATTCCTTGAGAACCAACACGACTTTGCAGAGATGTGGACCGGAAATGTCGCCATAGACGGATATGGGGAGGAGAGGTGGTGGATGAGGGACTCGTTTTTGTCCTCGTTGTTGTTGTGTGTGGTGATTGGCGGTGGAGGAGGAGCGGGCGGAGTGGATGGATTGGGAGGCTGAAGTGGTTGCTGTTGTTGTGGCTGTGGCGGAAGAGGAGGGGCGGCTGCTGTTGTTGTTGGTGGTGGTGGAGGTGGAGGTAGAACGCATTTTGGGGGCGGGAGGGGAGTTGTAGACGGCGAGGAGTTTGCAGACTACGGAAAAGGCGAAGCTGGAGACATGAAAAGCTTCTTTGCGGCGGAGTCGGGAGGAGATGGTTGAGGCGGTGGTGGTTTCGGCGATGGAGAGGTTGGAGGATGCTGTGGTGTAAGCTTTGAGAGAGGTGGTGTCACTCATGGTGTTGTTGTTGTTGGTGGTGGTGGTGGGAGTGTTGTTGTTGGATGGGTTATCTCAGAGACACAAATTTGAAGGGAGGAATGGAGGGGTGTTGAGCATTGTAGTAGTAGTGGTAGTAGTAATAATGATGATGATTATTATTATGGATGATACGCATACTCAGGTTAGCAGCAGCATGGAGGCGGATAGGAGTGGGGGAGAGGGGGCGGAGAGAGAGAGAAAGAGAGAGAAAGAGAGAGATGATGAGGATGATAATATGTTTTCGCAGAAGAAGACAGAAGAGAGAAGAAGAAGAAGAAGAAGAAGTCAGAGCAGAAGGAAGGAGAAGAAGAAGTAATTGCCGGTTTTACACAATCGGCGGATTCATGGGCAATTCGTGAATGGGCATTGGCGACGAGTACAGGTCAGGTAGGCACGACTGGGTAGAGAGAGAGTACAGGACTAGGTAGGTAAGGTACAAGATGCGGCGTATTGGCAGCCTTGTGGATATGGCCTGGATAATCCATGTATGTCTCGCGTCGGATTCGGCAGCGATGCTAGTAAGAGGAGAGGAAACGGGGGGAGGGAGGGGGCTTCATCCTGGACATCCAATCGCCATGTCCCGCCACTGACAACCAGGTCATATGTACACTCATCAGACTACTCAGTCACTCCTGCTCCCATCGCGTAATCTTCCCAGATGTGGTTGGGTGTCGTTGCAGTAACTTTATCCCTACTATCGTGGTCGAACTGGGAACCCAAAAGGGGGCACGCAAGAAGGGGGAAGAGAGGGAGGGGGGCGGAGAGGAGAAAAGTTACAAAGCCATAGCCATAAGATGATGAGAAACCTGGGAAACAAGAAGACAGAAATGGGTGCAAATAAAATGATGATGGATGAAAGCAGCCCCTTGGCGACACTTGGCGAGCACATAGCGAAGTTGTCGTCGCTGGGCAAGGCAAATGGATACGGTAAGTGTAAAGACAGACTCCCAAAGTATCTGTGCTCGTGGAGTCGGCTGTAACCCTTACCTTACCGTTCCTTACCTTACATATACTTTCTACGAGGACGGACGGGGACGGACCATCTCTTTCCCCGACGCGACACGACATACCTCCCGTCTTCAACCTCGGCTCCTCCGGCTAGCCCATGGCGGTCTTACTACGTATCTTTTTTTCATTCAATTTCAATATCCACATAGCGACATATTAAAACCAAAAAAAAAAGCACCTGTCAGACTGTCATCACAACCACAAGCTTCCACCCGAGAGTAGATATCATCACAATCTATACGAATCCTGTAGAATCCGACCATGCCATTTCCACATTTCCCACATTTCCCAGTTTTTTCTACACGCTTGCGACGGGGTCTGTAACTCTCTATCCGAAACTATATCTATATATTTCTTTCCTGATCTTCCCTCCGATTTGTCCCTTCCCATCTCCAGACGAAAGATAAGATACGATACGAGGATAATGATACGAAAAAAAAGCTTGCTGCTTGCGACATTTAGACGAGGAAGAGGTGTTTGGCTGTGAATGAGTGGTTGGAACGAGCGACGTGTTCTGAGGTGCATGTGTACGGTATGTCTCTCTCTCTCTCTCTCTTTTCCGGCAAAACCATTCCGGCGAGACCAAGGTCCATGTATGTATGTCGGTCGGCAGGTTGCCCATCTCGGGCACTAGGTAACTCGCTTGGAGTCCTCCGTACATACACTACTGACGAAGCGTCCGTCCGTCCATTCCCTAAGGCTACTCGCATATAACAAAAAAGTAACGAGTCTTCTTCTCCCCACATCGTAGTTGAACATGCGACAGATTGGTACGTGCAAACTTCCATCTCAAATCAGACTCTAGCATTCTCCTAAAAAGGAAAGAATCTCGATCGGGTTCGTATATCTATCTATCTAAGGTAGGTAATAATGCTTGTTGATGTGAAGCTTGCTTGCTTGCTTGCTCGCTCAGTTGCTCTCTCGTGCCAAAATGATTTTATCAATGTGAGACTTTTGCTTCGTTTTCTCTCGCCCTTTAAAAAGAACCTTATTATTTTTTATCCCTGTTGACGTTTGATCGACGATGATGATGATGATGAATGATAGAGATAAAGAAAGTGCTAGCGAGCTCGGAGGTGTAGATCATTAGTATATGTAAACGTGTTGTTGTTTCCCGGAAAGTTTGACTTTGACCTGTTCCTCGTAGCGGCGAAGAAAGGAGGATGTAAGTAGACGGTAGACCTGCATCAAACAGCAAATTGTACCTGCATCAGCTCGTACAAATACCTCCTAGTACCTAGGAAAAGGTAGATACAGGCAAACAGGGTCCAGTCTATTCCAACAATAGCTAACTACATTACATTACATTACATTACCTACCAACCTCTTATACAACTATTTTTTTCAAACTTGTAGTAGGTAGGTACCTATAATGTAAGTCGTCTATACCTTTTATATGTATACGAGAGAAGACTTTTCTATATATCTGATCCAAGAAAGTATCAATATTTTTCTTTTATAAAAGAGGAAAAAAAAACGAGAAAGAATCCGAATTCCTCTCTATCGAAGAACATCTTACGCCCAAGCGTCGAAAAATCATCTTGGACGAAAAATGCGAGGTACCTTACCTCCTACTTCTATCGCCTAGATACTTTTTGCTTAGGTTTCAGCGTTTATGAATCATTATCCATTCATCCTATTTATCCTATTTACAGGTTATACTTTTTACTCCCCGTATACTCTCGCTACTCGCTACTAATCTACTTCCTCTCCTACATTTTTACCTGCTCTTCGTGTTTTGAGAGTAGTGGAATACGAGGACTGACTGAGTAAGGGAAGTCATGTTGAGGTAGGAAATAGGTATTGAGATACTGCTACCTCTTGGGCGTGCTGTTTGACGTATTGTTACACTTCTGGCGGTGAGTTGTTGGAGCCGAGGTTGAATTTTTTTTTTCTTCGGGATATCTCTTTACATCCTTTATGAACCGATGAAAACAAAGGTCAGCTGGCTAAGGTACTCATATCTATGGCAGAGCTGAGCTGCTTGAGAGTGGAGAGGAGGGCTGTTTGCTGCTGCGTGGCTCTCGCTCTCTCTCCTACACACTCTCTCAGAGGCAGCATATACTTCCTGTATACAGGAAGCAGAGACGATGTCTAGCGACAACATTCTACTCTTTCAAGCTCTCAAACGATACATGCTCACATGACTACGGCCAGTCTCACATGCTTTGACAAGGCAGAATGGATGGCGAGGCGTGAAAAATACGAGAAGAAGCGCCTCGTCGTAGGATCTAATGTCATACGGTAGGATTCGGCGGTGCGGTGTATCGTCTATTCGCATGGCGCTCTCTGCGAAGATGGTGGAGCTGAATCAAACAATTTGGTTTCGTTATGTGATCAGAACTAATCAATACAGATAGACCAGTCTGCACACGCGCAGGCTCGCTAGACCAGATGTCCCAGCCGTTGCGGCTCGTGCGAACCATTTGTGCAGACTGTCTCGCCTGAGACCTCACCTATAAGCGGGCGACTACTCACTACATAAGCTCAGAAACAGCTACATGCATACCACGGCGACGAGCAACATGTCTCACGTACCTCTCATAGGAAGCACACGTACCGTCGTGACGTCGACACAGCCGCATGTGTAGTTACCCTTCACATCTCCAGCAGCAGTAGCAAGTCTCCATGTCTCCTCTTGATGCAGCACACACACACATCTGGCAGCAGCATGGACACATCCTCAGTATCAATGGAGCAACAAGAAGCAAGGGCTTTCTGGACAAAGCAGTTCGCGAATGTGGAAGCCGAACCGTTCCCTCGTCTGCCATCTTCGAATTACACTCCACGGCCTAGTCAGAGTGTCGAGCACAACATCGAAGGCCTCGGATGGGACTCTAGCGCTTTCAAGCCCTCGGTCTTCATACGACTGGCCTGGGCAATCCTACAGTCGCGTTACACCAATTGCAATGACGTTCTTTTCGGAGCAGCAGCAGGCGTCAATGGCACGGCATTCCCGAATCGCGTGCAACTGAAGCGGGATGAGACGGTGTGGGACGCACTGCGAAGTTTACAGACACAGGCCGAGCAGATGGCTGTTCATAGCCGTGTGGACTATACGAGCTTGATCCAAGACGGGAGCGACGAAGCAGAAATCGCCAGCAGCTACAAGACGTTGCTGGTGTTGACCTCGACAGAGGCTCGGCCACAGCAGCAGCAGCGAGAGCGAAGACGGAAATCACTGGTCGATCTGTACGCTCTGACCATGGAGTGCACCATCTCCCTTTCCGGCCTGTGGGTGAGGTTTGTCCACGATCCGGCCATCCTCAGCAATGAGCAGGTGGAACGCATGCAGGCTCAACTGGGTCATATCTTGAGACAGATCTTGATGCAGCCCCAGTCCCACATTGGCGACATTGGCGCTGCGAGCGAAGAAGACTTGCAAGACATTTGGAGCTGGAATGAGTATGTCACCGAGGCCGTCGATGTCTCCATGACGAGCACGCTGGCAAAGGCGACGGCGGCACACTCCGACGCACTGGCAGTCGAGGCATGGGACGGCAAGCTGACGTATGGCCAACTGGACGAGCTTTCCACGCGATTGGCCTTCCACCTCGCAGCGGCCGGTGTGGCAGCAGATACCATCGTGCCGCTCTGCTTCGAAAAGTCCATGTGGACGAGTGTTGCCATGTTGGCTGTCGTCAAGGCGGGAGCTGCGTCCATGTGCTTGAACGCGAGATATCCAGCAGAGTACCTTCGCAGGCTCGTGAACCGCTCGCAACCAGCCGCCGTGCTATGCTCACCAGGAACGGCGAGATTGGCTGCACAAGTGACTGATCATTTCATCGTCACTTTGAGCAACGACTTCTTCGCAAAGCTCAACGTGGAACCTCTCGAACCACTCCCTGCAGCCCAGCCATCCAGTAGACTCTGTGTCATTCCCACATTTGGCAACTCGCTCGTCGCGCTCACGCACAGCAACTTTGTCACTGCTCTCGTCCATCAGACGAGACTGTTCGAGATTACCAACCTGTCCCGCATCTACGACCTGGACTCGTACAACTCGGACCTCATCTGGCTCAATCACTTCCTCGCCTTCACGAACGGTGCATGTCTGTGTGTACCCTCTGATGAAGAACGGAAAGGCGACCTCGCCGAATCGCTGTCTCAATTCCAAGCCAGTGTCCTCATTACCACTGCCTCTTCGGCGCAAAACATTGATCTCTCACAAGCCATTGACCTTCAAACTCTGGTCGTCTGTGGTGAGACAACCCCGAAACTGGAACTCCCACCACATGTCCGACTTATTTCTGGACATGGCGTGCCCGAATGTACCATACTGGCAACATACGCTACGGAGCAGCAGGTGATGACGAACAGTCACTGTCTCGGACGAGTACCAGCCGGCAATGCCTGGGTGGTATCCACATTTGAGCCCCGAGAGCTTTGTGCGGTTGGCGAAACTGGAGAACTCTGGCTGGAGTCGCCCCTTGTTGGTGCTGGCTATGTAGATGATGAGAAGCGGACTCAGGCGTACTTTGTGAACGATCCTGGCTTCTTGACTCGAGGTGGGCCAGATGTCGCAGGCCGGAATGGACGACTTTACAGGACAGGGGATCTGGTACGATATATGCCCGATGGCTCTCTCGACTTTGTCGGATATCGAGACCCGTACATTACAAAGACACGTGGGCAGCGAATTGACCTCACCGAGATCGAAAGTGAAATGCGCCGCTTACTCGGGGGCCAAGTGGTCGATGTGGCAGCACAAGTCATCTCTCCGCAAGGTCAGCCTGCACCAGTCCTTGCTGCTTTTCTCGTCCCGGCTGGCGATGTGAACGACTCGAGCCTGCTGGGAGAGACTGTTGCAGAGCTTGCAGAGACGCTCATGGTCCAGCTCAAGCAGACGCTGCCTTCACGCATGCTGCCCGTCGTCTTCTTGCCCATCCGATCCTTGCCACGGATGGACAATGGCGAGTTGAACCGGAAAAGACTTCGTTATACTGCGGAGCTCAAGTCTCAAGTTCCAGAAAATCGAACGGCCATTCACGCCATCCGGCCCAAGCAAGCCATGACGATTCTTGAAGTCCAGCTGCAGCAGTTGTGGGCGCAAGTGCTGGGAATCACTGACCGTTCGTCCATCACCGCCAATTCCAATTGGATGGAACTCGGTGGCGATGAATCAGCTGCTACTCGTCTCGCCAATGCAGCGCAAAATTGGGGTCTCGAGGTATCAGCAGCAGATATCCTTGCTCAACCCCGATTGGCAGATATGGCAGAGCGTGTCAAACATTTCCACCGAGCATCGATTGTTGCGCCGGAAGGTATCGATCAACCGTGGTCCGACATGCGTCGAGGCACTTTTGAGTCGGACTTTGGATCTGTTGCCTCGTTTAGTAGTGCGGTCGCATATCATGAGCCATCCTCTAAAGTTGACAGACGTCGGTCCAGTATTCTAGTCAATGGGAAAGAGGAACTCCCCCCTGCTCCTATGGCTTTGACGCCAGTCACAGCGATGCAAAGGAGATTTCTGTTGGGGTCTGTAAACCGCACGCCTATTGGGACCGAATACTATGCATTTGACGTGCAGTCATCTCTGGATCCAGTCCGAGCCATCGAGGCATGCCGAAAGCTATGTCAGCACTTTGACGTTCTTCGCACCATTTTTGTACAGGTCGAGGACGCCCTCTACCAGACCATTCTCCCTGAAGTCGACGTTCCCATGGAAGTGCATCAAGTCAGCAACAGCAGCAGCTTAGAAGAAATCTCCCTGGCAGTGATTACAAAAGACTCTCAAAACTTCCCCGTCACCCTCGGTCGAACTTTCTTGCGCATCTATATCCTGCACAACCCTTCCACTTCGCACTTGCGAATCATTCTGCGTACCAATCAAGCCTATACAGATGAGAAGAGTATTTCTATTCTCAATTCTGCACTTTCCACCGTCCTCGCTGGCAAACCTCTACTCGCTGCTCCTCAAGGACAACAACAACCTTCTTCTTATTCATCTCATATGACCGAAGCCAGTAAATCCTACTGGCGAAATCTCCTTCTTGGATCCACCATGTCTTTTATCCCTCGCTCATCAACATCTCAAACCCAACCAACGAGAACCATTTCCGTCTCTTCTATCTTCACCTTGCCCACTACTTCTTCTTCTTCTTCTTCTTCATCAACACCACCACCACAAATCCTCTTCACAGCCTCCTGCGCCCTCCTCTTTTCCCAAATTTCCGGCTCTACATCTTCTTTTTCAACAAAAGCAAAAGAAGTTCTTTTCGGCCACATATTCTCTCCTCCTCCTCCTTCTTCTTCTTCTTCTTCTTCTTCGCCAACAAAAATCGGCAGCAACAAAATTCTCATCCCGATTCGATGTCGAATCTCAAATCCTTTTTCTTCATATGAAATCATCCGGCAAATTCAAGAACAATTTTCTGCGGGGAAAGCTTTTTATGGAGAAGGATTTGATTTTGCAATGGTGGCAAATGATAATTGCTATGTGAGAGATTGTCGGGGAAAAATTGAAAAGGGAGATTTTGGCGCTGTGGGGGAGTGGGTTGAGGATTTTTCGGCTTCGACTTCGGCTGCTTCGGCTGCTGATTCTGCTTCGGCTGATGGGGGAAGTGGAAGTGGAAATGGAAGTGCAGGAACAGTAAAACTTCTTCGTCCAAGAAGAGGAAAGAAAAATCCGATTTCCAACTCCAACAAAGAAGAACTCGAAGAAGAACTCGAAGAAGAACTCGAACTCGAAAGAAGTAACGCCGTCTACATCAAAGCAATCCCTCTCCCTCTCCCTCTTTCCCCTACACAAAACCAACAAAACCAACAACAAAAAATCCAAATCCAAATCTCCGCCCGAAGCGACGTCCACAGTCAGGCAAAATTGTCCGAAATGTTAAAAATTTTCAACGAGATTTGGGAGAAAATGGGGAGGGAGTGTTTGGTTACAGATCCTGCTACAGGAATGGGAATGGCAGGAAGGGGGGAGAATAAGAGGAAAATTTCGATGGCGGAGGGATTTTTTTAAATTTTTTTTTGGGGGGGGGATTGGGATTCTCGACTTGTTTACTTACCTGACTATTTCTGATTGCGTTGTTATATGTCTTCCTATGTCTTTCTAGTGATGTAGAGGACCTTAGCTTAGAAGGAATTCCCTTTTACTACCCTATTTTTAATTGCGTATATGCGTGATGTACCTACCTATCGTCTTCTCCACTTATGTACTTCGGAACAACAACCCTATCTTGTACTTCGCTTACAGTCCTTTTTTTTCATTTTCATTTCAATACATCCACAATCCTTATCAAAGTTGAACGTCCAAGGGGCTAGATTAAAAGATAACCTAAGGTATATACCCCGTACCTCCTAGGTACTCCTCTTATCTTCTCTGTTTCTTTCTCCCTTACTCCCTTACCTTTCCTTCTACCTATACCTATACCTATACCTATACCTTCCCTTCCCTTCCCTTCTACCTACCAAACAACCCAATCCTTTCTTTATATACAGAGTACATCCTTCCCTGAAAAAACAAAATCGAATCGAATTTACCTTATATAGGATAAAGTCCAATACTTCCAAAAAGTAAGTCTACACACATCTAGCAATAATCGGAGACACTGTTAAAGACAGAGAAGCAACCAAACAAACAAGCAACAATCCCGAATCTTCTTATCTAATCCAAACCCTCTACCTTATCCCCAATATTCCTTCCTCCCCTCCTCTAAATTCTCCAACGTAGAAAACACCCAAAACCCAGTTTAAGACACAAAAAGCCGAATCGGATACAATCCGCATTAGACTTATAAAAAGGCTAGAAGTTTTTAATGCGGACTGCATCCGGTTCGGCTTTTTGTGTCCTAAACTGGGTATTGGGAATTTTTCTAGGTCGAAGATTTGGGGGGAGGGGAGGCTGATGGGAATAGCTAAGAGAGAGAATTGTTTTTGATGAGGATGATAATGATGATGATGATGGTTTGGAGTTGAGGGGGAATGGGGTGGAGTTGAGGTGGGATTGAGGTGGAATTGAGGTGAATTGCAAGTTGCATATAAACGGGCTGCAAAGACAATGGATATTATCATCATTTCATCATTTCCACTGCTATGCTATACACCTTACGCGCCACACTTTTTGCAAGAGGCGCACAGTGCCGTTCAAAAAAGTGCTTTCTATACGAGTCAAAACGAAACCCCCATTCATTCCGTCAGGCGATATAGACACTCGTGTTCGGATGGTGATTGTCACCTCATCCCTCGGTCGTATCCATGGCTTCCCCAGCAGGAGCAGCAGCAGCAGCAACAACCTTGGCGCGCTCGGCCTTTTTCTGCTCCCTCCAGTCATCAATCTGCTGTTTGAGCTCCACATTATCAATCACTTCTTCAATCTTCAACGGCACTCGATTGAAGGGATCGGTAGGATCCGAAAGCAAATGAGTCCGAATCGTACTTCGATCAACAACACTCTTGCTGCTGGGTAGAGTGACGGGGTCCGTCATCAAAATACCCAATAAAGGATCCTCAAACTCCTCGGGAATCTCTCCCAAGTCGGCCTCTTCTTGATCATCCAAGGCCTTTGCCTCTGCGACCTTGACACCAAGCTCTTCCCAAATGCGAAGTTGTTCGGGAGATTTAAATGCGCCATTCGACATAATGTCTCGAGCTTTGGCGAAATTTTGAGGTTTGTACGATCTACCGTCTTTTGCAATGGCGCCGATGAACTCTTGCTTTTGCGAGAGATTGATGTACACTGTCATGATCTCTGCCAGAAGACTCTTGGGTTGCCATACCGTCCGGAGATCGTCGTCCTTGACAATCATCTGCTTCCGCTTCTCTCCAACGAGAATGTCCAGGTTGTAGTCCAGCATGTCTGCGAGACGAGTGACAATCTCTTGCATGGTGAATGCATCAGCGAGGGTCTCTGTGAAGAGAATGAGAGACTCCATGGTCGTAGTTGTGAGGCCCAAAAAGCTCTTGGCTCGACCTTTGTGGTCCTCGAGCAAATCTTGCTTTTCCTTGCGTTGCTCTTCTGTCAATTCCTGCATGAGCCAGGGCGTGGCCATCTCCGTGGTGAGCTCGTTCACTTTTGCTAAGCTCGACAACGACTCATCGAGCACAAACGTGACATCGTTCACCATCATGTTGACGAACTGCACGAAGAATGCCGTGTTGTGACGAGACTCAATCGCCAAATTTTCTCGGTATTTGGTGTTGATCCAGATGCGCTTCACCACTTGGAATATCTCGTAGCGTATGTTGAACTTGTCATAGAATTGCGTGTGCGAACCGGTATGCTCTGCTTCAATGTAGAACTTCATGAGCGCGTGAAGGAGGTGAGTGTTTGCAAAGTCCGATCCTAATAGCTGATCGTGAAGCACGCCAGGTCTGTTGTTGGCATATGGCATGATGCCGTAGTAGAGAATGGTGACGAGCCCAGACTTGACGCTGACATTCTTGACATACTCGCTGCTACGCAGTAGCGTAATGGCGAATTGTACAAGCTCGGCAGTCTGGGTCGGAACAATGGCTTGAGGCATGTTGGATGTAACGAACTTGAAGTTGTCTACCACGCCTTCCACGAAATACTCGGGCAGGCACTTGAAAGCCTCTGGCTGCTTTGAGGGCAGAGGAAGTCGAAGTTGCTCTTTTGGCAGATTCTGTCCACTTGCTAGGCGAAGCAGCCAAACCATGACATAGCGCATGAAGTCCATGGCGGCCTTTTGCGTGGAGTCGTCAAGCAGGACGCCAGTAGTGGCATGAATGGTGCTCCACGTTTCATCGATTGTCTTCTTAATCTTATTGATGTGGGCATCAAATCGTGCTAGATAGCGGTTGTCATTCAAGTACTTGTGGCGCTCGCTCTCCAGTTCCATGAGATCCTTCTCCGTCCGCTTGACGCTCTTTCGCATAAGAGTCATGCGCGTCTGTGCCGCCTCGGTGCCGTAATGGTGAGCGGCGACGGTGAGGAAGAAGAGCTCGGAAATGAAATTGTTCGTGCCTGCGGCTGGGGTCTGGTAGAAAGCATCGCTGGTGGCCTGATCTGCATTGATCTTCGTCTCATCCTTGATATCGACCCGAGGACTTCGGCGAAGATAGTCTACATCAATGCGATCAACCTTGCCGAAGCTGGCATCGATGAAGGGGCTACAAAGTCGGTCGAGGACACTCGTCACGTTGACCATGAAGCCATCACTGGAAACGCGTCTGTAGTCGACTCGCATGGCGCGCTTGTGGTGATTCTTGTTGACGCACATTGCGAACCAGTCGAGCATGCGGACTCTCGTGGCAGGGCCGGTCTTGACGATGCCATCGGTGATCAAAAAGAGCTGCTCCTGATGGGTCTTGAGAGTCATACGAGTGGCGTTCTGCGCGTTTGCGATGAAGCCCTTGTCTCTCGTCTTGGGCGCTGAGAAGTAACTGTTTGCAGCAGCTTGTTGCATGGGAGACAGACGGAAGAAAGGACCAAGCAGAGTTTTCGTCTCGATGTCTTGGGCTTGTATACCTTCCGGCATCCACAAAGGTGATCTCGTGACGGCATCTAGGATCTTGGAGAAGCGCAGCAAGTTTCGAATTGCCGTAATGTAGTTCATGTAGTCATCGAGCATGTCCTTCTGGGCAAGTTGTTGGCTCAACTTTTCCGCAGCTCCGACGATAGTTTCACTAATCATATCGTCTTCTTCCCATCTTGATACGGCTTCATTCAAGAAGTCTGTGCAGATACCATGATCCCCCTCAGGATCCGTCAGAAGACAATCGACCAAAGCATTCGTGGTGGGCTCGTAGTCGGGAAACATGTCTGGCATGGTGATGGCAAAGATGCAGTAGCTCATGCTCATGCGTCGTGCCTCTTTCAGCACTGCAGCCTTCTGCTCGTTGCCCAAGTTTCGCGGATCCTTGCTCGCCTTGACTGAACGCTTAAAGCACTGCAAGAAGTACTCGAATATCTTGCCATTCACATGCGATGCTCCCTCGGCAAGGATGCTGTCCGAGTTGTCCACCGTCAGAAGCTCCGTGCCATCGCTCTTGACTCCTTGGAGAAATACCAGCTTCTGTCCATGTAGATCCTTAGTCTCGCCCTCCTTCAGCGTGACACGGTAAATCTGCTTCAGCGTCTTGTCCTCCCATGATTCCAAGCTCTCTGCCGGTCGAGGTGCTGGTGATGAGCGTGACTGGGGGCGCTCGGAGCCATCTCGATCGCGCTTGACGCCTGGAGAAGTCTGTCGGGGCTGTACCGTAATCTTCACCGGCGCGCGAGCGGGAGTAGGAGCAGAAGAAGGCTTCTGGGTTTCCAGGCTGCTCAGCAGCTTGCTGCGATCGATCGGTGGCGTGGCTGGCTTGTCATCGGCGCCGTTAGTCGACGATGCTGCGGTCGCTGCCGGTGGTTCTGTCGTCGTCGGTGCAGTGGTGGGCACATCTGCGTTCGAGTTGGTATTGGCAGTCTCCGGGCGGGTGGTGCTCGACCCAGCGCCACCTAGCTTCGCCAGACGCTTCGCCCGTATCTGTCACATGCGAGAGTCAGTATGCTAGGTCGACAGGGAGTGGGGAGATGGTTAGCGGATACCTTGTCAGCATCTGCCTGTGTGTCTTCCATCTTGAGCTACCGTCTCTTGATGCACTGGTGAAAGCGCAAGAGGGGAGAGGTAGATTCGGTGGTTTGTTTGGAGTTGATGAATGCTGACTACGACAGCGAGTGATGTGATGTAGTACATTGAGATCGGTGTCGGGCGGGACGCCGGGAAGACGCGCTCCTTCCACCCACATCTACATGTGCATTACCCACTTGGCGACAACTTTCACTTGTGGCACGGCTTCACTCTTGGCACGACACCAGCACTGTTCGATGTGCTTGCTATTCACATGTTTCATCGCATCCGCGCATTGATATCGAGGGGTCGTCGCCGAAGATGTCTCTCCCAGGAGCAACACGCTCTATGCCACTCCCTTCTTTCTCTCCCCTTTCCCATGTGCAGGGGAAGGGCTTACTGAGTGCTTCTCTTCATAGATCAACCTTGAGAACGTGGCGATAGCACCGAAAAAGAAATCACCCTCGATGCAGGCACATTGATCGACCGCTTTGGAGAAGATGATACAGTCTACTTCGCTCCATTTGGTACACTCGTCTCGCAGCGGTCCCTACCGCCCAGTAGTCTCAACCCGGAGCAATTCTACAATGTGTACGAAGTCCTTCGGCCTCTTCGAGTAGCCGCTGGATCCATTGAGCCTGGCTTTGAGCGACCCGGCGGTGGAGTACAATACATTGCCGTTCTGGAGAACGAAAACCCCGCAAAAGAAGAAATCCAAAACTGGTTCCAAGCGGGCTGGCTACGAAAGCGTGTCAAAGACGCAAGCTTATTCGTTCCTGTTCTGGAAAAAAAAAACATGCCACCACTCATTCTCATCTATATCTTCTCCTCATAAATCAATCCTACCCAACCCCCCATCCCCTTCTCCCTCCTCCCCCTCTACCGTCCCCGTCCCCGTCGCCACGGCATCCACATCCACAAAAGTCAAATGATCCCCATACGAGATACACAACTCCTCCCCAACTTCAATATCCTTGAGTGCCGTATACACAATTACCTGCCTCTCCAGATCTCGCTTCCAACCCACATTTTGGTTTTGTGTAGAATGATTAAACATGGATCCCAAACCCAATACCACAGCTTGTTGCGGGATTCCTCTGGAAGACTGGCCATTGGTAGTGGTGGTAGAAGGCCAGTTGTAAGTGTAATGATAGAGTTGCGTTTGAGCGATATGGGTCGTGTTTTCTTGTCTGGAGAGGATTAGGACGGGACTTGTGTCGATTATGGTTCCTCGGGGGATGCGGGAGGATGGGTAGACTGCTCGGCCTGGGATGAAGGGGTGGCAGGTTAGGTCCATGATTTGTTTCACTTTGCATGGGAACAGTTCTATACCTTTTGGAGTGTTGAGGGCTAGATAGAGATGGGGGAAACGTTGGAGGTGGATTGTATCTTGTTCTTTTTCGATGTTGTTATTATGATCGTGGTTGTCGTCTTTTTGCGGAGACATGTTTAGCAAACTATGAGCTTTGATAGATTTCTGTTGCCATGGGACTCTTGTTTGATTGAATATGATGTTAATAAGATAAATCTGTATGACTATGAAGGGAAGAGGTGACCTTCGATTGCGGTGGAAAATGTAGAATTCGGAGCCGCAAATCCTTGTCTGTCAACCAGGCTATCATCCTATACCATCAACATCAACATCATGCCATCTCCAGAAGCGAGACACAAATGCACAATGTAGCATTCTAAAGTCACCTCACCATCAAAATGGCGACAACGACGACAACCCACAGCCGCGCCCGGTCCAGCACCTTCTCCGGCCCTCACTCCCTCTCCCTCAAAGTCCTGCGCCTCTCCCGCCCCGCCCTCGCGACTCAAGCTCCCCTCCCCCCAACAGCCTTTGGAAACGGCCTCGACATCGCCCCGAACGCTTCTCTCGCCTATTCTACCGCCGACTCAACAGCAACCTCACAGGACGAGAAACGAGACACTTCTGCTCCGTCTTCCTTCCCTCTCACCCAAGCTCTCACCCTCCCCGCAGCTTTCGGCGCAGCCTATGTCGGCGAGACATTTGTGTGCACTTTATGCGTGAACAACGAACTACCTCCATCACCATCGTCAGATGAAGGAGGAGGTGGGTCGGGAGAGGGAAACCAAACCATTACCGTCGTCAGTGGCGTCAAGATCGTTGCAGAGCTCCAAACTCCTACGAGGAACCAGGCTGGTGATGGGGGAATTGCTTTACCACTTGAAGGTGCAGCATCTACGCATGAAGATGAAGGCGAAGGAGGAGAAGGAGGAGGAGTCAAGATCAAGCCGGGTGAAACACTCCAACGGACTCTTCGCCATGAACTCAAAGACGAAGGACAGTATGTTTTGGCCGTGACAGTGAGTTACACAGAAGAAACGCTTCTTCCACAACACGGGGGCACTGTAGTGGGGAGTCGGACGAGGAGTTTCAGGAAATTGTATCAGTTCATCAGTCAGCAGTTGGTTGCTGTGCGATCCAAGGTGACGGAGCGGAAGAAGAAAGATACGACTGCGGCGAGGGAGTGGGTTTTGGAAGCTCAATTGGAGAATGTGGCCGATGGCGGGGCGGGAATTGTGTTGGAAAAGGTGTGGCTCAAGGAGAGTGAAGAGGATAGGGTGGTGGCAAAGGCTATGATGGATGTTGGTGGTACGGTTTTGAAACCTGGGGATATCGAGCAGATTATGTTCCTGGTCAAGGAGGATAAGAAGGAGAATGCGGAGGATGTAGATTTGAGTATGAAGGTACGGCTGGGCCAACTGAACATCGATTGGAGAAGTGCTATGGGCGAGAAGGGAAGTTTGACGACTGGGTGGCTGTCGAGTCGAGGACGATGAACACATTTTGAAACATTTTGGAGCACGATCTGAGATCTCCCCATATCTTGGAGGGAACAACATCCACGACTGCGAATGAACAGTGTGGATCGGCATGTTGCTGATACGCCATAATACAAGTAACGCTAACGCAGGACTGCATTTATTGTGGAAACACAGGTGTTGCACAGCGTAAGGAGATGGCTCCGTAAGGAGAGTCCCCCATTCGCCGGGTCCCGTTCATGATCATTGGTGGGTGGGGAAGCAGGAGGGAAGTCGATGCGAGGAGAGAAACTAGATATCAGACACCACGCTGCAAGAAGGATGTCACGGTGTGGAACGGCTGAGAGCAGGCCAACGCAAGACTGCATATTGTGATAAAATCACGACGCAAGGAGGGAGAATCTGACCTTTCTAGAAGCGTATGGTTCGAAGAGCCTTCCATTACATCGCACAATAGAGCCCACGCTACCTTCTACGAGGTGGTGCAAACAAAATTCTTTCCATGGTTTCCATCATAATACATGAACGTGAGTGCGACGTCTTCTTTGGTACGAAGATAAGGAGGTGTCTAGGAGATTTTTTATCCTTTTGCTGCACCAGTTGATGTATGTAGTATCGTCGAGATTCGAACTCGAAGCGGAATATGTCCTGTTGGTAACTAGTATTGCTGATGCTTGTGAGATTTCGTCTGCCATTTGGATAATGCTGTTGTTGTATGTTCCACGATGGTTGGTGATACTGTTGGTGAGGTGGTCGGTTGCCACCGAAACTCAGTGATCCCTGCTGTGTTGATAAACATGCTGTCCGAACTAGTGCTGACAGGGATCGCGGCTTTATATGTATACTGAGGTACATAGTCCTTGTACCGGATTATCTTGTACCAGTCCTGTCTTGAGCAGCCTACTCTGAACAGCAGAATTCACTTGACGACCTTACGAACTGCCGCATTTGTACAGTTATGAAAGCGGAATAGTGTCCACGACCACAAGACGTAGCATTTCACCCTCCCAACGGCGAAACCACACAGAAATCCACCAGCTCCCATGACATAGACCGACCACCGGACGGTACCAAACATGGGCACGCGGCATCGCTCCCTCAGCGGGCAGTTCATCGACCCGGAAAAGGCGCGCAAGTCATTCGACTCGGCAATATCAGACGATGAATACAACAACACCAGCAGCAGCGCGCCGATGCTGTCGCAACCCCAACACAGACCCACATACGCGTACCATCTGCCCCGGAGGCGCTTCAGCCGCTACTTTACCCTTGCGCTGACCACCATCCTGGCGTTGTTCATTTGGTGGCTCGTAAGCTCTTCATACGCCTCGAGAGCAGAGGTGAAACTCGGCTTGAAGAAGCCTCCGCCGCCGCCTGCATGGGAGTCGTTTCCATTCTTGAAGCGCTACCATGGGGGGATCAGGACGCTGGTAACGAAAAAAGAGAATGAGGCGTTGAAAGAGTACCCCGTGCCAGAGGGAGAGGAGCTGAAGAGGCTCCAGGAAGCTGCGTTGAAGCAGAAAGAGATGGAGGACCAGGAGGCTGCGCGGCAGAGGGGATTCAATAAGAGAGACATTAAGCCGGGGAGACGGTTTGATCCATACTCAAGGGCTGTGGGCAGAGGTATCTACGAGGAGCCTGTTCAGTGTTATCTGGATAACACTACCAGGTCGACTGTGCCGCTGCTTTTGGCCTATGAGGGCGTTCCTAAAGGGTTCCCCGACCCTGTATACGGGAGTCATGAACTGCTAGGTTTGAAGGACGACATGTGCTTCGAGAGATATGGACGACTAGGCCCGTACGGTTATGGCTATAGCAAGAAGTTTGGAGGCACCGGCGCGGGAATGGAAGGCGAAAGGGAAGGCTCAGAACAGGTGTGGGGTGATGACTTGGAAATTGACTACAGAACTGTCAAGTGGGCCGAAGTGCAGGAACGGTGTTTGCTGGCAAACGCACATCGCTTTCGGCCTGCGCCAAAGAGCCAAAAGGATGCTTTCACTTCCATGGCTGCAGCTGGCGTCACCAAGAGAGATGAGCCGGAGGTGAAGGAACAGCCAGCAGAATTGTTGACCGTCAATGGCAAGCACTTTGAGAACCGCACTGCCGTCTTGATCAGAACGTGGTGGGACTACCAGTATGACGAGGAAGATCTATTCTACCTACGCGCACTAGTCAATGAACTGGCCATACAGACTGGAGGCGAATATGTCGTGCACTTTCTGATCCACGTGAAAGACGACAATATGCAAATATGGGCCGACGAAGAGACCTACCAGCGAGTCCTGAATGACGCATTGCCAGCCGAGTTTCATGGCATGGGTACGCTCTGGTCAGAACGTCAGATGGGTCTCATCTACGGCGGCCTGGAAGAGTCATTCTATCGTGATCTTCCAGTTCATGGAGCCTACCGAAGCACGTACATGCCAGTACAGTACTTTGCCCACATGCACCCTGAATACGACTTCTTCTGGCACTGGGAGATGGATATTCGCTATACTGGAAACTTCTTCCACCTCTTCACACAAGTCTCTCAATGGGCCAAACAGCAACCTCGTAAAGGACTATGGGAACGAAACGGCCGCTTCTACATCCCGTCTGAACACGGCAGCTGGGAAGACTTCCGACAAATGGTCCGGGTACAGACCGAGCACGGCACAGCTCATGGCAGTAACGCCTATAACAAGGCCCCTACGGACGCAGCCAAAGCTCACCCGCTCGACACAGCAGCCCGACAACCCGAAATTCCTGTCTGGGGCCCTCTCCCTCCCGACTCGGAGACCACCTTGACAGACCGGCCCGAAAACGATCCCAAACCACCCACCACGTACGCCGAAGACAAATACGAATGGGGCGTCGGCGAAGAGGCCGATCTCATCACCTTCAACCCCCTTTTCGACCCTCACCAAACCAACTGGATCCTGGCAGAAGACACCACAGGCTACAACACCTCTGGAGGTCAGAACCAACCTCCTCGCCGAACCGCCATTATTACCGCTTCACGTCTCAGCCACCGTCTCCTCGAAACCATGCATCGCGAAACCTCCCTCCAACGCCATAGCATGTTCTCCGAAATGTTCCCGGGCTCCATCGCCCTCCACCACGGCTACAAAGCCGTCTACGCCCCGCATCCCGTCTACATTGACCGTGCCTGGCCGACGTCTTACCTCGCAGCCATCTTCAACAACGGGCGCAACGGCGCGGCGGGAGGCGCTCGCACCAGTGTGTTTAGCGATGAACGTCAGAGCAATTTCTTGGGGACCAGTTGGTATTACCATGCGGGATTTTCCCCGAATTTGTGGAAGAGGTGGTTGGGATTCAAAGTCGATGGCGATGGTGGTGAAGAATGGGAATTGGTGAATGAGGGGAGAATGTGTGTGCCGGCCATGTTGTTGCATCCGGTCAAGGATGTGAAGTTGGTGATTGAGCATCGGGAGGGGGAGTAAGATAGTTTTACTCAGGTACAGACATGAGGGGGGATGGTGTCAGTTGTTAATGATGTTGTCAAAACAGAGCTTATTAGGTAGGTAGGTATAGTTTCTGGGGGTTGTTTTTATCTTCACAGAGAACGAGAATGAGATATTTGATGTTTGACATGCACAGAGAGAGAGAGAGATAAGGAAGAAGAGAGGAGAAATAGTAGCACGTAGATGCGTACCTTGGTAGTTCATGTACAATCTACCTACATGTACTTCCTAGCTATTCTATCTTACTTACCTCACCTTACCTGCCTTACCTACCTTCCCTACCTTACCGTACATACACTCTAGGAAGTATATGTATCCTATATCCTATATCCTAAGTTCCAATCTGAAAGTCTGAAAGTCTGAAAATCTAAACCTACGACAGTAGTAGCAGCAGTAAGAGAAGATACCTACCTTTACTTTACTAGAGGAGTACCTCACTCATGATTAGATTATTTGATACAAAACCCTAAGTAGGTAGGTAGGTAGTGTAGTAGAGGGGTAGTTCAAATCATCATCATCAGCGAGTTCCCGCTCGTGAATTTCCTCTTTCTTCTTCTTCTAATACTACTACTAATACTATACATGCACGTTTATGCCCAATTGCACTTCTACAACAACAACAACTACTACTACTGCAACTTCTCCTTCTGCTTGCTCTTCCCCTCCCTCTCCATTTTCTTGGACTTGGTCTTGGACTTGATCATTGGCCACACCACCTTTCTGTTGCATATGCTCGTGAAAATGCCGATTCGTGGAAAAATGCCCGGCCCATACTATACAATCCCAATGCCTCATTCCTTCTGGACTCCCCGTGAATGCACCGCACCATAGGATCGTGTTCACTATTTCCAAATCAATAGAGGGGTAGTTGAATGAGAGTGGATGGTGGCTATTCGGCAATGGAGTTCATTGCGGGAATCGGGTCCAAGTTCTCCTTGTGCTTCGCTTGCTCTTCTGCCTTTTGCTGCTCGGCAACTACGCCCTCCTAGGGCTGGTCCGAAATCAGAGAGCTCAGACCGAGCATGCTGGATACCGGCTTCCTTTTCGTCCTCGCTTGGCTCAGCCGGGGTGCGCCTTGTATGCTGCGAGGCTCTTTCATCAGTGTGGGATCCAGTTTGCTGGGAGTCCGTCCCGTGACTGTCCTGATGTCACCAGGAAATCGGCCGGTGGGAGGTGATGCTGATGCGGAACGCCAGAGGTGGTCCGAAGTGTCACTCAGGAAATCCGTGTTGGACTTGGAGAAGAGGCTCCTGTGCCCGCGGTTTCGCTTGGAAAGGATGATCTCGTCGAACAGTTTGATGCTCGGGTCCTCGGCTCGGGTCGACTCGCGCTCGTGTATGAATTCATTGAAGGATTGTGTTTGCCGCAGCATATTCATATAGTCGCTGTCTCCGTGTGGGACACTCTTCAGGAACTGGTCCATGTTGAAGTGGTAAATGAGTCCCTGCTTCCTCCGTTCTCCCGAAGCGGGATGCATATAGCGCCGGTAGGTGTAGAAGAGTGATGCGAAGCATCGCACAAACGCGGCGCGTACCTGGTCTGCACGGAAAGCAACAGGGCAGACGATACACACCATGGACGCACACCGCCCGTGCACAATAATGCCACAACCTGCATCATCGTTAGTCGGCGAGACCATATCAGCATCAAAAGGACAGGACATCGACTCACCATTGCACCTGAAGACGTCTTCATCGCATCGCTCATCGCAAATTTTACACAATGACCTTTTATCGGCCAGCTTTTTCTGCAAGCAATGGCCTTCCACCCATCTGGTAGTGGGGTTATCTCGCACGGGTTGTGCCGTGGTGGGCTGCAAGATGGTGCTGGCGGCAAGTGTGCTCTGTGCATATATGCTCGGAGCATAGTTCGAAGCCGAGAGCCCTCCTCCCAGAGTGGACGTGGACATGCTGGGGTGGTGTCCCATGCCTGCAGGAGGCGGCTGATGTCCCGGAACAGGCGCACTCGGCCTCCTGACCGTGTTCATACGATCCATGCCAAACTGATGCGGAGCGTTAGTCTTATCGGCGAGAGGATTGCGGGCATGAAAGAGAGAGTGTACCGTGGAATTGCGTCGACTCATGCCGTCCGCAAAGTGGCCCGACCGCTTCTCTCGTAACGAGGCCTGAAGCGCAAAGCCCGAGTCATTTCGTGAGACCGGTGTGCTGGGGAAGTTGACAGACACAGGCGATGGCATCGTGATCGGAGATGGCGGCGAAGCTCCCGAAGAGTGGCTCATCGCACCCGTGGAGCTGGTGGATGGCCTGTCGCTTCCGTTCCCTGAGCTCGGTCGCTGCTCCAAAAAGGCATTCAAGACCGTGGCTTTCGAAGTCGCTGTGAGGCTCGATGCGTCGCCAAAGGTGGTCGAGCTTTCGCTGACATAGTTGGCCAACGTGGAGGGCACAGGGTTCGGGTTGAAGATCTGAGGGTTCTCTGATGAGAAGGCGTCGTATGGGAACGCTTCGATGGCGTACGCCGGAGGGCCGAACGGTACACCGAAGCGCGTGTGGTGTGGTGCCGCAGCTTGCAGCAATGCTTGAAGCTTCCTCCTTTGCGGTCGCGGTAGTTGCGTTTGGTAGTCAGTACTAGTGATGGTGTTTTCATCGAGATCGACGAGACAGTAGTCGTCATCGGGGATCTCGAGTTTCTCATATCGCTTTTCGACGCCTGCAATATACGGACACGGCGCCTCCAGTGCCTGTATCAGCCGGTATGGCAGTACAGGGATGAGCACGCCGGTCCACTTGAGTGGGTAGAGGATGCTCTGCAGTGCTGCAGATGCGAGCTGGAGCATCGCAGTATGTGACGAAAGCAGAATGATCCTAGATTCTGCCAGTGCATACTCGAAGAGAGCGATGATGTTGGGGATCGAGAGGCAGCGGAACAACGCGTACAGATCGGTGTTGCGAGAGCCCGGAATCTCGTTGATGGCTGCCTTTCTCGCGTACAGCCGGAGATCTCGAATGGCGACTTCGACCTGCGTGATGGACGTGATGGGGCTGAGTGCTTCGATGCACAGATTGCAGACATAACGCTCCAGGGGCTGCCACAGCCCAGTCTTCGGAGAGCTGGGCGGCACTCGCAGAATCGCGCCATTGGTCATGGGCACGATGACAGCCTTGAGCCATTCTTTCCAGAAGCTCGTGAGGCCTCCGTCGCGTCCCAGAACACCGTAGGCGCGGGGAATCCAGAAGCCCGTGTCTCCTTCGGTCAGGCCATCGATCTTGGATGCAGCGCCATGTCGTACCGGTCGGAGCAGATCCGTCATCAGCCCAATCTTCTCCTCCACGGCACTGATGTCCTCCTCCAGTGCTTCTCGTGCCTCGGAGCCCAGTTCGTGATGCGGGAGCTCGGACAAGAGTCGACTGAGTTTCGCTCTCTCCGAAGACAGGCGCTCTCCCAGACTGGCGGCCAGCTCCCGCTCTTCGTTGCTCATGTTTGCCTTTCTCCAATCATCACACTGCTTCTCGAGCCCTTCGGACGCTGCATCGCTCAATGGCACCCACATGGTCACGCATACGCCATGAAGCCTGCTGTTGTCCGAATTCGTCATGGTGAAACCATGCCACGATGACCGGGGTCGCTCGTCTGAAGATACCACCGTGACATCGTTGGGGAATACAAACATGGGGACATAGTCCGGGAATGGAGTCCTTCGTTTCGATTCGTCGAACATGGTCTTGGTGGGATAGCGATCGAGCAGGACGGGTTCGTAGCGTCTCTTGAGAGGGTGCATGTCTGCAGGCGTCTGAAAAGGCTGTGGCACGGGTATGACAGAGTTATAGCCACTCAGCCTCTTGGACTGCCGTGCAGAACCTCTGCTCATCACCGAAGAGGCGCGTTTCGTGCTGTTCATGGTGGAGAGCCTTCGCCGTAAGCTGCCAACACCACTCTTGAGGCCGCCGCCCAGAGAGTTTTCATCTTGCGTGACGCGCACCGTCTTTGGCCGTTGCACTCGCGACTTTGCTGGTGTCTCTCTGATTACTGCGCCTGCTGCCACATGTATGTCCTCGAGGAAGCTATCCCGTTCCGAAGCGAACTTCTTAAGTGCCTCTTCAAACGCATCGTCGCTCAGACCTGAACCCCCAATGGTACCCGCCTTGATTGTCGTACTGCTGCGGTTGCTGGCAGGCAGTTTGTCTTCGGTCACATTGATGATGCTGCCCACGCTCTTTCGCCCTTCGAAGCTATATCTCGCCCGCTTCTGCACATCATTCGGAGAGCCTGGCGTCGTGGGTCGTCCTTGGGCGGAAGTATCAATGGCCAGTTCGCGGTCTTCGTCGATCGTCTCTTCCACAGGTGCAGTAGGAACGAGGGCGGCCAACTTCTCGTCGTACACCTGCGGCGATTCAATGCCGGCAATGAAAAAGTAGTCGGCGAGGGGTGCGGAGGTGTCGCCATTAGACGAGGCGTGGCTTGAGGCGTGATTCGCATTTTTGCTGGAGGGCGCCATGAAGCGGAATCGGGGCGTTAGGGCGTCGTGGTGGTCAAACAGAGCAGCGAGTGGACGTGTTTACGCGCGTGATGTACATGCATGCATGCACCAAGTACAAAAAAAACCTCGTCGACAATTGGGAGGCAGGACACTTTAAGAGAGTGAAGAGAGAGAGAAAGATGTGGGCGTTGCTGCTCTTTGCAGACCAGCGACTAGCAGCTCATTGGGAGACGTTCCAACAGTCGTCGCGCTCCAGCTGCCGAAAGATTTTTTGTGTCGAGGGAGCGTTTTTGGGCTGCGTGCGGCATGTGAGTGGGATTGTTACACCCGCCGCCCGTCGACTGTCGACAGTTGGGACCCGGAAAGCCGGTCCACGGTCTGTGTCACGTACAGTAGTAGGAGGTAGGCCTAGTTATTGCTGCGACACGTTGGCCCAGGTTGACTGTCGGTGGCTGCCTTGCCCTGCCCTGTTGGTCTCGCACTTTGGGGATTTCCACCGCACACAAACAGCCCTGCTCGAGAACTAAGGTACAGGTACCTTGCTGCGCGTTGTCTGCGACTCCGCGACGCCGCGATACCAGGTGGAGTCGAGAATGTGTTTTCTGCAGAGCGGTCAAGAGTGTCCACAGCGCGGCACTGTGAAGAAGGTGGCGGTGGCTCGCGTCGATATTAATCGGTCGTGGTTCGGGAGAGGGAGGGGACGGAGGGGGGTGGGAACAGCTCAGAGCGGAAAATGTTCTCAACGTCCCACTGATGCGGACCACGAAGGCGATGCGGATGTTGTTGTTATTATGGTTATTTTTGTTATTGTTGTTGTTGTTGTTGTTGCTGCGTGCAGTCAGTGGAGACTGGGCACTACTAGAGGCGCAACGAGAGCTGTTGTGTCCCTGAAAGAGCCCTTGAAGGAGTGAGATAGAACTAGTACGTGTTGCTCCTAGACCCCGACCAGGGCCAGCTGATAGCGCAAAGTGCTATGGGTATCCTTGACACGCGAGTGATAGCGCTGGGCTTATTGCCCCCACCCGGGCTACTCTGCGGCTCAATAGCTGGTGCGTGCAATCGATGGTGAACAGACCAGACCCCGCTGCAGTCGACTCTGACAGTTGTGTCCAAGGTTATGGCTGGCTGGCGGGCGGGCTGGCGGGCTCAGGGCTGGCTTTGTGGCTGACAGCGGGAGGTGGATGGTTGTTGCGATGGGAGGAGGGGGGAACGACGACAATAATACCAGGTACCTAAGGTCTACTACTGTATATCCTGAGTACATGTAGGTAGGTAATACATTATTCACCTACCTCCTAGGTGACAACAACGAACAAGTAACAACAAGCTCACAGCAACGACAGGCTCATCCGCATCCGCCAGCAGCGACAACAGGGGGAAGCGTGGCCGAAGTATTGCCTGTCTTCTGCAGTGTGTAGTAGTCTGTCATCTGTGCCTATGTCGTGCATCGGATCAGACAACCCTCCCTGAAGGGAGTCCCTCTCCCTATGCCTAGTGGCGCTAGAGAAAGCAGGATGGCTCGAAATGGATGGCGCCCTGAGCAGCGATCCCTCGATTCCTCAGCCTGTTGAGACTATTGACGACGCCAGCCAAAAAACAAGCCTGGGCTGGTCGGGCTTGAGGAAGCATACGGTCACCCCCTTCGTACTACGTAGCGAAGGGGGAAAAAGCACGGTATGCTTGGCAGGTCCCCGTGTCTACAGGTCATGTCCTGCTACCGTTGTCGGTAACTCGGTACCTGCACTCCTACAGTACCTGTATTGGGTGGTGTAGTTACCTATTATTACAGTACCGTACATGTAGTACAGTCGCACCTCATGTACCTGATGCTCTCCGCAAGCAGCAGGAAGAGTACCTCCGTACAAGACCCTCGTTCCGCGCTTGAAGCCACGAGTCATGTTTGTGCATACTGTCGAACACTCCACCATCCCATCTGTTTGAATCTAATTCCGACGCAATCCCCGTTGCCGAATCGTGCGTGCGTGCATGCGTGCATGCTTGCTTGCTTTTCCCGCCGGACCATTCGTGAAATGGAGCAAGGCGTGGGCGTCAACCACGTCTACAGCACATCTCTCTCTCGCAGACTCACACATATAGACGCGCGCTCTATCACACCACACCCGTCGAGCTACTGCCGCCGTTCGTTGTTAGCCTGAAGTCTCTCCTACACCCTCACCAGGGTCTTGATCGGGCGAGCATGGGGGGGCCTTGCCTTGTCCCCATCACGGCACAGCAAGCGAGAGAGAGGGTGGCGACGTAGACTCGTAGTGTGTCCTGTACCTGCAGCTCTCATGCGCCCATTGGCATCTCTCCTCGCCCACAGCCTCTGTCGGAGTGTCGGCTTGACCTTTCCATCTCACTCACCGTAATGAACAATCAAATCATCCCTTATTACTGTAATATCAATCATACTGGGTGACTGGGGAAAGCCAAACTCGGGAGAAGATGGAATAGAACCATGTCATCATACATGTCAGCAGCAGCAGCTTCCCAGCAGGCGTGCAGACGGTGTATCCATCGCGGACGACGATAGCAAGGATAAGGGATCGCACGCACACTGACTGATTGAATGATTCTTTTCTTCCGTAACGCACGATTCGCTGGCAAGGCTATCCTCGCCGCTAGCCGCACATGGTCTTTCTTCTTCCACAGCCTCCTCCACTCTTCCACTCTTCCTTCTCCTTCGTGTCCCACCGACCGGTCCACCGCAGCAACATGGCGTACACGAGGCGTCAACTGCATTACTGTTTCATCTATATTAAAACCCATTCCATCCGCCCCAAACGGACTCACAGGACTGTATTCGATCACTGATTGTGGAACACTGCTGACAGTACCTCCTCCTACGTCAACTTCTCTCTTCTTTCCACCTCTCTACAAACCTCGTCGGAAATTGCTCGCTCGGATTGGGGGTTAGAGGACAATACCAGGCAACTTTTCTTTTTTTCTTCTTTTTTGGCTTCAAGAATCAAATGTCATCTTTTTTGCCAGATTTGAGATTTCTTCAGGCTGAAAAGAGGAAAAAGGCGTCGTGTGATCGTCCCAGGACCCAATATCACACGGAAATAATGTTCGACACGTGGAACCAAAAAAACCCTCTCAAGCTCCTTGAGTCCTTGTCCGTTCATGAATCAGGGCTGTTTTTTTCTCTTATTGATTATTCAAGTCGCAAATAAGAAGTCAGGTACATTAATAACGGAGAGATGTGAGAAGCTGACGACTGTCAAATCATCCGACAAGGGATTCTCCTTGCACTGCGGATGAGATGGAAAGCCTTGTACAACATGTTTTTTGTTTATTACCTAACTTGCTGATTACATAGCAACACCCACCTTGGCCCTTGGCCAGTAGTCTTTCGTTCGCGGCTCCTGCTGGACGGGAACAAGTTCGTCTCGTTTTTTTTTTAATTTTCTGGTAGATGTATCAGAATTTACAGGATCCAGGTACACTACCGGCCAGTACCGAAAGTATAACTTGACCCTGTGACTACCTAGGAGGTATGTCGTTACGAGGCGTGCAAGGAGGCTGGAGCCTGGAGGGAGGGAGGAAGCTGCCGGGCAGGAGGCATCAGCATCGACATCAGCATCAGCAATCCTGTCGATTTGGGGAGCTGGTATTCAGGACCCGTGATGAATTCTTAAAAAAGAAAGAGAGAAAAAAAAAACGAGAAAAACACAGGAAAGAGAGAAAGCGCACGCCCGCACTTACCTTGTACTTCACCATCTCTCCATAATTCATAAATCGTACCTACCAGGTAACCACCATATCCCCCGGGTGCTTTTCTCTTCTCTTCTCTTCTCTTCCCTTCCCTTCCATCCCGTCTGTCTCCCAATCCCCATCCACATCCCATCACCTCACAACAAATACCGATACGTCGGACTCATATCCCCCAACTCCGTCTTCTCGCCTTCCGTCAACCCCTCATCTCCCATACCAATTCTCTCCCTCTGCCGATTCTGCGACCAACACGCCCAGCCATAGACGATACACGAGAGAATACTCAGGATAGTAAAGGCGATGCAGATGGAGTATCTATCATCATCATAGAAGACGAAATCAGTATCAGTATCAAGACAGACAGGTAAGGATGAAGAAGAGAAAGACTCACCCAGTCACATATTTGGGAGCATCCTCGGGCAAGAAAGCAAATACGGCAATGATGCCTCCGATGTTGCCGAAGCTGACTTGCCATGCGCTGCCGACGGACCGCCGATGGTGGCCGCCGAGGTTCATGTTGAACCAGCAGACGATGATGGGCATGGCGCCGTAGGTGCCCATGGTGACAAGGAAGAGGGCGGCTGGAAATAGATGATGATGAGTATTGTGATTACGATTGTTGGTTTGAGAACTTGAGAGTGGTCTCTTTTGAGAGAAGAAGAAAAAGAAGAACATGTCCTTACCGTATTGTAATGGCTGATTATCATGCACAGTAATGAGAATCCCAAACCCCGTGATTCCCACACAAATACTCAACACGGCAAATCCAAAGCGGTGCTTAGTCGCATCCGAAATCGTCGCCAACAGCATTGCCCACGCAAAAGCGGCAGCCCACGGAGGCACCGAGTGGAGTTGTGTTTGAATGGGATCGTAGCCATAGCTTTGGATGATGCCCGGAGCGAAGTACGCGTACGAATACGCGGGGACAATCAAGCCAAAGTACATGAATCCCGCGACGATGACTTTGTAGTCTTTGAAGACGCGCTGGACGTCGCGCAAGGTGATTTTGCGCTCGGCTGCGGAGCGGCCTTGGTCCATGCGGAGGCGGGCGGCGACGTAGGCTTTTTCGTCGGGGGAGAGCCATGCGGCTTCTTCGGGGAAGCTGGGGATGCAGAAGAAGAAGATGAAGGATACAGCGACTGTAAGTGCTCCTTCGAGGATGACTAGGAGAGAGGTTGTTTGCGTTAGTACGGAGGGAGTAGAAAGAGTGAACTTGTCGAGGTCGAGGTGTGGGGACGACTTACAGATCCAACGCCAACCTGCCTGTAAGAAGAGTCTGTTAATAAGAGAGTCTCTGAGACATGAAGCCCGACGACTGGGCAATACCAAGATACTCACATATCCTCTCAATCCCGACATCTTCCCAATCGCCGCCGCCAAGAGCCCACCAAATGCTCCCGCCAAAGTGGTCGAGGAAAAAAAGAAGGTATACCTCTTCTGCGCCTCGTGTCTTCGATACCACATTCCTATTAGGTAGAAGCATCCTGGAAACATGCCCGACTCAAAGACTCCAAGGAAGAATCTCGTCGTGAGCAATCCACTGTAATTTTGGACCAAACCTTGCATTATTGTGACGAATCCGAAGAGGAACATATTCAAGCTAAGCCAGATGTGTGGCTTGAATTTCTTGAGGAGGATGTTTGAGGGGATTTCGAGTCTATGAAGATGTTCAACTCAGCATTAGGTAGGTATTCCCTCCTCCCTCAAAAATTTCGAACATCCAAAATTCCAAGTCAAAAACAAAAACACTCACAAAATATATGGCACAAAAAAAATCACCAAAGCAGAATTATATTCGATCCGTTCCAATCCCAATTCTTCTGACAAGCCCAACACATTTGCATTGGAAATGTTTACGCGATCTAAAAATGCCAATAGATATAAAATGCATAAAAAGGGGATTACGTGGAGGTCGATTCGTAGGAGGAGTTTTTGGGGGGTGGTGTTGGGGGGACATGATGGGATGGTTTCTTCGCTGGTAGAGGAGAGTTCTTCTTGTCCTTGGTGGTGCTGGTGGTCATTGGTGGTGGTAGTGGGTTGAGGGAAAAGCTTTTCGGGAGGAGATGTAGGTGGGTAGTCGGGTTTGCTTTCTTTACTGCTGTAAAAGGGGAACTTCATGGTTGTGAACAGGTACGGCCGTGGCGGTGGTGGTGGCTGTAGTAGTGATGGTGATGGTGATAGTAGTGTAAGGCAGAGAGAGGGAGAGAGCTTGATTCAAAGACGATAGAGAAAAAGTAGGCGGAAGATGGGGCCACGGGGAATAGAGAAGACCCATCAGCTGACTACCTACATGTAGATTTGACCCATTGGATGAGGACAAAAGGTACCTTGTCTTACCTCTAAAGATCAAAGTCATCAAGGTCGATTGGATGGACCTGTCATGTCATCAAATAGGATGGATCGTCGTGGAGTCTCCGCAGTGTGACTGTGACACAAAGCAGGATTGTGGGGAGTACAGCTACGAACTAAACTTATTCCTCGAAGAAGAAGGGGCCGATACCGGAGATGCTTTTTTGTATTTTCATGTATCTGAATGTGGGTAATGGAGGATATATACCTCCTTCTTCTCCTCCTTTTCCTCCTCCGTAGTATAGCAATCATACCTTAGATTCCTATTCCGATCAAGAAGAAGACAAGGGTATGTACCTAGGTACATATATAAGCACTTTACATCCCCTCCAAAAAGGAGGAAAAAAAGAAAGATTGATTGAAAATGCTTAAGTACCCTACCCTACGTTGCCTACCCTACTCTACCCTACCTACTGTATCTACGCCCCTCTTTCGGCTATCTCATCTTGTCTTGTCTTTATAAAGAATAGATTGTTAGATAGATGGATATATTAAAATATCAGGTACCTAGCCGAGATCTATAATCTATCTCGTCTGTTTAGCTAATCTAAAATCTGAAATCTGAAATCTGAAGTCTGAAGAGTATAAGTGCTAGGCGAGTGTTACATGTATATTATTATTATTAACATTGATACCTAGGTACCTACCTACCTACTGACATTGTCAATATGTTCTGTTGTTGTTGTTGTTCTTGTTTTAGATTCTTCTAAAGGACTTTGATTAACTTCTTGAAGACTCTGTAGAGATAGATACTTACATATAAGGTATGTATTAGGTAGACACGACGAGGTTGGGGGATACAGTAGGCAAGATAGACGTGTTGTGACTATGCCTGCTCGGAGATGTTATTTGCCATCTGTCACGAATACGCATTGTATAGAAGAGAAAGAGTACAACAGATAGCTGTGACAGGCCTTTGTAGTACGAGCTCGCGAGCTTTACATTCTCATCGTATCGTGGCCCCAAAGTCTCCCTTCCTTCATGATTCTATTCCCTACTGCCGCCATGTCAGCGACTGCAAAGTATCCAATTGCACGAGAAAAGTGTCTTTGCTGCCTGCGTACCGGGATCCACTGGACCAGTCATCTTGTGACTAGAGACGACACATTAGAGGACGTGCAAGTCTATCAGACTCATGTCCGCGAGAGTGACCTTCCGAATTGGCAGATGGTACTCTTCAGGAGATGGTCACCATCTGGACTGAAGAGCTGCAGTCTGTCTCACTCCGCGCGAAGTCGCATACATGAGCTGAAACCTATAGAGAGATACAGTGGAAGCTGGCCTCTCACTTCTCCGCATTATCCTGCACGGCAGCTACTTCGACGTTTTCGATGCGCCACATGTACCACATAAACAAGCTCCTAGAATCATGTCAGTGATCAGAAAGGCATCAGTCAAGGGATTTCCTCCTCCAAACAACTCACCGATAGGGTCGGAACTTCTCTGCTAAATCCACCATCTCCTTCTCACTCATATACTTCCACTTCCCGCCCCCTTTGGCTTTCAACTTACTCACGTCTCTCCCCATGTACGCGGCCATACCCCTCTGTACACCCAAATCGCCCGTACTAAACACATCTAACCTCTTCAAGCCAAAACACATAAACATCTCCACCGACCAAGCGCCCAGTCCTCGGACAGCGACAAGATCCCGCATGACATCCTCATCCGATCCCGTCATGAGCTGTTTCGTCGTGATCTCACCCGTGTCGAACTTCTGGGCCAGACCTTGGATATACTCTGCTTTGCGCTGACTCAAGCCCGCAGTGCGAAGGATTGCGAGGTCTGTTGCCGCGACGAGATTCGGAGGCGGGAAACCTGTGGGACAGGCTTCGGGAGGGAACAAGGCGATGAATTTGTTCTTGATCGAGGATGCCGCTGCGCCCGAGACTTGTTGCGCCATAATCCCACTCGCGAGACTGCGGAATGGGTCGATATTTTCAGCGAGGCCTTCGGGGGAGAATACGCGGCAGTAGTGCTGGTCTATCACGGGCTGGAGTTTGCCGGTGAGGGTCGAGTCGATTTGGAGAAGGTGAGCGCATGCTTCATCCAGAAGAGTCTTGCTTGTGGTTCTGGGGCCGCCGGCTTTGGAGGGCGAGGCTTCTTCGAAATTGGAGTAGGCTGGTTCTAGTTGCGTACCACCAGGTGTTACAAGAGTGGCGTTCGTATGGTGCGCATTGGCAGGCCTTGTCGCTGGAGGAGTGGGATCGTCAATATCTCCAGTGCTGTAGTTCGTTCCAACTTTGCTGGTGCCGTTCATCAGTCCGATGGCGGCAGGCGTGGGAGTGAATGGTGGTGGCTTGATACCACTTCCATTGGCAACCTTTCCGCGCTTCTGATTTGGGGTTGCAGGAGGCGGGGCCATTGAAGTTGCATCCTTTGCAATGTATTTAGCAGTGTTGGCGGCTTGTTTGATGTGTGGAAACACTACCTACGTGGTCGTCTGTCGCCTTGCGTTTTCTGCCTCGCTTGACCGGTTCTGTGGCAACTTCGGCAGTATGATTGTCATTCGCACGTTCTCCCTTCGATTCGGACTTGACAGAGACACGAGCAGAGCGCCGCAAAGACACCATGATCAATGGTGCAGACGTGGCTGACACGAGCTGACTTTGGTATAGCAGCCTGGTTGGAGATATCTGTGGCACGCTGTGTAATCTCAGCACAGCAGAGCGATTGATGGAATGCAACAGCGCCAGACTTTCGTTGTTGGAGTGTACAGAAAGGTTGGGTACATGTATGCTGCAATTATTCGAGAATGTGTTGGTCAGCAAGAAGCGTGAAGGAGATCGAGTACATGTAGGTAAGCGTTGCAAGCCTGATGACGAAGATGCCGCAAGCTTCGCGAAAATGGTGCGGAGTCAGGTGAGAAAGATGTACATGTACATGTAGACAGAGATTGAAGGCGACGCTCCGCCTCGTGCATGCCGTAGCTTGGAACCATTGCGACATGATCTTTTCAGGAGGAGCGCACGGCTGTATGGAAACGAGGACCGAGGGGTCTTTCATCAGGTAGTATTGGTACACCCATTCTCCTGCTCTATGCTACACCCAGCAAAAGCCATGTAGCAGCTGTGAACTTCTGCGCGCTGCAATATGTACACAACTGATCGTGCGCCAACCTCCACTTCCCCTTGTTCCTTGCTGTCGAACGTCTATTTGGCCTTTGGCTTGGTGATTTGCATGTTCTCGAGATCCTCGCGCTCTGTTGCTTCCATCTCGATCGCCTTCATGATTGGGGAGAGGTATGGATAGTCCTACGGCGCTTGCGTTAGCAATCGAGACGACAGCACACGGGACCGGTCAGGTGCTGAGAACAAGGGCAGCGGTCAAAACGTACATCCTCCGGCTTGGTCCATTCATGCTTCGGGAGAAGTTGATGCGCGAGCGAGCACTGTCCACAGATCAGCCCATTGTCCTTTTTATCTCTGCCCCGCCCCTTTTTTCTTCTTCCAATGTACCTGGAATGCTCGTCGCATGCGGAAGACACGGTCGTAGGCCTCCTTGGGTGATAGACGCTTGAGCGCAAGCTGTGCCTCTGGGCTCTCCTCCGGGATCAGGTCATCGGCCCTGTCGTAGCCAATGCGTTAGCCATGAATAGTCCTTCATAGACCAGCGTCCCTCCCCCCGAAGCCTCCTCTCGAGAACATCTGCCCTGTTTGCACCATCTATGGCGACGGCATACCTGAGTCCCAACTTCCGGTATCCTGCGTTGTCGAAGTACCACTGGCTCAGGGGCTTCATCCACTTTTGCAGCCACGGCCGCTTCATGATGTAGGGGGCAAGCGATGGGACCGACATGTTTGCGAGTGTCGAGGGCGTGGTTCGAGGGTGTGAAGAGGAAGAGGTCGGGAGTGTTCGCGCAGTGCTGAAGCTAGACTTCTCGAAAGTAGTCAGCGGAAACAACGGCTGTGATTGGACGGGGCAGGGTGAAGCCATGACGGCCGATATCGAAGCTCGCAGGAAACAAAGACGACACGGCCACAGACACACGCTCTCTGCTTCGACAACCATTGTACGAACAAGCTCCTCCTTCTTTCTCTCCCCTGACTCAATTACCACCATTCCTCCTCGACAGTCTCACCTAACCACTCCACTGCTGAGACGCCGCGTTCATTGCTCGACCGACGTTACTAGCAGGCCGCCCCGCCGTCTCGCTCGGACGACCGACGATAACAAATTCACCACTTCACGCGGCGCCGCGTCGCACTCTCCTCCTCCTCTCCTCTGCCACCTCCTGCGATCCTCACGTCCCCACCCCGATCACGTTCTCTTCTCGAGTATGAGAGTACCATTACTCTCTCAACGATAGTGCTCGCTCCGGGCCATGCAGAACGCACGAGGTTCTGCCATGTCTTCACAGTCCGGTGGCCCTCCAGCCGTGGTGCAGCGATCGCCATTCCCCAAACTCGCTATATGGACCACCAAGTTCTCCGATTCCAACGTCAATACTTTTTGTGGTGCAACGGCCGGCCTCGCCGCTGCCATTGCCACATGCCCGTTGGATGTGATCAAGACCAAGCTGCAGGCACAAGGCTCCTTCTCCAACCCAGATTTGCAACACAAAGGCCCTCCAGTGGGTGAAATGTACCGGGGACTGGTAGGGACGGCGAAGGTAATCATCCGGCAAGACGGGATCAAGGGCCTGTACCGGGGTATCACTCCAATGGCATTGGGGTACACGCCTACCTGGGCTGTGTACATGACTGTGTTTCAGGCCGGAAGTGAATATCTTCGCACCAATGGCTATGGCGACACACCTGTAAAGATGTTCATGTGTCGTATGTTTGCCGCTGTCATCGCTGGAGGTTGCAGCACCCTCACCACGAATCCAATTTGGGTGATCAAGACTCGATTCATGTCGCAACCCTCACGCTCAGCTTCGGACGGTACCAAGTCACTCTTGCGTTACTCCAGCACCATGGATGCTGCCCGCCAAATTTACAGGTCGGAAGGTCTTGCGGCATTCTACGCCGGTCTCGCTCCCGCCATGCTCGGCCTCTCGCACGTCGCCATCCAGTTTCCTATGTACGAATATCTCAAAGCCCGGTTTGCTGGCCTCGAACTTGGTGTGGAAAGTAGACCAGATGAAGTCCAAAGCCGCCAAACCGCATGGGCAGTCACGGCAGCATCTATGATCAGCAAACTTTGTGCCTCTACAGCAACCTACCCTCACGAAGTGATCCGAACACGACTGCAGACACAGCAGATCCTGCACCCCGAGTATGCACACAATGGCGTAGGTGAACACAGTCGGAGTATCTCCAGTTCTAGGAGAATTGCGAATACTGACGGCGTGGCTTACCAGCCGAGGTATCGAGGTTTGGTGTACACCTTCCGCACCATTCTGAAAGAGGAAGGGTGGAGAGCATTTTACAATGGCCTGGGAACGAACCTGGTCCGCGCCGTTCCTTCGGCCGTGACCACCATGTTGACGTTCGAGACCGTGAAAACGGCCATTGTGGACCTGCAAAGCGAGGGCAAGGTGTTGAAGGGGGAAAATTCCCCAGACTGATGAGCCAAGGTTTACGAAGACATGATGGCGTTCGACTGTGCGCACGAGAAGAAGCATGGCGTCAAGGATCCGGGAGCGATGAACATAGAGAGAGAGAGAGAGAGAGGGTGTACATACCTATCGACGAATGATTAGCGGGCGCAAGGGTGGCGGGCTGTTCTGATGCATGAGCAAAGCGTGCATTTGCTTTTTTTGTTTTTGTTCTTCTTTTTCTGCTTTTTTGTTTTCTGTTTTGCATCTTTCTGAGCGAGCAACAGTAGATTGACACACTGTACCGAGACCTGTTCGGCAGTGCATGTCAGGGGCATTTTACTACGAAGAGCGTGGCGTTTAGGTGAACAAGAGAGAAAAAAAGACCTGCCGGAGCAAGACGCAGGCAGCATGGGAGGATGATTACTTTTGCTGTACCTATCATACCTATCGCAAGCATGAATCAGGGAGTATTTTATAAAATCCGGTCGCCTTTGCGACTTTTGTTCCCAACTGGATTGTCTTGTTCTGATTGAAAGGATTGAGTGAACGAACACATGTCAGGTAGGTGAGTGGATTGCGGAAATGTATGTGTCCCTGGTAGGTAAGGAAGGTACATGAAGCTACCAACAGCAAACAGCAAACAGCAAAAACCTATTGCCTTCTACCTCCATCTCTACCTCCAACCCTTCTACCTGCTGCCACCCACCGACACTAACTTACTAGATACGGTAAGTAGAAGTACAGGTACAGACAGGTAGGTAGGAAATCTCTCGCTTGATATTTAAACCTCGCTACCTCATCAATACATGCAGCCCGAAAACAAAAAAAAACGAAAAATAATAATAAAAATCAGAAAGAGAGAGAGACTCAGCCTAGACTCTACATTCGTCTTACCTAGTACATGTCGTCGTCTAAGATGTTGAATATATAATATATACCTTGAGGAAGGTAAGGTATTCTACGCCAATCGAGGTTCTAGAGTTGGAGGGGAGAGATTGAAGGGCGAGGTGGAGAAGAGGGAGGGGGAGAGGGAGAGATGGAGAGGGAGAGGGAGAGAGGGAGAGGGTTCTTATAGAGTATTAAGGTACATGTACCTACCTAAGGTAGGTTCGTATAGTGTATGTATGTAGTACTGTGCTGTACTGTGCTGTATATGATTCGGTTAGGTCAGGTCAGGTAAGGTCAGGTTAGGTCAGGTACATGTATCTTCTACCTCCTAAAAAGCTGAGGTACGTATTGTATCTCAGCTAAGAGGTACATATATGTAAGGGAGGACTGACTCTTGCTCAGGTACCTGGTAGGTAGGCAACGAAAGTCTCTCCGGGAAATAGAGTATTGAAACTATAGGTAGAGGTAAGGTATCTTGCTATAGCTCGTACTAGGTACACGAGCTTTCATTCAGTCGCTCTGTCGTATCTAGCCTATTCAGCTGTATATACTGATAACAAACCTTGAAGGTGGTGCTGTATCCATATGCACCTATCTATACTATTTCTATCTCCATTTCCATCCCGCAGTCTGACCTCTCATTATCATCATCATCAGTTGCAACAGCAATGACCACGTGTGCTACCTTAGTCTGACAGTCGACGTAGGTACAGGTACTGTAGGAGGTAGACGTGTACATCTATTATCCGGGTCATGTACCTTACCTCCTACATGTACAGGTAGGAGGTAGTTCGTGTCAGTCTCGTGTCATGCCTCGGCACCGGAGAGGGAGGGTCCTTGCCTGCAACGAGAAGAAGCTTCAGGAAGCTTTCCCTTTTTTTTTTCTCATCAGAGAGCTGTGCTGTGCTATGCTGTGCTTTCGTTGGTCGTTGCGGTGGTCCGGGTGGGTCCTTGGATTTCGAACCATCTCACTCAACGTCGCCGCGTGCCAAAGCTTCCTAAGACCGCGTAATCAATACATGCATGTGTTCATGTTTGCATTGTTTGCATTCCATCATTAGGTACATTACTCTTCGACAAAGAGAGACTGGTGAGGTGATGAAAAGAAAAAGAAGAGGAATACGAAGCATTTGTCTGTTATGCGGTACGTGTTACTAGGTAATCTCGGATGCTGACGACGGCCGCCTACAAATACACTCATCATCATTATCATCATCATCATCATCATCACCATCATCATCACCACCCCCACACCAAGTGGCAACGCGTTGTGAGATGAGAATGGGCCAATGTCGTGCATCTGGTCGTTGTTGATGATACCTAATGATGATGATGGAGATGTGAAGCAGTTTCGTATACCAGCAGCATATGAGGAAGGGAAGTGGCTCCTACCTGGGCCTACTAACTCCCAAAGCAGTCTAGACGAGCGCCACCAGAGTGTGGAGTGGAGCCTCCTCCGTTGAATAGACAGCATTTCATTTGCCACAGACACTAGCACAGGTAGCACATGCGAGCATGTTTCCGCTTCCGGGAAAACGTCCATGGGTGCTTGGCCAAGGTTTCGTTGTGTTTTGCAGCTTTTGCTCGAGCCACACAAATTAGAGGGGAGATGGAGAGTTTGTCTATGCGGCGAGATGAGGCCCGTATATATAGGTGGGTAGACCGTATACGACAGTGTCGGCTCGTGTGATGATAGGAAGAGGGAGAGGCAGGCAGGCAGAGGAGAGGAGATGTTACGAGTGCAAGTCAGAGAGGGAGAGGGAGAGTACAAGTACCTAGGTAGGAAGTAGAGTAAAGTAGGTGCCGGCGGGGTTTGTGCTGGACTGGACTGAGCCGGGGAGCAGAAGTCGTTCATGCGCCCCTGTCGTACACAGGTTGGTGGTAGAGTGGTAGCAGGAAGTACCTCCTACCTGTAGTGCCTGGCTGCAAGTGTGTCGATGAGAATACAAGCGAATGAATACTTCCTATGTAAAGAGATCATGACTGACTAGTAGTCGGTAGGAGAGGAGGTAGTGAGGCTGCTGAAAGCAAACAGGCTCTCACGGCTCATCTCGTTCAAGCCTCTCAACACGTTGCTAGGGCCGTGGCGTCTCCTCCTCTGCAAATCAGCGACCGCAGAATCCGACATGGATGTTTCAGGAAAGAGCGACACGCGGCCAATGCACCACGCAGGAAGCCTCTCTCCTTTCTTCCGCCCCGATTCTTGCCAACCCTTTCTGCTTCCATCTTGGAAAGCGACACTCGCACACATCCACACACCTCTCACACACACACACGCCCCTTCTCTCGCTCGCGTGCGTCCTGTTGTTCATCTTCTCTCTCGCACACTCGCTTGCCCGCTCAACTCTGTCAACATACATTGACAGTTTGCTCCCACTGTTTACATTGATTCACCCATCCGCGTCCGCCCATAACCCAACCCACCTCTCCCGAGCAGCAGTGTTAAGATCGAGGTGAGTACCAACCGACACGACCACTACTCATCACCGCCATCAGGCTGCCCATCACCATCGCTCCTCGCGGCATCTGCACCAGCACCAGCAGCACCACCTCCACCATCATCGAGACCACCGCCTCCCCTCGCTTCCATCTACGCTCGCTCGCTCGCTCCCAGACGCGTGAAAGCTCGTCCGACACGGCGCTGATCAGTCGTGCATACAGTTACCCGCCTCGCGGTAGAAACAATACAATGGCCGCCTTCAGGTACATCGTGCCGGCTTTGGCCCTGGCAGGAAGCGCAATCGGTGAGTGGGCAAGAGACGCTTGTCACACGGTACCGCAAGCGCCCTGGCTAATCACTCACGGTGAACAGCTCAATGCGGAGAGTCCGGAAGCACCATGACCCTCCAGAACTCCGGCGACGCCATGGCCCTGTCCAGCTGTTCTACCATCAAGGGCAGCATCGCCATTGACAGCGGCACCACCGACAATATCAACCTGGCAGGTGTGACGATGATTGAAGCAGATCTCATTGCCGACAATGTGACTGGACTGGGATCCCTCTCCGCCCCCGACCTCGAGGAGATTGGTGGCCGATTCGACCTGAACGGTTTGACCATTCTCTCCACCCTCAGCTTCCCCAAGCTGGCCAAGGTCGACACCATCAGCTGGATTGCTCTGCCCGCTCTGCAAGGCTTGACCTTCTCCAACACCGGTGTGCAAGAAGTCAACATGCTGACCATTGACAACACGGAGCTGGCATCCCTGGACGGCATCAATCTCCAGGTGGCAGACACCATTTACATTGGCAACAACCGATTCCTCGACTCTGTCAACATGCAGCTCGGTAACGTGACCGAGTCATTGACCTTCACCAACAACGGTGCTGATCTTGTGGCCGAATTCCCCAACTTGATCTGGGCATACAACATCACCATCCGAAACTTGTCCTCGGTTGCCGTGCCATCTCTCGCATCCGTCAACGGCTCGCTCGGCTTCTACGGCAACACCTTCATGAACTTCTCTGCTCCCAACTTGACTGACGTGGGCGGCTCCCTCGCCTTTGTCAGCAACGACCAACTCAGCAACATCACCCTCCCCGAGCTCACCACTGTCGGTGGTGGCTTCCAGATTGCCAACAACTCTGCCCTCGAGCAAATCAATGGCTTCCCCAAGCTTGCCACTGTCGGTGGTGCTTTGGAGTTCACTGGTGCTTTCACCGCGTAAGTCGCTGCGTCGTCGCTACCCCGTTTGGATATCGTGTGCTAATCTATTCGCAGTGTTGAGCTCCCTGAACTGGGTGATGTCCGTGGTGCTTTCACTCTGCTGTCCACGGGCGATATCACGTCTGCTTGCGACACGTTCCAGGGCCAGGCTGGCAGCGCCTCGGCGATCAAGGGAACCTTCACCTGCACTGGTCAGACTGACCCTGAAGACGGAACCAGCACCACTGGTACGAGCGCCAGCCACACTTCTTCCAGCGCAGCTCACCCCATGATCATTCCTGGGGCCACCGGTGTTCTCGGTGTCGTTGCAGCCATCTTTGGTCTGCTCTAGACTCATGTGGACACACTCGGCAACGATGAGGCAACATTTTTTTTCTTTTTGCTCTGCGGTGGCGTTGTAGCGTGGTCGGTCCTTGGGCACTTTGAACAGTTCGGCCAGCATTGCATAGACTAATAGTAGCGGTCTCACGCATCAAAAACACTCGATATTACACACTACATCGATGATACTTGTCACGGGCCCGATCCATGTTTCTCCAGCGAGCATATCTGCGGCCACGGCCGAGAACAGAAGGTGGTGTAGGATGGACCTTGTTTTTGTGCTTTCTTTCGTTCTGCTTGCGATGGCGAAAGCATTTCGCTGCGCATGTTACACTGCATAGTCTGCGGACTCTTTTTATGTGGGAAAGGAAGAAGACATGGGGACATGCATCATCATCACCACCATCGTCACCATCATCATGGTCAGATCGCTTCGTGGAAACGAAATGGCAGCAGTTGGTTGCAGGGCTGCGCAGGACGGAGCTTGGGCTGCGGTCGATGTCGTGGTAGTAGGGGCCTCTACGGCGCACACGAGAGTAATATAATACGAGACTTTTTTCATTTTCTACCGCTTTCTCATGTCCGTCTCCCCGAACGCTTGCACGCAACCCAGCCGGCCACCACGGACGGTACAAACGGTCTGGTGGTGATGAACAACGTGGCGCCGGTGTGCGCATGGCCACGATCACATATGATTTGTTTAGTACATGTACTTGTAGGGACATTAAACTTTGCAATCCCCGCACAAAGCCCCAGTCCAGCTGGTCGTTTTCTTTTGCAGTTTTGAACCTCACCTGCTCGGGCTTCCCGTTCGCACGCTACTAAATCACACTGATGAACCAAAAAAGAACCAACGTGAACACCTAGGTATGAACCAGGCTGGGTACATAAGGTACGCCTGCCCGGGCATGATGCGATCATCCTCGCCCCGCCGTGCCGCGCTGCGCCGCGCCTCGCCCTCTCAGCCAGCGAGCGAGTCCCCGAGCAAGACCGGTTTGAGAGACTGATAAGATGCTAGGCTAGGCTAGCTAGCTCAGCGCACCGGGTTCTGTTTTGTCTCTCTCTCTATCTCTCTCTCGCTCTGTCTCGCTCTCTGCTGGAAGGAGGGATGGATGGAGGGATGGAGGGATGGAGATCAGGAGATCAGGTGTGCATGCGTCAGGTAGGTAGGTAGGTACATATCTACATGGTAGGTTTTTTACCTATTGGTGATATACATACATACAGATACGCAGACATAACATGCTGACATGGTTTAGGCAGGTATGTAGGTATGTAGGTATTTGAGTGTGTTTGTGTTTGTGCGTTGCCCCCCCTTGCTGGATACCTGGATACATCATACATGACCTTTTAGTTCCTTGCATACCTAATGTAGGTTAGGTAGGTCAGATACGTAGGTAGGTAGGTCGGTGCTTGCAGATGGGGCGATTGCGGCGCGGCGCGGCGGGGCGGGGAGACTTGAAAGAAAAAATAAAACCGAGGGCTACCTAACCCAAGAGAGGTAGATAAGGTAAGGTAGCTTAGGGAGAGAGCCTAGAGCCTAGAGGTACAGGTAGGTAGGCATCAACTAGGTAATTACTAATCCTTGAACGGGAGGGAGCTGGAGGGACTTGACTTCATGTTTATGGGATATATCATTTTTTCATTCTTTTTTCTCTTTTTTTTTCACTTTTTTTTTCATTCTGAAAAGGATGCGGTTGGAGAGGTTTCGAGAGTCAGGTTTCTTCTTGATGGCTATGGCTATTATTGTTATGCTACACTACGCAGGTACGCAAGCATGGAAGTACGAATGGATCTACTGGTAGGCGTCATGCTGATGACTGCATATAGACTACCTGACCTGACCTGACCTAGTTTTAGGTGTTGCGTGCGGATATATGCACGATGAAGAAGCCGTATGCCACCTTTCGTCACACAACAACCATCGGGAAGCGGCCAGGCTGGTGTCCACTTTGTTGGCTGGTTGGATGTGGCAAGCCGGCCGCCATTTTTTGTCCCAAGGTGTCAGACCCGAGTCGGACGATACAAGCTGGTCTGGTGGACTCTTTTTTTATGCACGCACGCCCTTGGCTCCACCCTGATGCCGCACAAGATTAAGAGAGACAGCCCCCCAGTCTCCACGCACGCACGCCACCCTGACCCTGGCAGCGCTTTCCTTTGTTACACATCATCGTGTCGTCTCTGTCTCTCTCTCTCGCTCTCTCTCGCCCTCTCGCCCTCTCTCTCCGATGACCCTCTCCATCGCACAGCGCCAAAAGGGTATGCCGACCGCGTTCTGTCATCACAGCGCACCATGCGGGTCGTATCACCTGCCGCAGGGCGCATATCGCTTGGGGGACGAAGGACTTCATGCACAGCGCCTTTACGGACCAGGTCCAACCGGGATCGCGGATAGCAGCAGCAGCATCAGCAGTAGCAGCATCTGGCTTTGATGCATCGTTCACAGGACGCTCATGATCCCACTCCCTGCCCCCACGATCATTTTTCGATACCATGAAATTTGACAGCAGAGTAGACCTCCTCCACAAGGCTGTCTGTGAACCGACCTCTCTCTCTCTCTCTCAACCGAGACACGTCGACGCAGAGTCGCACAAATGCACGCGCAGATATGGAGCACGATGCTAGAGCAAATCTGGCAGTAGGCGACTTTGCGGTGTGCACGAGTGCACGGCCACCATCTATCTATCTCATTGGCATCCAGACGACATCGGCGAGCGAGCATGACTGACGATCCACAGAAAGATACCTCCCACACCGGGATTCCTCTATGCGAATCGCCGGCACGCAAAGCAGATCGAACTAAAACACCGGGCCGTGGGGAAATCTTTCCGTATCGCAGCATCACGGATCAAGGGATGGATGCACGACCAGGCACCACCACCAATCGTATATACACCCTGGATCTGCCTTCCGACATTTGCTCTTTTGGTCGTGATTGAGCGCCTCCTCACTTCGCTCTACCTGAATTCGTCTCGACCTTACCGCCATATCCTGGTACATCGCACTGCTGCTGTGACTTTAGCGTCCGGCCCGTAAAGAGTCGAGATGTTGTTGCTCCACCGTCTGGAGTCGACGACAGCTGTCTGGTGGGCCGCGCGCGCGCTTCTCATACTTTGGTTGCCATCAATGGGACAACAACACCATGGGTGTGTCGTCCAGGTTAAATACCCCCCATGGTCTGTCACCACCATCTTCTATTCGCTACTCATCGAACAGACTTTCATCCCGCACCGTTCCCTCTTGAGCCTTGTGAAGTGCTAAATCTGGACACTCTCTTGTTTTGACTTCCACCTGCATACCCATTTTACATACCGTGTGTCTGACACTGTGACATCCCTTTCACAACACAGACCCCTTTCACAAGACAGACCCCTTTCGCCATCGTATTGGGAATGACGGTCACCACTTCTCATTTCGCCGATGGCTTCCAGCCTCACCCCCGAGTGTAAGTCACTGTCCGCTCTCACTTTCAACAACATCAACAACGAGAAATCGACGCTGACTGCTGTATACAGCAACGAAGCATTGCCGCCCATCCAGTCCCTCACGCACGACCTCATTCGTTGCCCCAGCTGCAGTCACATGTGCAGTGATCGAACACAGTTACAGCGACACCTGACACAGAGTGGCTGCCAAGGACCATTGCAAGCACAATCACAGCGTCCGGAACAACGAGGTCTCCGGCATGACTCGATGCACTCCATCCACTCGGTGGCCCATTCGCCCAGAAGCTGGGCAGCCATCCCCGATCAGCTCCACAATCAGCTCCCATCGTCTTCGTCGTCTGCGGCATCTGATAGTGACGGCATATGTTACACGCCCGACGTGAGTCGAGCCTCGTCCGTGAGCCATGATGTGAATGGCTCTCGTCGGACTTCTCACGTGGACGTCACAGCATCCAAGCGACCGCGTCGGCAGCCGACCGGTTCCCCCGTCTTGAAAAGAAACAAGAAAGCCAAGAAGACGGAGAAGGAGCAACTGAACCGCAGCAACCAAGGCGCCGTCATGTTCCGCATGGAAGATAGTCTGGCGCACAACATCCGCTGGTCCAAAGACGAGCAAAGCGGCGGCAACGGCAACAGTGCCGGACTCTTCTCCAACAAAATCAACTTACTCCGGACCTGGGAAGCAGTCACCAACCATGCACTCCATAAAGCCCGCTGCGATGCCATCCGATCCGGAACTCTAGCCGACTTTGAACGCGAATATCAAGCCGTTGCCGATGGCGCCTGCGAGGAAACGTATCAGCCTTATGCCGGTACTTTTCTCCAACTCGCACCCGGTGAGACGCTCTGTCGCCACGAGGACACCAAGTCGAAAGAGTGTTCGGAGCATAATAACCCCGATTGGCGCGACTGTCGCAAAGGTCGTGCTGATGTGAGGTTTAGTCGGAATGAAAACTCTTACCTTGCAGCTTTGGGCATTACGAAGCAGCAAGCACTCTATGGTGGTTCTCGTGCTGCTGCTGTTGCACTACCTACCATATATGGTGGTTGTGGGGGGCCGCCCCAACAGCAACAGCAACTTCACCACGCGAGGAACTGAAACATCGGACCCTGTCCCTGTTCCTTTCTTTTTTTTTTCTCTCGGATCTTCGTGCGTGTCACAACAGTTATTACAGCGTTGTTTTGTTGTCTGTTTATTTTTTTTTTCTTGGTTCTGGGGTTTTTCTGGTTTTGTTAGCGTTTGAGCAAGCGAGTAGTACCTTAGTACCCCCACCCAACCCAACCCAACCCAACCATTTGTATCTCTCATTACACATTACACATCATACATCACACACCCTGTCGTCGGAGAGCAGAGAGCAAGCGATGCAGCAAGCAAACAAACAAGCGATACATTGCATTTCCACCCCAAATTCTCCTGGTCAGAAGAGAGGAGAGGAGAGGAGATGAGGAGAGAAAGAGTTTGTGATTGATCACAAAAAGACAAAAAAAAAGAAGAGAGAAAAAAAACCCCCCTCCAAGAAAGAAGAATCCCGGAGCTGCAAGCGAACAAGCGATGTCTGATACTGATGAGTCGAGCAAGTAATCAAGAGTTGGGACCGGGTGGGTGCAGGTGCAGGTGTGGGGTGATGGGATGGGGGGGATCTGTCTACCTAGGTATCTATCCTAGGAGGTACATGTACATGTACTGTACCCAAAGGTCCGTTGAGAGCGAGCACCTTTTTTTGGCGGGGAAGCTTTTTGCTTTTTTTTCTTGGATCGCGTGGGGGAACTTGCAGCAGCAGCAGAAGAAGAAAAGTGTTTTGGTTCTTTTTATATCTTTTTTTTTTGGAGGGGGCGTTTTTGGTACTGCTGCTGCTGATGGGTTCTACTTAGCTCTCTTCCTCTCTCTTTCTCTTTCTTTCGCGGGCGGGCGAGTTTGGAAGAGGGATTGGAAGAGAAGAAAGAAAGGAGAGAAAGGCAGTATAAGGTATATTTCCTAACGACTGTTTCTCCGGCCTCGGAAGGAGAAAAGAGAAGGAGAGAGAAGGAGAGAAGGAGACGAGGACAAATGGAGAAGTCGGAAGAAAAAGTATTGGTTTTTTTGTATTTATATATTTATATATATATATATTATTTAGTTGTATTTAGTTGTTGTGTTGATAGAGAGAAGAGGAAACGGAGGAGGCAAGAGAGGAGACGAATAGGGAGGAGAGAGAAAAGAGAGGAAGAGGAGACGGATAGGGAGAGGAAGATAAAGAAGAAAAAGGCAAGGAAACGAAAAACAAAAACAATATATATTTTACGACAAAAAGACTTAAATAACGACGAGATGAGAATCGAGATAACTGATAAGGAATTGAGGATCAATGAATTATTATTTTAGTATTTGGTATTGTTCAATCTACCTTTGGATACCTTAAGTACCTTAAGTAGGTATTTTGAGAGAGAGAGAGAGAGAGAGAGAGAGAGAGAGAGAGAGAGAGAGAGAGAGAGAGAGAGAGAGAGAGAGAGAGAGAGAAGAAGAAGAGTAGGAGAGTAGATATAGTAGTATATAT